GAGAAGAAAATGCTTCGATGCCTTTTGTTTGTTCGACTGCTGATGCTTTTGCGTTTTGTTGGACGGAGGTGAATTGTTCGTCTGACGTTAGGCTAGTCTTAGAAAGAAAAAGAAAAAAGGATTTAAAAATTTGAATATTCACGAACATAGATTAAAATAAAAATCTAAATTGAAATTTTTTCTTTAGATATTTTGAGTTTTCATCAAACAGATTAAAAGATTTAATCAAAGAATAAATTTCAGTTTTAATAAATTTTCAAACTAAAATCTCAAAAAATCTGAGTAAACTTTTATCTATGATTTTTATGTTTGTGTTATTTTTCGTCTTTTCGAGATCTTTTTTTTACCTGTTTGTCGATTGCCTAATGTAGACCGTAGTCCACAAGACAACAACTGAAAGGATATACGCTAATGTTTGTAAAGGGTTAAGTTTACATTACATTCTTCTCAACGTTTTTTCCTTCGATCATTTCTCATCAATTCTCATCAAAATAAAAAAAAAAACGTTAACTCTCAAAGAAATTGTCTCGTTCACATGTCGTGAAATCGAAATATTCCTTTTGACCCTTTTTTAAATGGACCACAAAACTTAAAAACCATGAAGACAGGAATGGAAGTAAAACTGTTTAAATCAGCTGCGGCCTGTATAAAGAATTTTAATGCTCTGTGAGCTAATTTAACTGAAAAAAAAATCTTAAAAGTATTTAAAATTGAAGGTGCTAAAGGCAATAAAAATAAATCAATCTTAATGCGCTTTTTTTTTTATTTTGGAGTAAAACGATTTAACATTGTCAAAGGATGAATTTCCCTTAACAGCGTTGGAATCAGCAATTCACCCAGAAACTCGATCATGAAATTCAAATGATGAGAAAGACATAAACTTGTTTCTGATGATAACCTGAATTCGGTTTTTTCAGGTTTTAGTGCATGACGACGACGACGAAAACGTCAACGTTGTTTTATTTTCGGAGTAAAATAATAAAAATTCACTTGTTACCTTTACGGATGATGACTGGATATCAGGTTTTTTGTATTTTATATTTGAGCTTGCTTGTCGCCTTTGTTGTTGATCTGTTATGTAAGTGAGATTTGTAAACATCACATCGAAACGACAACATATCTACCTAAATAAAAAATAAAAATTGTCTTTCGATATCGACTGTCAAATTCGCCCCCAAAAATAATTTTTTTGATTTTAATTTAGTGTGATAGATTCAGGGCAATCACATAATAGCGATAACAATCCAAGCGTTTGATTAGTTTTGATTGACAAGGGTCAGTTGTGTGTGACTATAATTCTTTTATACACTCCATTCCAAAGTATTTTTTAATTGTGCATAACAATGAGGAAATATCGAAATGAATTCGAGGAAACCTACGCGTGTACTTTGTAACAAATTTTAAACTTTTCTTTCTCACAATCAAACGCATGACGTTTGCCTTCTTTTCTTCATCGAAAGGTGTTAATTAAAATGGGAGAAAAATATCACGGAAGTGCAAAAAATATGTACAAATAAATAAATAAATTTCTGTAATTGTTAATTTAGTTGAGAATCTCCCCTGTGGTGTAATGTTGAAATCTTTTGCGATTTCATAGAAGGGATATCGTTCTAGAATGAAGTATAAGAAAAATTACCCTCAAGGTGTAGTTGAAAACAATTGAACAAGCGAACGAAACAGGAAAAAGACGCAACAAGAGAATGTTATCAGAAGAATTTAATAAATTTGTTTATTGTTCTCATTCTCTCTCGCCGTCAGATGAATGACGGTTCAAGTCCATTATTTGCCATTTCATGAGAAATTTCGTAATTAGTTTTCCAACATTTGCCTTCGATGTTTTCATTTATATTTTTTTTGCATGTGATTTAATTTGGACTCTCAATAATGTTCATTGTTGTGAAAGAGACGAAAAGGAAAAATTGCCCTTAAGGATAAATATGTAGCGAAATATTTTTCTTACTGTTCTTTCTTTCATTCTTTCTTTCTTTCTTTTCACTCTTTGAATGCAGATTGCCATGCTTCTTTACAGCTTTTATGTTGCGCAAGTGTTTCTCAAAAGCAAAGAGAAGGATCGGCAAATTGTAATATTTTTATGATTACGTATAATTCAATATAATCGTCGCGACGGTCTTCCTCTGCTTCTCTGCCTGCCTTAAATACTTAACGATGATTTTACTTCAATTGTTTGGTGGAAAATTCGTTTTTACTTTGTAAAAATGATTTTTTCTTTTTGATTGTTGGTAAAAGAGTTTGAGAAAATTGAAGAGTAACTGTCGAGCATGCAAATTTCATCTTCTTCAAAATATTACTTACTTGACGGCATATCAACAATCCTGAAAAAAATCAATTTGCTTGAATAATTTCTTTCACAAATTTTAATACGCAAAAATAAACTCGCGAAGGGCAGGACAACAAAAAAAAAAATTGAGCAAAAAACCATTTAATGATAACTCTGCGAACTGTAATTTTCGGTTATGAGCTCCTGGGCGCGCAAGACGAGGCGATTTTTCTCTGCAAGTGATGGGAACGCCTTAAATAAGAGTTTCGCTTTGAGGCTTTACGGGAGGGCGAACAACTATGACGTTTTCGACAAAAACTCCGAACATAATTAAGGCATTTTGTATAATAGCATCGGCAGCCAAAGCAAAATCGATAAGTTTGCAATTACAAGCAAAGAGAATGAAAAACTTTTCCAAGCCATTAATATGCGTTTGAGCCAAGCAATTAGCTTTCGTTCATTCATTAATAGAATAATTCCGTTCATTTAAGTTTTGTTACCGTTTTGTGTTGGCGTATGAAGATGCAAGAGAAATTATTTTTCTATGTAGAATTCAAATGAATTGCAAAATCTTCTTTCTCGCTTTAATGACAAGATAATCGTAAATTTGAAGATTTTTTCTCTCTACCATGTTTTTCTCTCGCCCCGCTAATATCCAACATTTATAAGTACATTTCTCGATTTTAATTAGTGCTACTTCCCCCTCTATCTTTACCCAAGATACAAACAAGACGACAGCCGCTTAAGCTTCACAATAAGTTTTATTAAAATCGATATATATATTTTTTTTCTCTCAAATCGCCTGCACATTCATTTTTTACACTCGGAAAAGGTAAATGGTCTTGGCGGGAGAATTTATTGGTATTTAGTTGTTGGCAAGTTGGATAGTCGATCGTAAAAATTTGAACTACCGTTTCGTTTCACTCTCTCGTCTTGGGTGCCACTCTTGACCAAGAATAAATAAGAAGAAACAAATCCTTTCTCCCCTTTAGTTGCTTGTCGGTTCTTCAATGTTAATTATATTCGCGCATAAAGTAAGCATTTTTATGTTTTAATTAGACTTTTTATGTTTGCACCGCGGCGTTCATTAATTTCCGCTTATTTTATTTATTTTTTTGTTGTGCATATTTTTCGACGATAAATAGCTTTGAAAAACATTCAAAATATTAAATTCTTACATGCATTGCTCAAGTTTAATCTGCTCTTAATTCGTGCATGGAATATCCAGTCATGCTTTAAGTAATAAGTCAGTCATGTCCCTTAGATGATTTTTGCCTGAAGTTAGCAGTTTTAATTATACTTAAACTTAATAATTAATAAAACATTCCACAAATATACGACACTTTACTTGCTTTACGACATAGTTAGCCACTGTAAACTTCGTTTGATAAATTGTCGATCATTAACCGAAAGTTTGCACTTAAGAAATTTCTTCAACAGTAACAGAGAAATCTGTAAAAATTGCTACTGGAATTTTGCTTTTCGTCGCTCAATGCGATTAACCAAAAGCGAGCAAAGAAATTGCCAATTATGCGACAGAAAAAGGCGTTTTGAAACAACGCGAAAGATATTAATTTAATTTTTAATCATTTACTTGCTTGTCTCTCTTTCTTCCATCTAAGTGCTGATTTTGCTTTCACGGGCCTTTAAGTACATGATTTTAATGCTCAATTACGACGACAAATGCTCGCACTTTCCATATAAAGTCGCTCTGTTTTCTTTCACGATGATTGTCGTTTAAAAAAAATAAAGATTTATGACGTTGTCACTGAGTCAAACATTACATGGCATGTTTAACACTCACGAAGGTGGAAAAATCTTTCTCTCGTGATAGAAATTTTCACTTAACAACTCTTATCAAATTAAATGTTGTCGAGGATTGTAAATTGGATGTTAAATGCTGAAGGGAAATGGTAAATTGCTTGTTCATTTTCTTTTATGCGAATAGATTAAATAGACGATGAATAATTAAAGTAATCAAAATCCTCAACAGAAAAAAAACAATTGTGTTCGCTCGCGCTCGATGATGCTGCCTTTGTGGCCTTTCTTTCATAGTCTTCTTACTTGCTTGCTTGTGGTAATCCGATACTATTTGCTTGACTAAAATTTCTTTATTACAATACGACAAACATCTTTAACAACAGACTTTGTTTCATATTCCTTGCGTTGAAATCTCAACCTTACACATATAAAATTGAAGAGAAAAAAGTCATCAGAAGAAGTAAAGAAGAAAAAATATTAAATTACCTTGAATTGGGATTTCATTCGACTTTTAATTGTTGAAATCTGTTTTTTTCTTCTCTCTAGCTCTTTCTTAATTTCAATGAATTTTATAATTTGTTAAATTTAGAGAGAAGAAAAGTCGAAAGTCTTATGCAGTTTCATTTCAACTGCCTTCATTTTTTTTCTAAATGAATTTTGAAATCTTATACTTTAACAGATTTCTTCTTTTTTTTTGATGTTCGGTGATTTCATTATAAATTGACAGTCGCATCACGTAGCAACAATGTCTTTGTAATTAAACGGATATCAAAAGTGAGATTACAATTACTGTTTCTTTTGTGACTTCTTATTTAGCTGGTAAGCTTTGCCGTGACAACATGCAGTAAAGGTTAATTGACATATTAATTTTCTATCTTTATGATCACGACGTTACGTAAGTTACGTAAATTACGCAAATGTAAATGTGATTCTGAACAATTTAATGTTCCTTAAAAGCGATCAACTTTGTGGATTACAAATGTCTTAGATTCTTCGAATGTCTGTCGTATGCACATTGATCGAGAAATTTATTTTTATTGTAAAATAAATATCAGTATCACAGTCACTTGTGCGCCTACGCGATTGAGAGTTGAGTTTTAAAAAATGGAGCGACGATTAAATTTTTCACTTTTGTTCGCTTCTCTTTGTCTTTTTAATATCGTCTTATTAATTATTAATTTTTGAAAAAAAGAAAACTTTGAAAAAGTTTGTTGCACAAAAGCTTAGCACAAAAATTGGTAGCGTCGAGTAACTTAATTCAGTTTATTGTCATATATCTGATGTTTTGATATCAGATTCATTGTCTCCAGTGTGAAGATTAATGACCCTTAATTGTATAAGAAAAAGGCTCATGTTTATATTATTATTTCTATAAAGAATTGAACCACAAAGCTAGTGAAAAAAAGCTGAGGTTTGATGTTCGGAACCACCATCATATTTATTTATTTATTGTTTTGTCCATTTTGCTTTGCTTCCATCTTATTATTTGTAGATGAATGTTTTCATTTCACAACATTTGGATTAATAGATTTATCTCACCGTCCAATGTGGTTTAAAAATATTTTATTTAAGGTTTTCATTTCATTTGTTGAAATCTAATAGTTTTATTAGATATTTTCCAAATACTCATTCAGGCTTCGTTTACATAATTACTAAAATCATTGTTTGCCTATATCAAACCACAAAGTATTAATGTAGATACTTACTGCTACTACTGCTGATTATAATTCGATTATTTGCTATTGTTTTATTTAGAAAATTTCAAATTTTCAATTGCTCTAAACTATTTTTTATGGATTTATTTATAAGCAGCAGCACACGAATTATATTATCAAGCATCTAAATAGCAGCTGTGTCTGCCCATAATTAGCGTAAAAAGTCCAATATAGGTTGATTAAATTGATAAAAAGTTCATTCTTGCTTCATGTGAATTACTTATTAGCAGTAGTCAATACTTAGTTTCTTTTTCGTGCAATCAATGTACATAATTCTAAATCTTTGAAGGAAATAAATTTGATTACGAAAGAAATTCCTTTTGAATATTTGTTGCGATTTTAATTCTATGAAATAACTGGAGGTGATTAGCTCTAAGCAAATTTGATTAATTATTTTTGAAATGGCTGCAAATGAATGTTAAAGCTTTGCTGCCTCAACCTGATCATTGCGGGTATTAAAAGAACACGTTATTATTGTCGTACACTATTTATTAGGATTATGAATTGTAGTTGATGGTTGTGCAACATCGTAATGATTCTTAACATTGTATTTTACACCAATTACGAGAAGAGAATTTGTGGTAGTAAAATATTTATTGGGCTTTTCTGCTTTACATTTCGCTCTTCGCAAGCCGTAATTACTCATAATCACAATAAATCGTTGAGCTTCTCATCTCCTCGTCTCTGTGAGGTCGAGAAATTTCAGTTAAAATGTAAAACGTTTATAATTAAATGAAAATCATTTCTTGATTTGTTTAGCTCACAAGTTAGGTAGTCGCTTGCTTTACAGAAATTTATTCAAATCGATTCCTATTAATAAACAATTTTCAAATAAACGCCAATCAAATTAAATGTAAACAGCACCAAGCTGAGTGTTAAGTTGAAAATTTTTTTCATTCGTTTATATTTTTGATTTGTGAAATAAAAACAGAAAAAAATGTTACAAGCTTGCGACAGCAGTTATTTAAATAAAATGTTTGTCCACTTTATTGACTGCAAAAGTTCGAGATTTATTGATTGAAATATGATTATTTCAAACATTGAAATAAATTCACTTTAAATGTTAGGAGTTAATTGCGGCATATTGGATTGAAATACATTTAAATATTAAATTAAGTAACGCGCATTGATTTAAAGTTGTCGACTTGGTCACTAAATCTTTCTCAAAGGTTTTAGTCTTTCCTTTTACAGTTACGAGAGATGTTTGAATAAAAAATAATTTGACAGATATATCAGCGAAATTGTCATTGAGTTAGAGGGCTTAATTGTTGCGTAATCGAAGAAATATTTCAAAAATTGAAAGTAAAGCAGTAATCAGCAAAAAAGAGAAACATTGAGATTATTGGAAAGCAAAGAATCCTTTAAACTTTCTTTTATAATTTTTTTGAAAAGTAATTAAATAAAAACACGTTCCTAGAAGACGACAAATGAATTCTTCAAATGATCAAGTCCAACAGCTGGAAACGGTAACATCACAATCTTCCAATTATCTATCGTCCCGCTACTTTGATAATCCACTCACTGCCGTCACTTCAGCTATGCTTCATATATCGGGAAATCCACAATCACAGAACGATGAAGATACGAATAACAATAACAACAACAGCATAACAAACAACATCAATTTGAATGCACTTCAATCCAATATTACCCACCAAATTCATCAGGTCCACAATGGAAATGGCACAACATCATATGAATATTACAAAATTGCTGATAAAGATAGCTTACAATGGACAACAAGGTAGTAAAAAAAAGTTCATCGCTCATTCATTATAAAGTTTTATGCAAACAATTTTTCCAATTTTATTACATTCAAAAAAAAAGTTTTCGTAATCAGCGTTAAAATCAGCAACATGGAAGTTTAACGCAAGCTTCTGCATGTATATAAATTTCCTAGTTTTATCCTAAAAGCATAAAATATGTAAATTTATCTTTCTTTATGGTCAATAATGAGCAATTCAAAAAGAAGCTAGAAGAGAAATTACAATATCATTCGGTTAATAAACAAACCATAGTGCAGCCATTCATTTTTATGTGCCCATTACGAACTCTGATTGTTGCAAACATATATCTTATCTCTTTTTATTCCCCTCTCTTATTCTCACTTTTGAAAGCGCGATTGTTATCATTGAGATTATGAATAGATAGTTCAATAGAATGTTTCATGCGTAAATTTAGTGAACCGTGCATTTATTCAAATATCACTTTTCGCACCATTTATGATATGAAATGCGATGCAACACGTAGTTGTAGCCTTCTTAAGAGTTATTACCAACTTCATTCGAAATTGTTGTGAGCCCATATAAGTGTATTCGCATAAACCAAAAAGCTGATACGTAGTGGAAAATTCAGCGATATTTTTCACAGGTTTATTATCTCCACGCTTCGGCTCTTTCTCTTTCATAAGAACAATGATATTGTGAGCTTGAAGATGCATGGAAAGAACAATCTTTCTTAGCAATTGCACAGCATCGTGATGTAAGAATAAGAAAAGAACTAAAGAAAGAAAAAAAGAAAAAACGGTTTTCTGCTTGCTCGACTTCGAATCCAATCAATCTTTAACACGCTAAAGGCCCTTTCTCTCCTTTCTGTATGTTTAAAATTCAAAGTTAACAAACTCGGGTCGGAGTTGTGCACGGGGCAATATATTAAACTAAAGTGTTATAAATACTATCATTTTATGCAGCTATAATCTAATCGAGCTAACTAAAGATTTATGCAAGAAATGCCAAACATATTTTTTTTTTCATCGTTTTCGTTGGTTATTTCTTTTCTTTTTTTTTGAGAAAGCACAACCAGGAATTGAAAAAAAAAGTGTGGAAATAGTTGGTAAGTTTTAAAGTGATTTGTTCGCTTTTCGAGTCAATTTTCCTTTCCCAAACTTTTTTTTTGTTTCGTCCGAAATATTTCCTGAGGCTGTTTGAATTTTATGTTTCATGGAGAATATTTGTTACCACTTGATTTCGATAGCGGGATAGTTTATGATCAGTAATTTTCACAATTTCATAGAATATTATTATAGTTTACGGCACCGAAAATAATAGTGATAATAAAAGTTGTTGACTATGTATAAAGCTTTTAAGTTTTTTTTTTCTTTCGTAGATATCATTAAGGCATTTGTGAATAGAAATATCATTAAAAGAATCAATAAAAAGTTTTGATTTATTAGTGGATCGAGATCATTAGGAATTTCTTAATCTAAGGAACAGACATTTGAAATATTTGATGTTTGTTTCGAGACCTTATTTTACCAACAATCACTTTTCATCCACTTTCAAGTTTTGAATTAATTTTTCGTTGCCAATTAAGATAAAAACAATAAATCTTATAGTTCGATTAAAAGCAAAATTGGAACTTAAATACAATGTATAAAACTCAAATTGTTTTATCAGTTTCTCTTACACATCATATACTTTTATTCCCGACTGTTTTCAACTCCATGGTGAATGCAAACCGTAAGCAGAAAGTGTGTAAATAATTAAATAAAAATAAATCCAATGCGCATTTGTAGCAATTAACTGACTTTTGTTATCAAGATAAAAGCATAAGACAGCGAAAGAAAAAAAAGGAATGAAATTTAAGGAGTATGTTTGTATCATGATACATAAAAAGAACCAACAGATGAAATTGTTTCTTGTTCGTTTCTCTTACATTTTAATTTAAAGAGTTCTCTTTCTTTTAAATGTGTTACATAAAAAAGATAATTTATTGAAGATTAAATTGAAGATATTTTCTTACAAGAAAGAAATTGTTTAAGGTTCCGAGTCAACCCCTTCTCTGTATTCTTCTTTATTTGTGTTCTCTCAATTTTCCTTTTCTTAAGAAAGTCATATGAAAGCATTCTTCGATATGTGAGAAACTTTTAAAAGATTAATTTTGAAATACACACAACTAAGCGATAACGATTTAATGTGCTTTTCGTGTATGCCAAAGAAGAGAGAGAAAATTAATTTTTATGTTTCTATTTCATTGTTTGATTGATATATTGATTTGTCAAAAAAATGTCTTCAAAGCAACATGTATGAGATCTGAACGAACCAACGCTCGCTCGTTCATTCGCTATCTTTACTTTTCATCCCGTGCCGGCGTTCAATCACTCTCACCGACTGCGTACCGAGGATTCTCTTAAAATTCATTCATCAAAAAATGGCTTTTGACGATTTCATAATTAATGAAAAGTTAATTTATTCAAATGTTTGCCGTCTGATGTTTAGCGTTAGTTAGCCAGCTGGGCATGTTACAAAAACGAAAAAAATATGAAATGTCATGAAGAAATTCATGTGAGTGACTGATCGAATTGGAACACCAGTGGCTTAGAAGAAAAAGAGAAATGGAAGGAAATGTTAAGTTGACAGACGGTAGTCTTGTCTAATAAGATTCACGGAATACATTTCTCCAAATAGTTTTGAAACTTTGAAGGGTTTTCACCCATCACTCCTATTACAAATGCTTCAAAGCAAACTCCATCTGATTAGCAAAAAAATTAATTATGAAACCGAGAAAGTAAGGATAACTCGAGGCACTTTTCAAACAAAAAAAGTCTTAAAAATGAAAAGCGAAATTTAATCAAAAGAATCATGAATACGAGAAGAAAAGAAGAAGAAGAAAAACGCTATTTTTTTTCTTTCTTACAAGCAATAAATAATTTCAATAAAAAATAAGATTTATTTGCTTAAGCCGAAGGGTTGCTTTTCATAGGGTTAAATATTTTATGATCTCAAGAAATTAAATTTTGTCTCGAAACCTAAACAAAATCATAAAAAAAATTTAACATCGCGAAATCACTTTTATGACGCAATTTGCTCGAGTTTTGAAATGATATCAAAACCAAAGTATCACCTTAGGTGTTTCAAAACAATTTTAACATTTTGATATTTAAGAGCCTTTTATGTTTCCCTAACTTCTAGTTCCCACATATGGAGATTTCAGAGCTACATAAATATAAAAGAATAAATTTATTTGGCTTCGCTATCTCTTCCAGATATCTTTAATTCAATTAAAAGATGCTATTTTGTTGGTGTCTTTATGGAAAATATTTTTAAAAGTTATGTAAATCGATCCTCAGAATGATTTAATGATCATTCATTCACGCTTTACGAATTGATTTTGTGTTGCAATGCGACACACACAGCGGTAACGTCCAATGTTTAATCGATTTGAAGCGGATCGTCATAATTTGATAATTTATAAAGCGTGAGATCGAAATGAATGAAAAATAATTTTTTTTACTTCTGAAAGAAAAGGAATGAACAGAAATCGGTAGAAAGTGATTTTATTTCAACACCGATGCGACGAAGTATCTATTTCAAAGTAATTTAACATGACAAAGGAGAGACAGGGAATCTCGGGATGCGAGTAAAGAATAACCCAGGAATCACATTTCATTCAATGACATTTAATTCTTTCTTCCACCTTAAGTAGAAAATGTGTCTTATCAGAGCGTCGAGATGTAAAATATTTATCTTCAGAACAGCAATTATGTAAATCGCTTCTCTGTTTCTTTTCTTTCAACGAACATAAATTAAGAAGCCGCGCGCTGAGCGAGAAAAATTATTCAAATTTCATAAAAATTTATTTAAGAATGGAAATTGTGTCTTCTCGAGAAAAATAGAAAGAAATGCCACGATAAAGATCAAAAACTCATTGGCAATTGTGCGGTATTTAATAATTATTCGTCTTTTGTTTTTCGTCTAATATTTTTCCTATAAGGAGAATTGCGATGAGGTGAAGGAAAGGAATTGTTGTCATCATCTGCTATTAAAGAATTTGATTGACCATAAATATTGAAAAGAAGTTTTAATATCACAATGTGACGTCTTCGAATGCCTTTTTGAGTGATTTAAGAAAAGTGCAATTATCATAAATTTCCATAAAATCAGATAAGAGTGAAAAACGTTTTTAAGAAATTAGAATCGTTTTGATTTTTATTCATCAATTCAATGTTTATGTCGATGCATTCGAGCAAAAAATAAACAAATAACTCAGTCGAGTGCAGAAACGACGAACCTGTTTGACTGTTGAGAAGAAAAAGCAGTTTTGTGGCTTCCGGTTCTCAAATTCTTGTGTCATTTTCGTGTTTGGATATTTGGTTTAGTTTAGAGTGAAAAAGTGGATTATCGAATTTATGAGCATCAACAAGGTCGTTTTTATTGTAAAATTGTTATTTAAATGCGCTCCAGGCGTGTGCTTCAAGACTAAAAAAAAATCAAATGTAACCGTTTAGCTTGCAAATATAAAATTCGTTTTATAGAAACACACAAAAAATATTTGAAACATGAACTAAATTTCGTTTTATCGGCAGAATAAATGTTCTCTTCAAGTCAGAACAGCGCTAAATATTTTATCAAATTTCAACGCTGGAAGCTATGTTGAAATTGTTTCTTTGTTTTAACGTTCACAAAAACCATTTATCAATTGTTTCTTATCGATTCCCTTTTTTTTCTTTAAATTTCATGTTTATAAATATTTCCATTATTGAAAATAAGCAATTTCGTGAAACACAAAGAAATGGTTGATTTCATTTTTTTTCTTTCCATTCTTATTCTTTCACATTCAATAAACAACAGACGAATAATGGAAACAATGAGAAAATTGATTGATTTTAATTATAATTGTTTTACTTATTTTATAATTTACTTTTTCTTATTTTTGTTCTCAGTGTACCAACGAAGCTTAATGGACACGCCCAACTTGATGTACCAGGTCTCTCGCAGAATGAAATACAAGGCTTACTTCTCGGCTCACACCACCAATCACAACAAGCCATAAATGTCAAACGTGAGCCAGAAGATCTTCGTATCGATCCGAAGTGTCCGCGAAGTCAGAAAGTGAGTAAACGAAAACCAAGCGAAAGAAAAGAAAAATTCTCTTCTTATACTTATTCTCCGGAGAAGAATTTTTGTTTATTTAAGTTGTGCTTTAATTAAATATTCTTATAAGTGAACGAAGGGTGAGTGAGAGAGAAAAAGAGAACTGAGAGAACCACGCGCAAAGAGATATTCATTAATTATTATGCTAATTAGAGCCGTTATATTCATTGGATACATAGCATAAATATCTATTTATGCTTTTCTCCTTTGAAAATCAATTGAGATTTAAATTTATTATGACAGCACTTTTTCTCCTTCTTCATCAACATCATCGTGAGCTTTAAAAAAATTGAATTAATTAAAAATACTTTGTGATTTTTGAAAGTAAATTTCTATTCAATTGACGTTAGTCTCAAATGTTTTCTTAATAAAATCCGCATTTGAGAAAAGTCTCCGTTGTTGGTCAGATAGATAATAAAGTTTCTCTTGACAAATCCCGTCACTCTTGTAAGCAGCGCACTACTTTCTTCGATCATCTAATTCATGCTTCATCTCTGCTTCTTCAATTGAATGCAAATTTTCTGTTTTGAATGCTTATATTCATCCATAAACCTAACCAGATGTTTTTATTTATTCTTTGTTTTCTTGAATTAAAATAATCATCTTTCACACTGATTGTTTCCTTCCACTCTTTTTGAATTGTGACTGCTGTTTTGGTTTCTTGACTGCGAAAAGATCAAATAAAACATTCAACTGATTTGCCAATTCGTAACACGAGGCTGAATAAAGTAAATTGACATAATTCATACAACAATCGAAGATGAAATTATGTACACCATAAAGCACATCTTGAGAGCATTAAATGTTTATTTTTCAAATGAAAGGTGCAGAATAAAGGGATTCAATTCCCTGCAAAAATGAAAATAATATCAACCTGTAATTTAAGAGAATCAATGACAAGAAAAAAAGGGAGACTTAGCACTTGAAAGTCGTTCAATACTTTTGCAAGCATAGATACATAAATATTTCATTTATGCAAACTCAAATTTTATTTGCATCAAAACTTTCCTTTCTCGCCCTTTTACTATTCTGATGGAATTTTTCAGAAATCTTTTCCATTAACATAACACCCATTAATGAGACTCCGATGAACACATTTGAAATGAGCATTAAAAATGTTGTTTTGATTATGGAAACATTATAATTTGATATAACGTAAGGGAAAGAAAACGAGTTTTCTGGCAAATTTTTACGAGTTTCGGGGAAGGGAAATACTTTTATTTGCTACAAGCTTTGTTGTTTTTGAGCATTCAGACTGGGGGAATGTTTTTACATAATCAAATTACGGGTGCTAAACATGAAAAGAAAGAAAAGTCCTTGGAATAATTTTCGCGTAGAAACATAAGAGAAGTTCTCGGATATTTCTTGTTCTAAAAATGCGTCGTACAAACACAACCTTAGATGACAAAAAAAAAATTTGTCCCTTCACGATCACGTAGCAAGAACAAAAAAAAAAGATTGAGGAATAACAATAAGAAAAAGAATAAGAGCAAGAGTGTTTCATAATATTAAATAGTGTTATTGTTCATTTCATATATCGAAGGTATGAAGTTGAGTAAAAACATTTATTTATTATTATTTTATTTCTACCCGACTTTAGTCTTTTATTTTGTTACTTCTCTCGTTTGGTCTCGGCAAAGCCTGCCTGTTGTTGTTACACTCAAAACTCGCATGATAATAAAAAAATTGAATTATTTTTCTTAGTTCACTTCAAAGCGCTGACGAAGGCACATCGAACGCGTATGTGTCGAAGAAGTTTTTCTCGTTTAATGTTTTTTTTTACTCGATCGTGAAGAATTCTTTCATGGATTTATTAATGCATTGAAAAATATTTAAAATCGAATAAAGTTAAAAAAAATATAAATAAATAAAATCAATAAGTCGATTAAGAGTTTTGTGAGATAAAAACGAATTAAAGAAGAAGTGAAAAAAAAGCAAATAAAGATAGGAATTAATTGATCGCGGACAAGCTTAAAAAGAATTAAATTTAATGGGAAATTTACTATTTTTGTGATTTTCCTTTTTAAAAAACTATACTAAAAGAAAAATAATAAAAGGAGTGTAAGAAAAATAAAATCTTTGATGTGAGTAATTAAATCTCAATTGTAAATGTTGAGGCAAAAATTCAATTTAATAAAAAAAATTTAATAAATGCATTTCGTGATTGAAAATCGTAAATTTAATATTTTTTTTCAAACGACAAGCGACAGACTTGATGAAAGAATTAAGAAATATTATTATGCCTTAAAAGCATTTTCTTTTGTGGCTTTATTATTGGTTAACATGATATAAAGATATTGAAGAACAGTGAAAATTGAGTATTCGTGATAATAAAACCAATAATCTGAAGTGTCTTCTGAAGTGATGTATCGAATCAAAAAATAAAGAAAAAAATTAGTTGTGCATCTTACACTGTCAGTTAAAAGCAACTTTGTTTGGACAATAAGCGGTTGAAGCGTAGAATAAATGCTGGCGATGCTTAAATAACATAATTTAAATTCTACATCTAAAGTGCACAGCAGTAGTCAAGCATTTATGAATTCCAATCAAAATGCTAATCAATTGAAAGCCTCTTGGAGAGTTTAGTTCTTGTCCTTATTGTTTCCACTTCATATTACTTAATTAATTATAGATCGTAAAGGCGCCCAAGTGTTGCACCATTGCAAAATGAGAAGCGCAATATTAAGCCATTAAATAATAAATGTGTCGTGTGGATTATTTACATTTTTACATTTATAAAAATTGACTTTACAAAGTGTTGTTCTGTTCTGATGGGTGATTCCACTGTTTTAATATTGTGAAAACTCTTCTTCTAGCTACTGATTTGAAATGATGTGCTTTAATGAGTTGCAAATAATAATTAACAGAAGTTCCGAGTAAGATTTTCTATTTTTAATGATTGAAACCAGTCCAACGACACATTAAAAAGATGGAATACTCTCATGATGAGACACTTTCCTCAACCAACCCAGCATCATTATCAGACAGCATATCAGATTTTGAGTTACTAGCTAAAATATGAAGAAGCTGTTAAAAAATTAGTTATTCACATCGTTGGAATTTACGAGTTTATCCCAGTTTTACGAAAGATTTAATTGTTAAAGTCATAAATTATTCTTCATTTTATGTATCAATCAGACCTTGTAGATTACAAACGCACCACACTTTGAGATGAAGTTGATATAGTAATTAAATCTTTGATGTTTTTTCGAATTAAAGATATTTCAAATATCTAGCTATTCAACTAAAAGTAAAAAAAAAGATTCAATTTTATGCTATAAAATTAATTCAAATCATGAAATCAAGAGCAAAATAAGAAAATATTTTGACACAGCAAGAAAGAAAGAAAAAAATCATGAAAATTACATTAAAAAGTCTAAAATATCTCACGTTCATTGAATATGTATGATGACAGTTTTCAGTCACCATTTCAACATTTTTTCGCTCATTTCATTAATGTGTCCTTCGATTCGATACAAATAAAAACATTCGCTGTTGACTGATAAAAAAATCAGCAAGATGGCTAATAAGAAATGAAACAGGGGAGCTATCTACTTACTGTGCACATTAAATTGAAATTGGTCTGCAGTGGGATCACATAGCGCAGCAACCGCTATTTACATTAAGTCCAAACAGACCACAGAATGCATCATTAATTTAAAACAAAAATAAATAAATTATGGAAAATTGGAATCGCTAATTAATTTAATTCAATTTACTTCTCTCATTCTTTCTCTTATTATTATTATCGTTGCCACTCGTTGTGCGCAATGCGATGTGTCTTTATAATTTTTAATTTTGTGTTTTTCTACTCTTAACTCCTTGGGGGATTTTTTTTTCATTCATTCTCATCCTTGCCGCTCATTATTGTGGTCTTGTGCTGACTGACAAAATCATGGGAAAAACCATAGGTTTTAGTTGCACATTCTCCCGCATCATCATCATTACATATCAAGGAACAACCGCTAAGTCCTGGAAGTCCATCGGCTGAAAATATGTATTCAGGGGGCACACAAATATATTTACAGGTAATTTGATTCATAATTGAATTGTGAATCGTCAATTTGAACAACAGAAAAAGAAAAGTTAATAAATTGCCTCTAGTCACCTTATACAACTCACTTAAAGCTCATAAACTACGCCCCAAAACTTGAACTGTTCGAACACAAAACTGCTAACCATTCAAATCTTTTATCAAGAATGAAAATACAAAACAAAAAAGGTGAAAATATTATTTGCATGTTTTGGTCCTCTTAACTTCTTTAAAATTGGTACAGCAGTCCATTAAAGAAACATGAAATAAAATTTCTTTTTCTGATGCTTATTTAGCACGCACACATTATAAATGACGTAACCTGGTCATCTAAGCATTTAAGAGCTATTACTGACCTACGTATCAAATAATCTTGTTAAGTCATTATATCTTTATAATTTGTTTTTGAGATACTTTTAAGCTTTCGGCAAATTACTAATAATCACGAAGATTTTGGATGTCGGGCTACACCTTTCTTTCACATATCTAATAACTGTTTAGAAGGAAGCTTTTAACTTCTTTCTCCACATATACTTATCTAGTTAAGTAACTCCCAACATTTCAATTAAATGCCTAAACCGAACATTAAAAATTTCCATAATCAAAGTAGGGATCATAATATTTATTTGTTAATCGAATATTAGTGTTATAAGAATTGACCTCAAGCAAAAAAGAAGTTGACAATGTTTTCTTCATTAAAGAAAAATTCAATTATATCACACGATAAATGAATTTAAGTTTTAATGACAAAAGACGACTTGATAGCAAAGTTGACATTTGATTTTTTCGAAAGTGAGAAGCGAAAATTTGTTGTACAAGCACAGCACAAAATCTCAGTTTTCGATCTTCTTCTTTATCATGTAGATATGTGTACATATCTCTCTTAATATTTATGCTCATCACAAAGCTTTATTTAATCTTTTTATTTTATATGTTTTTCTTGTGTCTTCTCACATCAAAAAATTCCATTAGCGATGATAAACAAGATTAAGTCATTCCATTTATTGATTCTCATAAACAGATTAATATTTTATTCAGTTTCTCTTATTTTATAAGCTTTGATAGGAATGAATTTAATTTTGATGTCCTTTGATCATTTTCTTTTTCCGTCTAAACTTAAGTAAGAAAAAAGTAATAAAATTCAAAGAAACCAGATAAAACAGCAAAGTCTTATCATCCATTTAGCTTCTGAATTTTTTACGGTCGGAATTCTCTTAGTTGAAGGCCAAAACATAACCCATCAGATTAAAAACAATCCTTTTACTTACTTAACACTTAAACATAATATTACGCGAAAAATAACTTGAAACAAAAACTAAAAATTAATAATATCAAACCACCGAATCAAACGCAGGGTGCCCATCAAGCGAGTTCAGCATCTGGTACAGGTGGAAGCATAAACAACAACAACAACAATAATAATAACAACACGCCGAGTCCCGGTCATTATGATACACAGTATTACACCACAAGAATGCCGTAAGTAGTCAAACACTTCGAGGAACCAGTTGATAAATGTCAAGATGTGACAACTTAAACTGATTCCGTGATGAGAAAAAAACATAAACAGCAAATTCATGAATTTTTAGTTCGGGCGGTGGAGGTTCGACATTCATCACAGAGCCTTATGCATATCGAGAATATTTCGATTCGCAAGGCTACATTCCATCACGTACAACAATCTACAGTGATTCCGAAACACCCACGACTAGCTACGAGGGACGTTTCACAACAGCACATACGAAAGGCGGCTCAATCTACAAGACCGTTACGTCCGCTGCTGGTCTAACGGTGGACTTGCCTAGTCCCGATTCAGGGATTGGAGCTGATGCAATTACACCACGCGATCAAAACAACATTCAACAGGTAAATTATAACTTTCCTTTTCTCTTTACAAACTAAATCTTTTAACATCGGTCACGGGTGTAAATTTTGTTTTCTATTTTACTAATTTAATGTTTTTTTTTTCTCACTTTACATATCACTTCAATTTCATATTTTACCTCAAATCATATATAACTAAATTAATTAGCCTTTTGTATTTATCTTTTCATCTTTTTCTACTTCTTTCTGCCTCTCTCTCTCTCGCTCTCTTCCTCGTTGTGTTTTGCACAACTCGAATTACTTAAATAATCATACGTTGCAGCCATTAGAAGTGCATTCATTTGCATATTTACAGTCTTATTTACTAATAATTTCTAAATTATTAGTTTCAATAGTTGTCTCCTTTCTCGCTCACTCAATCTTCATTAAAAAAATCGCAAAACTTTTATAGAAAATGCCAACACATATAAAAAGAGTTCCCCCCTTCTTCCCATTACAATTCCAATTAATTATCTATTTTTTCCCCTTGACTTCCATTGAATAGTTTTTAAAAGTTATTTAACGACTTTTGACATCTCTGCGCAATTATTTTTAAAGTAACGCGTTTTGTTATGTGAAGAGAATTTTTTAGATAATCAATTTTATAGTCAATGGACGCAAAAAGAAATAATAAATTCTTTACATTTTCTTATCTTTCTTTTTCAACAGTCTTTCGATTACACTGAGCTTTGTCAGCCTATCGGATTAGACAACGGAGCTATCCCTGTTTCTGTGACAAGTATTCAACGTAGTAACGTCAGCGTTCATGGCGGTCAAAACAGTCCCACAACATCGATCAGCAGTAATCCAGCATCGACTCGATCATCACGACCGTGGCACGATTTTGGACGACAGAATGATGCTGACAAAATTCAAATACCAAAAATGTGAGTATTTATTGAAATTTCATGATTTATGGCAACACTTGTGTTGAATTCTTTTTTCTTATCTTAAAAAATCGCTAAAAAATCGCTTCTAGTCGCCAAGAGCTTATGGCAGCAAATTAACATTTGATTTGCAAGGCGATTAAAAAAATATACGACAACAAATAGAATCATAAATCATTTCTCGCATTTGGTGGCAATTCTGAACGATTTTGTCTCTGTTAGAATCGCCTTCTCCCCTTTACTTACATTTAACACGATTAACATTCAAAATATTTAGCATAAGGTGCAGATATTTATTAAAAATAGCGGAAAATGTAAATCAAAGTAAATTAATTAATAATTTTGTGTTCCAAAGAATGTGACGTAAGGTGAATTTTATTTATTCCGCAATTTATTTCTTTTTTAAGCGATCAACCTACGACAATGCATTTGAAATGTTCAGTGACTTCAGGTAGAAGTTACATTCAATAAATATTAAGATTTAACTAAGCAGCTACATATTTAAAATTGAGTGCTTAAAACAATTGTCAAGAAAATAAATTGCAGAAAAAAGAAACCAATTTATCATGAAGCAATTGCAACGTACAACACAAAAATAATTTTCATTCCATTGAAAAGCCTCTAACTAATAGAGTGATGGGTTTTTCTCCAAGCTACGGGAGATGAGATGATTGATGAGCTATCACAAGCTCATTTTCATTAATGAAAGATCTCTTCTCGTTTTCTTCTTCTTCTTCTACATGCTTTTACTGCCACAAGAAAAACAAGAGAAGTGCATCTAGTAAATCACCGAAAGGCACAAGTAAACAGCTCTTGCAATTATTTTCATTCATAAATTGTTACTCACAGTTGTTTCTTTCTTCCAATATCTTGTCCATTATGTTTCAAGGCTTATATGCAATTTAGATTTCCACTATTGCTCAAACTAACATCTGTTAACGGTTCCGGACTTGATGCACGGACACTCTTTATGGTGAAAACGCATTAGTCATTAACTTTAAAGGAACTCAAAGATTTCTTTTCTTTTTTCTTATAAATATATTTAATGTGTAGCAATCAAAATGACATTTGCTACCAGACGAAATGCCAATATTTTGCGTGTTCAATGTCAATTAAAATGTGTTATTAAGATCGTTGCGTTAAGTTCTGATATAGCCCCTCATTTTCTGTGCAAAAGTTACAAATTACTGAAATTAAAAAAACTCCCGCTGTGCATTGAAAGCGCCATTTGTTTTGCTTGAGTATTGTTTGTTTCATTAAGCTTTGCTTGCAAACAAATTTCCACATGTATTAGTGCACTTTGAAACATTAATCATCTTTTGATTACATTTTATGACCGGTGAAAATTACTTTCTGCTAAAGCAACATAAGTAAGGAAATAATTTAAAAGTTTTCGCTCCCTTTTCTTGGTCTCTTTGCAAGAACTAGTGCATTTTGTATGTTAATTGTAATTTAATAGTAGCACGTTGCTGATTACAGCCATTACTTTACTACTTTAAATTACATTCAAAATAATGATGCCTATGCGTGTAAAATGATAAAGATTACACCAAGTTGCTAAGAGATCACACGAACGATGACTTTTGGTGTTGGAGTAAGAATGAAGATCTATAATAATGGTTGTTATGATAATGCCAAAGCAATTTGATGTGGATACATACATGTTTAATCTAATCATAAAGAAGTGAAGTGCATCCGGTATGCAATCCAATTAAATGATAAAAAAAAATAATTCATTTAACGGTGGATTTTGATCGTTTTCATTAATATTTAATGCACCATTCACCTGATACATAAATTGACAATGTGTTTTGCATGTTTCATGCTGATGATTTTGTGTTCACATTCATTAGATCCACAATATGATTCAATTATGTCTCATCAAAGTCAATTTTTCTTATATTTCTGTTGGTTTTACAAAACGCTTGACAAAGGATTTCCTGGTAGGAATTCTTATTTTGGGTTGACAGTATCAGCATAAAATGCATTATTGTATAAATTATGCAATTGGCTTGTAAGTTGGTTTTGAATAAAATCAAATTATGCTTATGTTTGTCAAGTATATGAGTTCAAAAAATATTTCCTTACTATTTTAATGATCTTCGTTCGTTTATACTTGCAAAATGTTTTCTTTTCGTCCAACACATAAGTTTCAATTTTAATTGGAATCATAGATTTCATAAGCATACATGAAAGAATTGACACAAAGTTGTTTCCAATAAAATTATGATCTTTTCTTTCCTTCTTTCTCATGAAACATTCACGGATAAATAAATAAATAATCGTTTCGAAAATTTATTTGCTTCAAAATAAAATCGATTGGATTTTTCTTTTATATGCATTTGAAGTCAATGAAATCGATTGCAAATTGAGGTATCGCAAAATGCACTTTACATCGTGGATCGAAGTGATATGAGTTTTTCCCTTCTTTCATTTTTACACAACATCAAAAGAACATTTATTGTCAAACGATGAAGAAGAATATTTTTATTTAAGTATGCAAGATTTTCAGGCAATATTTTATGACGCGTATCGCAACAATCTCTTCCATCATAAAAACACATTAAAATTCTCGGTTTCGCAGTTTTATCATAAATTCATTGTCTGTTTCGCGATCACAAATTTACATCATTGACAGTATTTATCATTTTTGCATCAAAAAATATATTTACGTATGTGAACACACCACTCACAAGATGAATAAAGGCTGGAGAAAGAATAATTGCATTCGCATTATTTTACATATCAACGTAAAGCTATTTATTCCCCACATGTCTGATCTTGTAATTTGATTTTTAATCATTTTCTTGCAATCAATGTCTTTACCTACATGAGCGCTTGACATCCTTGTTAAGAATCAAACTTTTATTTTGCTATTTCCTCGAAGAACTTTGAACATTAATTTTATATTTAAATAAATGTTTACAAGTGTAAATCATTGTCAAAGCCTTGGTCATGGTTATTTACGCTGTTTGCAGAAGTTCATTACTTATTTATAAAGCATGTTCAACAAGCTGATAGTTTCATGTTGATCAGCTTATAAAAGAAAATAAGAATAAGTCACAAGAATTTTTCCTTTGATAAATGTAAGCAACAATTTAACAATTTAAATAAATATTTCTTCATAAATAAATTGACATCTTTAAAAAGCGATTGGAAGAATTTATTGAACAATCTTCGTCTCTTTGACTGTTAGCAATTTGTGATCCATTGTAAGAAGGAAAAAATAATGACCACGATTGCTGAGAAATTGTAAACAATTCTTTGCTGACTCTTCGATTGAATGAATTTTTTTCGAACTTGGAAAATATTTTACTCACAAAATAATGATTTCCATTTTCTATTTTCACAGATTCTCAAACGTAGGTTTCAAGTATCATTTAGAGTCACCTATAAGTTCATCACAGAGACGCGAAGATGACAGAATAACATACATTAACAAGGGACAGTTTTACGGCATCACATTAGAATATATTCACGATCCTGACAAGCCATTGAAGAATCAAACAGTAAAGGTAAGAAAAGTTTTCATTTAAATTTATGAAATCTTAAAAAAAATTCATGGAAAGAATCAAAGAAAGTGATAAAGAAACTTCTCATTCCAATTCATTAACTCAGTCAAAACAAAATGAGAAACGCACTGTCGACAACGCACAAAAAACAAACTTCTTGAGAGAAACAGTTGAGTTCTTTCCCAAACTGATAAGCATCTTTAGAAAAATTCTCTTGATCGTCATGTTGTTATGATGTTACATGGCATTGTTGAAAGCCGTCGACGTTGTCGTCAGAGATACAATTAAAAATGTAAAAAAAAGTTTAAACTTTGAAGCGCAATCCCTTTTTAGTAACGACGAAAGGGTTCCCATCCTTTTTTCTATCCTTTTCTACACTTTTTATGATTAAAAGTGAAATTAAATAAAAAAATATCTCGCCCCTTTTAGATATTTGAATCTTGGAAGAAGTTGAAGAAGTAAGAAAATCAACACAATGAAAGAAAAAAGATTTTTCTTATAATTATTAATGACTCGAGCTGTTGTTTAGTTGAAACTTTTCTCCTATCCCTCGAAAAATTCCAATTCTTCGTTACTTTTACTCTCAAGTCGGTATCGAAACGAGTGACTTTTTGTGAGAAAGGTGTCAGAGCAGGAGATTTTCATGCATTTATAATTTTAATAAGTTTTATGACTTGCATAAGAATGTTCTTTGCATATGGAATTTAAAGAAATTCTTAAGTAATCATGCGATGGAAATCTGAGTCAACAGACAAAAGGAATTTTTAATTGCACAACGGCTTCAATTTCCATCATGACAATAAAACATTCCAAAATCCAAGCTAATTTATTACATGAAACTATTGCAATAAATTTTCATGGTCTTGACTTTATCGCACTATTTATGATTCGTTTATATCGGTTGTATGTGACAAAATGTCAGTCAGACAGTAAAGGTAGTAAGAATGAGAAATCTTAATTGAATTAGACAATCGAAGGTTTATTTCTTTGTAAATTAATTATCTCGGTGCAAGCTGAAAAGCCTAAAATTGGTGAAATCATGAAATATTGTTGTTTTCAAACAACAACGTGCTATTAGAAGCGATTGGCACACCTTAGAAATAATACAAGTTGAAAGCGCGGCCCACCATCAGCGACAAAGAATTGTTATTTATTATCTTACAACTTTTATTCTTTTCAAATTGAATTCTTAATTTGCATAATTTTGAAAAATGTTTCCACGAAGTTTAAATTTTCACTCGATCATTTAAGACAATTCATTTCGTTTCGCTCAATCAACTTATGTTACTTCAAATCTTATGTTTCTTCCGGTTGATGATTGATAATTAAAATAATTGTTACTGTTGTTACCGCTCATGCGCTTTTCCCCCATCCCAAAAATTACAAAAAATATGCTAAAGAAAATGTTTTTAATTCAAATCCGATATCATCTTCCATGATCATGTGTCGGTATTTGGGGTGAATTAATTTATTTCTTTCAATCGAGAGTTGACACTTGTTAAAAATTTCTTCCGATTTTAAATTGCTTTTCATCCCATCAGACAATCCTTTTCTCGTGAGACAATTTGCATATAACGAATCTTTCATTCCAGATGCTATAAAACAAACAGTCAATGTTGCTTCCTTCTCCTTATCTTCCCGAGGGCTTAAAAATATCATCGAATAATTCTCGTAAGCGAGAGTACAAAAAAATTATGAATTTTCATTATCTCCTTCTTACATCTCGACTTCTTTTCGATACACTGAAGATGCTACCATCATTACAATCTTTTTTGCTTCGCTCTCAAAGATATGATTTGATGCGGAAAGATCAGATTCCAGGAGCTTAGGACAAAAAAAATCATGAATAATTACACAATTTGAGGTGCTGTCGCTCCTGTTTTCATTTATTCTGCTTCTGTTATTCAAATTTCACTTCTTCTTTGAGTGATGAATTGAAATTTGAAATCAAAACTCATATTAATTTTTTTGTTGGTGCTACTCGAAGATTTATTTGTTTAGGAGTAGATTGAGCGAGGAGAATTTCCTGAAGCTCTCATGAGTGATGAATTGATGATGCACAACAAATAATATTATAAAAAAGCGTTGATTCATTGTGACGCGATGTTCACGTTCATTGAACGAAGTTCTAGGTTGTCTAAGATGTTTCTTTTAGTTCATAAAAAGGTGAACGCGACATTTCATTGGACTTAATCCTTATTTCTGGTATTTACTACTCGACTGTTTATCGAATACAGATCAAGGTTTTTTCACTATTTCTACGTAATAGTCTTAAGTTCTTTTAGAAATCTTAATTGAGTCTTAATGCTTCCTATTCGTTTTTGACATTTTGTGTGTCTATCTAACTAAGATTATTTTTATTTGCTGCCTATTTAGAGAGGAAAAGAATTCTCTCGTGATTCTAAGCTTTGTCTACAATACAAACAACCGACCTACATTCACTCAATATATTTTAGGAGTCTTATTTCTTCATGGCTAAGCAGCATTTATTTGCTTTTAATCCCTTTTTTCTTCTTTTAGTTCATTCCATTCAATTGTTTTCAATTTCTCGTATGGAAATGCGCTGTCTGTCAGAAGCTATTTAAGTCAATCAATGAGCTGATTTGATGGAATCAAAGAGTGAATAGTTGAAGGAATAAAATCAATTAGGCCATGTTTATTGTTTATTCATATTTCTTTGAAATCAGTTCACCGTTCATGACATCATTATTTCGAAGTCTGGAATTTTTTTCTCCTTCTACTTACTTAGTTACATTTTCTTGTAGTTGTTGCATACTATCTATATAAATATAGATATCTACATGATTTTTGTACATAAATAAATACTTTATTCAACCAGCATCATATTTGGCCTAATTGGATCGATTCACTTTAAAAGTTTTTAAGAGAAAAGATCGTCTTATTCACGAGGGACGTTTCTGTTATTTTAATTACAACTTAAATTGACGCTATCGTTTTGTGATTCATTTCTTTTATGTTTCATTTTTCAACGAGAAGAGGTGGAAAGTTTTCAACAGTTAGTTGAAAACTTAGGCAAGTGAGTTTCTCCTCAAACGCCTTAAACGTTGTCGTCATTTTAACTTATATTTATAAGCCCTGGAGACACTTTCAGAAGCGACATGTCTTCAATCATTCAAAATGTCTTTTAATCACCTTCAACCAATCTTCTATGTGATAAAAGCAAGCATATGGACGATAAATGAAGGCATTATATATAAAATGTGAATAAAAAAAAGCGTTAAGAGTATAAAAGCTGATAAAATCGAGGAGATTTCTTTTTTTTCCTTCTAAATATCAAGCATGGATGGAACGCATGAAACAGTTTTAAAACTAAACACCTACATTAAACGAACGAAGGCTTATTTTGAATTTTTAATTAATGGTTACAATTCTTTTCCTTTCCTTTTTGCTCTTGATGCTTGTCTGATAGAAATGCTACACATTTCTCTTCATTAAAGAAGAATTTCTTAAAAATGTATCTTGGAATGAAAACGCTGCGTGAGTCAAGAACAGAGAAAATGCTTTATTGAAGCTCTCTTCGTTTGTGACATTGCTTCTGATGAACTTAAGCGATAGATGTTGTTGTAATACTTAGGATGATGTTAATTTAACTAAAGGTTAAAAGTGTTTTAATGGTTTTCAACATCACGCGAATAATAATAAAACTGAATGAAGTCGTCACCGATCAGTAATCGCGAGATTTTAACTGACTCGCCTCGAGCATCTTTGTCGTCGATTTATTTTTAAAATTTGTTTTTATTTCTTTTTTCTGTCCTTTTTAAGCAAATAAATATAAATGCCATGCAACAAGGCCTCTCATACTCATAATAAGTGGTTCAAAGAAAAATTAAATTGAGATAATTATGACATCGTTTATCAACTTTCCTTTTGACAGTTACGCTAATGTAATTTTCCATGAAAAAATGCTTGAAGTTAATAAAATATCATGCAAGATTGAGATTTTAATTTCAACACTAACAATAATTTTTTTAAACGAAAAATTCTGTTTATTTTTATTTTCTTGTTTCTTTTTTGCAGAGCGTCATCATGCTCATGTTTCGTGAAGAGAAAAGCCCCGAGGACGAGATAAAAGCATGGCAATTTTGGCACTCACGACAACATTCGGTGAAGCAACGAATTTTGGATGCCGGTAAGTGAAACTGATGAAATTTTTAAAAGCATTTTGTTTGGGGCTGATTTACGAGATCGCAAACAATGAAATACTGATGATCATCAACAGAAAATATGGAATATTTTTATTTTTATTTTACGTCTTTCCTTTTTACTTAATTTTCATGTTATGTTGTAAGCATTGATTAAAGTTGATGACGATTTTGTTTTAACTTTAAATAAAGCGTGCTTACAATGTCTCTAGAATTTTAAATCAAATGCAATTATCTTACATTGTTGAAGTGAAGCACTTATTAAATAAATTAAACTTGTAATATTCCTCCGAGTAATTTAATTAAAGTATGACTTAAATGTATTCCACTATAAACATCTAAACAACTCATAATTGTCTTTACTATACAAATAAAATAATTAAAAGAACTCCGAAATAAATAACTTCTAACTTCATCTCTCAGTATGCTCAGAACGCAGTAACAGGGTTAAATGGTGATTCGAAGTAGTTTGCTGTGGTGAAGTGATGAGAAACCAAAGGAATTAAAAATTAAAATGTTTTCACGAGAAAATTGCCAATTGCGAACATTACTTGTTATTGTTGCATTGCACTTGTACTTGCTCTTTCTCTCGATAAGGTCAATTAACTTAACAATCAATTAACAAATAAGTTTTACAATCTGGTTGGAAGTCTCAAGCAACACAAACTCGCTGAATGGGAATGGTGCATTAAAAATGCTCGCGCGATTTTCCATTAATGCAATGTTTATGGCCACATTTTCTACTACTGTACTTTAACGCTGTTAAAAGAGACAAAAACAATTTTAATTATCGAAGATGTCTTGCTACGAACGAATGCAATTCCAATGACCATTTTTGAAGAAATAAATATATTTCTTTTATGTTTCAGATGCATTTTTTTCACGAATATTTTATCGTCATTGAAATCTATTGATTTTCTTTTCTCGCAATTAAAGTTTGATGAGCTCTGTTTTTTTTTTACGCAGCTCCGTTAGTACTGAGAAATCGAGAACTATATTAAAGAAAGACGAAATAATTAATGTAAAAGACAGAGAAAAAGAGAAAGGGCATCAGCATAATATTCTATATGAACATAAATCTTCGTTTCTTAATGTTCTCTTGATGCTAGGTAGGTATGAGTTTACGTTACGTACGTTGCTAGCATACGTCATTCATCATTCGAAACGTAAGACATTTTTGACGTTTCATTTGTTTTGTATCTATTGTGAATGGATTTTATTTAAGTGAGAGAAAATAATTCCGTTAGCAAAATTTCTTTATAATAAATATAATGACATGAATCGATGCGATGCGATGTCAAGTTTATGATACATTGCAAAAAATTACCTCCAACAACCCATCTTGGAAAAATGATGTTAAAATTAACATTTTCATAATAATAAAGAATGAATATTCGCATCCATTGTCCATCTTCTTGTTATGTGTCGTTGATTCCATATCATAATTGAGCATTATTTACAATCGTTCGATCGATCGATCGAAGACTCCAAGAGAGAAGATGAGATTCTTATCAGAATCAAAAGCCGTTGTACTTTCCATGATGTTCGTGTAGAATAAGCATTATAATTCACTTATTAATAACTTTTTGTGAAGACAGAAGAAAACTTGTCTTTCTGTGTGAGACGTAAGGAATTTTTCTCATGTCCACATCGTTGGCAAATGTTAAAATTTAATTTAACAACATGATCAACTCACTTGCGACTTATAATCTTTCACTCGATGCTCTTTTCTACCGAGAACATAGCTATGTACGCAAACTTTTTTTTTAACACAATATCTTCAACATAATGAAACAGAATGCAAAACCGATTGGCAATTATACATGAAAAGAAAACCTATTTAAGCCATTAAGCTTTCTCATGCTCATGAGCATTTTTACAAACGACTACATCGTTTTTCTTTCTTTTTCTCTGTTGCTTTTAGATAACAATTAATTGATAATGATCATTTTTTCTCCTTTGCTACATGACTCGGTGTGATTTCCATGTTTCTTGATCGGCGAACAAACGCAATAATGTAGTTTTCAAAAAAAGACACATAAATGTTGTGCTTAACTCCAGGAAATGTTTCCGTAAGCAAATGTTCATGTCCTACGGCAAAATAAATTTAATTAATTAAGTTTGTTCTAACATAACAACCATAATTTTTTTCATGCTTTCAATGTTTGAATCGGAATGAAATTTTTCTGTTCGTTTTCGTCACCAAAAGCGTCTCACTGAGACGAACAAGTTGCTTACGGATGGAAACAAGTTTAAGACCTCAATAAGCGCCACTTAATGAGTCTTTCATCGTTGCATGGTGCAGTGTTTTGATAAAATCCAGTTCCAATATTTTAAATAATGATTTGTTTTTGATTTTTGATCAGACACTGTGATCACCATTCACGTTTTTAATTAATTTCTTTTTTCGTTTCGGGCGAAAATGTCATTTCGCGCTTCATTAACCACGATGATAAGTTCAATAAACAATTTACAACTTCCTGTTGACAAACATAAAATTAACACTTCCGATTTTTCTTTTTCTTTCTCCCACAGACACGAAGAATTCTGTTGGATTAGTTGGACTTATAGAGGAAGTATCGCACAATGCTATTGCTGTTTATTGGAATCCATTAGAGAGCTCCGCTAAGGTAAGTTAAGAAAATATCTATGCAACCATCATCAAACACAAAAGACATCTGTTATCATAACTTGTTCAATTATTCACATCTTAAAACCAGCAAGTAAAAGAGAAAGAAGAAAAATAAATTTATTTCGTAATTTTGACAAATTTGCATAAAACTTGCTGAAAAGCGAGACACGAAAGATTCAAACATTACAAATCGACATTAATTTATTGTTAAAAATGAGTTCGCCAGTGGATAATTGCAGCGTCAGGAAAATTCAATTTACGTCTAGCGAAACATTGAAAAAGTGGATAAGAGAAACATATTTACATATGTTAGGAAATTTATTGCTCATGACAAGGCGACAAGACATGGAGAAATAATGTAGAATACTTGCATATGTCAATGAATTGAATTTGGAAAAGCCGTAGAACAAATCGCAGTGCAATTAATCATATTTATCTTTTGAGACTTTATTCTATCCACAATTATATTTTCCATTATATTTCCTTTATTTATATTTACGACTTCGACAATATCGTTCTATGAAAAGTTTATTGAAATCAAACTTTTTTGATATCAAAAATATGAAATCGCAAAAGAATTTAGAAATAGAAAAACATGAGAATCAATAAAAACTTGAGAATAATCTAGCTCAAAGCAATAAACATTCATGATTGTTAGGTGGAGCTCTGATATTATTACGCGTCAATAAAATTTCAATGCTTTTTAAAAGATTAAATATTTAGACCTTAATATATTAGATTTTTTTTTTACTGATTTACCTTTTTAATTCTCGAGAACTCTCGAATAACAAATTTATCAGATAACTATCCTTTGTTTCTTCACAAACATCTATTAGCTTCACAATATTTACTGAGTCATTAATATCATATCGCGATCTTAGCCACCAGAAGTGCTAAACTATCACTTTACCTCTCAAGACTCCAAATTAAGTACATATTGCTCTATGTATGTTAGCTCCGTTACATGTCTAAAGCCACCTGATCTTTATCACTTCTAACATTTTATTTTCGAATAAATATTGAAGGCTCAATAAATATTCATTTTAATGAGCTTCAAAGACTTATAAGCATGTGTAGTTAAATTCAACCCGCCCCGCTTGTAATGTTTTTAATGTTAATCGATTGACTCAAAATATGAAAAATTACATTTCATTAGATTACTCAACTTCTCTTTATTTTCTGTCACTGTAAATCGATTTAAAGTAGATGTAATTATTTACTCCATGCTTTAAACTAAATTAAATAAGATGTTGATAAAAGCATAGAAAAAAGTTTCTTTTTTTATCGAATGTAAACACATATCAATTCAAATTTCTGTCGATAATCAGTAGGAGTCTTTCTTCTGTCGCTGTTTAAATTATTATCTGAATAATTTATGAAATAGCTCAGCTCGAATTTTATGTATTTCGTTTTTTGTGTCATAGTCATTCATATTCGAAGGTCAGAGGAAATGAAAATTATTTAAAACCGTTTAAATATATTGATTTTGTTCTGTCGAAATCAGATTATCTACATATAGGTAGATATTTATAATATTCGACAAGAGCTTATGTAACCCACGAGTAGATGTTTGCACACACGCACTCCAAAAGCATGACAGAATAACGCGTAAAATTAAAGAAGACAATCAGAAAAAGTTTCGATATAATTCATTTTGCTATGCTGCTGCTGTTGCTGTCTTGCTGATGCTGCTGCTGTTGTAAACATAAATAAATAAAACATCTTCTGTAAAGTCAATTTATAATTCATTGACATTCAACTTTTCCACCATTTCGCTAAATTACATGACATTTTATCTTTGTTTCGTGTTGGCTGGTGTTTCTTTTATTTCTCTGTTTTCTTCAGTTTGCCAACTACAAACACCGACAGCATATCTAGAACAAGACGCAAATATTAATTTGTATAGATGCAAGTGTCGTTCTCTCGCTATCTGTGATATCGCTATCATGCAATATCAATGGTAATAAATTGTGATTCTCGGCTTTTAAATGCGATAAAAAAGATATTTTTTTTTCAATTTTTCATTTCTTTTAGTTGCTTTAGCATGTTAATCTTCGTTTCGCTATAATTTATTAATTGCCTATACTAAATAAAAAGCGTTTCCTTTTAACTCTCCACTTTAATCGCTCCCCCATTTTATTATATATTTTTTATACTTTTCTTAAAGCATGAAAAGGTTCTCCTTTTCCCCCAAAACATAATGCATAACTGCCCGAAGCTGTCCGAGTACAAAATAAATAATGGAAATAATACTTCATTAAATGACAGATTATTAATTAAGTTGTTTGTTTGTTTTTCTTAGCGTGGCGCGGCATTCTTTCACGTGCCTTTGAGATAAATCTTAGAAAGACTTTGGATAAAGATATAAAATATTGAAATGAAAATTTATAATAAGATTGTTGTTGACTTCGTGCTTTAGACAATGAAAGATTTATTTCGGTCATTGGGTTGCGAGAGTTGTTTTTGTTTTTCTTTTTTTATTCTCTTTGATGGCATAGAATCGCGCACGTCAAACATATTTTTCAAATTGAAACATACTTTCATAACATGCATATGCTTTTAGGCTTTTGCGATACATGAACGAACTCGTTTGATGTCGGTTTACGATGAAAATAGAAATGAAATCGTAAATGAAACGTTTAATAGAAGAATGATCCAAATTTAATCATTTGATCATGAAAGCGGCTTTTGTTAAAGGAATAATGCGAACTTAATTTTATTTATGACGCATGTGGAATTGAAAGCCTGAACTTTGGTTTCTTTGGATAAGTTAATAAATTGAATTTAGTAACAGTAGCTGTTATAATGCTGACGAACAAAGGCGTAAAACAAAGTTAAAATGCTTCCAAATCGTGAGGCTGACGCATTTCTTCAAGCAGCCTTTCATCGCTTGAAAGAGATCAAAGCTAATCGCCATGACTAAGCAATAATCCTTTTGTATGTGAAATGAGAAATTTCACTTATCTCTACATATATTAAGTGATCGTTTTTATAGGTAAATTGAATATTTATTACAACTAATAATTATCATTACGATGAATACATAAACATCCACCTTTATGAACTTCAAAGACGGTGAACAAGTTGTTGTGCTATAAAAACTTATGAAAAATTCATTTTTGCGAACTATAAGATATCTCGATTTACGAGAAGACATCAAAAAGATTAAACTTCTTGATTAGGAATAGAAAAATGCTGCGTGTACAAAACTTCAAATCAAATCGTAATAAAAATAATATTTTTACATTATCCAAATGTCAAGAGCAATAAATTTTTAATTGCTTCTCCAAGTCACAAGTTTCTCTGTTTATAATTTTCTGATTTCGATAAATGATCGCAAATCGTAATATGAAGTTGATTTTGCGACAAGGAATGCAGATTGCGCATTAATTAGTGACACGAAAAATTATTGTTGGTAATAATTGTTGTCGTTTCCTCTGATTGCTATAATATGATCAGAAAATGTGAAAGAACTGTGAGAGTCATAGAAGAAATTTTATATATTTCTTATGCTAATTATGTTAATTAAGAACATAATAAAGTTTAGTGACAGAAAAAAAAGTCGAGATGATATTTTATAATAATCAAGCAAGAGTAAGTTCAATTTAATATAAAATCTTACGATAATTGAGATCAAATGAAAGTCTCGCATGTTTAATAAGATATTGCGTTAAGCTTTTGTCAATTAAAATTGCAATAAATTTTCCAAGCATCCGAAAAAAAATATCCATAAATATAAAAAGCTTGAACTGTTGACTTTCAAGCTGTAATTCTTGTTTGAGTTCACACTCGCACTTGACGCATTGACTTATGATTCATTCACATTGTGGGAACAAGACATTTCCCCATAATTATCTTCATCCAAGCTGTGAAAGAAATGAATCGACACGAAAAACAAGTTTGCGAGATGGGCGCGAGAAACGCAAGTGAAATACGGAAGAAACAGGTTGCGAATCAAATCTTCCATGCAAAACAAAATCTTGAAATTTAATTATATAGCACATGTCGATGTTCATTGACTCGAGAATCGAATAAAAAAAGTAAATATTGGAAAATTGTTGAATCAACAACGAATCGTGACTTCTGATCATGCGCGCGAAGATCATATCGTACTACCTGGAGACGGTTCTTCAATAAATGAATACCTGTAGACGATTTTTGAATTCCGCCAAAAACAAGAAGCTAAGACGATTACTTATTATGATTCCATTGATACCGTTTCTCTATATTTTATTGAGCTAAGTATTTATGTTTCATCTCAGTCTCACCACTTTAAAACTTTTGTTTTTCCTTCAACGATGTTCTTCGTCTGCTTTTTTTAATGAAAATAATTTATGACTTCTTTATCTTCAAGCATGCGCCTTTTGCTTGGATTAGCTGTAAAGTAATAAATCCGCAGCCCGATTTAATTCCCTGTTTTTTGTGTGAGATGTCTTGTTGGTGTATCTTACGTTGATTATTTATTATTTTATTTTTTATTCCTTTCTCCTGATCGCTTATGTTATTCATTTCTTTACTTTTCATTCACTCTGATTTTAATATTATTTTTTTATTTTTTTGTTTCAATCTCTTTATTTCCAGATAAATGTTGCCGTTCAATGTTTAAGTACTGATTTTAGCAGTCAGAAAGGTGTTAAGGTAATTTTTTGTTGCTTATTTTTATTACTTTTTTGTTATTTATTTTGTGTTTGGGCGCACAAAATTTATTGTTTCATTTCGCTGTGTCACGGCGGCGTTTCATAGGGATGGGAAGTTTTCATAAATGTCGTCAATATTGTTTCATATAGCGATAGCTATTTAATATAATTTATTGACATGTAAGTATCTGACACGTCAAATATTTGAATGATTTCCTTATGACGATGACAAGAGAAAAAAGAAGGTTGTCAAAACCGTGACTACCATCTGGTAAGTCGTCATTTGTGTGTTGTGAGCATTCCTAAACAATGCCACTCTATTTATTTCATTTCATTATGTTTAACTATGTTTATATAAATGATAATAAGATGAAAAACGAAGCAAGTCATTAATATCTCACTTGCAAAGAGATAAAATGAATGAATTTCAATAATAAAGTAAAAAAAATGTATTAAAGAAGAAAGATGTAAGACGACGACAAAGTCAAGAAAAAAAGAGAGAAAAGTACAATGGATTGAAAGAAAACATGATTGAGTGGTACATTATATGGCTGTCATTAATTTTCTGGATCCATAAATTACATGATTAAAAGAACGCAGCGCGTTAGTTGTTGACTCAAATGGAAATGATAGAGAGAGAGAGAGAGAGAGAGATCTTGATGCTTTCAAAAATTCTTTTATTGCTTTTAGCTCAACATTTTGAATTTGATACGATTGCGAATCTAGAACTGCATTTCATTCAATTATGGAAGATCTCTATGAATTAAATCAAAGTTATTTCCATTAATTAATAGATATCAATTAAAAAGTATTTAAGTTATCATCTTTGTCAAGCAATGCTATGATGAGAGCTGCTTACCGATAATTTCCGTTAAGGGAAATTGTCTTTGATCATAAATGGTTGAAATTATTGGAAATTATCCATTGTTGATATTCGAAGAAACAGTTTCTTATTGTTACGGTAAAAATTAGCAATGACTTTTGTCGTTTTCAGTCATGGACATGGAATGTCGACAATGTTAAGATTCTTTTTTCTTTATTTTGATCATTAAATCAAGGATTGGTATTGCAATAAATTTTCATCTAATGACATGTAACATGATAAAACTTCCAATCATTCTTTCTCAAAACTATTCACATGAAAAATTCCTAAAAATTGTTTTTCTTTACTTTCTGGTTAAGTAACTTAACATATCACATATTTTAAAAAGAAATATGCAAACAGTTTATTAAATAAAACTGATAATGTGAATGTTAATTTAAGTAATCATTTGCCAAGAACTCTACAATTGATTGTCAGAAACAACAACAAAAATCTCTTTCTTTTCCATGGCTATAATTTTTAGTCATGTAATACAAATTCATCTAAATTATTGCTTTCGAAGAAGCTCGTAATTACTGTTTACAATAACAATACACATCAACAATGAATGTTTTTCGCATTTTCCTTTTCTTCCTTTAATAAACAAAATTGAATGTTGTTCAGTTAAAACTATTAGCATGTGACATGGAGACAACGAGAATGAGAAATGATCCGAGAAAAGACTGCTGGGCTTGATGCTGTCTGTACATCGCCTATGGTAGCAAAGAATGAAAGAAGAAGAAATCGTCGTCTTAAGGTGGATGCGATTACACGCCATACACGAGCGTGTATCATAAAGAAACGAATGAGAATAATTGAAACAAAGAAGCAAATTTGTCCTCGCCATTTGAGATTTTCATTCTCCTCCGTAATAAGATCCCGGCATCTGCATATCAAAATACTTAATGCTATATGCTTAGTTCATTTAAGCATCGGTCAAAGCCATATTCTTGTAAGCCTTGTTATTACTTACAGAGTATTTTGACTTTAAGGCTAAAGCCCCGGTCACGCCGCATGCAATAAGAATTATTTTTATACTATTTTCGCACGAAATGGATCATTTTCTTCACTTTTTTTCATTAATTCCATGACTAATAAATGTTATATCAACCAAGCTACAAATTAAAAGGGAGTCGTAAACTACATCATAATATTTAATTCCATGCTTTCGTTCTCTCACATACAAGGATTTAATCGCCTTGAAGAATCATTTGAGATACTTACTTACTTACTTCACCTTTAGTTTAGAGACGGAAATTATGTGGGTGTTGCATTTTTAATGTTCTTCATTTAATCACTTCAACCCTATGTACGAAGATATGTTGCACTTGTTTGGTGTCGCTTCGCTTCCAATCGTCAATTAACTTTTTTCTCTTTCATCTCTCTTGTATTTATTCTCATCTTATCTGAAGAACAGTCGATTGCGGAATGTAAATTGTGAGGTAGATGACAAGACTTGAGACATGTGTTTAAAATGAAGAAACAGGATGACGAGAGATAGAGAAAGAGATATTTATAATATTCGGGAACAAACGAACGAAGGAACGAGCGACATTCGACAAACAATCTGTTATTTCCTTGTGTCAATGAGAAAGCGACAAATATAAAAACGTTTCGCGAAAGATTGAAAGAAAGACATAAATGTATGTTCGGTAGATGTATGTATTTGGAATTCTCGACTAGCATCGACCAATTTATTTATCATCTACCTGTCATTCACTAAATGATAAATCCTTATGTTGAGACGATTTTTAATTCATTTTATTCTTTTCATTCTCTCCCTCCCGCATCTCGCTTCATGTTGTCCGCATCAATGAGATTCAAGAGAAATAAAAAATTAAATTATTAAAGTTCCTTCACGATAAAGTCCGAATGAAGATGAAGAAGAAGAATAAAAAATATTGATTGTAGTTTATAGACAGGTGTTCGACTTGAAAAATAATAAATGTAACTTCAGCCAACTGTTTTTAAAAGCACATTCACATGGCAGATTTTTCTCTTTTACATCACGTACATAAATTTTTTCACTGTGTTTATGTTACGCATTTACTTTTCCAGAAACAATCCAAATCGTTTTTTATGCCATTCAGAGACGACTTTAAAGCAGCATCGCTTTGAGACTAAATAGAACATCATTTTATAAGTTAAAATAAATATTTACACTTTTTTTACAACTCACAATTTCCATTTGCATTTTACATTTTCATTTCCAAATGTGGAACATTGTGGTGATAATAAACGGAATTTCTCAGTAATGGAAGTTGAATGAAGAAAAAAAAATTCAATAAATAGAATTAAAACTTTATAATGCTTGACAGTTAATTAATATACGACGACGACGACGACGATGGTTACAAATCTAATGATCTACATTCACATTCCTTCATAACTTTTCTATACACTGATTGAAGTCTTTTGATATATTTATTTAACTCTCATTCAGTATAAATGAATGAATGACGTCATTTGATTTCCAATTACGTTAATGTTTAAAATATGCTCAACGAAATGGAATGTGCTGAGAGGCTCCACAGCGACACAACGCAAGTCAAACGTACAACATTTTAAGATATTAAAGTAATCGCCTTCGCAGTCATCGATAAGCATCAAAATTAAATAAATGAGCAGAGAATGAAGGAAGGAAAAAAAGGAATTGTCGCCAAAGCTTTGTGAGACCAAGAAACAAATTTTTAATTATTGCAATTTTGTATTCAACTTTAAAAGAGAATGCAAAATGGTTAAACATTGTGAAAAAATGTTGTTGTCATACGCTTATCTCTTAATGTCGAAAACGCGCACCGAAGAGGGGAAAACGACAGAAAAAAATTCATTAAATATCTCAGAATTAATCGCTATGCTAATTTGATACCTTTTGACTTTGATATTTTAAGGCAAATGCTGGCAATAAAAAAAAGCTCGAATAAATCGTCAAGCTCCAATTAAGCCACTTAACTGTTTTTCCTCTGGCAGCCAACATTAGTCACAGCTAATCTCCAATTGCCAAATGTGGAGCATTTTTCTTTCATTTTTGTTTCGAGCGTAAATTTAAGGAGTTTTGTTGCTGGGATTAGTGTACAAATGGAAACAAAATAAAAAAAAATATAAATGGCACGTGACAAAAGCGAAGTGAATTGAACATTTAAGGAATTTCCTTCTACATCACGAATCAGATTTCTATTTTTAATAATAATGACGGTTCCTGGAAACTTAAATTACTTCCTATTAAGATTTTAAATATTTCTTTATTTAATCCTTTCAGGGTCTTCCACTGCATATACAAGTCGACACATTTGAGGATCCTCGTGACACTAACATCTCCCATAGAGGATACTGTCAAATCAAAGTTTTTTGTGATAAGGTGAGTCAATCATAAATTTAAACAAAAAATATTTTATTGAGCTACATAGATAAGTTGACAAAATTGACAGTTGATTTCCGTGACAATTTATCTTTGATTGTTTAAAACTGACTAACTAGCAAATAAGAACCAACATCTGCTGATGTTCGTTCAACGCATTATTAATTGGCACCTTGAAAAGATTTAAATTGATTTCATTAATTAGTAGAATTTGATGTCGTGTTAAAAACAAACGTCTTTCGTCAATGAAATCAATTTGTTTACGTGTAACATTTGTTACGATGACGCACGCATGCCAATCAGTTGAAATACGAAGAAATAAAAACAAACATGAAAAAATCTATAAAAATTATTTAGCATAAGTAAGATGAAGTTATTCAACATCTGAACAAGAGTTGCAATAAAAATAGTTTCTTTGCAATGATTATTTGAATGAAGAGAGAATTCTCATGAAAATTATTAGTAAATTGATGATAACATCTCCATTGAATGGTGTATAATATTCCCCTTTAACTCTGTCTGTGATTAAAGGTAAACTGTTTACTGCTGTCGACGAAAATAAAGAAAAATGCTTAGCAATTTGCTTTTAAAGTCTTCTCATAACCATATTTAAAATATTAAATTGATTCTCTTCTCTTCGAAGTTCGAACCGACTGAAGACGCGATAATGTAAGATCGCATTGCAGTAAGTCATCAGCGGGCGTATTCAATTGGAAATTTGTCACAATTTTTCACGAATGAAATTTAATATTTTTCATATACAGTCTTCGAGATAGTTGACACTCATCGTTTTCATTACTTTGAAACATCACAATCGCGACAAATGAATGAATCATAATTTTATGCACGGTTTCTTTCTTCACTCTGATACGATGAAAAAGTATCTTTCGTAAAGCCATTTGTGATACTTTGGCTGAATATTAATTTCCGTCTTCGAATGCAACCGCACAGAGAAACTTTACACTTTGCCAACTACTTAAATCAATGACACATAATATTAAGTAGAGAGAAGGAAAGAAAAGGCGTCTGATGATTTACATTTCAAGGTAACAAGATTACAGCGTCTTTGGCTTTTATATTGTTGATTCGTTAAAGGTTTTTTTTAAACTTCGTTGGTTGAAGCGAGGGCTTTTTTTGAGTGTTTCGATTATCAACTTCAGTCGCGGAATATTCTCAATGGAATGAATTTGTCGGCAGAATTCATTTGATCATAAGATTTGTCGTAAAGTTGAGATTTTTTATATTTGATAAATTTAATTTTTCATCTCATGCATTTAAAGGAAAGAAAAAATAATTTTTAGACTTTACTAAATCAATTCTTAATCAATTTTTGGTGCTATTAAATATCTTGTCAGTCCACACATATTTTTCCCCATGACCATCTTAAAGTATCCATCTTCTCCCCAGTCAGTGCTCCAGGAGTTCTTACAAATCCAATAATCAATAATTCGACCACCAATGTTTACTCTTCCAAACCCGACAATCAATGCACTGTGACTTAAACCACTGAAAAGATTTTCTTTCAATCATTCTGAATTATATTACGAACTAATTAAATTACTCGACACAATTGGGATCATCATAAATCCCACTCTCGTAGTAAGCAAAGGTTGGCAACAAACCATTAAATGCAAAGGACACAGGGCCATAATAATATACAACTTCCTTCAAAAATGTTTCATTTCCAGGTCTGATGCGATAGTAACCTGATAATTGCCCCACTGCTCTCGAACTATTGAAACCACAAGAATATGCATCATCATGTGGCAATTCTTCTTTATATGGATACGTTTCAGCTAGTTCAATCCCATTGATACCAATGTAGTTATAAGCAGATGCTTGGTTGCCTCCATCACATCCCCAGTTACCTGTTATTTCGTGTCGATTACAGTCAATAAGTTGTTGTTCACTGAAGTTGTATTCTTTTCCATAATTTTTCTTATACTGTGACTCGAGAGCACCAAGACCTGAAAATGCCCAACAGCCACTGCAAAAGTATCCTTGATCTTTGACAGGTGTCACACCATTATGACGCCTCCAATCCCAAACAAGTGGCGCCGATTCAAAGGTTCCTGGCTTTAGAATCGTCATTTTGATTGGTGGTCCGAAAGATCGTCCACTCATCATTGACTGACCTGTCGTAACGGTAGCAACACCACGCATAGCTCGTTTTCTTTGATGAAGTAGTTGATCAGAAAACTTGTTAAGACTTTGATGAAAATAAGCTTCTCCCTTTATAAATTTTTCATTTCCTGCATCAATGATCTTTTTGTTAAACTTGAAGTTTTTGTATGCTTTTTCTGTCTCTTCGACGTTTTTATATGTTTTGTTAAAACGATTCTAATTAAAAGCAACAAAGAGAAAAATGATGGAATTATTAAACTAAATTAAAATTTTAGTCAACTCACCTTCCATTCTAAAAAATCGTTTTGAATATTTTCATCTTCACAAAATATTGTTGGGAGAATAAGTAAAGCAAATGTTATCAGTTTCATGTCTCGAGAAGAAGTTATGAAAATAATTCTATGACAAAGACTCTTAATATTCAAATTCTTAACGTGACTTCCGCTGATAGTAAGGAAATCTTTTTGTTGTACACGATTTTAATAAAGCAATTTAAATTTATTTTATTGGGTTAAGGTTGATTCCATTTTTTAAGCAAGAAGAAATTGCTTAATATTTAATATAGATAAATAATAATTCATGTGAGAATTCAATCGATAATTGCATGTTGTGGAAATTTGAGCTTCATTGATTAAAAAATAAGCATATTGTAGTTTAAAACTTATTAAATATCGGCCGGTGCAATGCGGTGTAGGTATAATTAGCGATAAAAACGACATTTTATCGAACTCTCTTTCATCTCATTTTGTAGTTGCGTCTGACGATAAGTAGATATTTGTCGTGAAATGGCAGTAAGACATTAAATTGACTGCATCCGGTGTTAAAATGAGAAGAAAAGTAGCAAAAAGTCGATCATAAATAGTGTACTTTGTAGCGGATATTGACTTTTAATTACTTCTGTAAAGAGAAGTTTAATGACATTTTCATCGATTGTATCGGATTTTTCGACCTTCGGCAGACATCTACATTTTTTTTCTTATAATTAAAGCAAAAGTAACATCTGGGGGCGAAGCGTTATTAAGAAACTTTTAAATATCTGTTCATTCATGAGCCGCGGTTTCCTTTTCGTAAAGACATCTCAAAATTCTTTTCTTTTATTTTTTCGTGCAATGATTTCCGCTGCTTCGATGGTACATATATCGAAGAATGAAGTTATTAAAATGATTAAAAGTTGTAGTCATTTTTATGCCAGTTTTATCATTAGTCAGATGTGTTGCATGATTTAAGATTTTGTTGCAAGTCGGGTAGGAACTTTGTTTTGTTTTATTTCTTTTCGCCTCTCTTCACTTCAATGCTCGCTATCAATCATCATTTTAAGTATTATGTGACTTTAATGATTTTTAAACTACATCATGAATGAATGAAAGGAATGAAATGCAATGAAGGAAAACAAAAAAAATCGTTAAAATGTTGACTTTCCTGCTGGTGAGTGAGTGTAGCTTATCACGAAGCAATGAGAGAACGAATATGTTTATTTAATGGCTTTTAATGGCCTTTCCTTTCCTTTCTCCATTTTTGCGATAAAAAAGAAATACTCAATGACTGAATTTGGTTGTAAGAAGCAACAATGACGCAAATTATCGTGAAAATTTATGCTTCGATAAGAGCATGAAAAAGAAGAAGAATCGTCAGTGCAAATAAGACTGACTGCAAGCACTCATTAATGCAATAAATATGATGTTGTATTATATTTAGATAAAAATCTCATCATAAGTATACATTTTAATTCGTTGATTGAAATTAACTTAGCTGTTTACCGGAGGTTTATTGCACGACTTGATTCATCGAAATTGAAATTTATTTCATGACTTCTTTATGTATAAAAACTTGTGTGAGTGTTTACAAAAACTGATCAAATGATTGCTGGTGGTTGAGTAAATAATGACAGTTTGTAAGCCTGAGAAAGGAAAATTGCTTTAATTTGTCATTTTCCACGATTTCACTCATAAATTATGAACTAAAGTTTTCAGAAAAAAGGCATCGAATTGTAATTAAATTTTATTGAAATCCATGCATGATGTAAACTTTTAAACTTTCACAGTTAAATTTAAGTTCATCTTAAAAAAGTTTTAACGACGATATAAAAAAAATAGTTTTCGTTAGTGATCACTTGTATGCAAACTACTCTTTTTTTTTTGAAAGGCAAAAGTTATTGTTGAATGAAAGAAATTACTTGGAATTTAAAAAATTGCACCAACAAATCGCTCCAGAAGAGAATTATGAAAATATTTTTATGCCATTTAATTTTATAGCTCTTTTTCCGTCTTGTTGCGCATACGATTCTTAATTTTATTTGCACATATTTTTTTGCATCGCTTAACAAGCTTGTAATAAATTTGTTTCGGGCTGCGCGCGTTGTTATGCGGTAAATGCGGTGCATCATAAAATAGAGTTTATGATAATTTTAATCATCGATGGCTAAGAGAAAGAAGATATATTTTAATAGTCACGTCATCTCCAATATATTTTCCCTATAAATTGCAATAAAATCGTTCTTAATCTGCACGATCTTTTTATTGGCTGGTAATGTAATGTAACTCAAAAATAAGCTCCGTTGTTCTTTTTTTTCATCGACAAAGAAACCGATTAGTATGTAAGAAGAGAAATTGATATTATCTAGATGCGATAATGTCTACGACGTCCATTAAACGACGACTATAAAAAGGATTAGCCATGGATAATTGAAAAGACATAAACTAATGTACAATAAAAGATGTTATAAGAGGTTTTTAACGTTAAACTATAACTTTATTGGCTTACCTCAATTTTCTTTTTTATTGAAATAAATTCATGCAACTTTATACTACAAGTCCAATCTAGAAATCGCTTTCAAAAATCTTACGAATTCCATTTAGAAAAAAAACAAGAGCCCACGTACAATTTCCACTTGTATTAATGTCTCAGTTTTGATATTTTGCTCTGAAATTGATTTATTGTGATTTTGACATGCCACACGGTAAGCAACAGTTCATTCTCCATCTGACTATTTGATTACCACCTTGCACATTTCTCATTTCAAAGCTTTCCGTACACCGACAATAATACAAAGACTGAAATTATAAATTTTATTCTACTTTTGTTGAACAATTTTCCATTGCGCCACGAGGTAAACTTAGGAGTTAAATTGTAATATTCCATCAAAATAGTTACGCAACTTCTTGCAATAAAAAAATAAATTCAAGAAGTAGAGATATGAGTATAATGTTCATATTTTATGTTTCTCCTTCGTTCGATCACCCCGACTCCGAGTATTTAATCCACCTGAGCTTACAACAATCACCTATTTCTTCTCAGAAAAAAAAACGGCAACCGACATCAATCCATCTTAAGTCATTTGTAGTTGCTGGTAATCAGATGATGCATTTCGCCCACCATTCAAGAGACTCGTCAAGGGAAATGTTTTCCTCTCGTCAGTGATTTTTTACGGGAGATAAAATGCAAGCGTTGTTTTTGTTTTTCAATAAAAAATATTAGATACTTGTGCGTTCGTTGTAATGAAAAATATGTTCTCTGATATCGCAACAAAAATAACATTTTATGTGTTGAGGCAATTCGTCAATGTTCATCTCTCTATCTTAGATCTTATTCTTTGTGGTGGCAAAATTATGGTATAAAGCAACGAAAAAAATTTCTAATAGCAGAACATTACCATTTTCAATAGCTTGTAAGTTGAAAACACTCCCAAGATTGATCAATAGAAGATTCTAATAGGCAGTTAAATGTACGCAATTTGAATATCTATTAGCTTCGCATTTTAAATTCAACTCTAATGGAATAAAAATAAAAACAGAGATCTTAAAGAATGTTTAATAAAAATGAAGAAATATTCTTTAGATATTGCTTTTGATGTTGAGGAAATAAGTGTTTTATAATTTACAACTTAAAGCCATTTTCAATTTTACGTTTTTGGTGCTGCATGAAATTTTATCTACATCGAGGGATTTCAATATCGTGTCTTGACCCAATTTTAAAAAAACCCGAAGTGACCCTGGACTTAGTTAGGAATGTTTTAGAAATTTAAATCCTTTAAACATTTATTTTTAAATATCTAATTAGGTAAAGATAGATAAATAAAATAGAAATTTCTATTAGTTACGAGTTTTCTTATTTACAAAGTTGTGAATGACGAATACGAAGTTTTCATAATAAGCTTGTTCAATAAAAGTAGCAAGAGAAAATAAGCAATGCAATAAATGAAAAACAACCGTAAAGCAGATGCACCGTTGTGCCAGGAAATAAAAATAATTTAAATAGTCGTCATTTTATTTATAAACACAATTTTTTCCGCTCTTTTGCAGTCTTATTAATTTTTCTTATTTAACAGTCAGAGAAAGGAGAGAAAAATCTTTTCATTAGACTTAGTGAAGAAATGGTGCGGCGATGATGATGATGATGATGATGATGAAGAAGAAATTTTATTTATAAGTCTTCGACTATTTTTCACTGCCTATGCATTATTTATGTATTTTTTGCAGCATTGATCACGCGTCCACTTTACTTACGTTTTACTTATTTATTTATTTTGCTTTCCAACCGTCATATTTTCTATTTAATAAATAATAATTAAATGTACAAGAATGGAAATTGTGATGAAAGCGCGGCAACAACATTCTTTCAATTTTCTTATAATCCAAACGGTTAAAGTGAAGATGATTCATGTATGTCGAATGAAAGTTTTTCTTCTCGCTTGTTTTGCTGTAAATTTAATTACGATAGAAACTGATTCAGTGCTTTTTTCCTTTTTTCACTCAAATCACCATTATCCATGTGTTCGTTTTAAGGTGAAGATTTACTGAAAGCAGAAAATCGGAAATTAAAATTGATGAACTCAACAACGACGATGATGAAAATCAATTAAAAGCAAAATATTTTCTCGCATCACACAATACAAAAGCAAGTGGAAGCTTTTTGCAACAAAATAGAATGTGTGTCTAAAATAAAAATGAAAAAAAATTGCAACGTGCAAGTCGATTATGAATATCTATAATATAAATTGTTAATGTTAACTGAACGCGAGTAGCTAAGCTTCAGTATAATTTGAAGATTACCCAAGAGATTGCCCATGAAAAAGACAATAAAATGAATAAATTCAAGACTTTAAGCTTGACTACAAGCGAACTCGAACGGATCCTTTGTCAATCATGATGATAGCTAATAAACTGTTGCAATTTTAAAAGCTGATTTAAAGATAAATAAAAAACCAATTGAGCGAAACATGGGTAATTGTTAGATTCTCCGCTACACTTTCAACCATAACGAAACTTTGTCTGCATCGAAAGGCTAATAAAGAAATAAATAGTTGCAGTCATTTACCCACTAAATGTACATTGATACATGTATGTAGGATAATTTAAAATAAAAAATAAAATCTTAAGTCAATGACGGTTAAATGAAAAGATGCTGCATGCTACATTAACATTTATTTATGATGAAAATACATTTCTAATCGCTATTTCTGAGTATCACTAGTAAATGTTAATTTAATTTTCTACTTTTGATGCCGTTAATTCCGTTTCTATTGCATTCATTTAATGCAATTAAAGCTACATTTAAATATTTAAATCACGTCAACTTAACATTGTAGCAAGCAACAAAGTTACTTCAGATGTCAAATAATTTACCAACAACTTTTAATTTAAAATTTTCTCAGGGTGCTGAGCGTAAGACGCGCGATGAAGAGAGACGTGCTGCTAAACGTAAAATGACAGCAACAGGACGTAAAAAGCTGGACGAGTTGTATCATCCGGTTGTTGATCGGTCAGAATTTTATGCTATGAGTGACATCAATAAACCGCCCGTTCTTTTTTCACCAGCTGAAGACATTGATAAGGTAAGTGTTAGAAATCTTCTTCGAAATTGTTTTCCTTTAATTATATGTAATTGTCAAATCTTTCTCACAGCTATCTTCGATGGAGTTGCAAGGTTTCTATGGTCATGACGCTGATTCACTAACTGGCGCAGATGGTGTCAAACCATCGCCCTTCTTACTTCATTCTGCCGCCAATAAGCCAACGACCCCAACACTCAAATTTCACAATCATTTTCCACCCGACGTGGCTACGTGAGTAAAAATCAAAGACGAAGAAGAAATAAATTGATCCAATTCGTTTATCATTTAACAACAACTTTCAAAACTTGTTACTTTAAGTCTTGTTTTATGTTTCTTTTAATTTTTTTTTGTGTGCACGTACGTTATCTTAAGATATTAATTTCAATTTGGGATGACAGTTGAACTGTCGTGTCGGCTGTAATATAAAGTGAAAGTTGATGTTATTGCTAAATGAAATGATATTTTAATTATACAATGAATAACATTCTCTTCCCTTCTCCTTGTCATGTGTAGTGACAAAAAGGATCACATAATGCTTGATGGTAGCATGGGCGCAATAAACGAATATGGTGTTCCAATCAAACGACAACGTATTACGCCACCTCTAAGCGAAAGAGTGATGTTGTATGTACGACAAGATAACGAGGATGTATACACAGCTCTACATGTCGTTCCGCCTACAACGAATGGATTGATTAGTGCGGTGAGTGATCTATTTTCAATCAAATTAATTACTTTTAAGTCATAATTGAGCTTGAAGAAATACTTAATGGCTTCATTTTGAACAGAGAAAAAAATGAGTCAAACTTCAAGCTCGAAGAAAAATTCTTCTTAATGTATCTAACACCCAAACACAAAAGACTCACACAAGAATCTTAATTGTCATTTGCCAATAATTTGATGAATAACTTTTTGTGTTTTTATTAAACAAATATAAATGTTTGATGCCATCAAAAGTTGGTAATTAGGAATGGTAGGGAAATTCGTCTTTTCTGTTTTATTTTGCTATTTTTTTTAATAAAGAAGAGAAAAATAAAAGGAAAAAGAAGATTGGTTACACTTCTTCTTAAACTAATAACAACAATCTAATTAATCATAATTATGCAACACAGTTGTGCCGAAAACAGCAAACTGGTCAGTGATAATTAAATGTGTGTCTTAGTAATTACATATCTAACTAAATCGGCAGAGAAGCGTGGAGCTTTTAGGGGAATTGCTGGGCGAATGGATTAACTGCTAAGTAAACACTTCATGACTGGAGATTATTTCTGTTTGATTCGAGTCAACAAAACGGCCATAAGAAATCCAATTGTCTAATAAATCTTAAAAAATTAACAGTAATTATGATCGAGTGTGGCTTTGTGGCTTAAATATGCGGTGGAGATAAACCTCATCTAATTTGCATAACAATTTGGGCGCAATCACACTGTGCAAATCAATTTAATCATAAAACATATAATTTTTCTAACATTCTTCTATCATTTTTATTTCGTATTTGAAATAATCGTCTGTGAGGTCGTTTGACTAAAGACTTTCAATGTTTAAAGCGATGACGGTAATTTGTACTATAATTTGATTGATCTTTTTGCAATGAAGAGCGGCGTATGCTTTCTTGTCTCTGATTAGTGATAGAAATAGAAAAAACAAATTGTTGCCTTTCAACTAAAAATCCTGTTTTAATTGATCAATCGAAGGCAATCGTAAATGAAGGGATTTGAGGAGCAGCAAGACGTCTTTTTTTTCTTAAAACAAAACAACTTATTTAGCTTCTTTCTTATGCTCTCCCTCATTCTTTTTTTGTGCCTCTGTCTCCTCTCTATGCAGCATAACAAAAATATTTAGAAACAATTATGGAAATATTGAAATCTCAATATTTTATGATTTCATCAACATTTTACTAATGCAATGAAATGAAAACATTTCCATGTTCGTTTGTAATAAGATCCAGTTTTTGACAGCAAATGAATCCCCTGTGTGTTGTCTGCATCACTTGGCAATCTGAAAGTAACCGTGATTAGGAATTGACATGAACCTAATTTCATTTTATTGATTTTCATTCCGAAATATTTCGACAGATTGCCTCAAGCTTTCTCTTTAATCGAACATGCTAAGTCGAAATATATTAACAACTAAAGATGAGATTCGATAAAAAAAATTCCCTTGAGATTTCAACAGTATTAGTAACAATTTTTAAAACATAAAACATGAACAAACATTTTCCAAGAATTGATTTTTTCTCCAAACTTTAGCAAATTAAACCACAACCATCAACCATCATAGCTATTTATGCGTCATGTTTGAGAACTTTCTAAATTTGTTTTCCTTGAATTTTTGTGTCATTTTATTGAGGGTCATTTGACCTATAAGAAAATAAATTTGAAACAATGACTAAATACAAATTCAATCGAATATTTGTCATCGTCATTGGTTGATTTGAAACAACAGATTTTTTTTATTGATGATGATTTTGATTTCTTGCGATAGTCCAAGTGGCAATGAATGAACAACACAAAAAAAGTTATAATAACTCATGCATATTGATTTATTGACAGCTGATTAATCGCACGATATTTGCAAAGATCATGAGTGACGCGACTAATCCTATCGCCATTAAATTATTAAATTTAATTAAATATTAAACTAAACAACCGTCGCGTCGCGTTAATTTGATTACAAACATTTTTGATTCTTGATTGAATTAAGCAATAACCTTTAAATTCAAAAGTTCATCTGAAAAGATACAAAATAAATATCCACATAAAAATCTCAGCGATAACATCATAACAATTTCCAATGAATTCCAAAGACACGAGAGAGACGAATTCAAATTAATGCAAATTTTATAGCTTTTACCCAAATTATCTCATGATTATCATTAAAGCTTTTTGGTTATCTTTCTTTTTTCGTGGCATTAGAGACGATTATATAATGATTTCTGATGGCATGTAATTTAATAGGGAATGGGTTAATGTCACTAAAAACTTTAATATATCTACGCAGAAGATTCAGTGAATAATAAAGAAAAAGAAAAGTTTTCATGTCTCCAATCAAATAAACTTCTGCATCTTCTTAGTGATCCTTTCAAAGTGTTTGGCTTTATAAATATTATTTTTATTATTTGTTAGATAGATTAGGATGAACAAAAGCTTCGAATTTTTATCTTTCATTTTGCTTTGTAAATTCTTTCAAAATTATTTTCTGTATGCCATTCTTAATTGACATAAAAATCTTATTATTGCAGATCGAAAATAAATTCAAAATTTCACCATCGAGTATTAATAATATTTATCGCAAAAATAAGAAAGGGTAAGTTTAAAAAGTTTTCATTAAAAGCAATAATTTTTCATTCTCCAAGAAAACTTTCGGATATTTTCTGTTTTTTATTATTATTATCCCCCTGAGATATTTAGATATTTATTTTATTCGCTTTGTGTCTCAAAAAACCAAAAACTTTTACTAACTTCTTGTTGTCGTTAACAATTTAACTTATTTCTTTCTTGTGATTAACGCTTGTTTCCTTAAGCTCACTTATTCAACCAGGCTCAGTTACACTTTGACAGTTACACAGAAAACAAACACGATACACATCATAATCTCACTTGAACTTTCTTAAATCGAAAGATATTTCTTATAATTTATGTTACTAATAAATGTGAATATGTTTTCTGTTACAGAATTACGGCGAAAATTGACGACGACATGATATCTTATTACTGTAATGAAGACCTGTTTCTACTTGAAGTACGCCAGGTCGAAGAGGATTTGTACGACATCACATTCACGGAACTTCCGAATCATTAAAGTATTTCTTTTTGTCAACATAAGATCATATAGTTTAGTTATAATTTTATAAGAGAAAATATTTCTCGAATACTTCGGAGCTGCTTTATTGATTGAACTCAACGTAGAAGAAATCTGCTATAAGTATTGACACTTTCTTAGTCAAAGTTGAAAGGTTTTTATTTAGCTTATTTTGTACTCTTCTAGAGCTTAAGTACTTAAATTAAGATAAATATAATTTTTTTTTACTTAAATTAATTTAAATCGATATCGTGAACATTATGAGGTGCCAAACCTTCCAATACTTCTGAAAACATTCCCAAAAAAGAAAAAAATCGAAACTATCAGAATCGACAACAAATTCAGCAAATTTTCATAAGAAAAAATTCATTGAAAATGAATTAGATATCAATAAATATTATGCATAATGAAGGAGCGATATTTTTTGTTCGTGTACTTAATTAATTTATTTAAATTTATTTTAGACGATTAAAATGTTGCTGGAATTGAAAAGAAATATTCTTAGAGGTCTTTAGAGTTAAAAGATTCTTTCCTTCCCCCGAAAAACATATGAAAGACATCAATTTATATATTTTTTTTTCATTATATTCATTAATCGATAACAGGTATTAACATATTTCGAAGCAAGTATTTCTCGCTGGATTTGAGAAATCTACGTTCCAATTCTCACTAAACGGTTTTCCCAAGTGTCATCACAAACAGTTAAGCCATTCTCTTGCCTATGAAATAATAAACTCAAAACCATAACTCGCACGATTGACGTCGTCGCCTAACGTGCCCCAATAATCTTTTGCCATTAATTTTTACGCCTCAATGTATTTTATTTGTGAGTTTTTTTTAAGCTTTAGTTTAGATATTGAAAAGAAGAGTAAAGCAAAAGAAAAATTTGCATTTATTTCCACACATGCCATAACTGGATGAGAAAATGAGAGAAATTTTACATAATTAATATTCTTTTTAGACTTTTTTTGTATATCTAATGCGATATTATTAATGTAGTTCAACAATACAGAAAAGAAAGAAAAAGAAAATAGAAGAGAAAGAAGAATTAGAAGATAAAACTATTTAAGATCTCAGACGAATGCCTTTGAAAAATTATGAAACTTTTATGATGATAAACTAGAAGAGAAACATCTACTTAGGATGTCTCGCGCGAAAATAATAAAGAAATTCTAATTTAAATTGAAATAACATGAAATATATTTCTTATTAATTTCTTTGTGATTAACGATCAAAATATTCTCGTTTACGATTAGCATTTTTGATTTTATGAAAACGCGTTTCGGTAGAAAAGAAATGAGAGTAATTTAAATTGCTAGGTTGGGAATAGAATCGTACTAAAAAATCTTTTCATTTCATTATTGATGGAATAATCTTCCGAGGGAGGGAATAAAGTGAATGTTGAAGAAGGAAAATTTATTTCTTGCTGTTCCATGACATCTTAAATAATAACTTATAGATAATTATACCCATCGAAAGCGACTCTCAATAATCAAGCCGAACTCTTTAATCCCTTCTGCAACACTTTACATTTTAATTAAAAAAATTAAAGAAAAATCTTTGTTGAAAACTGCCATATACATATAAATATATTTAATCTTAAAGAGTTTCATGATTGAACATTATAAAATATTGTTTCTAGATTTATTGGAAATTGATAATTTTTAAGTACCTGACAAGGGGAAAAAACATAAAAAATCGATGTTAAAAAGACAAGAAATAACGTGCGAGATGAGAGAAAGGCAACAACCGAAACGAGATTCTGAAATTGCTCAACAGAAGTTTTTTTATCAAAATTTTAGTTTTTATTCATGAAACGTAGATTTTTTTTTTGTTTTGTGATAAGAGAGCAAATTAATCGATGAAATTTCATATTCTTGCCACTTAATTAAAGACAACAACATCAACACAAACAACAAAACAAGTTTTGCAATATTAATTTTACATTTTTTTATTTTAAAATATGTTGAGATAAGATTTAGCATTGATAAGTTTGATACTAAGTTGAGATTAATTTTAACAAGAAAGAGATTTAATTGCGTTAAGTTTTTTTTAAACAATTATCTACTAGAGAACTATTGATTGAATATCGTTTTCATTTGGTGACGGATTTCGATTACCTGCTTAATCATAATTCACCTGTTTATGTTTCACAAACAAATGAAAATTAAATTCTCTTTCATCTCATCTACGTTTAAAGTTATTAAAAGTAAGAAACAAAAAAATGTTATTCGAGGATTTTAAAGTTGAAACTTTATGAACAAAATTTTTTACTCTTTTTTTAAACTTTTTTATATAAAATTAATAATGATGTCTAATGATGTAGTTGATAATTGTATTTTTTAACTTTTTATTAATAAATCATTGATTTGTAATTTCACAAAACAAAAGTTGTTTAATTTATTTTCATTGCAGGGTCTGAAAGTCCTTCATTTCCCCCCAACTACGACCAAATTTGAGTTTAACGAGTAAGGGAACTCTAAGCTCGACACAGTTCTGCATGCTTTGCATAAGAATTCTTCCAGCATCCTTTATGCATTCTTCTGGTACTTCATAAAACAATTCATCATGAAGATGAAGTACCAAATTACAATCATTAAGTTTGTTTTTATTCAAGTTGCGATCCATTCTCAGAATGGCATTTTTCACCAAATCACTTGCAGATCCTTGAATACATGAATTAAGAGCTTGTCGCTCGGCTTGTGCTTTTTCACTTGAGCTTTCACTATTCAGTGCTGGCAAGTACCTTCGTCTTAACGTCACAGTTTCAATGAAACCATTTTCACGAGCTTTCTGAATTGTTTTATCGCTATAACGTTTAATGCCTTGATATGCTGCATGAAATTCAGCGGTCACTTTCGCTGATTCTTCTTCATCAATCTTCATTGTTTCCGCTAAAGCTTTATTTCCCATTCCGTAAATAATCCCATAACAAAGTTGTTTTGTTTGATTTCGATGAACAACTGTGACGTCACTTTCGTCAATTTTGTTCCATTTTGCTGATATCTTTCGGAATATATCTTCACCTGGTGACTTCATAATTGACATCAGATTAGAATCTTTTGACAGATGAGTGAGAATTCTTAGTTCCAACTGACAAAAGTCGGCTGATAATAAAAGTTTTCCTTTCGAACATTCAAAGGCACTTCGGAAGGAAACAATTTCATCGTAATCTGTGATAAGAAAGTAGTTAAATTAATTAAATAATATTTTTGTCATTATTTCGTCTTACCTTTAAATTTGACAATGAAATCTTTGGTGACATTTTGTAAGTTTGGTTCGTACATTGAAATTCTTCCAGTTTGAGTTAAACTGAAACTATTTCCATAAACTCTTTCATTTCTTATCAACTTCGTCATTGGCTGAAAATTTGATAAAGTTTTACTCAATGTTCGCCATGTCATGATATAGTTGGCGATTGGAAGGTCCAATTTCTCGAGAACATTCTTAGCAGTTGACAATTTCTTCTTATTTTCGAGATTGCGATGAATTCCAACAACTTTGGAAACTTCTTTTGATGATGATAAATTAAATTTCCGTCCATTTAATTCGTAAATATGTTGTTCCAATTGACGTTGAAGTTTTGATGCCTTCTCAATCATTCCTTGAAATTTGCATTCATTTATTGGAAAGCCATTGAGTTCCATTTTCATCAAAACAATTTGAATTGACATTTCAAGATCACAAAAAACTCTCGAAATTGTCCCATTGCCAGTTTTCTTCATCAACTCAATTTGCTGTTCCAAAAGATGATTTGACAGAAAACATTCAACTGCAGTTCGAATTTTTGACTCGACACGACTGACGAAATTCATTCCTAAGCTGCTAACTGTCGATTGATGTTTCGCTGCCAGCTGTAAAACTTCAGCATGTTTTGGTGAAAACTTTTCCACCATTTGATGCCAATTCAGGTTTGTGTCGGGATGTAAAATCCAACTACCGATCCTTGGATCACGAATTTTTACAAAATTCCCGATGTGTGGAGGTTTCAAAGCTTTGAAAAGAATTTTCAGTTGTTCTTTCGCTTCATAAATGTTCAAAGTTAAATTACTTCGATTCATTAATTTTATCAACATTTGCTTAACTCTCTCGATCAACTTCACATTGTCATTCTGAACGTTTAAAAAATAAACACGATTGGCATTGCAACAAAAACTTATGCAGTCGATGTAGAAATTCTTGTCGAATGTAAAGTTGAAATTTTTCAGCGAAGATTGCAAAAGATTCCCACCAATCATTTGTTGTTTTATTTCGAATTTCTGAATTCCAATCGACATTCCAATTTCATTTTGCTCTTGTAATTCTCCCTCAAATTGACTGAACGTTTCGTCACCAACAAGGACATCAACAAGTTGAAAGTGTTCGAGTAAAGATTCATTCGATGATGAACTTTCACTCTCGAGATCTTTGAAAAGCGAAGCATTTTCATCAATTTCCTTATCTTCATCTGCTTTCTTGTCAAGTTGATTAAAAAGTTGCGTGTTAACGACAAGAAGTTCTGTTGAAGTGTCAGAACTTCTGAGATTTCTTTTAAACTCCTCACTCGTATTTAAATCGATTCGTGTCCTTTTTGTATTCTCATCAGAAATTGACAATTTTGCTTTTCTTTTCCTATCTTTACGACTTGCATTACCAGACTGTTGTTGTGTCCATTGAACGCCAACTAATCCCATTTCATTCTGAAGATGATGTCTTGCTTCATTTATCATAAGATTAGCAAGTTGTTGAGCATTCATTTCCAATGATTTCCCAGCAATGAAAAAGTTTTCACCCAAATCCAAGATGACATTTTCGACTGCTAATGTTTTACAATTTGCAAGATCGTTAAGTCGTTCGATTCCATTTTTGTAAAGAGCTCGAGCTACTCTCGTACTGTTTAAGCTTGGAATCTTCATTAAGTCAATTAAATCGGGATGAATGCCAAAGAAAAGTCGTTCACGAAATTGAGAGAGAATTAAGGCGAGAAGATTCCATTGAAGTGATTTACAGAATGTTGTGACAGTTCCAGCAAAAGTTGATGCCATTTGTTGAAGACTTTGCAACATTCCTCGAGGAATTTTATACTTCATTGACACTTCTGTCACTGACTTCTCATTGACAAGTTCTTGTAAAGCTAAAGCGGTGTAGAATCTGAAATGAACGAAAGTTCATGTTTGCGAAATTTAAATTTTCTTCTCACTCACCTTTTATGAATTTGCAGAGATCGCCAATCGCTGCTATGTTTCCCTGTGATCGCTCTGATCATATAAGTCTCAGAAACGCCAACCATCGTTCCAACTCGTTTCATCATTTCTGGAAGTTTATCATGAACTTCAGCGAAATAAATCCAATCGATATCTTGAAGCTGATAAGCAACAGAAAAAGGTGTGACGAGATAAATTGCGTGAAGTTCCGATTCGAGCACGAAATTTTGTCGCGATTTTTGAAGTTCAGAAAACAAAAGAAATCCATCTTTGGGTGGAAGTGATGAAGATAAGCAAGCAAGTCCAAGACGTGTCGGAACAAATTGCACATCATTGTTATCGTCATTAGCATGAATTCGAATAAATTCATATTCGAGTAGGAAATTCATTGAACTTCTTATCGGATCGGTATCAGTTTCAGTTTCATTTTCACTCGATATTTTCACATTAATTAAAGCTTTCAAATCTTCATTTGATATTTGAAACCAATCAAATTCGATTTCATGTTGCTGACAGTATAAAGTTGACTTTACAAATCCTTCAAGATCTACTTTTGTGTTTGCAACGCCAGATGCGATGATTTCAAGTAACGCACGTTTAAGATGTGCATTGTTGTCGGCATTTAAACAAGAAGAAATTGGATCTAAAGATGTCACAACAAGTTGCTTCCCAATTCTCGATGTTGCATCATTGCAAACAAGAATCGATTCGCCCAGAACGTCTTTTCCTTTACGTCCAGCGCGTCCAATCATTTGTCTGTATGTGAGATTACTCATCATACTTCGACCAAACATTGGAGTTCTTATTATGACGCGTCGTGCTGGGAGATTCACTCCAGACGACAATGTACTGGTCGCTACGAGGACTTTCAATGTCCCATCTTTGAATCCCATTTCGATGAGATCTCTTTCGTCAGTTGTAAGACCGGCATGATGAAATGCACATCCATAGCCGAGATTTCGAATAAGTTTCTCATCCACACCTGATGCAAGTGCTTTGGCTTGTTCCAGTAACATTTCAATTCTCATTTTATTCAAAATGTTAACAATCCCTCCAGCATTTGTCTTCAACATTCCGTGAATCCCACGAGCTAAATTTGTACTGAGCTGCTCGCACCAATCTTTAGATGGACAAAATATTATCAACTGACAATTCTCTAAAATTGTTTCCATTGACAATTGACAAACTTCGTCACTATCATTAGGAAAGAAGTCTTTCCATGTTTCATCAATTTCTTTCAATAATTTCATTCTTTGATCGTAAATATTCTTTCCAATTTTAATCATTTCACGTAATTCAATTGGACGATAATCAGTTCGATAAAACTCAGCTTTCAACCAGTCACGGAGAAGTTCTACATTTGGTAACGTCGCTGACATTGTGACGAGTTGAATTTTGTGATGAAACTTTTGACACATGTAGAGAATTTTTGTGAGAAGCAATTCGAGGATGTAGCCACGTGACGAATCTGATATCAAATGAATTTCATCAATGACAATTGTCCCGATTTCGTCAAGCTTGTTCTTCTCCAGAAGACGATTTATGATGCTGTTTGCTTTTTCAATTGTACACACTGCGATATCAATTGATTCAAACCCTCCAGGTGGATGATAACCGCCGAAGAATCCTTCCACTCGTATTCCTGAACTTGTCATTAAATCCTAAACAAGAAATTTATCATTTCTCTAACAAATTCTTAATCGTTTAACTTAATTCACTCACCTGAAGATAGAATGTCTTTTCCCTCACGACTGAGACAAAAGGAAGAATGAAAATTGCTTTCTTCCTCCTTTCGACGACATTTTTAATCATCAAAATTTCACTGACAAGAGTCTTGCCAGCTGATGTTGGTGCAGAGTAAACTAGATTTGCATTTTCAAACAGAACTTTGGTATTTCTCAGACATTCATTTTGCCAATCAAACATTTCTTCAACGCCTTTCTTTCGATATTCATTCACAATGCTTTGAGGAAGATTCCAATTTGATATGAAGCGAAGATCTTTGTTCATATCCAGTGAAAGTGATTCATCGTGACTTTCTTTTCTACATGTTACAACGTTTTGTGAAAAAGCAAGAACTGATTCGGTTTTAATAGAATCTGATTCCAGCAGTGATACATTTGATTGTTTGTGCTGATCAAACTCTGCTTGAAGAAGTTTATCAGCTTCAACTTGATCATTTTTTGTTGCTTCATGAGGAAGAAGAAATGTTACATTGTCCATTTCATGAATTGAATTTTCACAATCTGCATCATCTTTCGATTTCTTATTCAGGATCATTTCCTCTTGTGATTCAGATATGAAAGACTCTGAGAAATTAATATCTGCAAAATCATCCATTATTGTAGCGAATTTACTTGCATTTTTAACAGCTGGTGATATAAGTTTAGCTGCTGATCTCTCCCATGCAGAAAAATCAATTTCCTCTACCTGAAGATATTTGCTGATGGAAGATATTTCAGACTTTTTGTTCTCTTCGTCATCTCCTCTGAATGTCAGATTGCTTTTAGATTTTTCAAATTTCCTTTTCATTTTTCCACGTTGACTTGCATTTTTGAATCTCTCTGCTAAATCCTTTTGATAAAATGTTGAGCTGTTATCCTTTGCATTTGGTGATTCTTCGATAATAATTTCGTTTTCATCATCATTTGTTTGCTTATTTCTTGAAGTTAAAGGTGTTCTTGCATAATTTGTTTGTTGTTCTATTTCTAATAATGTTCTTTCCCCAATTTCAAACGATGGTGATTCGTAAGGCATTTTATATCACAGATAACGTTTAATAACTATAAAAACAAAATTATTTATGTATTTTCTAAGAATTTTTTTTAATGAAAACAGCGGGAAACTCGGTAAACTAAGATTTGCAAGTTAACGGAAAATAAGATAAATTTAAAAATTTTCGCTTCCTTACCACTTGAGTTGTGAAGCTTCTAACCCCTCTTGTCAGGTGTTTATTTTTTGTTATTGATATTTATCAGTGTTTTCTTTTATTATTTTAAATCGAATAAAGAATGATCGGAACTCTTTCTAAGTTTAAAAGTGCTCTTAGGCCGATAGGCCATGTAAATAAAATATTAGCTCGAAATGTTTCTCATTTTACATATCAACCTGATGAGAAAAGTCCAAATGTTGATGGCGAAAGAACAAAAATGAATATGTTCACAGCTATTAATAATGCAATGGACATTGCATTAGCAACCGATGATTCAACACTGCTTTTTGGTGAAGATGTTGCTTTTGGTGGAGTCTTCCGATGCTCGTTAAACCTAAAAGATAAATATGGTGCTGACAGAGTATTCAACACGCCATTATGTGAACAAGGAATTGCTGGATTTGCTATTGGCGTTGCTGCTACTGGTGCTAAAGCTATTGCTGAAATACAATTCGCCGACTATATTTTCCCAGCATTTGATCAGATTGTCAATGAAGCTGCCAAATATCGTTATCGTAGTGGAAATATGTTTGATTGCGGATCTTTAACAATTCGTGCTCCTTTTGGTGCTGTTGGTCATGGTGCTTTATATCATTCTCAATCTCCTGAAGCATATTTTGCACATACACCAGGTTTGAAAGTAATTGTGCCTCGAGGACCAATCAAAGCCAAAGGACTTCTATTAGCTGCGATTAATGATAAAAATCCTTGTATCATCTTGGAGCCAAAAACTCTTTATCGAAGTGCTGTTGAGGAAGTTCCAGTCGCTTCTTATGAATGTGAATTAGGGAAAGCTGACGTATTAATGAATGGAAATGACGTAACATTAATTGGATGGGGAACACAAGTTCATGTTTTGAGAGAAGTTGCTGAACGTGCTAAAAACGAACTGAAAGTAAAATGCGAACTCATCGATCTCGTTTCGATCTTGCCTTGGGATCGTGAAACTGTTTGCAATGTAAGATATTCTTATGATGTTCTTTCTTATTTCTATTCTCGCTTAATTATTTACAGTCTGTCAAGAAAACTGGTCGCGTAATAATTGCCCATGAGGCTCCACTTACTAATGGCTTTGGTGCTGAACTTGCTGCGTCAATTCAAGAAGATTGTTTTCTTCATCTTGAAGCACCAATCGCACGTGTATGTGGCTGGGATACTCCATTCCCTCATGTGTTTGAGCCATTTTATCTTCCTGATAGATTGCGTTGCTTCGAAGCCATTAAGAAAATTGTAAAATATTAAAATTCGTGATAACAATCACATTTGTTGTAACTGAAAACTTCAAAAATTGAAACTGTTGCATTTATTAATTTTATAAATTTCACTTTTTATTCAACAAAAACTTTATTTACAATAAATTATCTAAGTTAGTTCAACTGACTTAAGATTAATTTTTATTTTATGAACACAATTTTGCTTTTTTTTTAAAGGTTCTTTTAAGTAAAATGGTCCTTTGAGTGATGTTATGGAACTTTTGGTTTTTTCTTGACTAGTTAAGCATTCGTAATCTAAAACTTCTCTACACTATGATTTATTATGAAGTTGTTCAGTTTCAACTCGAAGTATTTCAAGATTCTTTTGTATTTCATCAGTGATCACTCGCCGAGCTTCAACTTCGTCAATATTTTTATCGAAAATCATTTTCATTGTTTCACTTAAGTCGATGGGTTTACCAAAATTAAATGTTAATTTAGAATTAAGTCGGAAGTAGTAAGGCGGGTAGTTCGGAAGTAGCTCATTCATTCCCTCATGCCAGATAGGAATAATGATTGGATTTACTGGAAAGGACTCGAACAGAATTCTGCCAACTCCCCACTTCAATCTCATGTATTCCTTTTCCATGTTTACTCGTCCTTCTGGAAATACATGCACCCAATCACCCAATTTCAACTTCTCTATGCAGAGATCAACTGCTGGTTGATAAACTCCAGCGCCACGTACAACAGGAATACATTTACCAAACATAAAGAAAAGTGAATGAAGTTTATTTGTGAAGCAAATGTCGTGAGCTGCCATAGACCACCTGAAAGATAATTTGTAATGAGTGAATGTAAAGATTATGAAACATTTTCTTACCTCATTCGTTTTGAATTGCATACGTTCCTTAATTTGAGGCATCCCCAAATAGCGGGGTCGTCAAAACATGAATAATGATTACTTATTGTTAGCAGTGCTTGATTTGGCCTTCGAATCATGAGATCTTCCAAATGATGTTTATTATAAATGTTCGTTCGATTCAAGCAGACTTTAAATTAAAATTATAACCATTTATTTACATATATGTTTCTAAATTAGAAAGCAAATTCTTTTTCAAGGATATTTCAAATTTTGTGCAACACTTAAAACTACGTCAAGTGATAGAAAAAAATTGGGAAACATACTTTTCTGATTACCTATCAATAATCGTGAAAAAAATCCAACAAGGCCTATCGTCATTTGACTTGCAATACGAAAAAGAAATGATGGTTTTTCTGTAACAGGTGAATCATTCAGTTAGTTCTGTTAAATTTCTTTGTTTATATTTTTTTCACTAACCCATTCTTGGAAAAACCCAATTAAAATTGTATGGCATTTTGTTACCAACAAACTGAAAAGCAGAGAAAAATGATTGAAAATTGCTTATCTCTATTTCATTCAATAAACAAATAATTAGAACGTGGAAGAAAAACAAGAAATATTTTATTGCACTCACTTTGAATTTACTCATCGCTTCCACATTACATGAACTTCGCTTCCAATCAGTTATAAAGAAGCAAAAAAACACGATTCGCAATTTATTCATTTTTAAATTTGAACCCAGTAACAGACTTTTCATCGCTACGTTTGTATAATTATCTTAAAATTCCCTATTTTCATAATAAAAATTGATTATAGAAGCCTATCAACTATAGTTTAGTAGTGTCAAATCGCATGAATTGTCGAAAATATAAAAATTGTTAAAACGTAAAGTAAAAACTGATAATTGAAATTCCCATCCAAAATTTAATTCTAACAGAAATTTCTTCGCATTTAATTCAATTAGATCATTATTTCAACTATAAAAAGAGTGTAAAAGATTGTTATGGCATCAGCAAATGCATCTGACTGTGTCAAAGTAGCGATTCGTGTTCGTCCTTTTGTTCAAAGCGAACTCACGCGAGGATGCGAAAACATCATTGAAAAGACTCCCGACCAACCTCAATTGGTAGTTAAAGGAGATTCTTACAGCAAACATCAGGATTGTTATACTTTTAACGATGTTTATACGCCTGAAGATAGTCAACTTGAAATTTATAATACTTCAGTTCAACCAATTATTGGTAAACTCTTTGAAGGATACAACGTAACGATCCTCGCTTACGGGTAAGAAGAGAACATCAATTTGCGAATATAAATAACTAATTTATTTTCTTTTATAAATAGACAAACGGGAAGTGGAAAGACTTATACAATGGGAACATGTTTTGAAGGAAATTGGGACAATCCATGTACAGGAATCATTCCACGAGCTTTGAAGGACATTTTCGTTAGCGTCAAGGAACTTAAAGAAAAATCCTGTGAAGTGACAATGACTTGCTCATTCATGGAGTTGTATCAAGAGAATTTATATGACTTGTTATCAGGAAAGTCGAAAGATCAATCGTTGTGTGAGATTCGTGAGGATTCAATCAAAGGAATCATCATCGCTGGGTTGACTGAACAACCAATTGCAAATTCGACTCAGGCAGCTCAATGCTTAATGGAAGGTGGGAGCAATAGAACTGTTGGAGCAACAGCAATGAACGATGTTTCAAGTCGATCTCATGCAATATTCACTGTCAATTTAAAAGTCAAGTCAGAAGAAGGTGGAACAACAAAAGCGAAATTCCATCTTGTTGATTTAGCTGGCAGTGAACGATCTAAGAAGACAAAAGCCACAGGAACTCGTTTTCGAGAAGGTGTAAAGATTAATCATGGATTACTTGCTCTTGGAAATGTCATTTCAGCACTTGGCGGCGGGACAGGGACAACTGGTGGTTACATAAGCTATCGTGATTCTAACCTCACACGACTTTTGCAAGACTCACTTGGTGGTAATTCTGTGACTTTAATGATTGCTTGTGTATCGCCAGCTGACTATAACATTGAGGAGACTCTCAGCACTTTACGTTATGCTGATCGAGCAAAGAAGATCAAAAATAAGCCAGTTAAGAATCTCGATTCGAATAAAGTGGAAATTCAACGATTGAAGGACACAATTCGTGATTTGCGTGCAAGTTTAGATGAAGCACGTTCAGGGATTAAACGTCGCTTGTCGACTTCCGGCGTTTGTGACGTGAAATGCATTAAAGAGAAAGCAGAGAAAGATGCAAAAAATTATTCGTTACGTCAACAATTAAGTCAATTATTGACCACAGTTAATGGACTTAACTCACTTCATTTAATGGAAGAAACTTTTCGCAATGAATTGATTGAGAACTTTGAAAAGCTTCGAGATTTGTTGTTGCAGACATGTCCAGCTGAATTTGCAATTCCTGACACGAAAATATTCGACGAAATCAATGAAAGGACAAAAATTATCGACGAACTCATCAAGAATTACAATCATCAGATGCAAACGTCGCCGGAAGATGATGTTGAGTTGACTGAGACTCATTTCGATGACGATGCAAGTAATCAAAAGATGCTCGAATACACCGACACACAAATGCAAGCACTGCAAAAGATTAAAACATTGGAACGTGAAATGAAAATCAAGCAAGAATTGTTGGATCGCAAATTCTTAAATGCTCCATTTTTGAACGATGAAACTGAAAAGACAATGTTGGAGTATCAAACAATGATAAAGAACCTCGAGAAAGATCTTGAAGAGTTGCGTGCAAATCCCAATCAATCGTCAGCAGCACGTCGTGATCACAATGCAACGAAAGTCAACATGGATCGGAAACATAAAATAGAAAAGTTGGAGAAAGATTTGTTAGAGATGCGTAAGAAATGCAGTTCTTTGGAAAGAACGAAGAAACTTGCTGAACAAGATCATAAACGCATTGAAGATTTGAGAAAAGAAATTCTACAAATGAAAAGTGCACGAATTCAACTTATTCGTCAACAACGAACCGATTCAGAGCGTTATAAGAAATGGATTGCATCGCGTGATAAGGAAATCAATGCTTTGAAGAGAAAAGGCGATAAAGTTCAGAACGAGATGAAACGAATGGAACAAATGCATGAACGACAACAAGCTGTGTTGAAACGCAAAGTTGAAGAAGCGAAAGCTGTTAACAAACGACTTCAAGATGTTATGGATCGTCATAGAGCAGTTCAAGCAATGAGAAAAGGTCTGTTTGAGCATGCTTTGATTTTTTTCCTTAATTTCCTTTCATTTTTTCATCTGAATTTTCAATTTGAAAGTTTTATAATTTTCAGAATTTTTTTTAATTTAATTTATTTTCAAACTTTTCCTCTCTAAAAGGTCCGAATTCTTCGGAGAAAGATGACGACGCCATTCATTCGTTTGTTGACAATGAGTTGATGATGATCATGTCGACGATTGATGCAAAAATCACGATGCAGTCGTTAATGAATGATCGTGGATTGTTGAATGAACGTCTTTTGAATCTTAAAGCGACTGTCAATAAAAGTGAATCGATTGAGAATGAAATCGTTCAATTGGAAGAAGATTTGGAAGTTCGTAACTCACAAATTGCTGAAATTCGTCAAAAGATTATGGAATCCGATCTTGAAGCGAAGTTGAAATCCATCACAGATAATTTCAATAAAGGTCCGGAACTTAAAACTGCAATGACGTTCATCATTCGTGCTTTGATTGAATGTCGCGAAGATTTTACATCAATTAAGACGAAAGTTGAAGATATGAAGATGGCATTGGAGACAAGCGAGGAACGCGTCGATCAATTGAATCAGCAAATGAAAGACGAGAAAGAGAAATTCCAACAATTAAGCGCTGAAATGGAACATGACTTTGAAACGAAAGTTTCATTGATGCGTAAAATGTTTTCCAATCCTAAAGATGCTGAAGATGTTTCCGTCAACAATCAGAACAATCTCTTTTCAATGTCACGACAATTATGTGACTTTGCTGATAAAAATTCTTATCTGCAGACACGTGTTGAAGAGTTGGAGAAAGAATTGGAAAGAGTTCAAAGTGACCGTCCAAAAACGAAGCGTCAGAAGAAAGTTTTAGATGAAACATTCAACAAAGATGATGTCGATGTCATTTCAGATAGCGACGATTCTGATGAGTTCGACTTCAACGACTCATTTACTGATCCGGAATGGCGCAAGACGCCAGCACATAAAAGATCGTCGAAAAGTAAGCGAACAACGACGTTGCTTAAAGAAAGCGTCACAAATCGTATGGATGGTACTGGAATCTTGAACAACATCAGCGAAACAAGTGATTCCAGTTCAACAACAAAACGTTCTTACGGCGGGCACACCAAATGCAGCTGCAAAGGGAGTTGCGCAACTAAACTATGCGGTTGTAAGAAAGCCACAAATTTCTGTTCGGATTTGTGCAAATGTTCCGATGCGTGTCTCAACATTCCTGATGATTCGATTGAAAGAAATGAAGAAGTTAATGGCGATGCAGAGAACGCCACAGAAACTCATTCTTCACCTAAAAGGGAACGGACAAAGTAAGCATTTTTAGTCACATTTCTTAATTCTGTTTAGAAATTGGAAATTTAATTTAATTTCAGATTGGATTTCAGTGAAATCGCAACGCCTTATTATCCTTATCAGAGTAAGAAGCGTAAGCCATTATTGGAGATTTGAACTTCGCTTTTCCACTCACAATAATTGAAACTTTCCATATCATTAATATTAATATTTCCTTTTTATTCATTCGATTGTAACTATCAACATTGGTTTTTAATAAAAAAAAATGATAAAAGAAAAAGTTTTTATTCTGCTGGTTTAACACGAAGAATGACTTGGACGCTTGTGCAAGGAAGAATTGCGACTTCTGTAACGACAGCTGTGACCAGTTCGGGTGGCGTGATGTCATATCGAAGATTTAATGGTGTCAAATATGGAATTGTCTCCCAATCCTTCAAATGTTCTGAGATTTCGCGTGTGTTTTTATTTGTGACGAGTGCATTTGGATCGCCAAGTTCGTTGAAGACAAAAGCATCGGTTTGAACACGTTCACTAAATTTGTGTGTTTCACAACAAACAAGAACTGGAACGTTGTAAGAGTTGGCAACTAATGCGATTTGTGCGGTTCCAACACGAGACATGACATAGCCATTGGCAAGCAAAGCATGAGCTCCAAGAAGAACTTTCGTCACTTCCGGCATGATGAAGCTGATGGAGTTAATGAAGACATAAGTACAATTAATTCCTAGCACTGCTAACGACTTAAGCATTTCTTGTCCTTCATGATCAGGTCGCGAGTCAACAATAATTACTCGAAATTTGATCTCTGAGTCTCTGTAAGCTTCAACTAATGTTCGTTTGATCAAAGATGAACATCCATAAATGAGAATGACGTCGCCATTAGAAATTTTCTCTCGAACCTTCAAACTTATTGCAATTGCCGCTGTTTCAATCTGTTCTTTTGCATATGTGTCAATTTTTTCAATCAAGCGTTGCTTCTTCTGCATTAAAATATTAATTAGAAAATAATTTATTTTTAAATCCATTTTGGAACTTACATCATCGTCACTTGTATCAGAATCTTCGAGTGAAACAAGCATTTTAATATATTTAAGAGCATTCGTCATAGAGACTGCAAAAGGTCGACAATTTTGAAGGAATTCAACAGCTGGTTGAAGTTCTGCTTCAAGACCTCTGCTAAAAACTTTTTCTTGTGGCGTTTCGTAATCGTTAACAAGCTGGAAATTATTAAAAATGTCATCATCATAATGAAATTGAACGAATTTCTTTACTCACAGTTTTCATTGCATTTAAAAACGCATAGCACCTGGCATTGGATCCAACAATCAGGTCATTTGCATATTGAAGTCCCAATTTAATTATAGCTGGATGAAGTTGTTGATTTACTTTAATATTCAAATCACATTTATCAGCATAAAGATGTTTAAATAATTTAACTTTATGGACGGCTGTTGACTTTGCTATTGTGATACTTCCACTCTTTGTTACAGCTACTGCCGGTGTTGGTTTTGTGCTCACTTTAGGTGACTCGACAACTGCTTTTGGTTTTGAAACAATCGCTTTCTTATCTTCGACTAACTTTGTCTTAGCAGCTCGTTGAGCTTCTTGAATTGCACGTCGTTCTGCTTTTGTTGCTGGTTTTGCTTTTGTTAATGAAGTTTCTAAATTTATTGTGTCATCAGCGATGTGAAGATTCTCCATTTTTACTGCCAGTTCAACATCGGAATTTGTTTTCATTATCGGATTTTTTTCTTTTTCTTGATTTAAATTTTCTCCTTTCTTCTTTGCTGCTTGTTTTGCTAGTTTTCGTGCTTCACGTTCTGAATGAACTTGATCTCTACTTTTCTCAGTTTCTTGTCTATTAACTTCTTTAGATGTTGTTGAATGCGATGAATTCTGCTCGGCAGTTTTATTCGGTGATGGTGCCGTCGTTGCAACAAGTTTTACCTCATTTTTAGGACTTGAAACGATTGCATTATCCTTTTTCTTGCCTTGCATCTTTGCAGTCTTCTTCGCTTGACGTTCTGCCAAGATTTGTTCCTTTGATTTCTCATTAACTTTATTCATATTTCCCTGCTTTTCTTCTTCTTTTCCTTCCTTTGAAATTTCTTCAAATTGATTTTCTTCCGAAATGTTTTCCGCCGACAAACCTTTTCGTTTTAATCTTTGACGTCTTCTTCGAGCTGCCTGAAAAGTTAAAATTGTAATTCCATGTGCATGAAGTGAAATAATCAGTGCAAATAATGAAATTTTAAATAAACCTTTTTTGAAATTTTTAAATCCATTTTTTGAAAGCTTTTAGTAAGAAATAAATGTTTATTTTATGATTTAATGATGAGAAAAACCTTTAATACAAATACTTACAACTTATTTTAAAAGTTGAGGATGTAGGAAATGACAATTTTTAATCTTTTTTTAAATTACTTGTAAATAAGAAATTTATTGAATCGACTTAATGTTTACATTTTTCATGTGACATCATTTAGGGATGGTTTTTAAAAAAATTTAAAAAGACGTTAAATTTATTATCTATTTAAAATTGACTGAAATTCAAAAAATCAAACGTTATGTGAAATTTCTATTAGGTCTAAAATCTTCAATTTCATTCGAATTCCACCAATTCCAGAACGTCGTCTCATAATTTAATGCTAATTTTATTCCCTCTTGAAAATTACAAATTTGTAAACATTCAGGTGTAGCAACATCTTTGTGTTCCTTATAGCAATTTTATAGCAAGTGGAGCAAAGCTTACTTTGTGAATCAAAGTACACTACATCTTGCAAAGGCGCCAAAATATTTAGAAAATATCTTAGAAGGAATTTCGTGCTAATTAAAAGCAAAAAGGCCATAAATAAATGAGTCAACACTCAGATTTGAAAGAAATTCACATATTAAACCTACCGGATGAAATATTTCTTCACATCTTCAGTTATGTCAACATTTCATCACGTAAAAACGTTTTTCAAGTGTGCAGAAGATTTTATGAATTAATGTGTGTCGTGGAACGAGACTGTCATCCATTGGAACTTTCATATTCGCAGGTAACTATACCAAAGAAAAAGAATATACCTAATTAACTGAATGTTCATAAAATATCTTTCATAGATTTGTGACGAGGAAATTCGCTCTTCAATCGTCAACTCTTCTCGTGAGTTTGAAGATCTGACAATCTATCATGGCTTGTATGCAATGATAAAGAACATGGATACGTATGCTATTAAAAATGTGATGCTAAAATTCGGAAAAAGAATAAAAAAGTTTAAATTACGGAGATTAATTTTGCTGGAATCGGAGTTGAGAAGAATATTAGATTGCGTTCCTAACGTGGAAAATCTGACACTGGAGGACATTAAAGTGATCAACCCGGATGAAAATATTTCTGAGCTCAACTTATACAAACTTAAGAAGTTAACGATAATGAATGGCTCCATCTGCTTGAATATCCTCAACAGATTACCAAAAGATACAATAAGAGAAGCAATTATTTCAATTCGTGATGTAGATCGGAAGAGCGTCGTNACGGAGATTAATTTTGCTGGAATCGGAGTTGAGAAGAATATTAGATTGCGTTCCTAACGTGGAAAATCTGACACTGGAGGACATTGAAGTGAATATCGGACCGATTAAAAGTATTTCTGAGCTTAACTTATACAAACTGAAAAAGTTGACGATAATGAATGGCTCCATCTGCTTGAATATCCTCAACAGATTACCAAAAGATACAATAAGAGAAGCAATTATTTCAATTCGTGATGTTGACAAAGGTTTGCAACAGTTCTTCAATCAACAAGCTAACATTAAGATGCTTGAAATATCTTATGATAAACTTAATTTCGATCATCTCAAACTTGAACATTTAAAGATCAACAAGGAATATAACGATTCGGAATTAATCAATTCGAAATTTATAAATCTTCCTTTGATTTTGCGGCAGCAGCCGAGACTTCGTTACATCGATTTTCAATATAATTTAATTGATGATGAAATTTTTACGGCAATCTGTGAATTGAAAAATCTCGAAGTAGCAAAAATGTGCGTCGATCTTATTATGCCTTGTCATGTCTTTGAATCTCTTAAATACCTCACACATTTAAAGGAACTTCAGCTAAAGTCTGATAAAATTCATGAGTGTAATCATCTCCACGAGTTGAGCAGAATGCATTTAATGATTGAAAAGTTAACACTTTTATACAAGCCCGAAAAAATTTCACCAGAATTCTTCATTCAATTGAGCCAAAACTTCCGGAATCTCAAGCAAATTAGAATTTTCAATCGCTCGATCAGTACCATTAACACAATTTTAGAAAACTTTCCCAATCTTGAGTCGATTGTTTTCAATTGCCACTACTGGTCAGAAGAAGATAGTTTGGTAATCAATGAAAATCTAAGACATGAGAAGCTTAAGGAAATCATTGTGACCGATATTTATGACGATTCAGCCAATACCACAAGATCGCTTCTCACACTTCTCAATGTTTGTCCGAATCTCGAGCGAATAATGTTATCAAAGTTGGTTGAAGTTTATCATGAAGATCTGCAACAAATTGTCAATGGCCATCCTAAATTAACTCATTTGAATTTTGAATTCGATACTTTTATCTTTCAGGATGAAACAATTGATCTTATCCGCACAGTAGCAAGCAGACTACAATTTATTGAATTAAAAGGACTCGATAGATTGACTTACTTCCAAACTGAATCATCTCTAAAAGACCTGTTTGAGGATGAGTTTAACAATATACGCTATAGAGCATTCGAAGATTACCAGTACAAAGATGAAGGCAATACTTTTATTCACAAGGGCGAAATCATCATGAAGAAACGAAATGTTTCCGATTGGTGTCGGGATGTTAATAAATTTGATTATATTCCCTATCCAGACCGAATTGAACCTGCCANCGAATTCCCCCTGCCATATCACTTTTTTCATAACAAATCGTTGAATACGAATTCATAACAAAAAAACTGAAATAAAATTTCGATATTTCATGTTAAAATTAATTAAATATATTTTAATTATCTTTTTATATGTTTGTCAATTTTTATTGTGTTTCTTGTCTTTTTTAAATTAAGCCAACCTGAGACAATTTTTCCTACAAATGCGTGTTCATATTCCTCTGTGCGAACTTGAGCATCAATGTTGGGAATTCTTGTTTTAAGGTTATCATAAGCATCTAAAGGTATAAACAGCTTCATTCCCTTTTAATGGTGATGTTGTCATGCTCGCCTCGTCATGACCTGTAATAAACAATTTTTTTAATGTTCACAATAAATTTTCCAGAAATCAAAGTTCAGAATCTCACCTGCTTGTCCAATCGCCCAACTGGGATTTCTTCTTTTAATTAACTCATTGAAGATAGCGCTTTCAGACAGTTCATTTGTTTCGTCATTTGCTAGAATTGATTTTCCCAAATTTCAATTCCTTTATCTTTATACATATCTTTCGGCTTCAAGCTTTTGCTTGTGAATTGCACCAACTCCAGCACGTTGTGTCATAATTTAACAATATTAGTTTTATTTCTTCTTGAAAATTACAAATTTGTAAACATTCAGGTGTAGGAACACTTTTTGCTTTTTATAGCAATTTTATAGCAAGTAAAGCAAAGTAGATACATCTTTGCAAAAGCGCCAAAATATTTAGAAAAGATCTTAATAAAAATATCTATCCTGATTTGACATTGTCCTGTTTTGATTTGATTTAAAGAGTTATAAATGAATCAAGTGATTCTCCAGTTTTCATGACTTTTTGATTCTCTTGAGAATCATGAAAAACTGAATTCGGTCTGCTCGGATTACGAATGAAAGGAGTACGTTCAGATGTTTTTTATTTTACAAATAGTCATCAATCACAAAAAATATATTTTTTATTCTTTTAGACCACATTATATCGAAATTGCTTGGTGTATAGCGAAACAATGAATAGAATTTGGTATTCATTTTTGTTTACTGCTATAATCGTTGTAGGAAATACAATAGCTGTTGATGTTGCAAATAATACGATAAATAATGAAGTTCCAATGAATTCCTTATCAACAAATGATAAATCAACCACGAAGACTGATAGTACAGAAAACAAAATTACAGTAGAAAGTCACAACAATGAGGCAGATCTTGGAACCAAAGAAAATCCTTTTGATCCTTCGAAAATGGCAAAGATTCCTGATGAAAATTCAATAGGAAACATGAAATATTATTTCATTCTTCTAGTTTTGTCAAGTTTATCAGTAATTTCAGTGATTATCTTCAAAGCTCTTCGGTAAGTTTATATTCTTACTCACCAATATCTCATCACAAAATTTCATGTTGAATTATTTTGTTCTTGTTATATTTTTAGTTTACGTAAATCTCGAGCTGAAATAAAGTATGGCGCATCCAGTGCAAAAGACAGAAGTGAAGTGGAACCTCTGGGAAGATCTAATTGGCTTGAAGAGTCTTCCGATGAAAACGAGGATGAAATATTTGACATAAACTTTCTTAAAAACACAAGAACTCATACAAACAAGGTCTAGTCATGAGAGATTGTTGCTCACAGATGATTGATTCACTAAACAGTTACGAATAAGAGTTAAATATTTAGATTTTAAAAACTTTTTGTTTCTTTTCTTCCATTCAGTTTCGTAATAATCTAAAGTGAAATTTTATTTTGCTAAATTAATCATGAACAATTTTCATTCTCCACCCACGCAGTAGTTTTTTCTTGACACTATGATTATCTTTTACACTTATAGAATTTCTAGTTACCTAAACTTTTTTTTTGTTGAATCAAAGATTGTTTTATTTTAATTCTTCTAAAACCTTATGAAGCTATTTTTCATCAATGCGATAAAAAATGTGATATTTTTGGAAGAGAAAAGAAAATAATAAATGAAAATTAATTAAGAAATAATTAAGTGAACCTAGAAACAGAGACGTAAAAAGGAGCAAGACATTGACCTGGAGGAATAATTAATCTTTCGGGATCTACCTGAAAATTCGTTTCACTATTCTTATTTTTCAACTCAGTTTCCTGTTTGATTTTTATACCTCCAAGAATAAATAACGCAAAATATGACAACATTGCAAAATAATCGACTATTAATTTTAAATTCTGTATTGTCACATCAAAGCAATATCGACCAGTGACGATCGTTGTCGTCTTAACAAGATGACATGAGATCAAGTATCTGTCTAAGAAATCAAAGTTTTTATCTGTTTTTGTTTTGTATTTGAACTGTGAAAACAAAATATATTTTTTTTACGCTAATAAATTAAATATTAATAAAAAAAATTTACTAAATTTCTTTTTCTGTTTCTTTTGTTTTTATGTCGTTTAGGGTAAAAGATTGTGAAAGTGATTTTTTCTTCTGTTTATCAGTGACTTTTGTTTTAAATCATATTTCATGATTCATTCAGAAAACTGCAAAGCTTAAATTTTAAACTGCTGGTGGACATTTTGCATTGCAATATTTTGATTCTAATCGATTTCATTTCAATCTATTATGACAGGAATTGAAGTGAAAAAAGTGAAAAAATATAAAATTTCCACTTATAAATCTTCACTTAATGAAATTTCTTTGACATCAAATCGCAGTTTGGATGAATTTTTGATCATTCCGGCTGGCAAGAGATCTTTAATTTCACCACCATCTTCAAGCTGATACCAGCAATCGTTGTCTTCTTTCTCAATTTTTATCGGAGATTGATCAGCAGATGAAGAAGTTGGTGATGATGAACAAGACGCAGGTGAGGTTGATGGGATTTCTTTCTTAGGAATTTTGCAATCATTGTTTACTTCGCTGTCACTATCACTCTTTAATTTCGATTTCCTAAAAATATCCATTAAACATTAATTTATATTCATCTTTCGATAAAAGCTTTCTCTCACCTTTTTTTCTTCATTTTTATCGGCGCACATCCACGTTTCTGTATTTCCCTAAAAATGTTTTCGAATTAAACGTCTTGCATTTTAAGTTAAGAAATTATTTAACTTACATCATAAGCTTTTTATTAAGAATTGGCATTGGTGCTGCACAAACTTTTCCCGGCTCTTCCGGATGACACCCGAAATCTTTTCCATTAAGCCAATTTTCATAACGTTCTGGTTGAAATCGTCTGACGAAAGTTTCCATTGAAATCTTCACCATATCTTTTCGGCAGTGACATTGTGAAGCTCTTTTGCCATATTCAATCCATCTCTCTGATGCAAAGTTTGTGCTTTCGGCACAGTTGAACCCATGATTGAATCCGGCATGATAACCGAATGGAAATGTGATCATAATCTCCCCAGGCTCTTGCGTAATTTTGTTGAACGGAATATTATGTTGCTTTAGAACTTGCGGACTTATTAGTGTCATCTTGTGACGCAGAAACGCTGAGCATTCATTATAATGTTCACGAAATGTCATATTCGCAAGTTTTTCAATCTTTCGACCATCTGACGGTGGAATTGCGTACCATGTCTTTGGTGCACCAAAATGAAGATAATTAATCGAATATAAGTCCATATCTTCTGTGTGCCATGCAAATGTTGTCTTCCACATTCCAAAGTATAAGTAACTTGTATTAACACCTGAAATGGCTTTGTGATAGTCTTTCTCCACATAATCTAAAATTGATCCCAGTCTATTTATATTGAAACTTGTCACATCTTCATCTGTGAGAGTTCCACTGACATCAGCACCTAAAATTCAAATCCATTTTATATTTTTAATTCGTTTAACTTTATTGTTTACAACTTACCATAAATTGGTTGAATGTAAGTCACATTCTTCCAAAACTTCCTCTCCAAGTCTTCATAATCAAAGTATTTTGGCGTTGAGTAGCGTTCTGATGAAGCTTTTTTATAATATTCTTTCACAGTCATAGGCTTTTTTTGAACATTGAATTGCTGATAAAATCCTTGTTTTCCCGTGACAAATTGAAGAATCGGGCTTTTTATTGTGATGTTTATATCATCTAAACTGTATCCTGATTTCCTTGGAATCCATTCAGCTGGAGGAATAATCTGTTAAAATTTCATGAGAAAATATCAGAATTGCTGTTTTTGTCTTCAACTCGAAGTAAATAATAAAAATTTACTTTCGCTAATCCTGCTAGGTGCGCTCCACATTTTTCCATATATTTAATGTATTCTGGGAAGTTTTGAAACTCTTCCCATGTTGGTCGAAAGACCATTATTCTTGGGCTTGACATTTTTTCCTAATATCAGCAGGATTTTACAATAAAAATCAATTTGATAAATTTTATTTCTTTTTCTGTTTTCTCTGAACAAAAAAATACGCAAAGTGAAGAAAATCACGTAAACATCTAAACAGGGCCGAATTTACGTAGAAAAGTTTCTATTTCCAATAAGAATTTTTTTCTGTTTTCCGGAATGCACAGAGATTTTAAATTAAAAGCAATATTACACAGTAACTTGATGAAGAAATTAAGGAAATTGAAATAAGATTCAAGTTGAAAATACTGAAGCGATTCTGTAAAGCGGGGTATAAAACTTTCTCTAAATTTTGACGTCAAACTGCCATACAAAGTTAGGTACTTCCGTTACGTAAAACGTACAAATCTTTACGTAAATTTCATATATGAAGACACTTTAATTTTACATAGATGTTTTTAAGGTCTTGTTTTGCATGACAAGTGAAACTTTTCGATTACAATAACATTCGAATCGTTTCTTACAAAATAAATAAATAATAGAATAAATAAGGGTTAAAAATGCTTCTCCGAACCTTTTTTAGACCAATTATAATTCGTAAGTGAATTGGATTGATTTGAAAATTTAAAAGTAAAATTGAATTTCCTTAATATTTAGATCGAAATCGAAAAGAACTTCTTCGTTTCTCATCATCGGTTGCGGAAGCTACCAGCTCAGAATCTACAGAAAGTTCCACAGATGAAAGTGATTTACCAGTAAGAATGGAAAATCCTTTTCGCAAAGAAAGAGTTCAGTGTGTATTATGCAAACACCAAATATCGCCGGACTATAAAAACGTTAAGTTGCTCTCCCAATTTCAATCACCATTTACTGGAAGGATTTATGGAAGGCACATAACTGGGTTATGCAAGAAAATGCAGAGGAAAGTCGAACAAGAAATAGTCAAAGCTCAAAAAAGTGTATTGATGGGTACAGTAACTAAAGACGTTCAATTCTTTAAAGATCCAAAACTTTTTGATCCAGAAAGACCAATTCGACCACACAAATATTAAGTTCGTTTATTTGTGCTTAGAATTTTTACATAATACTAAAATAAATTCAAAGAAATAGATTCAGAGTAATTTCAAAGTCATTCAACATCATTCCTCAATTGTTATTTCAGAATTTACATATTTGCGAAGATATTTGATGATCTTCATGTTCAAATCGATCCTGGTGAACTTGCACTTCCTTCAACTCTCATTGCAATGGAAAAATCGAAAAATTCACACAAATATCCGCTACCACCAGATTGTGGGGTGGAAAAGATTATTACATGATATTAGATTTGTTGATATCATTTTTGTTGCCACTAGAAAGGCTTCCAATATTTTTTACAGAGGGAAACCTTCATTACAATTGTCCTCCATTTCTAGAAACGCGTAAAGTTTTCGAGAAAGTATTTTATGAAGCACAACAATTTGATATGCATCCATATAAAAACATTAAAAGTCATAAAATTTTTGTAAATTTACTTTTTTATTAAAAGCTTTTTATCAAAGAATGATGTTGAAACATGGATGAAAGAAATTTCTTACGTGTTTTCATCACGTAAAGTTTCAAGATCAACTTTTTTCTAACACATTGTATTAATACAATCTATGACATTTGTATTTTCTACTTTTATGTCTTGATCGTTTTAAAGTTTTTATTATTTTCTTATTCGATACTTTTTTATTTACAAAGTTTTCGGAAAATCTTCTTAAATATTTTCTGTTAAAATTTTTTTTCGTTAAAAATGACACATCAAAATAATTTCTATTGCTTAGTAAAAGATTTGAAATGAATGAAAGCTTTCTAACAGCTACAACTACAATAAATAGAATCCTAATGTTAACGATAGATTTTATTTTTATTCTTCTGTCTTGATACATCGTCCTCTGTAGCATATCTCTCCTGTAACTTTTTGACTCGTACTTGTTTTAACTTGCTTTGAGTTAGACATAACTACGGATTCTTCTGATTTCACAGCAGAGGTGAATGTAGTTGGATATTCAGTTGTAGGAATTTGTGTAGTTGTGCTGTCTATGAGAGCTTCAAGCTTATCATCGGCTTGTTCCATGTTTACGCCATCATCTGAATCTTCATCAGAAAACAACTCACTCAAAGCTTTTCTTGCTTCGTCGAACATTCCTGTTTTTGGTGATTCTGTAGAAGGTTCCAAAGTTGTTGTTTCACTAAACACATGTTCTAAGGGTTCTTGTGTCGTTGTTGTATCAATCAAATCTTTCTTTTCTGTAGTTGTTTCTTGTTGTTTATGCTTCTCATTTTCCTTCTTATTATTGTCAGTGACAGCATTGTACAAATGTTTTCCAATATTTTGTGTCTCAGCAGTTTCAAATCCATCGGCTGGTCGTACCTTCACTCTTTTCCATACGCCACGTCTTCCAGCTTTCTTATCATTCACTATGGGTTTCTTTTCAATTTTTGTGTCTGTCTTTACTTCTTCATCTTCAATATCTTCTAGAACATCCTTCACAAATTTCTCAAAGCTTGATCCGAGGTCACTGTGAATAATGAAGAAAACTTTATTTAAAATCGAAATGTATGAAACGAAATTATCTTACTCGTCGTCCTTAATTTTCTTTTCAAGGATAGTTTCTTTCTCCGTCGTTGTGGTAATCACGTTAATAGAATCGTCGTTTTCACTGCTTGTCTTTTCTGCTTTAGTGGGTAAAACACTCGCAGACACGTTGAAGAGATAATTGTCCTAGAATGACAGATATAAAACTAACGATTTCAATAATAATGTGACATATCAAACCTTTTCGCCTTCGGGTCGGGCAGTTACAATTTCTTGTTCATCATCAATTTCAGTGCTTTTAAATGACTTCAATTTATCTCCATCCAAAGGTTGGAAAGAGTTTTGATTGTAGCCCGCTGACCATTGACTCTCTTGAGTTTCTAAACGGAAACGTGAAGTATTTTCGCGAATGCGGAATCGTGGCTGAAGAAAATTAAATTTTAATAAAATATTTATAGGGAAAAACGAAGAAATCTTACTTTATATTCTTCATTTGATGTTTCAGCTTCTCGGTTTCTCGTTGATTCTCTGTTAGAGTTTCGATTATATGATGCACGAGTTCTCACAGCAACTGAACGACGTGTTGTTTCAGGACCTTCTGTTGTTGTTGTTGTTTGACGAACGCGTCCTCTAATTTTTTTTACTACAACAACATTTTCCTTTCTTGTCTTTTGTCGACTCTGTCAAAAAGCAAAAATTAAAAAGGGTTTTTAAAATCATTCTATAAATAAAGAAATAAATTCTTACTGAATATTCTGTCGATGATTCGGTATCAGGCGAAATTGTTGACTCAGTTGTTGTCGTTGAAAAGGGTAAGCGACGTCTTGGGAAATTTGACCGTCTGGGAATTGGTGACTGCGTTATCTCAACAGTTGTTGTCTCTCTTGGAGTCGATTGAGTCGTTGGAACTGTAATCAATATTTCATCATCTTCATTATCAGGTTTTTGTGTAGTCGAATCATGTGAGTTGTAAAATGCATCAATGTTACGATGTTTGTAATTAAAGTTTCCTTTAAGTCTATGAGCGACAGTTTTATGTTGTGGAATGTCAACTTGTTCTGGCAATCCTACAAAACTATTCGAGAATTGTTTGTGATTGCTTGGGAGTGAAGTTTCTTGAGTTGATGATGATGTTGTAGTGACTGTTGTGGTATCAAAAGTGTCTTCATAATATGTTGGTGATTTAAAACGATGTTCACTATTATCATTTGAATTACCGCCAAGTGGAATTACTTCCACGCTTTCAAGAGGTGCATTATAATCATTGATGATATGTTCAGCTGTTGGTGTCGAAGAAGGTTCATTATGAATATGAATACTTTCAACAAACTTCTCAGTTGTTGATTCTTGCTGTTGAATGATGGGACGAACCGAAGATGGATAGTTTTGATTTAATACGTCTCGTTGATATGCAATATTTTCTTCCTCCTTTTTAACTGGTGTTCGTGATCGTGTTCGGAACCTTGACCGTTCTTCAGCCGACGGACTATACTTCACTTTCGATCCACGACTAACTGTTGACCTAGTGGGGAATGAAGTTTCACTTCTAGATGGGAATGAAGCTTCAGTTGATGATATTGAAGATCTCGACGTGTATTGCGTGGGACGACGTCGAGCTGTTGGTTGGCGTCTTTCACTTGTCGTGTCACTTGAAGTTGAACGATATGAACTCGTTACAGGTCTTCGACTTCCACGATTTATTGGACGACGAGTTGAAGTTGTCGTTGTCGTTGCCGGTGTCGTTGTTGTTGAAGGTTCTTCTGTAATATTCGACTTTTGCATCCATTTATCTTCCGTAAGTGAATTTATCCAACCTGGTAATTGTGGACTAATTTGTGGAAGTTCAGATGGTAAAGTGTAATCAGGATTGTCTGTTGTTTGTATGTCATCATTTGTGACATAATTTTCAGGTTCTTTAACGATGTCAGTCACCTCTTGAGAATATTGCGATGGCGTGTAAAGATTGTTTTGTGTGTAAGTTTGTTCATTTCCAAGATTAAATCTGTTATGAGTGTACTCTTGTGTTGTGGGACGTGGAGTTGAACGGAATTCAAAGAAATTTCCATCAGTTCCACCAAAAACTTCTGAATTTTCAATAACAGAAACTGTTGGACTGATATCGAAGGATGGAGTCGGAGCGAACGTTGATGAAGGGAATGAGAATTGCGAAACACTTTTTCTTGTTGTCTCTGGGGTTGTTTTAGTTGTTGTTGTTGTTGTTGTCTTCACTCTTGGCTTTCTTGTTGTTTCATAATCATTTTCATCGAAATTAAAGTTGGGGATTGGACGGAAATTAAAGTTTGCTGATGGCTTATCAACTTCCGTTCCGAATTTGAACGAGAATGTTGGACGTCTTTCTTTTTCAACACCAAAATATTCTTCATTAACGATTTTATGTTCTTCCAATTCGACATACGATTTTGGTTTTTGCGTTGATGACGCACGTGCTGTGGAACGTGGCGATGTTGGGAAATTTTCCAATTTCGATCTTGTAACGGGAATTCGTGTTGTTGTTGTTGGGTTATATGATGAATGACCATAATTACGTTGTTCTTCAATATGTTTGTAAGCAACTTTAGTAAGAGGCGTTTCAGCTGTCGAAGGTGAAGCAGTTTGAGCAGCAAATGATGGTCGTGGTGTTGTGAAAACTGTTCTCGATTGTGTTTGGAAAGTTGGTGGTGCTGTGCTTCGTGATGGAGATAATGTCGGGAATGTATACTCGTTTCTGATTAATTGAACGTCTCCATTTGGACTGTAATTGAAACCTGAAGTCAATGAAATCTTCTGATGTGTCTTCGGGCTTGTCTCTATATTCTGTGTAACCGTCGTAACTGGTTGTTTCGTATAATATGCTTCTTGAGTTAATCCTAAACTTTCTTCTTTCTCAATTTCATTAGGAGGTTGATTTACAACAACAGAACCGACATGAGGTGCAGGGAGTGGAATTTTTGAGAAGCCTGGTGGTGTTCGATAACTCAAAGGTGCAACGAAGAATGGCAACTGTTCAATCTTTCGTTCATATCTCGTTCCTTCAATGCTTGATAGATAAGGCAAGTCAAACTTTTCGTAACCACTTGGCGGAGGCATTCCAGATGGTCCAATAAATACTTTCGGTGCATTTCCACTTGTTATCGAATCCATAACGTCAATACTGTTTGAATGTTTTAAAGTATTCAACACATCAGCTTCAGTAGCCTTTCCCTTGAACTTGTCAATAGCAACAAACATTGACAATGGAGGCTGATGAGGTTTCGGCTTCGTAACGCTTTCGAACGGAGTTGTTGGCTTCAAACTTGAAGTAACTGGAGCGATTGTAGGTCGTCTTGTTGTGACAGGTTTCTTTGTTGTAATTGGCTTCTCAGCAAACTCTTGAACTTCATTTTGCGAATAAAAATCATTGATGAGTGAAGCACTAACGGGTTGATTCAAAATATTGAAGCGATTGGTTTTTGTTTCGTCGAAAGATCCCCGCGGTGATTGCTGCTGATTTTGCTGTTGTTGTTGATACAATGAATTGAATGGAACATAAAGCAATTGAACTTGATCTTCAGTTTGTGGCTGTGGTTCAGTTTCAAGTTGATAAAATGGTGGAGGTGTTGGGATTGACTGGAACGGAGGTGGCGATTGAGATTTTTGGAATTGTGGCGTACGAGTCTGTTGGAACGTTGGCTGAGTATTTGGTGGGAAGCTTTGAATAGATTTTGGGATTGGTTGTGATTGATAATGACGAACATGTGGTCCACGTTGAACTTCTTGCATGTACTGGAATGGTGGAGGGTTCTGAACGAGTGGTTCAGCGATTGGTTTGTTATTCAATGGACCACCAAATGTTTGAACTGTTCTCGTTTTCTGAGGGTTGCTCAAATATTGGAAGGGTGGAGGATTTTGAACAGCAAAATTATTAATTTCAGATGGAGATGGAACGGGATGACTTATGTGAACTGGATGTGCCTGTTGAAGACCAAAACGGTTGTTCAAAGGCTCAGCAAAAAATTGGTATTGAGTTTGAGGTGCTGCTAACAAATCTTGGTTGAAATTTATTGTTTTCCCATTACGAATCGGCACCCAATCATTTGCTGTTACGGGTGCATTTGGATGAAGCTGCCTCGACCATCGCTCGCCATTCACAGTGATGCAAACATAAATTAACGCAATCGTTAGCGTCAATTGTTTATTGAGGAATCTCATTCTGTAACGAAATTTAATGAAAGGAAAAGTTATTAAAGACGGTGATGTAAGAAGTTATAAAATCAGAGCACTTCCGAAGCGTCTCTCGTTTAACGCTTATTATGTACAACGATCTATTGTTGATGTGAATTGAATCAACAACTTTCACCATCTTCGATGATCGTGATCATCCATTTCTTTCTTATTTCCACTCTAATATTTAACACCTGATATTGTCTCAAAAATCGATCTGCTAACAAGCAATCAGGTTGAATTTGAAACTATTTAAAATAATGAAAAGCTTTCGATTGTACAACATGCAATTAAAACAAATGAAATTTGATCGCATTTCTCCATGACGAAGTGTGTAGATAGATAAAAATCATTAGTTACTTAGTTTTTTTTTATTATTTTAATTTCGGTTTCATTATTGTGTGCTTTTTTCTTGTCACCACAATTTCTCTCTGCTTGTGAATGAGTGGAACATTACTTAAGTATGTACAATCTTTCAATGACTCAACGAAATGTTAACTGATGGAAAACAGAAAAGAAATTTGAATGTAGATCGTTGCACGTCGCTTCGTTTTGTTTGAAATCCGATTTATAGCTTAAGGCTGGAATGTTGTGATTACATCTTTGGTTGCGGTAAAAGCAATAAATTAACAAATTAGATTTCTTAAATATTTGTCATTTTCTTTTAAATGTATTGTTGTTGTCTTCACTTTGAAAGGAGAAAGAAATATTCGTGTGAAAATCTACTTTTTTTGGAAGTTCATTACCGCTTTCCCATAGAAATCAATTTAACAAAATTCCCCTTCATGCAAATTTAACTCGAGAGCTTTTTTTCATTTTCAACTTGAAAGATAAATTAACAAGATAAGCGTCTCATTTGAGTGTTTTTGTTAGTTTCTCAACGCTTTGATTCCCCCAATTTTTCCTGCACTCGACTGAAGCTTAATGAAGCAACAAAGAAAATTTGTGCTGAACATCTTGGAATGAAAGAAATTCGTAACATATTTATGATGCTTGATGCTCAAGCAAATTATTAAATTATTGCCAAGAAATATGAAATTGTGAGCATGTGCTTACATCAACTTTCTCCTCACATATTCAACACTTGTCTGCAAAATCAAAACCGGCGATTTTGAATGAAAATAAAATCATTAAAGTGCTCAAGTTGATATGAAGGAGAATCAAAACTGTGCCATAAATAAAATTTAATGTCACAATTCACAAATGCGATCGAAAAGCGTTTAAAGTTGAACATTTTTAAAGTTTCACTGCCATTCAAAAATGTGAAAATAAAAATTTTTAAAGAAGAATGTTTAGTGCTTGGAAACACGGCTACATGCAATAAATTCACCTGCAGCATGCGAGAATAAAATCAACATGCAGAGCAACGATAATCAAAAGCAGCAGAAAACTTTAATTTTTTTTCCTTCAAAACTTATGCAGCGAATGAAATTTCTTTTTAAGATGAAGAAAAATTCGATTTCTTGACGAGAATTAACAAATTTTGTAAGTGAAAATAAATTATTACAAATTTAATCTTCTTCAAGATGAAGAAAGTTTAATTCGATTTTAACTGCTGTTGCATTTGGTTTCTTTCATTCGTTAGCAGAATAAAACAATTTGCATTGCATTAACGCTTCAGATATTCATGATGTGGGAAAAGAGATTATTTTGACATTTGCAAAAGAATCAAATAATCTGCGTGCTTTAAACCTCAAGCATTAACCAAGACAATCCTCAATCTGTCATAATGTGAAGATTAAAACCCTCGCATTTGTCATCAATAGACAAAATATTTAATTTCTGTTTCTCTTGATGAGTAATTTTAATTTCTTCATACTCTTCGTTAGTTTCTAACAACCAAATTTAGATTTTTATTCGTCCTTGAGGCTTGCGTTTAGTTCACCAAAAGTTACGAGATTGTGATGCCCACAAAGTCAATAAGTTATTACAGTCTCTGTAGGCATCTAACAGCATTTATAAGAAGACTGAGAAAATTGTTTGTAACACGTAATGACTTCATTATTGTAACGTATTTAATGATGTTATGCGGCAAATATTTTATAGCTGCTACCAATGAGATATTTCATTTCATGCAACATCGAAAGAAATAACTGAAATGGAATTCCTGGTCAGAACAAACGGATGAATGTAAAAAAGCTTTTCAATGGTAATTGAAGTGTGAAACTATCTTTTCATAAGACGAAACCTTTTTGTGATTACTGCAATGTAATTTCCGAAATTGTTTTGATTTAATCGCGCTTGATTCACTAATTTTCTTTTGCCAGACTTCCCATATTTGTGAAGAAACAATTCAATGAAAGTGAAAGAACATGATCAAAGATCATTAAACTTTCTCATAACCACATGCACAACATCGACTCAAGTTCATTTTAACAACAAATGATCATAACTCACGTGTAATTAAATTTCGATCAGATCAATCATTTCTCATGCAACGTAATTTATTTTCTCAAAACAACATCAGAGATTCTGGTCACAACTTCCTGCGAAAAATTAAATCATGTTGTGTGTTGACTCTGAATTAGCTGACGAATTTATTTTTCGTCGCTTTATGTCAACATGTTTCCTTACATTACGTTCGAATTTCTTCATGACACTGTTATTATGCTTTTGAATACATGATTAACTAGAATAAAGATTGCATCATCATCGTATAAGAATGCTTTGTCTTAAATCTTATGAAATAATTTACGAAACATTGCGCTTAGCAATTAAATATCTTATGCTCGTAAATGAAATAATTTCATCTCAATTAAAAAGTCACGGAAAATCATTTTAGTAACCCAAAATTGAATTTCAAACTCAAATTATTTGAAAACGTGCAATCAATTGAGTTCACATCCACAACGTGAACGTGCGATTTAATTTGTGTTTTTATAGAAAAATATCGCAATGAGTTAAGGTTTTGAATTTAATATTTTTAGTTTTGTTTTAATAATCTGATTGAAATAAATATCGATTCGATTGCAACATTAGAGCGACATTAGAATTTTTATAAACCCTTTCATATCGACCTTTCACTTTTTATAACTCGTTAGGTCTTAAATAGTTCAAATTGAACACAAACAAGTGAAACTTTCGATCATTCAGTTAATATCACTTTCAATTTATTGATATCAATCCCAATTAAAATCAGTCTTTCAATCAAATGACAACTTTATTGCTTTTTTGACTTATTTTCGATTACGAACGAAGAAAAAATTATCATTGGCGATTTAGCGTTTTCCAATATTGATGGTGTAATCGATAAAGGCATTTAAAAAGAAAAATTTTATTTCGTTAGTTGTAATTGAAAACCCGTCTTTAGGTTGGACAGTAACAAGCTTCACGCATGACTTTAGAGACGAGGAAAACATCACGAGGTGTGAGTAATATGCATAAAACTACTATAAACTGGTCTGATTATCTCATTAGACTTGTCTTGTACTTATATAATTAATAATGAATAGAGAAAGAGGGTGAGAGTTGACCATTCTCAATAAATTTTCAAGCTTTCGGAAGGCGATTCATAACATAGTCACCGATTATTCAATAATTTCATAATGAAATCACATGCGGATATTTTGCAGTCATTCAAAATAGTCAAGAAATTGACTAAGCAACACAAAAAATTCGTCCTTGTTCAAACTGTTTTTAGTATTACAAAAGTTACTTGTGAACATTTCAAAGTAAAACGACGTTCTAGAATTTTTAATATTTTAATCTATCCTTCATGATTAATAAGTTGTTGTTCATACCACGCGTGCTGAGTGAACTCACGATCTGCAATTATGATATCTATACAAATAAACGAAACTGTTACTCAAACTTCGATCATTTACATGACAATGGGCAGATAGACTTTTGCGATCAGTAAACAAATTATTTGCTTGAGTTGTATGAAAAGGAGTGGCGTTGGCTTTGTCGATCGGAGACTGTTCAGCTCATGACAAAAAAACATGAAATCATTGTTATTAGCGGCTTGAAACCGCGAACAGCATTATTCAAGTCGATATCATAAATATAGAAATTACAATTTTTTTGCATAGAATGAAACTTTATTTCTGTTTTGAATGCGATTTGACGTCGTTAAACGAGAGTTCATTAATTGTTGGATGTGTCAGAATTTAGAGGGAGTGAAGTTTGGCGAGCCGAACATTGTGAAAACAGTTTAAACATGCCACACGCCACGCCATTGAAAATTTCAATTTGAATTTGCAGACGAAAAAAACTAATAAATGGAAATTAATTCAGACGAAGTTGTCTCATGTTGCCTTAAACAATTCTAGTGATTCTAATCAAATGACTCAACATGGGTAAAACATAAAAATAATTTATTAACACCGCTCTTACCTCAAGTAGATATCAACGAAGTATTTTTATTAGAATTAATGTTAAGATTAATGATAAATTCTGAAATTATTTCATTCACTGATGACTAATTTGATAATAAAAAAATGTTTACGCTCAACTTGAGTCTGATTGTTAACTCTCTCACTTTACCTACTTTCAGCATAAATATGTTTATTTCCATGCTCAACGCAGCACAAACGAATGTCACAATTCAATCCATTAACCGCAAAACTTTTAAATCGAAAAACGATTTGACATCGATTTGTAAATGTATGTTTGGTTGTTAAGAAGTCGAAAGGTTGCTGAATAAAATCAATTTATTTAGAGAAGGATAAATTATATTTTATGTTGCGGGAAACATCATTTGATAGCTGCTGCTTGAACCGCATAAACTTAATGCAACTTAAATAGAAATCATCTGGGTTATTTGTTGATGCATGTGGGCTACTTAGCATAAACCATTTTTTGTAGCTTCTTTCACTTCTGCAAGATCATCAGGCGGTATTTAGTGAGAAATCTGTTTTTACGAGCACTTTCCATCGTCTGCTTTTATTGTTCTTCCAGAAATGGAAACTTTTTTTCTTTTCTCGGACCACGACCATTGTAATTAGTAAATGAAATTTAGTCATGCATGGAAACATTGTTCTCTTCATAGAAAATTTCGCAAAAGCTTATTCCAAAAAGAAAAAAAAATCTGAACCATCATAAAGGCATCACATCCGACGAGGTGGGCTCGAGTCAAACAAGAGAGAAAAGTTGAAGAAAAAATGAAAAAAATCATCAATGGCGATTAAGAAGCGACACAAAAGAAACTGAAAGTCCAACAGAGAAAGTTATGATCGATGTGTAGAGCAGTCAATAGTTTATGTTCATTGTCATATTTGCCGAATCTTTTCATGATAAAATAAATAAAGTGCAGAGCAAGAAACTTATTTACTTGCTGCTCGACGAGAAACATGTTTTTCATATGAAAACTTTTCATAAACGATCATAAACGGAGATTAATTTTGTGGTAAGTGAAGAAAAAATTGATTAATTTTAGCAGACTTCAAGAAATGGTGCGAGACGATCATGAAAGTCGTTTTAATCGATGTAGATAACAACAAAAGAAACTAAGAAAGGAATGTTTATTAAATGATGTCAGATTTATGCAAAAGGAAATCAAGAAAGTGAATTAACATAAATTAAATGGTCATTAACAGTTTGTGACATCATTCACGAATAATTCATTCAAAAAAAATTCCAAAATTAAAATCTTCTTACTTTGAATATTCACTTTCGATCATAACTTTTCTTTTCTCCAATTTGTGCAAGTCGAATTGTTTCTTAATTAGTGCTGAAAATTTATCTGAAGTTATTCATGGAGAAAATTGGAAGTTGGTGGCATTGATCATTAATAATCAATTCGTGAAGTGAATGGAGTATCGTGGTATCTAAGTAAGTATTCAGATGAAGAGATATCAATTAGTAGACATTAATAACAGAACTGTTAAAGAGACCATGAGTTGACTCACTAAATAGTGGTCACCTCGATGGTGTCATTAAGCATGAACTAGGCATAGAAGATATTAACGAAATTGAAAGTAGTTCAATGGTGGAGTCGAGCGACATCAGAAATTGAAACATTGCCCTCAGGCGAACATTCCATCATGAAATAGCATTGATTCGTCGTAAGCTATAAGATCATGTCTCGCGTGCGTCTCTCTTTAGCTTCTCTTCGCTAAGCTAATTCAGGTGATTCAAAGTAAAAAATGAAAGTGAATTTCGGTATAAATACAACAACGAAGGTTCGATCGATTAACATACGTCGAGGCGAGTGAAAACAGAAAGAAAGAAAAACCACTTTTGGGAAATAAATATTTGATTCAACGATTTTTATTTAACGTTTTCTCATTCACTGTCACTTTGTCTCTTGTTCCGGCTTATGAGTTTAATTTGCATGTTTAAGCACTCACACAATATTTATATTAAATGTGAGTTCAAGATCTATTGCTTTGACAGCATTTTGCAACATCTTAATTCAATTTAAAAAGATTTAAACTGAGTTAAGAGAGTCATCACGAGTCAACGAATCGATGTTTAAAACTCAAATTTAAAAGACCGACAACAATAGTAATGATTTCAATTCTTACAAAATATTGAAAGTTCATGCCTGTTGACTGCTTTGGCTTTAAACTATTAATCTTTGATTCATGCTCGACGACTTTTCCACCAATTATCCAACAATTCAATATAAAAAAAATGAATCAAGGGAATAGCCAAAGCAGTTTTTCTCTTTAAAAAAGCTTCAAATCGATAGACAACAATAAAAAAGAGTTTTGTTATGGAGTTTAACTTGATAATGACAGTAATAGACGACGAAATGAATAAAATTTTATTCTCGTATAGACAGAAGGAGAGAGAGAGAGAAAGAAGCAAAGATAGAGAGGAAAATGAAATTAATATACGATTTGCCAAGTAATTTTAATAGCGAAAACAACAATACAGAACTTTCATTGTGAAATGATCCGATTCCGCATTCGCTTCAAACATGAAAGCGAGAAAAAAAACAAAGAAATCTTGAGTAGTGGAATGATCCACTAAAAATGTAACTCGAGAAGAAAAAGTCTGTAAAATTTAGAAATATAATCTGAAGCAGTTTGATATTAATTAGGTACGTTAAAGCTTTCATCATCATTTAAAATGATGGAAAATATTGTGTCAAATATTTCAAAGTTCCCCGAAACTTTGGCGGATTAAATTGCATTTTCTCAAGTATCTAGTAAGATCAGTGAAAATATTCGTGTAAAACATGCTAAGCAAATAAACAAAGCATAAACGAGAGCTGATGATTGAAAATAGTTGTTTCGATTGGAAAGGAAAATGAATGAATTAAAATTCCAGCGAAGACGAGTAGCCAAATGTTTTTAAGTTAAAATATTTCTGCCTTTGCATTTGTGCACAGCTGTGTCAGGGCCTAAGATTGATGCACTTTTGAGCTTTTAATATGCAATGGAAAGAACATTCTCTTAAAAGTGTTTCTGTTTCAACTTGATTAAAGGCTTTTGTTGTCATTGAACCAGAACCATTAGATGATCACTTCCGCAGCTTTTCAAGTACACAAGCTGCTGGAGATCTGATGAAACTGAAGCTTTGTTAGTTCTTAATTTAACTTAATTTTCGCAATATCATCGGTCGAGCGTATTAGCAACAATGAGAGTAAAATTATGATCCATAATGATGGATATTTCATCAACTTCATCAACCTTCAAATAATTAAACATCCTAAATCACAATTACATAAAATTTTCCTTAGATTTTAATGAATTGACTTCATGAACAGCGAATTTAAATATTCACGTAAATTAATGGTAAATCTTCTTGGTAATTTTACATAAATGGATCTAAAATGACACAATCGAAGTTGAACTGTGCTTAATTTGACAACAAAGGAAAAACTTAGATGACAATCGCTTAACTAGCTGCTGAAATTTCGCAGATTTTTCTCACGATTCGAATTCTTCCAATTAAAGCAATTTCAGTTTGCTAAACTTTTTTATAACGACAATTTCGTCTCGTTGAAATTTATGTAGCTGTCGTCAGGAAAAGACGAAAGAAGAAGAATAATAAAATCAACATAAACCACGTAAAGCTCATAAAAGTCAAATTACAAGCACACACTTTTTGTTTTCGCCTTTTGACAGTTTTTACAAATATTTCGTTTGCGTTCACAAAACTTTCATGGGAGAAATTCTGTCGACTTTGGGTGTTAAATCGTGATGAATATTTTTCAATTTTTCTTCTTCTTAAAATTCGGTAACATGACGAATGAATTAATTGAAAATATTTTGACAACTTTGATGTCAACGCACGAAATTTTATGTCACGAATTAGCTTCTTCAATTTATTACCTTTATGAGATGAAACTCCTGTGATAAAAGTAGAAATCGTATCCTTGCAGTTGCAGTTAAATTAAATTTCACTTTCTTCTCCTCGCGTTTATTTCGAGATGAGAAATGTTTATTTTATTTTATTTCTCTTTACAACAATGTAAATTAAAGTTATTGACCAATTAACTTCAGACTTCCACTAGACTTGTCGATGAAGGAATCAGATTTCTTGTCAATATTTTATTTTAATTCATATTGAAAACTGTTTGCTTTTCACTTTTTTATTGCACTGAACTTCCGCTCGTGTCTTTAATTTTTAATAATTTTTAAATATAAATGATTAACTTATACCAGGATATCAATTTGATGAATTAGTCACCAACAGAAATTAAATCTTTTCCGACTTTTTTATAACTTTGGTTGCCTTTCTTTAGTCGATGATCGTTGTTTCGCGTCTGAATAGAAACTGAATTGAATTACGAAAAGACGGTGTATGGTATATCCGAAAGTAAGTTGTTGCTTGGAACGAGGCAAAACAAAAAAGAAAAAAAGAAACAGAAACATGCTGAAAGCCTAAGAGTAGCAGCAACAGCAGTAAGCAGCACACGTGAAACAGAAACGGAAAGAGAGACAAATTCTCAACAGAAAGAAAAAGTGATCTGTTTATGACTCGACTCGACTCGACATTGCACTCACAAGCATAGAAAACTTATGTATGACTTAACATGTTGCTGTAACAGTTTTGATCACAAGAGAGATTACAAGAAAAATTTCTCATCAGATACGACAATTTGAGAAGAAAAATGAATCAATTCAATTAAATAACCATCATTGATGGTCATTACAAGTTCTCAACTTGGAAAGTGTTACAAACATTTTAAGTTACAGTAAAAGTGTTGCAAAAATTCCTTAATTAAATTTTCAACAAATTAGGTATGTGTTTGCTAACTATTCAATAAAAGTAAATTAAATCAAAATAAAGTGCGTGAAACAGTGCAGATAAGTTTAGTTTAAGATTTCAATTCAGATCTAAGATCATCACGTGAAGAGTCAGTTTGTTGTTATGTTAATCACTTTAATGATCATCTTGGCAATCTCTCTAAGAAAGCATTGTTTTGACTGCAGACAAAAGCTTGAAAATTTCATTGAAGATGAGTCAAAGCCTAAAGATGACACGAAATTGAAGACATGGAACATGAACAAAGGTTTCATTACCGAAAAAATTATTTTAAATTGCGGTTACAAGTTTAAGTTAATGAGAAGATCACCAACATTACGCATTTTTTTCTGCATTATTAACAGCTCGTTACATAATTTTTTATTTTTCAATTTTGCAATAGAAAAATAAGAAATAGAAAAACTCATCCAAAGATATCGCGATGAATGGTTTGTGTGCCACTTTAAGTGCATTAAACTGCGTTCCACGTTTTAAAAGCCATTTGCATAACCAAGTGAAAACATATCGCATGATAATCGTTCCCATATTTTGAACTGCTTAGTCTGCTGACTTTGCCTAACTGTATCATTACGTGAAGAGATGGCAAATGCGAATTGCGAATATTTATTTCAATCAATGCAAAAATGACATGATGCGAGTATTAAGCGCCCAGTGATTCATTCATACTAACATGTGTGTACATTATGCTGTAATATGTTGCTTGATAAAATTTCCGCGTCCCACAAATTGATGTAATCGATGTCGCTTAGTGATGGTATTTAACTTACCTGGAATAAGTCGACGACTCAACTTTTCACGTAATTGAAAATTTCATCAATTAATTAAAACTTCTCTACTTCATGTTTTCTTTTGATAAATTATAAATTAGATATGAAACAATATTCCATGTTGTCTTGCTTCGCACCTTACTCGACCAACTTTTAGTTTAATCGAGAAAAATATCTAACAACAAACGAAAACTTAATAATCAAAGTCACAGCAGTAAGTAGTGAAAATTGAAGAATTCATAAAAGAATTGAAGCATTTTTTTATGATTAATTAATAAATAATAACCTTGATTAATTGAATCAAATGAATACAATAATAAATTGCTTTATGGGAGATTTTGTAAAGTTTGTGAGAAAGTTTTCAGAAGAATATTTCGGGAAAAGTTTTAATTGAGTTTGGCTATTTTGTAACTTTATGAGCAGATAGTTGTAGAAATTTTCGAAAGCTTTCAAATATTTATTTGATGCAAGCGATAAGTTTTAACTTTTTTAATTAATAAAAAAGAATAAAACGATGGTAAATGATGGAAGGTATAAAAAAGTTAACCGCAAGTAAATCAAATCTGGAAGAAATGCGGAAAAAATCCATCTTTGTTTACTTCATTAAATTCAACATGTTTGTGCGCAAAGCTTAGTTTATTGCTGCCTTATTCCAATCCATTACGACACATATTTTTAATGAATTTCATACTTTAAAGTTTAAATTGTCAGGGCATTTCTACTTCCTCTGATGTCACATAAACAAGTCGAGTAATATCGAAAAATATGCTACAAAAAAAAGAAGTTTGTTGTAAATTTAATGAAACATAAAACGATCGCGTAAAGGTTGCAATATTTTTCTTTATATTCCATGTGGTGATACGAATACAACAAACAACTTTCATTTAAAGGATAAAAAAATGGCATCAAAACTGCTGCTCCATATCGAATTCATTGTACGATGTTTTATCGCATTAAACATTCATAGAGTTACAAAATATCGATGACTAAAATTGGATTTCATTTCTTCGATACTCTGAATTGTCTTTATTCACAATTCCTGTGATTTTCACTTTCAATTAGCGAATGGTTGTTCGGTGGCCGCCCGAGATTCGCGATTCAATAAGAAAAAAGAGACAAAAATGCGTGTGTAAGTTTATCGTTTGCGGTTACGAAAGAAAAGAAGTAAAATTCCTTTGATTGCGAGTTTTGACACCCACAAGAGACACAGACAACAGACAGCATCGAATAAATGAATAACCTTTACGCTTTCTTTTCGTAAATATCCTCGAAATGCTACAATATGAAATTCTGCACATTCCTCGATCTTTTATTGATGTTTAAGTGGTTTTCGTCTGCTGATATTTATCATGCGAATAATAATAATAAGAAATATCATCGAAAATTTATCAACTTCAATTGGCTGTTTCATAGATTAAACTGAACAAACAGAAGAGTGTTTGCAATCATAACAGTCAGTTGCACATACAAAACGCTTTCCCATTCACATGCCAACGAAGTTTATGTTAATGAAAGATTATTTAAATAAATAAAATAACTTTTTCTTCATTCACATGTCGTCTATACACAAAACGGCACTGGTTTGGACGCTCATGAAATAATCTCATGCATATTGGTCAACTTTTGTTTTGTTTTCTTCTTCATTATCAACAAGAAAGTGAATGAAATCATAAAAACAAAGGAACATTTCTCATCTTATGATGAAAAACAAATAAACGGTCTGCACAAGTTCAAGCATGTCGTTTATCCACTTCCGGATATAAAATCTTATCAACTTATTTATTAAAATTAATCATTAGTTTTTAATTGAGTAAGTTGAAGATCAAAAGAAATTACTTGACCCAGGGCAGGTGTCGTAGCCACTTGATTTCACTCTCAACGGTCATTCACTGAATGTTTCTTAAATTTCTTTATTTTCTTCTCTCATCACAACGGGGAGACGTATGAGTGCTTGCTGAAATTAATTTGTTTAAAATTATGAAACTTAAATCTCATACCGGACGGGAGAGCTCGTGACTTTCTTCTCAGTGTTTAAATGAAATCGAAAGGTGATAAAATATTAATGACGGTGAATCAATAAAATTTGTGGCATCTGTAAACTCTGACAATATTCATTAAAAAATATATGACGAGACTGTTGTCGTTGTTTGATGGATTTTCGATCAATCATCAATGATTGTGCACATTTTTTTCTATTTTATTTTTCAACCGGAATTTACAATTCACTCTACTAGACAAATGTATTTGAATAAACATGAAACTCACTTCTGATTTCATTATTATTATTAAAAGCGATTTCATTTTACTCTGTAAAGTTTGACACATGATCATGTGCAGTTGAATATTTGAAAGAAATGTTCACATTTTCTTAATGTTACAAAAGCTTTGATTTCAGCACTTCGACTGTAGGTTGTTCCACTCCTTCTAATCTACAAGTTCAAATCTCAATCCCTCCGTAATACTAATTTCAAGCTAAATTTTATTATAAATCATCGACGTTCATTTCACGGTAAATAATTTTTTTCTATGCTTTGGGTTAGTTTTTTCAAGCAAATTTTTCTTTAATTTATTTAGTGTCAAAGGTCTCGTCAAGTGGAACATCAAATTCTAAGGGTCAACAACATTATTTGTCTCCAATTTCCTTAAATAATATAATACTTGAAAAACCAACAAACTACATCGTTCGCATAAATATTTTACATATGAACATATTTTTTTTTGTCTTGCGGCTTTTAAGAAAAATGTAAAATAAAATTAAAAAAAAAACTTTCTCTGCACAAGCACAACAGGTTTGGCTTTTCGACATTTGTTCCTTCCTTGCTCCATCGACAACAAAATATTTTTTTTCGATATTTTATCGTCAAAACTGAATTGTAATGGTTTGCTATTGACAATGACCTTCGTTTGCTGTTATTGACTTTTATTCGTTTCGTAAAAGTTTCATTTTTCGATTATACATATTTGTAGCGACTTTTATATTTGATTAATCAAAAAGATATCGCTTAAGTGATAATATCAATGAAATTTGACGCTGACAGTTCATTGCATTAAGATAATAAATAATGGTTTTGAGCTATGTCATTAATCTGACAAATTTATGATTGCAACGCTTGTAAGTAATGTCATGTAAAGTTAACTTACACATTTCAACATTTATTGAAATTCTCTGAAATTGAATTCATGTAAATGGATCATCTAATCTGCTGAAAAATTTATAAGAAAGAAATTTGATAAAAAAACAATTCTGAAGAGTCAATTTAGTTTGAAGAGGAAATCGATGATAGTCAGCCAGGAAATGTCAAATTCTACTGTCAGATATGCAACAGTATCAAATTTTATCGTGAATTTATAGAAAGTGAATGTCAAGGTACAATATGATGACACTTTGGAATATTTAAAATATTTAATTATTAGTCGAAATATGCATCCACTTGTATCGACAACAACTTCCCCATGACCAACAGTCATTATTCTGATTATTTGTGGTTTTATAAAATAAATTTAAATAAAATTCAACATTTTAATTTAAAGGAAGTAAACAAGGAAAGATTTGAATGCACAAAATGCTTCTTCCTGTCTTTCCGAAAGTTATTTACGATTAATTATGACATTGACAAAAATATTTTCTCATTTCAAAAATCTCTCGGCAATCAATTTTTGATGTAATGTGTTCCGTTCTTATTAGCAACGGATGAGTTAAACTCGCTTTCGATGATGTCACGATTACTTATACTTTTTTTTTGAAACTAAAGTAAATATTTTCTTCGCTTTTTATAAGAAAACTTTCACTCTTCGACATATTTGACGGAAATATTTTTCAACAGCTCAAAGGCTTAAAATGATATTCACATTGATATTGATCTCTAAATCACAAATGTTTTCATTTCATTGGATTTTTGTTTCTCAAATTATTTGCTGGTGTTGTAATATGCAAATTTATTTCTTCCAGGCATTTCCATCTGACGTCTCTGTTTTCATACATTCGTATTTTGAAATTATTAGCCACGAGAATTCAAATTAAACCTATGTAAAAGTTAATTTAAATATTTGTTGACCTAAACATCAAGAGACCGAAACAAAACGTTTTAAAAACTAGAATTAAGGAACTTTTCCTATTAAAAGTTTTCCTTTTTTGTGAAAAACCAAACTTTTATTTTCAAATGACTACAAGTTAGTATTTTGAATTGAAGAAGTCAAATGGGAAATGAAAATTTTAAATGGCATGGCAAGTTGTCTAACTTTAAGGCGTTAAATTTGACTGCAAAAACGTTTCATTCAACAGAAAATTTTCATTTCTTATGCTGCATATGAATTATCACGAATAAGCAAAAAAATAATCCATAACCTGTTAACAGTGCGGAAATGTTTAATTTTTAAATTTCCTCCCTAGGTAGCTTGAAGATTTTTTATTGTTAAAAGTAAATGCTGACATCATTAAAGGCACATTAACATTTAAATGACATGTGAAAATCGATAGAGAAATTTAATAATAACAATTTTCTGCCAATTTATGCGGTCATTGATAAAAATTATTCCTGGAAAAATTCAATTAAAAGTAGATATTGAAATAAAAGAATAACTAATCAAGATTTTCATCCTAAAATTTGTTTCTTTTATTCATAAGTTCATTTTTACAATTTTATTTTCTTGATGAATGAAAGCTTTTTGAGCTATTTATGTTTTTTTTCCATAAATTTAAGAGAAATAAGAAATGAAAAAGCAATCATCAACAGAAAACGTTTCCAATTAATGCGAAACATATTTTATTGATTTTTCGTTATACGAATAAAATTGAATTTTGTCATTGTAGGCAACCTCAAACGACATTTCATATTATTGTAAAGATACAACGGTAATCGATATCAATTGTCAGATTTTAACTCAATACATTCAGATATATCAAGAACTTTTGAATTTATTTCTCGTCACCCTCCTATGTCGTGTTGTTACGATAACATTGAACAAGTGAATGTTTCAGAGTTTTAAGTCATATATTTGCAAAAAATCAAAATCCTACCTACAAAAGAAACTTTAAGTTTATTCTAGAAAATGTGCAAGCATTTATAATTGTGGCTTAAGTAGATTTGTAAGTGGCTGAGTCATAAGAAATAATTCATAACTGAGAGGTAAATGTTTGGAAGGAGGTCACATCTTAATCTATCTTCATTTAGATATAATTTAAATGTTCGGTTGTGTCAAAGTTCCTCTCTTGTTCTTCTAAGCTATGTTTAAAACATAAGTTATAATAATTGAGTCTCAGAAAAATCTCATAAAGGCAATTAGGTTCACAAATAAAAGTTTAAATTGGTGAAGTCATTGAAGAACTTGTTGTTGGTGGAGAAATTCAGTGAACAAGAAATCATCCTCTTGGAGATGAAAAAAACGTTTTCATTTCAGACGGATAATTAAATTATTTTAGGAGCACGGACAACATACATTAGAAGTAAATTCACCCGCGATAAAACACTAAAAAAGTTGTTAACAATGTTTACATCTGTGGGTGAAGATAATTTATTCCACGAAAACATTTTGTATCAAAAATGAGCTGAGAATTTTACACATTTAAAGGTCGCTGACTTATCAATCATTTTGGTGGCAAACAATTTAATTTGTCTTGTAATTTTTCATAATTTTGGTGGATAAAAATAAAACTTTTTTTTATTTAGAAGACAAAGTTCTTAACCATTTAAATAAATTACAATTGTTAATTATGTATGTTCACATTTTGGAAGAAGCACTTACCACCCTTGTCAGACAAATTTAAAAGCTTTTCATGTTTCCAAGGAAATTAATTCGTGAGAGTTTTGTCAAATAACTTAATTGACATTCTACTTTGTAAATACTCAATTGGGAGATTTCATGATTCTTGACACGTTGCAATGTAAAATGTAAAATGTTAAAGAAAAATATAAAAAATCGTTTTGTATTTATGAATCATCATCTTAGTATAATTTTCGTAGATCTTACCTAAATGGGACTCATTAAATGATCTTTAAGAAAATTTAGAATGAATCTAAATGATTTTGCTAAATGTTTTCTAATTTATGTATGTTTATGTTGTTTCAAGTTGATCGTCTTCTATTTCTGGGAAAATTATTGTTTGTTTCAGGTTGAGTAATTTTTCCTTCTTCTTTTGTTAATCAAACAAGATAAGATTATCTATTTGAATTTGGACACTCGGAGATTGATAAAGATATGTAACTGTTAAGGTTCATTGAGCTAAAGTTCTTCTTATACGTAATAAGTTATGTAGGAAATAAAAGATTAAACTGATTGCATCATAAGAAGCATAAAAAAGAAAAAAGCAAATAAGCAATTTGGTAACGAAACAATTTCGCATAAATTTTATATCACAATTTACATATATCGTAAACATATCATTTTATGTATTTATGTTTCTCTTTTATACTTTTGGAATTGTTTTTAAATGAAAAGGCCAGACCATCAATCAAATTGACTGCTTGACCCTACTTTAAGTTGCACTTGATTTGAATGAAAAATACTTACACATTAATATTTCTTCATCCTATCTAGGTTTTGCCATTCTCATTTCAATCATTTCTATTTCAATTTCAAATCAATGAGAACTTTCGTGGGAATTTTGCACAAAAATCTCTGCAATAATGTAAAAAATCTTTTTACTTGAAAATAATTTTCGTTTTATATCCTTAAAATTTTTCTTTATAAATTACAAACAAATTCAACTGAATTCTTTTGCGTAGTAAAAGAATTGACAACGGCATCGCAATGTACGAGTTTCGAATAAATATTCTAAAATTTTCTTTGCTAACAAGTTGACAAAGTGAATTTAAATAAAAATGAAGTCAAGTTTCGTGTCAACGTAATTCGCTGTTGGTGTAAATAAATTTTCCTTTTCAATCTTCTTCTAATTCGTTTTTGTTTTACTTAACTTCTAAAAAAGCACTGTAACTTGCATTGTAATAATTTTTCTCACTTAATAGCTAAAAAAGCAGAATTTTTCTCTGTCATACGTAATTCAACCATATAAATATTAAATGTCTTTTATAAAGCGTGCGTTTGATTTTCATCTGTGATTAAAAAAGAAATTCAATTCCAGATTAAAGTAAAATAATTTTTCTCCTTTCTATCTATCTAGAAACATTCAAATTTTGTTTGTTGTTTAATCATCTTAAAAAGTTTAGTTTTGATTTAAAAGAGTCGCAACTCCATTTACTTCCTCGATCACGTTCAAAATGAATAAGTTAATTTATTCTTAAATAAAGAGCTTTCGAAGTTTCACAACAATTCATAAAGGAAAAGAGATAAAGAGAGTCGAAGAAGCTTTTAACATTAAGATTTAATTTACCCTCGATGATAATAAATGTTATGTGATTGGGACAAGTTTTGCACTCCTATGATTGCTTTTTCTTACGTGGATCACGTCGAACTGCATCAGTTTGCTGTTGGATTGAAAGTTCACGGAATTGAATCTGTTGAAGTAAGAAAAGAAGCAAATCATTGAGTTTTAAAAGCTTAAAATTTTTTCTTTTTCTTCTCACCAATTCTTCATCATCAGGAACACGTGAAAGCAAATCCAGAACTTCATTGTTTGTCACAGCATGAGGGCGAATAATTCTTTTAGAGAATTTTATAATACCCCATATCATTAAGAGAGCTCTTATCGGTATAAAATGTAGCACAAGTAAAGCTCCTAACAAGAGAAGCGCTGTCAGCCAACTTAATTCAGGGACGGAAAAATTGAAAGTGCTGTAAACGTAAAAATTAATGAATGAATTAAAATAGATAAAAAAAATAAATCTTTCTTCTTCTTACTTTTTCACGCTCTCGCCAAGTGACGCCAGAAATCCAATCGTATTTTGAACAGTCTGCGACACTTCTTGAATAGCTTGTAATCTTTCCTTGATTGTCTTTTTCTCTTCATCCTTTTTATCGTCGTCGTCTTCATCGTCACTTCCCATTTCCAAATCGTCATGAATCGTCTGCACTGATGCCCCAGTTATCCACTTTACGAACCAATTCCTATAATAATTTTATGAGAAAATATAAGGAAGAGAAAGGTTAAGAGTTATGTAAAAGTTTATATTTTGATATTTACTTTAGTAGATACAAGAGTGCCACTGCTGGTATGGTTGAAATGTCACCCCAGATACAACCACACACCCAAACAATTAGAGCAAAGAAAGATCTCACAGGGCTCTCCCACTCAAAACATGATCTAAATGATAGATAATTAATAGGCTTAATTATCTTATGACTAATTAAATAAGAATGCTCACTGAATAAATTGCCCAACATCAATGAAGAACATAATAATTTCCTTGAGACGCGTGACATTCCTTAAAAATAATTGGCGTTTAAATTTTGCTTCCTGTTGCACGAGTTTCTCTTCTTTTGGCTCCAGAACACGAATTGCTGCTTTAATTGAATTCCACACGACTGTCATTTCCAATTGAATTTGTGGCGAAACACCTTTTGCTCTTGTTGTAAGATTTTTATCTTTAAGAGCGTACCATCGCTTCTCGCCATTTCGAATACGTAGAAGTGGAATCATAACACGACCAAGAAACTCCATTTTATGATCTCGATCTTCATCATAAACAGTCACGTCCAAAACTGATGAAATATCTTTGACATTACTGTGTGGAAGAAGTTTTATAATAATTTCGAAGATTCAAAGATATCGAATAAACTTACAAAGTAAAAATCTTATTCCAATTTGGAGTTAAAGTTTTGTACTCTGTTTGAGTTTGTAAGCGAGCGTTGACCAGTTCAAGAACACAAAATGGATCCGATTTTCCGCCAATGTCAGCTGAGGCTAAACCTGTTGCACCATAAACTTTCACTGTTAAGTGCCCGACATCGCGTAAGTTTTGATAAAATCGATGCAATGCCTGAAAAGCGAAATGTTTGTTCACACGAATGGAAACGAATAAAATATTCAGAATGTTTGAATTGGAATGTTGCCATGCTTGGATGGATATGAAATAACAGCACATGTTGTTACTTAAACAAAAACTTCACTCACATATTTCTTTTCCGATTTTTTCTTTTCACTTAAATCTTCTCTATAAGTTGTCAAGTCAGTGATTGTTTCTGCTGACGTCGTTCCGCTGATTGTAAGTAGTAAAAATATTTCACCAGTGCAGTCTTCAAATTTATTCCATAAACGGTGCGTTGTTTCTCTTGGAAGACTCTTTAGATCAATGATGCATTTCCCAAGGTTCAGAATGTTTTTGGAAGATACAACAACTTCAAGTAGTTGATCATCCTCGAAGAGATGAAGGTCAAATTGTTCCAACCATTTAGCTCGGGGTGCGGTCTTGCTTTTGTATTTCTCGTTTCCTAATCTAAATTTCCATACAAAAATAATTAAATTAATTTTTTCTGACCGTAAATGTCATCAGGAAATTTACAAACCTAAACTTTACAAAAGGCTCTTCACCAGGATCTGCTACAGGCAACCCCTTTGCTTCCACCAGAAGAATCGTCACCACCGAACTCCAGATTTGTGATTTTAATCTCTTCGATGCTTCGGCGAGCTTTGGATTTCGTTGAAAATACTGAAAATATGTTAAAGTGTTTTGCTAAACATGCGAAAACAAAGACAAAAATCGTACAATGAATAAAGCTTTTTGGTTTTTAGATTCTCAACAATTGAAACGAGACCACTGAGATATTTTCTTTATTAGCATAACAAAACATAAATCATCAATTGATTTTTATTGAGCCTGAATGAAGAAAGGGAATTAAATTTTATAACTTAATTAAAAAAACGCTGAGATTCATTCAAGGAAGAAATGAAGTAATTTAATGTTTGAAATATAAAAAGCGATTCATTTACAATAAAAAAATGTTTAAGTTTCCAGGTATGCGCTGTAAAATTGTGTTCTGTAATAACTTAAAAATCTTAAGATCATTGAACTGAAAGAATTTTCATTTCGCTAAACGTGAAAAGACAAATTTTTCCTTCCTTAATAAATTTCATGACGGAAGGAAAAATTTTAATTTTTCTTCTTTTATATTAAAGGAACGACCAAGTTTCGTTTAATGAAATTGTGCATTAATAATCAATTCAATGAAATAATTTTTCTTTCATAAATTAAAATAAGAAAAACTTTTTATATAATGAAAAAAAATAATTTAATTTAATTTTGTTTTCCAAAAGAGATTGCTAAGAAATCGATAAACAACTCAATCGAGTCAAATGTTATTGACAAACTCGAAAAGCTCTTTACGAGGAAATTCGTTGTTCTGTCAAGTCATGCTTAAATTAGAAACAACTTTCTTTTATAATTCAAGTTTTTAAGTTGAAGCAGAACAAACCATAGCAGTTAGTTAGATATCTAATGGAAAATAAATCGAGAATCGCGATGATGATGAAAATCTAAAAAGGGAAACAACTTTACCGTACGATGCTTTAAAATTTCTCTCCATAAATTACTTTAATAAGTTGACATGCTCAAATTTTCATGCTAAACACTTAAACAATAGAAATAAATAATTTACCTGCTCCTTATCCTCTTGTGTCTTCGGCATTAATGTTGCCATAATCTTAATTTCTCCCAAATCCTTAAGTGGTCTCGCCGGATCTGTCAACTTCAAATAAATTTCTTCAGGTTGATTGAGTTCTAACTGTGTAAGATGAAGCTTCGAGGCGCCCATGAAATCATCTTGAAGTCCCCAATCATAATCAAAACACTTCAGAGAGATACACGATGAAGAAGTTTCGTAGAAATTCTGATAAAAACTTTCTGTTTACCTTAACATTAATCGGCAGGAAAGGATCTTCAATTGGTACAGTGAATGTCTCATCAAACATCGGATTTAATTCTTTATAAACAGTTCGACTTTTGTAAAGAAGACGACTGCCTTGCTTAAACTTAACATAAGGATCGCTTGTTCCACTCTTGTCCATTGCTGTCAAATTATGTCCGCTAACTAAATGAATCTTTAATTGGAAAAATGAATGTTGGCGTAAATTTGCTTCACGCCTTCTAAGTAATTCATCACTCTGTAAAAGAAAATTGGTTTCCCTTTAACGATGTCCATTAAATTAAAGAGATTGTTTACTCTCACATTTATCACATCGTACGCTGATTGTTGATTGGGATTGTAGTAACTCGTTGATGGTTCGCATTCGATTTTAGCATTCGTGGAGTTTTTCATTGTAGAATATTCGTGTTTATTGTTGTTCTCACTGAGGTTGTTTCGTGGTTTTGCTAATGGTGAATCAGTTAAAGTTGTAGTTCGATGTCGTGGCGACTCGAAAGGCGTCGCTGAGCTGCTATGGTCTGAGCTATTGTCTGCAGCATAATCACTATTATCACGGTCGTCATCCAGCAAGTTACCGGATCCTAACGATTTTCTGCTTCTTTCTTTACTTCGTCCTCGTGACCAGCGATTCTGTTGAAAATCAATCAAACGGAAACATTTAAATGCCTTAAATAAATATCAACAAGTCTATTGAAACGAACCCTCAGGGAACTTAAAAATCCTGACGTGCGTTGAAGAACATTGGAAACACTTGGATTGGCAGTACTCTTTGCCCTTTGTGGAGAAGGAAACGGAGTAATTGAATCGCTCGTTGCACTTCCGGTACATTCTTTACAACTCAATTCCGATGCTGATTTACTCAAATGCTTGCGCAACGATGAACAACGAGACTCTAAACTTAATTTAGATTTCTCTAAATTTGATTTAAGAAAAAATTGAGTTATTATCATTCATTTTTTTCTTATGTCACCAAATAGAACGAAGTTGAATGCCGTGAAATTTGGAATAATTTTATTAGCACGAAATTTCCTTTTGAGACATTCGGAGCGTGAAATTTGATATCAATTGTCTACGGATTGCTATGAATATTTAAGGACGAATAAGATTCAATCTTGGGTTCAGTATCCAATTTGGATTCGAATATATAAACAGATACTTTTGGGTTCAACAACTTGAGACTTTAATCCTATTTGATTTTTGTTTAAGTCAAGTGGAAGCTCAAATGTTTATCAATAAGACATCAAAAAAAGTATGATCTTCATCCGCTTACTTCATATTTAAATTCAAATATGCTCAATTACAATTATCTTTATTTATTTACTTTTCATTTCACGAACATTTCGAAGAAAATCAGTCTAGAAAATGAATTACTTAAATGCTTCAATATGAGATATCTAAGTATCTGATTCTTGGAATTTAATGTAAATATTTAATTTTGAATAGCGAAAAGTATTTTCAGATTACATTTCTTCGCATGAGTAACATTCTCAAATAAATCAAATCTATTTGCATGAAAATATTAAAATTAAATACAAACATCGCATTTTCATTTTCAAGATGTTGATAATAATTTTGAAGCATTAAATCGGATTCAATTTGATTCATTTAAATCCAATTTCTTGAATTAAGTGAAACTTTCTGGATAACTCAAGTTTTAGAAATATCAAATCCAAAACTTTGAATTAATTTGTGAAATATTTGCACTAATTTTGTTATTTTTATCTGTTTGAAATCCGGAAGATTTAGGAAAAGAGATTTTCTTGTTTTCCCATCCTCTTTCTTGATTCACAACATGACAAAGAAAAAAGGTTGGAAAAGAGGGAAATATTTTAATTAAACCTCATCTACACAGCTAAACTGATAAAGCTAATCTGTTTCCCTTTTTTTCTCTTTCTTTGTTTAACATCAAAGTCAAGTTCCAAAGGAAATTCCCACGCAATTTTAGTTTAACCTTCATTGCTGATAATATTTTTTAGCGTTTGATTCACCACATTCAATAACTTATTGCTTTAAAATAGAACAAATACTCACTTGTCGATGATGAGTGGTGGAGTGACGAGCTTTCTGCCATATCAACAGGTGGATTACTAATAAGATTTGATTTCTTCCTTTACTGCTATATTTATTTCTATAAGTTGTGTTTAATTTCTTAAGTGGGTTGATTGACTGGAGTGTTCTCAATGTCTGCACAGCATTTCCAAAGTTTCAGCATTTGAGATTTAAATGCGAAACTTTTATAAAGCCTGATGAATAAATTTTAATTCGTTTTTAAAATAATTTATGAATCTTTTAAAAGATTTTAATTATAATTGTTTTATCGTTGTTGAAATAGTTTAAATATACCTAATTTAATTAAATGTATTCATATATCAAATATTGTCACAACATCACAGTAGAATTAATATTAATAATATCTTTTGACTCATGCATAATTTATTTCTTGCAAGTAGCTACATAAGGTTCGCTTCCTACCACCTTCATTATAATATATTCGTGTTTTGTTTTCAGATATTTTGAACTCATAAGGTCTTCACACCAAACATTGACATGTACATGTTAGATTTAGTCTGACATATTCGTCTTTTTTTTCTATTTGCATTATCGTGTGACACGCGAGTAAAGTCTGTCACATTCTTCATACAAATTACTGTTGCTGATGTTATGGGCAGGTTTATGCTTAAGGAAGGTATTTTTATTTTCATATAAACCCGCTCTTGAGTCTCAATTTGAATGCGTGTTGTTATGCTCGCATGAAAAATGTATGAGAAAAAACGAAAACATCACAATATGCTCAATATAATGGGAAGGAATTATCGATCCTTTTTAACATACAGTTTATTGAGCTGACATGATATGAGAATTCTAGGAAAAGAATAAAAACCAAATCGATCTCTCAATTGCGAATGCTGAGGGGAAAAATGGATTTTTATTGGCTTCATAAATGATTGATGTTGTACATCAACGAAATCATATGAATATGTATTGGTTGAACTCAATCAATTAAGTTTTCATCGAATGAGGGACGAATGAAGCTTTTTCCTTCTCTTGTTTAGAGGAATTTTGATATATTTCTTAAGATTAACTTAAAGGTGTTTTTAATCTCACATTATAATGTTGCATAATGTAAAATTATTAAACAGTCGTTAAATGATATCATGAAAAGTTTGTTGCTGGGAATGTTTAAAAGCTTTACATGTTGATAATAAAGCAGATGTAATGAATATTCAAAAATTTGATAACTTCATTAAGGAATATGAGAAATGTGAGATGCTTCAGAAACTCAAACTCCTTGGGGTAAGCAAAGCAGACATCAAACATTAAAATTTCTTTGAACGCATAACGAAAACTTAAAAATGTAAATCGCTTCTTAGGTATAATGCCGAAAAAATTTATTCACCCATATTTCCTCGAAAAAGTTTTTGTGAATAAAAAATGATGAAAAAATAAATAAACAAGTGAATGTCGATGAATAAATTTCAAGTTTTATCATTCGTGAATTTGAATCTGATTTCATAGGATTATCTCTGATGATACCTTCCAAATTTTGGATAATATAAAATTTTGTTTGATTATCGTCGTAATTATTTCGAGAGAAAAAGAAGATCTCATTAAATAAATTGAAAGAAACTTCAAATTTATTGATGAGAAAAGTTTCAGCGAGCTGACGATGCTTTTAAATGAAAATCGAAATCAAGAATTGATGTCGATGTTTTCATAATGTACATAAGCTTCATAAACGAAACAAAAGATATACACGATTGAAGCGATTCTTTTCATGTTTTCATGATCTCAGATGTGAAGAAGAGAGCTTTAGAAAATATCTACTCAAGCATACATCATCATGTAATATGTAAACTTGAATTGGATAGAAAAAAACTTTTACATCTTTCCATGCTATCATGAAATTTCTAATACGTTTCCATGCTCATTGCACGTAAAAGCTTAGATGGGTGTCGTAAAAGCAACCTTTAATAACACAATTTATCAAGAAAGATTCCCAAGGTCAGAAAAGTTAAAAAAGGATACCAGAAAAATATTTCATTGGAGACCATAAAAAAGATTCGATGGGAAAACAAAATAAAAACAATTTCGTTCTATTTTTAAACTTGAAGAAGTTAATAAAAGTTAGTGTTTGAGAAAACAAAAAGAATCAAATTAGAAACTCTGGATAGAAATGTTTATTGTGCAACAATTCATGAAAATATTTGCAATAAAAGTTAAAATGTATCAAAAAACGACGAGACAGACGTGAGAATTGGCAGAGGATTAAAAAGTTGTTGTGTGAATATTTTTCCATAAACATTCATTCGTACTTTCATCACTTTAAGGACTTTTTGGCACCGACCAAATGATAAATCGATAGCTTTTTGTATACTCCCACATGTCTGCTGTCGAACTGAGCAGATGCTCGCTAAATATCATGCCATGGGAAAGCGAGTAAGTTGGCTAGCAATGAAACTGATTCCACCTCATCATTCTCTTAATTACTTCATGTCACGACAAAGCACATTCGATTGATTACCTTTTCACATAGAAGAAAAATGTGAAAACGTTCTTTTAATTTATGTTTCATGTCCATTGAAAGAGATATTAACTCATTATTTCATAAATTGTTATTTTATTTGAACACATATAGGGAATTCCTTGCTGCTACGGCTTAAATGATGTATCTAATAAGACTTAAAGACTAACTCTTTCTATTCAATTGATCAATGAGTCAGTTAAATGGAAACTTCCTAAGAAATGCATGAATCTGGCATGTCAACAGATTTATGTCATGAAAGCTTTCACGCCAATCGTTCATTCTTCGATTGTGCTTTTATTTATCGATTGTGGATCTATTGGAAACGTGTGATGAATTAAACTCAAGTTAGAGAAATATTTTTCTTGGCCTTGAGATATAAAAAAGCTTTAATGTAGCGGAAAAAATTTGATGAGAAAAGCTTTCGAAACTTCTCTCTTCATTTGTCGTTCAACTTCGAGAACGTTGCCGACGTAGTGAGTTGTGGATTGTTTGGAAAGAAAAAGATTTTAAATATACGTGACAATGTCATGTGGTGAACTTTCTTGCATGCTAATTAATAATATAAATCTAACCTTGAACGGAAGAAAGGAAAAATGAAAAATCTTGCCAAAAATCAATTTTACGACAAACAAAAATTTTCCATCAATATGTTGGCATGCAGCAAAGAGTTTCTTCTTTTCCTTCAATAATCTGACACTAAAATATGGTAAACAATGATGATGGAATCTTTCCTAACTCCCTTGAACGCTGCTTTTATTGTACATGGATTGTAAACATGTCTATTTTACGATTATTGTTTTTCTGTGTACACTGTTGCCTTGTGACGTTTCCACATTATCAATTTTGAATGAAACTTCATTTAATATCAACGATAAAAACGAGTCAGATTGCTCTTCTTTTCATTTCCTTTTTGACATTTAATGGATTACTGAATTATTGCGTTAATGGAATGATTACAATGTTGAAAAAGTCATATGATCTTCAAGACACATCCAACTGATTAAATTTTCAGTAATCTGTGTGGGGTGGAATATAATAAAGTCAAACAAGAATTGAGTGAATTAATTATATTAAAGAAATTTTCGTTAAATAAACATTAATTTTATTAACAAACAAAATTATTTGTCCAATATGGTTGATGGTAAATGCCACATCAACATTTTAATTAAATTCATTATATTTCGTGAAATATTTAACAATTTTCTTTTATACCAAAATATATTCCGAATGGTTAGGGAAGAAAGATGAAATATTCAATACATTTTTATGAGGTGCCATAAGCCCGAGAAAATTTGGAAATTAATTTATCGATGATGTCTTAGAAACATGGACAGTGGTGGCAAACATGATTGAGGGTACAAGTGAAGTGAATTATGTTGGATATTTTCAAGGATAATTTTGGCATTTCAACTTTTTTTTTCAATGACGAAGCGGCGGTTTTATTTGTCATCAAGAAGGAATCGAATCTTAAATGTTTATTAAGAGATATCAGCGAATTTTATTCGACTTTAATGGAAGCGGAAAGGAATCTTTAACCTGAATTTTAATCGATAATCACATCGGCTTGGGAGACTCTCATAACTCTTATAACTCATAAAAACATTTTCCTTCCTCCTTATTGTTTAGAAAACAATGAGAAAGTTTCAATAAATTTCATTTCTTCTTGCAATTTGTATCAATAAACTTTATCACATGATTCTCTATTGATTTTTGACGTTGACGAGGGGAACGAAAAGAGTTTTCGCTAATCCCAAATGACTTGAAACTTTATCCATTTAGATATTTCACAAATTTTGTATGGTTGATTTCACACGTTTATATATAACATGCGGCATGACTCAATTTTTGCTTGTGGACAACAAATTTTCTAATTGCCTTCAAATTGAACTTAACGATAAACCGTAAAAAAAATATTTTTATTGCTTCCACTTTTGTCTGAATAATAAAAATAACTAACTACGAAAATTCTCTCATTCATTCATCATCACTTCAGGGATTTTTCTTTCTTTTATTTTTTCGTTGCCACTTTTTCATTCTTATTGATTTTTCACAAAAAATGTCCTAGGACATGCGAGACACCAAATATGTATTAAAATGAGTAGAAATTACATTTGTTTCATAGTGAAGATTATGGAACTTTAAACATTTTGCACTTTTGACGCGCTCGCTCACTTTGTGATTTCAACTTTTCGCGGCTAGAAAATTTGTGTGGAAAATTTTTCTTCACTTCTCAACAACTATGGAGCAAAACGAAATGCATCTTATGCCGATCGTGTGTAAACTCTAACTAGCGCAATGCTGCGCAACGTGAGCTGGCGAGAGCAGAAGGAATTTTGTAAAATAAGTCAGAGCTTCGAAACCTTTTAATGCTAGCCGGTTATGTTTTCAAGTTTATCATCATAAACCTTGAGAAAAGTTGTAATATGAGACAATAAAACTTCAAATAGATTAATGTTGAAGACAAATAAACAGCACTTTAAGTTAATTATTACAATATTTTTTACATTTAAATATGAATTGTTTATCGCCGATGATTCAATCATGAATATGGGGAAAGTTTCGAGCAAGCGCTTTAAGTCTTTCTCACAGAAAAATTTGATATCACTCAAAGTTTAACTCAATATTTCTCTCATTGAGAGAAAAGCATTGAGAATTTTCCACGCCGCTCACAATATGAATGAAAATGTAAACAAAAACACGACTGGGAAATGTTCAATGGCATGTGGTGACAACAATCACTTAATGATAAACATTTGATAGTTCGTGGGGCTCTTACAATTGTTACTTTTGTTTTACTTTTTTATCAAATGGAGAAAATCGCAAACCACACTAAATAAAATGAAAAAAAAACAAAACTTTTTCATAAGGAACATGGAATAAGCTTCTAATGAATTCTTCAGAAATATATTCACATGAAATAATCACATTCAATTAAAGATTACATATTTTAACGCGGCTATACGAATTTACTTTAACCTCAAGAACAAATTGAGTTGAAGGTCATTTTTTAAATTCTAAATTCATTAATTGACTCAATTCTGCTTATTCACAATATAATACCTTCAAACATTTATCAAAGAACAATTATTAAAAAAAAAACACTTCAAATTTTGACATATCCGTGTGCTTATTGCTCAAATTGTATACAAACTAAATATTTGTTTGGCTTTGGATTAAATTTAAGAAAAAGAAGGTAAATAAGTTTGAAGATGTGTTAGAAAACAAGCAATGATTTGCTAATTTTTTGCCGCTTTAAATATTTGTTATGCTATACATTCATAAATATCTGAGTATTATTTAATACATTTTCTTTCATCCTACACATGTTCTTTTATTTTCATTGCCATTACATTTTTTAAACGCCACATTCGTTTCTTTTAAACGATTCAATACTAAAGCTTTCGCACATCGTGATGTTGCTTCAATACAAGTAACAAAACCTGATAACAATTCTTTATTACTGTTAAATGTGTTGAGGAATAATATGAAAAACCTTAAAGCTATCACTATGAAGCAAAGTGATTTATGTGTATGTTGTAAATTTTCATTAATATTTTTTATTCTATCGTTTGCTATTTATTTAAATAAATTTAAAAAATATTAATCATTTCGTGATTAAAATTGTAACTTTTATTGAATGAAAATATAATTTTACAAGATTACAAAACAATTTTGACAAAAAAATATTCAACAAGAAAAACTTAAAGTTACAACACTAAATAAAGGATCAGACAGATTATTTAAAAACATTCGAGAGATTACTTAAAACATAAAAAAAGTAGAAAGAGGACGATAATTGAAAGTATGATGATGACGATGCTTTGGATATTTATGTTTAGAAGTTTAATGTTGCTGATTACCGATGTGATTGCTGGAGTTATCCTCTGGGGAATTTTGATTGTTGATTTGCATAAAAACACGATTTTCTTTATAATCGTGACGAAAGTGATTCTGTAAATTCTTTCTTAATTTTTTCTCTCTTAAACTTTATAAATTCATTTCACTCACATTTTGTGGCTCACCGAGACGATTTTTTGAAATTTCTTGATCCAAATTGAAGTTTCGTTCAGGCGGTGACTCTGAGGTAGAAAAAAAAATTGTTAGCGAAAAATTATTTTTGAATTAACGACAAAAGAAAATTCAAATTAATAAATGTGGTGAAAAGCTCAAAATAAAGCTTTCATTAAATTCGAAAGCTTATTTTGAAATAAAATCCGTTAATGATGAGTGCATGAATGATTTTAGTATTCAATGTTCTCTCACCAGTCGGTGAATAAAAGACATCGTCCATTGGTGTAGAAGGAGAATAATTGAAATTATCTTTAAAATGTTTCATAATTTTCATCACTAACTGATTCTCCAGTTCATTCAATTGCTTCTCATCGAGCCCAAGACCAGATTCCTTACTTTTTTCATTAGCTTCAGCGTCCGATGTAAAACAATCAAACGAGTTGTCTGTTGGAATTTCCCCTTCATGACCTTCTGTAAATAAAATGATAATAAAAAATATACATTGGAAAATATTTTCTTCTCACCATTCAACTTTCTTTGTGATTCTGTTTTTTCTTCTTCGGTATCGAATTCATCGGTTGACAATTCTTCACTTGATGGTTCATCCTCAGGTGGCACATAATCTGGATCAGCTGAAGTGTCATCTTCTGCCCCAAATTTATTTAAAAGCTCTGATGTTGTTAAAAAGTCCGACTCATTCAACTCATCGTTATCAGCATTGTCATCATCCTCGCCATCATCGATTCCATTTAAAGCGCGTTTCTTCCCATTTACTGCGTTTTTATCTGTCTGAAGACAGTGAAGTAGATGATTGAGATAAAATAACTAATAAGATTACCAATTTTTCACCTGATCTTCTTCGAATCCTGAATTATCTGAATGATGTTCAACAGGTGGACCTTTCATAAAAATGTTGTCAATGATTGCATAGTAAAGCATCCATTGAGGTGACGCAGCAATTCGTCTTTCTTTTAACAGTTTTTCTTCAGGAGTTAATCTTTTTACTGCGTAGTGTCTAACACTTCGATAGTAGCGACGGAAATGGACCATTTTCATAAGCTTTGATTTAATGATTAGGAATAAATTTTATTGAATTAATTTTTATTTCACTTTTCTTACCAATTCTCTCGATGTTACTTCGCCTTGTCCCAAAATGATACTGAAAGTCGACAACCAAAAACGACCCAATCGAATCGCAATCAAGACTGGAATGAAGATCAACCAACTTTTAGGACCATTATTGTCTGCTCGATATGCTGATGGAACACAAAACTCAAAAACTTTTTCCAATTGAACCATGTAATAATCAAAAACATCGATCGAAAATTGACCCAGAACAAATTTGGAAATAAATTTCAGGTATGAATGAATTGCGTTGTAAAACCATTGCAGAAAGAAGAATCTGCTTTGTGGCTGTGAAAGGAATCAACATTTATTATTTATATTAATATTAATTATGTATAAAGCTACATACTGGTGCATCATAAAGAGATTTGGCAACACATGTCAATCGAGGTGGTTGTTTGTTCTTCATGTTTCTCCTTCTTAATTCAGCGCGAAACTCCATTGCACTTTGATTATTCATCTTCTGCAATACAAATTTATGCAATGAAACTGATTCTTGTTCTTTAAAATAACTCAGTGTTTCTTTGAACGACTGCATTGTTTGATTATAACAAAACCTCTGCCGTTTGATTATTAAGAATAAAAAGATTAAAGGCGAAATATTTTATATTTTGTTTTTCTTTTTTTTCCAGAATGGTCTGTATGGGATCATTGTCAAATAATGTGAGTAATCTTTTATAGAAAATGAGATTTGTAATTAAATGAATGTATTTGTGGATAATTTCTACATTTACGAAAATGTTCTTGACCTATCTAAAACATAGAAATGATGTTACTTGTTTTACTGGATATTGTCATCGTTTCATAAATTTAATTCTAAAGCAAGATTGATGAATCATAAATTTCAACCTAATCATAAGTCTATAAATTCGCATCAGACAATTTACAAAAGCTATCATAAGAAGTGATAATCAATGCGTAAAACTTCATCACTGTCCGTCGTCGCAAACATTGGACGTCTGATGAGTTATTCGACTTTGACTACCACGCTTATCAGTGGGCATTCATTCACGTGATTGAACTCTCAACAAAGATTTATGACATGACTAAATAAATAGCCACATAGAATTTGAAATCTTGCAACACATTTTCAACTGGATTTGTTATTTTAATTAGTTGAAGAAAGGTGACATAATGTATTCTATTTTAACAAAAATGACTTTCTATCATCTTCTGTTTACAACACACGAAGTGTTCAGATTTTGAGGGTCGTAAGGTTATCACTTGAGAGAAATTGTGAAAATATTTTTACTTAATTTTAGCATTTCTGAGATCATCCAGTCAATGTACAAATTGTCAAGTGTTCGTAGATTTATTTCAGTTTCTTTCAAAATATTACCATAAATAAGATTTTCTCTTTATAATTTTCAATGATTATGCGTGCGGTGCGTGATGGAGTTGTTGATGTCGCACGTGGTTAACTTAAACTTGTTTCTCTTAGATCCTCACTCGTCGAACACTTAACAAAAACTGATAAAAAAATTTCCCTTTTTTCTTTTACTTTTAAAATTCAAAACTCAAACTCTCAAACTTCTCTCTCGTTTTTATTCCTTTAATTGATATTTCAATTTGACAGGATAACATAACAAATAAAAAATCTCTTAATCACCTTTTGTGCTGTCGCCCTTGACCATCAAACACAAGTAAATGAATTGGTTGTTGACTTGACAGATAGAAAGTTTCATTCCAATGAGAGATTAAATAAGAATTGTCGAGAGAGCGAATGAGAAATTAAATCGAGTTCTGATAATGAAATTTTTGTAACATTACATTGTCGTTTATTATAATTTGGTCAATTTAATTAAGTCAAAAAATTGGGATTTTCATTTAGATTGAATGTTTTTTGAAGAAAATATTTTATTGCTCCTTTTCCTTCTTTTCCTTTTCACGCTTAAGATTTGCTGCTTTCATGTTGTATTCCTGAATTTGCTGATCAACATCGCGCTTATCGGTAAGTAATTTGTTCATTTGGGAATTTGTTTGGTCATCTTGACGAGACGTTGACTGCTGTAATTTCTTATCAGCAATTTTTTCATTGTCTTTTATGAGCTTGCGTTCATTTATTTGATCATCTAACCATTTCTTTTGTTGGATTTGAAGATCACGGGTTCTTGAAGCTGAATCAAAATACTCAGCATCTAAATATGATCGAGGACGTTGCTCTAAGTTTTCTACAACAATATTTTCCTGCTCCAAAGTTCCTGTAAGTTCAGCGTCATTGTTAACAGTTTTCCCAACATTTTTTACAGATTCCTTTGATGATTTTAATAAAGATCTTTTGTCAAGCATCTGTTTCTCCAATTCATCATAATCCATTCCAAAGATTCTGCTTTTTGTTGTTTCTGGTTTCATATCAACTTGATTACTTCCACGAGGCATTTTTTCTTTGATAAATTATTTAATTGCTTTAATTTTTTGTAATTTCACGTTTAGAGAAAACCAAAGGCTACTTAGAAGATTCACTGGGAACAATCACGGAGTAAAGTAACAAAAAAAATAAAATTCTGAAACATTTCATGACTGCACATAAAATTTTAATGATTAAAAAGGATGCAAAAAGAATTAAAAGTTTGCTTTTTATTATTGATGAATATCTAAAAATCAGTAAAAACTTTGAAAATAAATGAAAACATTTACAAAAACTTATAAAAAATGTGCAAGCAATGAAACGAATTTTATTTTTTCAAACTCTATCGAAACATTATACGAGCTAGCTGAGCTATAAAACATTCAAACAGTTTCAAACTCGATTCAATTATCATTTTGAATGCCGCACGACTTGATTCATCGACATGGAACAGCTGATGGCTTTAAAAATATTTTTTGTATGTAAATAATATCTTCTGTCATTAATTTTGTTTTTAAAACTGTAAGTCATAAACACCTTTAGAATTATTTACTTAAGCATTCCTTTTTCTTACCATATGTGATGATGTTAATAACCTTTAGATTACAGTTACGAAGTCTCAATTCGTTACTGAATTATCTGTCGATGATAATGCAACAATACCTCAATAAGGACACCCTAAATATAAATTTCATTTGTTGGAAGCCCAAACAGAAACCCCATCAAGCTCATAATAATTCGTTGGCATGAAAGTGAATGGAAATGGTTTTTATTATTACTCTTCCGATCTTAATAAATTATTAATGACTCAGATCAATTTTCAATCATCAATTCAACCATTATATCATTATGAAATTGTTGTGTTTAAACTTTAAAGACCTTTCATCACGATGGGTCGTAAAATGAGAATTTCATATTTCTGTAAATAGATCAATAATTATTCGTGAAATAACTAAATTTATAAATACACCCAAAACAACAACAAAAAATGTTTCTATTGATTCTACAAAGTATATCACGATTTATAAGATATAACACTTCTCATACTTAGAACATGCTTGTAAAATCATTCAACTTTCATTATCAATCAGATATTTAATAGTTAACATCCGTTCGGTGTACAAGTACAATCATATGATCTCAGAACCTTTCGATAATTGCTGTTTATTATCGATTCTCTCTACCTTGATTGTCGTTTGTCACAACCAATAAGTTGTTGCCCACTTTCAAGTTCACATTGCTGATTTTATTAAGCGATAACTTTATAAATTATTAAAAGTTAAAATGATCGTGTTGAATATCTAAAATCATGATGCTTTAAAGTATTTCAAAAAACCTTAGGACTAGAAATATGAATTGAAAATTTATTAAAATTTTTATTTTCCTCGTAAGTTGTCGCTTTATTAATTTGCCAAATTAATATTTCCAAAGCTTCTTTTGACGTTTGACACAAAATCTTTATAAATTCTTCAGTAATTAGTGCAAAGCACTTGTTTTCAACCGTGAGTTCAATTTCATTTTCTATATTTAGGCTCAATTCGGAATTTCCCAACCTGAACTTGTAATTGTGTATAAATAAAATCTTTCAGAAAATTTGAAGTGTTAATTGATAAGATAAAAAACGATGAATCATGGCATGTATTCGATCTCTAATCATTCATCACTTGACGATAAGCATGAGTGAAACGATTGACTTTTCTCTCTTGATAGATAGGCTTCCGTTTATAAGTTTAATTAATTGATTTTATTCGAATTCTGTTTCGTGAAATTAAACCTTCAGGGAACTTTTGCCTCGTATTGAAATATTGATATCATTCATATACATTTAGATATCTACTTATTTATTTACTCAAATGTTTTCTTTTTATCCTTCTTTAATTCTGATTTTGGGAAGTTTATTTGATTTTTCAAAATTGATTTGGAAATCGATTCGAAAATTATGTAAAAATATAAAGAAAATTATTTTTGTTTCAAATCATAATTTTGTTACTTCCAGTTGACATGTTCAGGTTTATTTATTCCAATATTTGATTAAATAACATCAATCACAACGCCGTTAAGGAAAATTTCTTAATCCATCTTTCTTACATCTGTTCTTGCTGCTTTAACAAGTTAATTTTCCTTCTTTGGAATGAGTTGCAGAGTTTATTGAAAAAAAGAAGAAATAAAATGAATTTATAAGGAACGACTTAATTGAAAGATGATTTAACTTGCAATGATGAATTTGAATAGAATCAGTATTTATGAGTGAAGTGTTGAATATCATCAACGTAACATTTTATTGCCTTTCTACTCAGATACTTGAAGTGTTTGCTCCATTCAAAGAAATGTTATAGGAAAATTGCCTTCGGCTTTTAAACTCAGAGAATTTTTCCTATTTAATGCTTGATGCGTGGGAGGGTAGAAAGAGATAAAAATGTTATTTAAAACTTTCAGATCAAAAATTATTCTCGACTCTCTCTTTAAGAAACTTTTTTGTTCTTCAGATTTTCTTACTTTGCTTAAAATAGTCAAGAAAATAGTGGCTGGGAGCTTTTACTCACGACTTGTGACCTTTTCTCAGCCACTTCAAATAATTTAAATATTCATGAATTAGGAAAATCCGAAAATTGTAAGATTTAAGCCTAAGTGAAAACAATGTAGGCGACACTCAAGTTTAAGTAACTTCTTCAGAACTCTTAAAAAGAACATTGAAAATTCATTGATGACATTGGATAAACGTGCGACTCTTTCACAGTTCTTCTTTCTGTTACTGTCAAGTTCAGTGATCCTCGAATTATTTCTGCGTAAAAAACGCTTTTGTAAGAAGATGAGGAAGTTTCAACCCGTAGGGGTTTACTTTCACTTTCATCTCTAATAATTAATTAGCAGGTAAGTGTAAAGTTTACTTCTTGTCTTGAAATTAATTTCATGAATAAACTTTCATCTTATCATAGATAATTGAATCATTTCTAAGTGGTTGAAATGCTTAAAGCTAATCAAATATTGGTTTAAATTCACCTTCACCTTCCGATTATTCTACAAAACGTATATTCAGCAACTTCTTTGTAGGATAAAAATAAGTAATCGAATGAAGGCAATAAAATTTAAAAAATATCTGAGTCAAGGTGAAAGAAAATTTAATAGCACGATAAGAAATTGAAAAGTTGTTATCGTCACTGAGTAGGAAGCAAACTTCATTAATTTGATAATCAATTAGATCTTATCATGAAAAATTCAAGCGAGCCGCGAGTAATAAATGAAGCTCGATAGATAAATTTTAATTAGAGTTTTGTTTTAAATTGTTACACATGTGTAATCGATCTTTTAGAACGTCGCATATCTTGTTTCCTTTTGAAATGTCTTATCATATCACGAAGCGACTTCCAAGAAAAGCAAAAGCACCTTCAAATATCCGATGAATATTTTCAGAACTTCCTTCATTCATAGCTAAATAATTTTGAAATTTTGAAACGAAGTTTGGAAATAATAAATCAAGGTTTAAATTAAAAGATTTGGTGTGTGAATGTGGGGACCTGAATTTTCCTAAACATTTCTTAATCTTATAATTTTGTTTTCACATGAAAAGTTTAACAATGTTTTGTGTTTTCTTTTAAATTGTTTTCCTTGCTTTACTAAAGAATCTTGTTGTTATAATTTTTTATATAAAATTGGAAAGGATCTTTTCAGAAAATTCTCATGTTTAACATTTTTTAAGCTCAAGGCACGCGTTTAACCTGCCCTTGAATTATTCAAATATTTATCATAGAATAATAATAATGTGCAGTTTAACGAAACTCATTAACATTTAGATCATTTCCATGTAACGTCATTTGATGAGTTTCAATTTTCTTCAATTTCCCTCTAATCGCTTCGCTATCTACTCGATGACGTTTTTCCATTTTCTGTTTGTAATCGTTGAAATGTGAAATTTGATCGTATGAGTAATAAAATAAATAATTGTGACGTTAACAAGTGACAACGCCTACGCATGCATAAACCGTTGCGCAACTCATTTCGTTCATATGGGATTATTGTAATAAGTCAAATAGTATTTATGCAAACTAAATGAATGTGGCAACCGGCATTATGGAGAGATGAAATTGAAATTCTTTTCTGTGTAATATCACAATAGAGCAGACACATTGATGGCATAAAATGTCAACATTTTCATTCTCGACCTGTCACTTGTCTTTTGTTCTCCCGACACCGACAAATTTCACACTTTTGAATGGCAATTTTTATAATTTTCAGAGTCAGGGTCATTGACAATTGAGATGGTTTGCTTTGTGTTTAAATTTTTGCATCAATTACCATTGTGATGAGTACGACCGGCTTTTGTGTTATGGATGCACAGCGTGAGGTCATTGATTATGATGTCACGGCAACTGAGAGTTTCCGAACTCGCTTCCCGCTATGCGTGACTCCTTCTTTGTAGATCGCTCATTGCTCTCAGTTTCAGAGGAAACTCTGAAACAACCGAATGAGTAACGGTTGGATTAACTCTAGAGATTAAATCAAAGACAAAAGAATTCTTTTGTCATCATTTACATAGTTCTTGCATGGACGATGTGAATGTGATGATGATGAATGTTATAAACGAACGTTATGACAGTTAAACTTATGCAAAATTATTGTGTACCTCGAAAGTACTTCAAAGAATCTCACGAGCTTAATAAACAAGACAAGACAAGAAAATAACCGTTAAATGCTCATTTCTTTCATCGTGTAAATCAGAATCTGACTGTAACAATCAGAGCCCTTTGAAGAAGCTCATTAATATTTTAGCAAGCAATAGAATAAGGTAAGAGATTGTTGACTTAAAAGATTAACAGAGACTTCGCAATAAAATGTTGATGAAATTTAGGCTTTAAAAGCAATCCCTCAATTCTTCTTTCAAAGCAAACATGACACAACCAGAAAATATCTTTCGATTTCTAAATGCTTTGTGTTTGTTGTTTGAAAAGCTCTTGCTAGCTGTTGCTTTCAAAGGAATTACCTTCGTGGAAATAAATTCAATACACGTGAACATCCTAAGAGAAGCCACTGGGAATGCTGATAACATTTCACTGTTGGACTTCATCGCTATCATTTTACTTTCTATGAAAATTTAAATTAATTCCAAGCTCAAAAGCATCCACAGGTTTCTCATATCATTTAATTTAATTTGAAATTTATTTTCTCGAATTTCTACAGAATTTTCTTAAAACTCATCAGCATTTGATATTCTGCAAAAATATGTGCCTTAATAAGAAAAATTTAAAGAATTTATTTGTTTTTCTCATCTTTCAATTCCATCTTATTGTAGCTTCGTTATTTCAACAGGCTTCGTTTTTCGTATGTTTTCCTTTTTCATTTTCGCGAACTTTTCAATAAACGCTTTTTAAAGCTTTCGTGTATTCAATAAAAGTTGAAATGTTTTTCATTGTCGTCACATGTGAGTACTGACTTCATAAAAATTATATCAAGCGTTAAAAAAGTTTTGAGGGAAATAAAACTCCTGTTTTAATCATTTAAAGCGATGAAAAGCAATTACATTTTTCTACCACATCACATAAGAGAAAGTTTTATAAAGCTTTGATGATAATTACCAACATAACATCATTCCGAAGTGTTTTTTCTTGCCTCCAAACATTTTCTCGTGCATGGTTACAACAGACAGAAAGCTGTTCGTAACGTTGAAGAGAGCAAGTTTCAATAGTGAGTTCAATTCCTAAAAAAGCTTTCATTTCCTTTAACGAGCTTTTGGCATTTTCTGCATTGAACGTGCATGTTTTCTAAAACAAAATTGAAATTTAAACATTTGTTGTTTAAAGATTCTTTTTCAACACTCACTCAAATAAAACTTTGATGAAGTTAAATAAACTTCATAACAAGTGGGAAAAGCTTTTGACAACTCAAATGTTTCTCCACATTAAATGTAAAGTTGATTATGCTGAAACTTTCAAGTTGAAAACGAGAATTTTATGATAAATAAAACACGATGATTCTCTATGACATTTGCAAATGTTTGCAACTTTTCACTTACATATTTTGTGATCGATGAAGTGAAAACATGATTAATTAAATTTTGATTGATTTTTCATGTGATTTTGTCTTTTGCTGACGTGATAGCATTAACATCGATAATTTATGAGCTTATTAAGTTTCAACAATCAAAGAGATTTTAAATATTAATAGTGAAAATTTCTACTCTTTTCATAAGTATTCACTAGACAAACATTAACAAGATTTTTTTATTAAACGAGTGTGAATAATATTCTGTGAAGTGCTGAGAAGTAAATTCCTCATAAACCGATGAGCTGAAAAATAGAATAAGATTTCAACTCCAAGAGAAATTCATCCGGTTAGAGGAATAAAAATAGATTCAGCATATAATATTTAACATAAATATTTTACACTCAAAACATACAAGCTTCAACAGCTTTCAAGATGAATCTTCCGCCTCTGTAATTTTCATTTTTCTTTTTGGCAAACTTTGCCAAGCAGAAAGGCTTGAATTTTATATTTCTACGGTTAATGCATTCAGCTGTAACTCAAATATTTTCTATCGCTGGCTGGAGGAAACAAATACAAATTTAATGTCTATAAGAGAATGAAAACTCCATGATTATTTTTTTTCACTTTTTCATAAATATTTTATGATTTTTATTACATTTTTCATTTCTTTATTCTCCTTTTTTTGTTTTTTTTTGCATCATAAACTTTTTTTTACAATATTTTTTTTCTCTCCCTTTATTTTCAAATCTTTTCTTTGTTGTAATGATATAGAATTTCATTATATAGAATAATAAGTTCTTATAAATTTTAATATGTATAATCATCGCTTTTCTTTTCTTCTTTGCATAAAATTGATCTCGCAATAATTATAATTCTTCAATATATTTCTTCACAATGATCATGGCCAATAAACCACGTTGGGGACTTTACATTTTATTTAATTATCTCCCTCAATTTTTTTTTGTTTCTTTATTTTCATGTCATAAAATTTTCACATTTAATAAGTATTGTAAGTATTTTCACATTATCATCGAATGTTGCATTATTGAATGTTTAAAATTGATTGATTTTTTTGCATATAGCGCCCGGCTTTCAAAGGCTTCTTCCATATTCAAGAAATTGTTTCGTTTGTTAATCGAAAAACCGTTTCTGTGTTTTGTTTTGAAAGAGCGTTAGATCTTAAAGGATAAAAAAATATTTCACAAAAAGAATGAATTGAATAATTGAAATGAATTGAAAATTAATTATAAAAATTATGTGTATGTATGTGTTTGTGTGTGGGTTTGAAAAACAAAATAAGACTTAATAATAATTATGTAAATAATATAATTGATTAAGTAAATTTCATCAACTTCTTACAATTCAAAGACAAAAAAAAACTTCTTAAACTTCTACTTGATTCATTTCAATGAAGTTGCTAAACATAACTAAATATATGTATTAAAAATTCACATTTTATTTTGCAATTTGCACTTTTTTTTCAAACATTTTTTGAAAAATATTCTCATTTTTGACATCATCAATATCCAACAAGTTTCATAAAATTTTCGTGCAACTCAACATTCATGTAATTTGTAGCGACAAACATTTTTTTTATTTCTGATTAACAGTCACAATTGATTGACACATTTGATTTCTTCATTCCCATCATGATCACCATCCATCTCGGATAGGATTAAAAAGTTAAAAGTATTTTTTGTTATTTTAAAGAGTTGGAAAGATGTTAAAGTAGGAATTTTGTCCATCTCAATACACATCAAAGATGTTGCATAATTAGAATAGCTTAAAATGATTTTATTTATGTAAGTATTAATTACTTCTGTAAGCTTTTCTTGTTTTGGATGAAAGCTTGATTAAGGATTAATGCTCATCGAAGTAAAAGTTTATTTATTTCTCTCTTCAATTTCGATGGTTCTACTAATCCCAACAATCATCTTTAATCAGATAGAATTATATTTTCAACTTTCTTAATATTTTTCTTTAATTTATTTTATTTTTTGTACATAGTCACAAAGATAGTAAACTTCAAAATTTTCCATTTGTAATTTATTTTTAAAGATTCCAAAAAAGTTTTAAAATGGTTTTGATTTACATTATTATGTCTTAATCAGTACATTATTTAATTATGCAAGAATTTTTTTTCTTTAGACATTTTTTGCCATTTACAAAAGTTAAGCGAATGGGAAAAAAATTTACTGCATTTATAATTGGATATTAATTCGTTTTCCTTGATAAAATTTAATTGGAGAGAATATGGAATTGGTGGATAATTTCCTTTACCTACATATGTTGGTTGTTATCTTTAAAAGTATCAATTCAAAGTTGCCGATTGTTTCAAAGTTTCTTCCTTCCCCAACTTACAGAGATGTATTAAGTAATCTTGTGACATAAAAGACATTTTCCTTGTTCATGCAAAATTGTTTCATTTTGTTTAACATTCCATGTTGTTAACCAAAGCGTTTTCGTGTGTAGGTGTTAAGAGAAAGTGGAAAGAAAATTATTCTACATACATGAGTGAATTTTGTGCGAAGCGATTTTCTTTCTTATTTGATATTTCCACATCATGTCTGAACGAGTTTCTAAATTTTTTTTATTTTGTTTTTCTTGCGGTTTCAAAAAGAATATCCTTGAAAACTTTTTGAGCTTCGGGAAATGCAGACATATTTAGTTTTATTTTAATTAAATATTCTTTTCAGATAGTGAGTATTAGGAAAACTTAAATGATTTGTTTTTATTCTTTTAAATTCAAATGCTGGTCACGTTTCTTCAAAAATTTACTCTTTCTGTGTGGTTTGCCTTATTTTTTTTTGCTCAACATTACAAAATGAATATTTCATTCTTTCTATCATAAAAAAGCATTCATAAAATCGCAACTTCTCTCTCATTCTCTCTCTCTCGGAGGACTCAAATTAATTAAAACTCAAAAATTGCTTTTTCACTTTATATGTCTATCTACGTATCTTAGTCAAACAACATTTTAAAATGAAACAACAAAATAATTTATGTGCGTTGATTAAATTGAGCAATGACAAATTTATAATCAAGTTAGATAAAGAAGAAGCCTTCAACATTAATGACGATACGAACATTAAAATAAAGGTTAAGGGTAAAATATGATAAGGTTCTGGTAAAACGACAAAGCTTTCATCGGATCTATAGAATTTTTATGATCTATTGGAAATCTGTTTATATATATCCGTTCCATCATGTTATCAAATATTAGAGCTTAAAAGCTCAAACGAATCCTTAGAAGGGAACATTATAATAATGTTTAAGAGTTTCTATATATTTATGCTAGACATAATAATGAAATAAGCATAAATCGCGTAGTAAAACAACATAGGAATGATGGTGTGGCTTTGGGTGTAACTACGTTTAAGATTATTCAATTTTCTTCAAGAAAAGAAAAGCCCTAAGAGAATATTTTTTCATTTTTCTTTCTCTTTCTTTTAGGTCTATGGCTTCACGTTTTTAATCACCGTGAACCTTTTTGTGAAACTTCACCTTGCTGTTCAGAAAATCTAATCCTCTCAAAGGATGAAAAACGAGAATAAAAGGGCGAAAAAAAAAGAAAGAAAACTTTTAAAAAAGGAAGTAATTGAGTTTTGGTGGTTTTCCTAGTGAAGTGGGAAACTTCTTGATTTTATGTTTTACCCGCATCGATGTTAAAGCTCCATCTCAATATTTACAAGTCCACCTACACACAAAGCTTTCTTCTTTTCTATAACCCCACGTTGTAAATATATTCCTTTGTTGAAGTTGAAGCAATTGTTAGGGAATAAATAGCGAGATGTTGTTCATCGAAATATAAATAATAATAATGGAGCTTTATAACGGGTTTCGACATAGATAGAAAAGCAGTAAGGATGAAGGAAAAGAAAACATATACACCCACGCTTCTTCGGTAATTAAAATATGTTTTCTTGTTTCAGTTCTTTACCATAATAAAAGCTCAATTCAGTAGCTCATATTGTGGGTTGTAGAATCTTTTACAATAAATGGAAAAGCATTCAACAAAAACTTGCGTTCATAAACTTAATGGCTTGATGCTTCCATTGTTGTTTCATATAAAGTTTATATATTTATTCCCACAGAACTAACTTGCAGATGCAGAAGCAGAAGCGAAGAAAACTTGATTCAACTTTCAAAACTTGCGTCACATTTATGCTTTATACACAAAGTGAGTCTTTGAAAAAGAAGCATCATCATGTACTATGATAGAAAAAGGAAAAAAATATCTTCAAGAGATGGTCAAAGCAATTTTCATTTGACAACAAAGTTAAGCTCATGATTAAATAAATGTAAGACATCCATTCAATATTCATTTTGTCGTTTTCATTCCACCCACTCTCGTAAATTCGCTTCGGTTGGCTTTTAGTCTTTAAATTCACATAAAGATCTTGTTGCATTTCAAAGCATAGCACAAACCAGCTTCTATTACTATAGAAACTGAACAAAGCTTGTTAAGGTTATTTATTATGAAAACTTTTTGCTCTTTCTTTTCACTTTTTTTTCTACGCTTTACAAATTGAACAAGGAAAATAAAGAAAATTCTTTCACTTCTTCTTCTTCAAAAGAAAAGTAGTTTTTAACAGATAAAAAGGATACTTTGATATTGATTAAAAATCAAGGATATCGGCTTTCAATTGATGCCCTAGACCTAGACAATGTTTTCTTTTTCTTCTGGTTAATAATAGTATTGCACAAGAGAACCATTACATATAGACCTTTATAAAACCATGAAGAAAAGTCTTATTTAGTACTTAAAATCACCTCCAATCGTTGTTGATGATCAACTGACTATTGTAGTTTTCATTATTGCCAGTTGGCTGCATTGCATACTCATTGTTGTAATTGTTGTAATCCAAAGAACCGTCGATCGTATAATAGCAGTAATAATTACCCACAATGCTATTATTGTACATCTGCTGTTGTTGTTGCTGCAGCTGATGATGATGTTGTTGTTCTCCATTACTTACCGATGTTTGATGTTGTTGATGAGTGTCATTGTTATCATAATAGTAGTAATAGAAGAATGTTCCATCAGATGTAAGTGGCGTTGTTCCCGGTACAACTAGACGTCCTTGTTTCGCTGGTGTTATTGAAGTTTTCGATTGCATACGCCATTTCTTCGATGACGGCTTCTTTACAGTTGTTGTCAAAGATTTAGCAAACTTTACATGTTTTTTGTTACCTGCTGCTACTGCTGCTGCTGCTGTTATTGTTTGATTGTGACCACATTTAACATCATTTTGTTGCTGTTGAGATGGTTGGATGTTGGTGGAATAATTATTCATAGAATTAGTCTCATTTATGTTGTAGTTGGTCGAAGATTGTATTTGCTGTTGTTGATGTTGGTGTTGTTGATGTTGTGGCCCCGTATCGTAAGCAATTGGGGCTTCGGATCACGTACTCATCATATAATTTTGATTGCCACAAGTGCAAATGGTAACCGGTGCATAATAAACGCCATTGGCATATAAAAGTCCAGGCTGCGATGTCGGTTGAAGTTGAATTTGTTGTGGTGTTACAGTAGATGTTGTAGTGGCGGTGATGCTTTGCGGTTGTTGAGCGACAATCATCGATTGGGATGTCTGAATGCTTGCAGGTGGTGGAGGTTGTAAATGTTGAACCTGTTGTACCATTTGAGCATCATTTTGACTCTGATAATGGATTTGCTGATGATGGCTTTGCGACTGTTGTTGCTGTTGATGGTGTTGAGGCGACGGTGAAAGCATGAGCGATTGAGGTTGTAGTGATTGCATTTTTTGACGTTCCCTACAACTTACTTGTACGGCCAAGTGCTCAATTAAACTAAGTGTCTGACGGCGTTCATGACCCATTAGACAAACAGTTGAGTTCTCGACGACCTCATGTAAATGCACTAAATAATGATACTGCAATGGCTCTTCGTCGACGCCCCAGAAGTGATTTCGCAAATAAGCTTCGAGTTTAATGCGTTGCTGAAGAATGTCGGGAAAGTCGATGAAGAATCGCGAGCACATGTAGCGCTCCAATTTCTTGATCTGCTTTTGATCAACCGGAATGTAATTCCTCACGAGCAAGTTGCAATATTTAAGGAGGCCGCCGCCTCTGATCTCTTCCGGTCGTCGTGTCGATATGAGTTTATTTGTGAGATGATAAAGAGCCTCATGAAAATCACCGTATACAGATTCACCAACAACTGTCGGATAAAAGTTCTCTGAAATAGGCAATTCAGCACAGTCATAGAACAAGAGAAGCGAGTCAAGAACAATTTGAAATGAATCAACACTGAATTCAAATTGTCGTCGCATTGTATCGACAAATTTCAATTCGACATTTTTATGGCCCGGTGAGTTGCCTAACGAGATCAAACTCCATCGGTCACCGTCGTTGTTTACTTTCACCATTTTTCCAACATATGCTTCCTTCAATGATCCTGGTGAGATGCGTTTTCGCATGACATGATCTGGCAACAAGTCACTAATTGTGCTAAGCACAGCTGACTTGACACGATCGAAATGGCGATTTGATGAAAATTCCACGGCGAAAATTAAGTCTAAGTCATTGTAGCATTGAGCTTCATAGGCGAGAACGTGACTAGCAGCGCCACCGTTGAGGCGAATATCTTTGACACACATACCAGCACCGCCCTCTTGAATATCCAACTCTAACTTTTCACGAACCAACGTAACGAAGTCTTTCAAGCACACCTCAAGTGTCGGAAAATTTCCACGTCCATGAATCGAAACTGATTCGTTCATCACGTCATTCAATTTCTTAACTTGCTCATAAGAAAGCACGGCCAAACGTTGCTGATCGATTTGCTGCTGTTGCAACTGCTGTTGCGATTGCTCGTACTCATCAGCCTTTTGTTTTAATCGATTATTATTGGCAACATCGTTGTCATCATCAGCATCAGCTAATGATAATGATGATGAGGTTCCATTGAGAGATAAATTACACTTGAACTTATTATTTAAATCTGCATTGACATCATCTGTTTCATGTTTTGTGGCACCGGCTGATTTATTATATTGTGGCTTTTGTTGTTGTGTCGACGATTGTGCAGCAACCTGCTGAGTGTCCAAGAGATAATATGAAATGTTGTCATTTGACGACGAGGCCGATGAATTGTTAGATGCAAGAGAAACTACGGAACTGCTTGAGCTTGGTGATGGCGGTGGTGTCACTGAACCTCCATCTGAATGTGCATAGTCCGGATAATGATGGTAATTGGGTCGATTTGAATAGCTCTCATCCATTCTGCCAGATTGATTGCCTTTTGTTGAATAAGTGACTGTTGATGATGATGGTCGACGGTGATGACGATGGTGGTATTTGTCGGAGGGAACTTTCAGGGTCCCACACTGTAATGAAATTAAAAAAAAAATTAATCAATTTAACTTCTAAAACTCTCTATTGTTCATTTAAATGCTAACAAATTCACATAAGAATCAAACCTTGCCACAAGAAACAATGAAAAGCAGATAACGAGAAATAGTTTCATATCTGGCAGTAACGTCATAATGTCACGTATACTCAATAAATTATTATTTTCTTTCGAAAAACTAATAAAACGAAAGCAGATTTTCGTTGACTCCAATCAATATCACAATTAACTCTGAAAGGCTATATCATCATTTCGATTATCTTAAACAATTCTTTGTCGTTCCATAAATGATAGAAACATCAGAATGTTGCTATCAAAATTTAATAAGTGTCACGAGACTAAAGTGGAAATATAAAAGGATCATAATGGAAAAGCTCGAAAGGTCGTTTAAATTATTTACAATGGACATTCACTGGTGGGAGGAAAATGTAAGCTTTCTTACTTTGTTTGAATTAAGAAGTGAATTTGGACAAAATCATTTAGCGAGACTCTTTTTATATTCATCGGGGAGTTCATTCCAAAATGCGCTCTACTTCCTTGTGGGCCCTCTTTCAGAGCACAAAAAATTACTAATAAAAGCAACAAATTAAGTCTTCTTCTTTTATGTAGCAAATAATATGAGGCAGCGCGTGTCGAAGAACCTTTTTCAAAGACGATACTGACAACTAACAAAACCGAAATTGTGGAATGAAACACTCGATAATGAAATGATCCTGATTGATATTGAATATTCACTTAACTATGTTTTTCTATGAATAGCGTTAAGCTTAATAAAGCTCTTATAGTGAAAAGCAAACGAGAAAAGGCTTAGAAGCAAAACACAACACAAACTCAACCCACACGCATAATAGACGAGCGAGTGTCATGGTCAAAATAACCTTCTTGGAATATGAATTCAATTTTATTCTCATTTCCCTCATCTTGTACATGTCTTATCTTCGAAAGTTACAAAATTCACTCAAATAAATATTCTCCCAGTTTAAATTGATTTGTCATGAAAAATCGAACAAAACTTTATTCAACTTATACGCGATTTAATAACATTTAAAGTTCATGTACATTGATAAAAGCTTTTTTTTGGATGTTACATCATGCATTTATGTATTCAATAACATACATATGAAATCATAAATATAGGCTTACGAACAAGGGCATTCAGTTTACATATTTGACGGTAAGTGTCTTTGGAATGAAGTTGAAGGTTGTCGCATTGCTAACCCGCTTAAGTAAATATATGCTACAACATTTGTGTTTCAATTTTCAATCAATTTATCAACTTTTAAATTAATAATTAAAAAAATATAAATGTTTATCTCTATGAAGGTTCGTGAAGGTTTTCAAAGACTGACTAAATACAATTCAACTTTTTTTCTTATCTCTACTCCTTCTTTTATGTTTTATTTTTTTGTGTGAAGTTTTTAAAATAATTAATGTTTATGCATATTTATTATTATTTTATCTTTGGCCTCTCTTTTCACTTTCGTAAATAATTCCGATTCGAAACTGACCTAATAACTCCAATGTTACACTTTATGTTGCTTTGGACGCATGTTATTATGATTAAACGCCAACGACCATAAAAATTAATGAAATGAACAAATTATTGAAATTCATTTACATGTTTTTGATTTGATATTTTTTTGTACTACAAAGCGTTTGCGCTTATTAATGAAATATTATTAACGAAGCTTTTAATTGATGTGAACTAAATTTTTTTCCTCACATATATGGGCAAGCACAAATATCTCAACACTTTTACATTCCAATGTCTGACATACAATATTTCTCCTAATAAAAAAAAGAGAAATAATCTAAATCATGAATGAAGAAAGGAGAAAAAAAAGAGTTCCGTGAAATTTGAAGAAGTTGAACGTAAATGAAAGATGAGAAATCGTTGAGAGAAAATTGGTTTCACTAAGTTGGTAGATCAACAGCAATCAAAGCAAAATTGATGAATAAATACACAGTCGGCGGTGTTCAGCAGTGCCTAGAGTCCAATAAATTGTTGAAACACACGGTTTTGTGTGTCAAACTACCGACACATCATGAAAAAAATATTTGACAACGAAATGTATGTAAATATAAGAGCTTACAACTGAATTTTACACTTCAGCGCTTTGAACAATTAAGCACAAACCGTTTGAAGTTTGATTGAGTAGCAAGTAAGCTTTGAAAGTTCATTTCTCAGAAGAAACGACATTTTTTGTTTCCATTTGTAATAAAATTCAATTTTACACATTTATGTACTACTTATGTGCATTGTTAATGCAAGAAACATCAACTTAAGCAATCAGTTCCACCCAAGCAATGGAAGTAATCGAATATGTAATTTCTGATGAATGAGTTAGAAATGATGAAAAGAGAAAAGAAGCAGAAACTTCAACGGTAACTTCAGACGGAAACAGTTAAAAGATTATGACACAATTTTGAAGATAATTCTGTAAAAATTTAGACTACAGCTAAGATATTTCGTCATCTTCTTATCCAAAAAATTTAACGCTGATGTTGACTCAACTAATTTTGAAAAAGTTAAAGTGTTGAGTAATTTCATTGTGAGCTTCTCTTTTTGACTGAATTGTGAAATCGACGTGGAGTTCGTAAATGTCGTGTACGATTTTCCGTTTGTTTGTTTGTTAATTATTGATTGAATTTAAAGTACGCTAAGCAAGTATTTCAGAATTCCGCTGAATTATTTTCCGATTCATTTAAAATCGCCTAATTAATTAACAGAGTAACAGCAACGAGCGAAACTGGAGCATTCGAAATAAGTGAACTACCAAATAAGCTTCAAACTTCGCTCTCGTACACATGTTTCCATTTTTTCCATCAATCATTGAAGCATTTTTAATTTAATTAACGGCTATTTACGGACTTTAAGCAACTCGAACCACCACGAAGTAAGAAAAGTTTTTGAATTTTTGTTCGTGCAAAAAGATTTTCAAGAATTCATGGAACGAAGAACGAAAATTCTTCTGATATGTGAATGAAAATTTGATTATGATTTGAAAATGTATAGAAATATAAATGATGTGTAAATAAATGTTTATGTCTCAACGATGGTTAAGATGGTTTGACAAACAAACAAGGGATAAGGGAAAAGAAAAAAAATTGGAACTTTGTTGGTTTCTTAGTTGCTAAGCGTGTTTTTGTCATATAATTTACAAAGCCATAAAATGAATGGAACAAAATAAACGTATCAGTAAGTCATAAGATCTCTTTAGTCGCTTAAATGTGTATCAGTGCTTTTACAAGTTTAAACAAGGTCTGTGATCTGCTGTCTTAACGAACCTTCATAACGCTTCTTAGGGTTCACAAAAATATGTTTGATCAGTTGTTAAAAATTTCACGTTTGATAGTCAGAGTGCCATTAACGATGGAGAGAATGATTAAAATGTTCACTTGTCAAATGTCCCAAGCTGCTTGTCAACCTTGGCAATTAACTTTTTTTTCTCCGATCAAATCTTGTTTCGCACCTTGAAATTCATAAATCGTAAATTCTTTGCTTCAACAAATAAGTCATGCAAATTATGAGTGTATGGCAGTGAATAATTCTTAACACTCTTTCTTTCACAAAAACTTCGTAAATTTTACTCACGTTTTCATGAATTCCTTAAGAATAAATTATTCTTTTTATGAGACAAACACATGCGAAATCCATAATTTATCTGTTTTATTATCATTATTTTTTTATTATTTTTTTGGGTTATTTTGGAAAATGAATTTTAAAATTTTCAAAGCATTCAAGTTCTACATATAATTCTTATCGGATCAAGTAATTCATTGCTTGTTTAGCATCAACAAGCGTCTTTCTCGCTTCCCTTCTTAAGAATTTCAGAATGTCAAGGTTGAAATGTATGCTGGTAATGTTATTGCTGTTGCTTCTTTTCGAACGAATGATATATCAGCTTAAAGGAAGGAAGGAAGGAAATTTAAATTGTGATTTATGAGAAAAGGAAAATTCACATAATTTTGATTTTTCTGAAAATCAACGCGTTAAACACGTCTACACATAATCGCAACGAATTTGAACTGAATTCAATTCAATTATCTCGCATTGTAAAACGAGAGAAAAAAAAGAAGTAAGACAAGAATCTTGTCAAATTTTTTCCATTGAATTGATAAAATTGACATTACATTTCAACTATCTCGTTTGTTCGATCTTGAAAATTTTAAATGCGATGTTGCTGCTCAAAAAAAAATTGGAGAGATTTTTGCTTACATCTGACGTCAGATTTCCCATCATCAAAATAGAAATAATAATAATAATCATTCTGTATCACGCAAACCCACTTCAATTTCTATATACACAACGTTTAAGTGGGAATCTCACACAGAATATTTAGGAATGAGTGTTTGCAGCTATCATTGAGAGATCAATCTATGAACAGCGAAAGAGATCCGCTCTATCATTACAATTTATCACAACGAATGTGCGACGAAAGCAAACTAGTTCACAGAGAAATAAAAATAAATTAAAAATGAAATCAAACTCGATGTTGCTTTACCAGCTCGGTTACTCACTGGATTGCGTATAAAAATATATTTTATGGACTGGAAGAATGAAATTGAGTTCTTGTGAGTGACTAAGAGATTTTACAATAATAATTTTAATCGTTACTGGTTTATGTCGTTTGAATGTAAAATTTCAGTTTTTTTTTGTTTCTCATCTCCATCGAAGTGGACTCCCAAGTTTAGCATCCTTGAAAACTCAAAAGGTTCTTAAAATTAAGACTCGTTTTTTTATTTCTGCTATTTCTTTTAAACATCTCTCTGCTTGTAGACTCTCTCAATTGAATTGAAACATAAAAGTTGAACACTTTTTTTATTAATAAACACACGATGTATAGCACGATATTAAAACAACAGAATACCGGATATTATCGCCCTTGAAATCGATTTACTTCTACCTAGCGAAGTTGTATACATTTTTTCGCTTTTTCATTTTTCATTCCATTTTAGACATGTTTGTAAATGCTTTTTGCGCCATTAGTTGCTGTTATATTTATTTATTTTTTTTTTTTCGTCGCTCTCTGGTACTGAAGCTGGTTTCAGTGGAGCTGGTTTCATTTAATGTTGTTTATTCACATTGAAAGCAATATGAATGACTTTGTTTGAGATTTCATATTGAGCATGCTGTGTGTGTCAATTTTTTTTTCTATCGAATTGACTTCTTTCCTCGATTTCAATTTAAGTTATTTTTGATTTCTTCTTTCTATTTTTATTTAGCGTTCGAGAATGGTTTTCATTGTCGTCGTTGTGATGACAGAAATGCTGATGATGGTAAATTTTTCATTGCATAAGAAAGTTAAACCGTAAAATTATTTTGTCCGTTGGCTGAGACAATAAACTGGTGCAATTTTAATGTACGTCATGTAACAACACAACAAAAAGTCATATTGTTGACGATATAAAAGCACCTTTTATGCTTCACGACTTCTTTTTCCTTCTCGTTCATTTCAAGCCTATTTTCATTAAGTTTTTATTTCATAAAACCTTTTTTTCTGGTTCACCCTGATTTCTTAAAATAATGATTTATCAATCGTTCAAAAGGCGAGCTATTAAATATTAATTGAAAAATGCTTTGCAACTTGCTTAAGTTTAAGCACACCGATGATTACTTGAGACTTACTCATGGTTCTCACGATGGAAAGGGCGATCATATTTATCTCGATCTCGATCTCGGACTTGGAATGTAACATTAAAAGCAAGCGCAACAGCAACAGCAAATTGCCTTTGTCTTTATTTCTGATTTTTCAAGCGCCAAATTAAGTCAGATATCTAAGGATAGGCTGGTTAATTAAAGGTTGTGTAATTACTACATTTCTCGCTCTTTTTGTGGTTTGGTTTAATCTAATGGTCGTCGACATACGTTTTTAAATGTTATTATGTGAAGAAATATAAATAAACACGATAATCGCCTCTGTTAAATGTTCAATGAATATTCATTTGAATAATTTTGAAACGTTTCGTGGGTGCTTTTTGATCGACTCAAATTAAATGTCATTTATGGCATTTGACATTTCTTCTTGCTTATTTTTCGTGTTATTTATGTCGTTTTAAACTTCACAATCTTTCTCGTGAAAGCAAACAGTGTTGAGTGCTACCTAGGAGCAATAAATAATCAACAGAAAAGGCATCAAAAGTAAATTCTCTTCGCCTACTACGAAAGTCAAAAAGCCAACCCCTTTCCGGTGTAGGTATCGCAAAGTAATTAAAATCTAATTATGAATTAAGGAAATAATTTACAGAAGCAGTTACACTCTTGTGAGTTTTAAGCTTACAAATATTTAGATGTTCACAAGAAATAACATGAGAGAACAAGCTAAAATTAACCGCGCAGTGTCACAACTTAATTGGGTTTTTACTTCATCCGGAAATCTCTGCTTTCATTTCATGATACTTTGCAGTATGAAATATGTAAAGTTGCACTAAAATTAGAAGAGTAATCTGCCGCAAAATCTGATGAGTTTTTGTGGCTTTTCTTCGTTACTTCATCTTTTTTTTTTTTTTGAATCGTGTACTTTTCGGCTATACAATGCCAGTCAAACTAAGTAATCTGACATGCACAAGTGAACTCACAAAGTCACGCTTTTCTTTAGTCACATCATCCTCCCTCTCATCATTGAAGTATCGCAATCAGCGGATCAGTTACAAGTAAAAAATCTATTATTACATGATGAACATATTTCCGCATTGATGTGCACACCAGAACCAAAAAAGAAAATTGAAATCGGGCGCCAAAAAACGCAACAGCTTCATTAGCGTTATTCACAGTCCCGCTTACATTGAAATGTACATCCAAAGTTGTTGATACTCAAGGTATGTGGTATTCAATTAAAAATGAACGGCTCATGTCCAAAGTTAATCAAAATCCGAATCAAATGCCAACGAGTCAAGAATGACACATCATTAAGAGAGCATTTTTCTCTTCGCATTTTTTGATTTTTAGATATTTTTATTTTTATTTTTTGTAAGTTTCAATGAGGCCATTTTTGATTTACAAATTGTGTGCTTGCATCAACCGTCAAATAACATTGAGCATTTCACGTCGCAGTCTAGACGTAACCTTCATTTTGCTTATTTTTTATCTATCTTTTTTTTAATTGCGACAGCTCTCTCTCGTAAGCTAAATATGCGCTTAACATCAAATTATTTATTTTTTCTATGTGAAAACCACAACGCAATTGAATGATTTTTTTGGTGTAGTGTTATTAAATGGAATCATGATGAGCACGTAGCGATGAATTATGCAAACAAAAAGATTTATTACCAGAGAAAGACTTTTGTTATTGATACGAAATGAATGCAATGCGACTATCACCTGTAAATAAGGGAATTAACTTTTTTTTTTCCTCCAGAGGCAATCAGAGTAAAGATTTTGTGGTTTTTACTTTTTATTTCGTTGTTCAATCGAAATTTTAATGCGGCTTTGTGGAATCCCTGCTGACAGAGATCCGAAGTACAATTGTTAGAGAGCGATAGCATCATCCATTAAGCGAGCGCATATTTCATGAACTTAATAAATGATGTGCTATTAAGCGATTGGAAAAAAAGAGATGATGTGAATCTCCCTGAAGGTTCAAATTGGTCAACACAAGAAGCTTTGTAATCGGCTTAAATAATTCACGAAACTCCTATTCATAAAGGCAGTATCTGCACATTTCGCATTACGAAGATACAAGAACGTTGTTATCAATCAATTTAATTAATTGTAAACTTTGAGAGATATTTCTTCTGTCTTTATATTAATAAATATTGTGGTTCATTGCAAAATATTTCCCGATTACTTTGTACTTCAATGTATGTTTAAGTATTAATTCAAGATATTACAAAGTGAAAGGATGGTTAAATACTTCGTGTTGAAACATCCACATCTCAAAAGCTCACTCACTTTTTTTTTGCTCTCTCGACATCTGCAACTTTTATGTTATGATGGAAATGACGAAACTCATCACGTCGGGTTATGATTTCAATGCAATAATAAATTCACAACATGAATAAATCTTTTCCAGATTTAGTCGTTTCAACTTTTAATGTCATTCAATAATTTATATAGATTATCATCTAACTTTGAAATTTCTTTCATATAAATCAGCATTGCTGATTGATCAAGCTAATTTTACTCCTGATCAAAGTGGAAAATTATTTCTTTTTGGCACGAATACCTGACAGTCACTTTAACTACGTGTCGATTACCGACTTCTCGAAGAAGAAAGACATTTCAATCAATTTATTTTAAAAGAGTTAAGAAGAAGCAAGTAAATAAGTAAATTGAATTGTAGAGCAGAGCTGCATGAATTTTAAAATTGAAACACGACAGCAGATCATTGTACTTAAATGTAAGATCTGAAAGTTACGGCTGTTGTTATGTGCTTCCAAAGATGATCGTGTCTCAAGGCTTCTTCGATCCTTTATTGGCAAATATTTTCTGTTTTCATAACTTAAACAACGAGCGATATTTCACAAAATGTTTTCATTAAATCGTTGCAAGTTTACGGAATTCTTATGGTTGTTTTTTTTGTTTACTTTCAAGGTTCAGCTCAAAGCACAGTTTTTTTATTTCTCTTCACGATTAATGTTTCTGTTGTGCTTGTAAGTACAAATGACTTTTTAGAAACTTTTTTCCAAACCCGCATTTAACGGCTGATTAAACACAAGGTATTTTTTAGAAAAAATATGTTTCTCTTGTTTCAAGTGTTGTTGTTGGCCCCAATTAATAAATACATTTTGACATCGATTAAGCCGTCGTTTCTTTTTCTTTTCAAGACCTTAAAGAATTCTTTGTTTTTGTTTTTTGAAAACAACTCTCTCAAAACCTTAAATCTCAGTAACTATTCTCAGCATATAAAATTCATTCGTTCACGGAAGCATTAAAATTCATCAATGTGATAAAAGCATAAAAAGAAGTCGTAAAATTCATGTAACAAGATGTTTTTAAACTTACATCTTCTCTTATAAATAATAGCAAAAAAATGTTTTTATTTTTCATTTTCTCGCGCTCGACATGTTTAATGACGGGAAAACATCTGGAAATGCTTCGATTTGCACTCAACAGATGAGAAACCAAACACTACTGGAATGAATTCTGAACAGGTTAGATATATAATAAGTCTTTCTGAAGCTACGATAAAAATGTTATTAAAGGTTTAAAGGTGACAACAAACATCAATTGTCCCTTGACACGTTTCTCCATGTTGTTTGTGTAAGTAATGATGAATTAAAAGTTGAGAGTTGCAGGTCCACAATAATCAGTTATTTAAGCAAAATGAAGAAAAAGGGAACAAATAAAAACATCTTTAATTTATTTGCACGAGATAAACATGGCACAGAAGTAGCTACCAACCATTATTACGTTTGTTATAATTTCCTTTCACATCTTGCTTCTCTTCGTGTGCTTTTCTCTTACTTTTCGCCATTCATTCTTTTGGTATCATGAAGATTGCGTGGGAGTGAAGGATGAATGGCGAAAGAACGTACTTACATACTCTCTTTCGATTTCATTAAGCAAAATGTCAAATGGATCTGAAAAACCAATCGAAAATCCAAAGAATCAACCTTAATCCTAATTATACTCAGATGGATTAAAGGATAAAATGATGGCGAAATGAAAATATTATTAAAGCATTTGTTGTAACGTCCGATCTTCTTTGACATTTATTTGTTTACAAGAAACATTAATGCTCGAACTTCTTTTCCTGATATACTTTATTCATGTTCATTTTCAGACACCGCAAAGCTTTATTCTCCCTTAAATGGGTTATAAATCTTGTGCTTTCACATAAATAAAATGCAACCATTTCTCTCAATAAGCGATGTAACAAGGAACTTACAAAATGGGAGATGTAATCATACGGGAAATACTGTTTCATTTGTAACTGAGAAAAAAAGTGAATTGCGGTATTGTCAAAGCATCACGTGGAAGTGCTTTGTTTGTTCGTCTGACTCATCTCAGCTGTTGTTTATTTGCAATTCATGAAAGGTGATTTTTAGAAAATGTAAGTAAATAAATTAAGTAAGAGTATTTTATTGAATGAATGAAAATTGATTGATATGCCTCATAAAACAAGAAGGAATATTTTAAAGGCTCACAGTGTGGTGTGATAAACGTGGATTAAGATAAAGTTTCATCTCACCCATCATCTTTATTACATTACCCAAGTGTGATCGCTTCTGAGGATACATCATCATTTTATAAGCTAATATTTATGTATGTACATATACTGGCCTACGTTGAAAGAAGAGAGAAAAAGGCGAATATCTTAACTTTAAGGGTAAGCAGCTACTTTGACATGGGTTAAAGTTCACTTCTTTTTGTTTCTTTACCGTTTTATGTTTTTCTTTTTCTTTTTTTTTGGGTCTCGTCTCCATGTTCCTCAAATTTATTTTGCATTCGACACTTTAATGGACTGTTAAACATCAGACTTATTATTTCATTGTTCAAGCCACAAAAGTTATTACAGCATACTGCTTGCGATTGAGAAGCGGCTTACGACAGTGACATACTTTAACACTTGTTATACGAACAAACAAACAAAAAATAGCTTCTGGTTCAAATGAGTGTGTTGCGTGTTGCTGTTTGTTTCGTCGTTGAATTGTCGAGAGAACCCATAATGATTGTATAGTAATGTAACGAGTGAAACAGTTAAAGTTATGCTTGCTTTATGCTTCTCGATTCCATTTCAAGTCTCTCTTTCTTGCTCCCCTCATCCAACATCTATTACAAGGTCGAAACACTTAAATATTCTTTTTTCGCTTATGCTTGCCGTTGTTCAGCTTTTTCCCGTCAAGAATTCTTTTTTAACGAGACATGATCCGTTCGTTGTTCAGATCACTGCCATGTTAAATGTCGGTGCATAAAGTTTCGTTTGCAGTTTTACTTAATTGAACATTACGATGTTGAAAACATTAATTTATCAATGTTTAGACGGCAAGTCCTCTGAGTTTAGAAGAAATATGAAAATTTAAATCTTCTGAATGCGAAGTAATGAACGAAAAAGTAAAGCTGGATAATTATAGAATATTTTTGAGTTATTGAATCATATAAGAATACCAAATGATCTGATTCATGTTAGTCATCAAATGAAAAGCTCACGTCTTGACTCAGATGAGGTGAGAAAAATTGAATTTCTCTTAAATACAAGCAGAGAAAAATAAAGAATCTTCTTCAGTTGAAAAATGAAACGAAAAGTTGAAGGAAATTTTATTTTTAGCATTATTTTGATTTCACCTTCTCGAAATAAAACAAGCTAGTTAGTATGTATATATGTATGTTAAATAGCGATGACAAATCGACAACCTGAGGAATGCTGATGTTTCTCGTTCACTTCGTGGCCAACAATTTTCACTTTCTTCCATTTACAGTCACCTTTAGCGGTGACTTGTGAGGCACTTCAAGTGCATATAAAAAAATCAAGTGCAGTGCGTTTTAATTTGTGATTCCAACATTCCAAAATGAGTCAAAATATTCAAAGAAAAGCAAAAAGAGTTTCTTTAAATGAAGAATAAATGAAAATTGCTTCATCCAATTATCATCATTCGACGAAACGTAAAAATGAAACGATTAAAGTTAAGTTCGGCTAAAAAGAACACTTAAAGTGAATTTCATTTGCGAAGCATAAATCGGGGCGCAAAAAAAAGTTTCACTGCCTGATTGCTGGTTGGTTGTGTGTGCATATTGATATATTCACCAGGTGTGCAAGATATGAAGAAAATCAACTTGTTGACTACACGAAAGAAATAAAAATATAAAACAGAGCTTTAAAAGTTTGTCGACCTACATTTTTGCGCAAGCAATTTTTTATATTGCTTTCTTGTCTTGTTATTCGAGTTTCAGCATTTTTTTTTGTTTTTGTTTCCATGTTACCTTTTAGATATTTATATGTTTTCTCATCATATTTCGGTGGTGCTGTTATTACAATTCAACTTCAATTTATTCTCGGCATCATTAAAATTCATACATGAATTGAAAATTAAAAAATTCTACATTGACGCATGTATTAAGATATAAATCAATTGACATAAGTTTGTATAATTAGATATCTAATTTGTAATTTAATGACACCTTCAACTGATACTTTAATGTATCACCTCAATTACGAGATGATCAATCAATCGATAGTAAAGTTTCTCAGAAAAATACTATTACAAAAGCAATTGACTTTCATTTTCATTCCAATCGATGTGACAACTTCGTTTGTTTCTTTTTCTGTTGTTATTTTCGATTTCATACTTTGCATCATCATCATTCAAGTTAGTCGATTGTGACGGACTATGGAAGGAATTTTTATTGGAATTAGAAAGGTAATGTTCATCGTCAACATTATAAAGTGTTCAGCTTGAGGCTGTAATGAATTTCAAAAAGCTTCTCTCTTTTGTTTTCCTCGTTTAGATAAATGCTTTCGACTTATGTTGCCATTGCATGCATATGTATGAAACATATTTATATTCAATATCTTTTTTTCTCCATTTATTGCAAAACTAAGCACCAAACACTTGAAGCAAGCATCGTTTCGGGTGCATTGTGCTTGTCAAAACAACAAATAAAATACAGCAGCGACAGCAGCGGCAGGGAAAAAATCCCAGCCATAAAAACCTCTCAATTTATGAGGCCTTTGTGTATCCAACTTTCCCACTAAATATCGATTGGCTATGCGTACCTTTGCTCAACATTATCTAATAATGTCTTGCCAAAATCAACGTTTCTTATGCAGCTATTTAAGTAAGTCTCACAGCTGATGCCACTAAGTATTAATAAATTACAAAGTTTGATTTTCTCCGTTTCTAAATTCATAATCCACAAATCCGCAAAAGTATTTTTTTATGTAATGAACGAATTCATTTTCAAGCAATTTCTTGTGCATATAAGCAAACAAGTAAAGCAAATCATGTACCTTCGAAGTAAAATGAAATTATAATGACTTTCGAGGTGATGCAATGAGCTTAGTAGATGAAAGATGTGCTTTCAAATGTTATAATTTTTTTTCATTGGAAAATGCTTCGCGTTATAGTTAGTTGAGTTAATGAAATCGTCTGATCAAGAGATACATGAAGAAACTCCTTAACTCTCCCCACCATTTCAATCGTCTCGTCGTAAACCCGATCAATCGTCTCGTTTCGTTGAATCTCCATTTTAATATTGTTTTGTGATGTTGCCCATCGTAAGCAGGAGAGCAAGAAGACATTTGTTTATGTCAGCTCGCGATTCATGCAGCGATTTTGGTGTGTTGTGAAACAAACTATTTCTTTCTTTTTTGTGTTTTCTTTTTCCTCGCAATCTGCAAGAGTGTTTCCATTCCATGTCAAGAAACATTCACTTTTAATCTTTCTTTCTTTTAACTTTTTTTTTTGGTATTTTCAATTAATTCTTCTCCTTTGTGGATGAGAGTTTAAAGAGTTTAAAGTTGTTGTGAGACTTGTATTGATGAAAAAGTTGCTTCAAGCCAATGAATACATAATTGTAAAAGAGAAAAGTTTTCCTGAAATAATCAGGTTCTGGAATAATTGGACGATGAGCTTCAAGATTTTTTTTGTGTAAAATGACTGATTTAGTATACATACAAACCTAAATAAATTTTCCGTCTGATTGCATCATGTTGAAAGTGAATTTATACTCTGCACGAACTGAGTATTATGTTTTTTTTCACGTCTCAAATCTTATTGCAGAATTCAATTTTATCGAGATAATGGAAATTGAAAATCTTTTTATCGTTTAATGTCTTTTATGTACGTAATACTTTTTATGTGCGATTGTTGTTTCTTGTTGTGTGACTTGTTGAACATTAACAATGCCATGAGTCAAAGAAAGAATTTGAGTGAAGATCCAATTAATGATAAACTGGAACTGAATGAAGCCCCATTCGGACAACCAACACAAGTTTCCTTCTAAGTTTTTTTTAATAAAAATGTCGTTTTGTTGTCCAAGTAATTGGATTTTAAACTGTTTAGTAAGTTACCATCTATTCGTTCTAAGTTCTCTGTAAAACATTATGAAAATCACATCTCGACTTCATGCAATCTTCAAATTCGATAGAATGAAATTATATAATGTAGATCAAGATTTAGATTAAGTAATTTTCGTGTCGTTTGTAGACATTAAAAAAATATTTTTTTGCTTCTTAAGTAATAGAAAGTTTCATGTGACAATTTAGCTTACTTACAAAGTAATATATTGTCATTGGTCTTATGTGCGAGTTTAATATTTTTCATGACATTCATCAGCCATCCTCAAGGGAATGAATCAGCGGATTTTGTAATTAGATAGTTTTCAAATTTCCGTACATTAAAATTAATTTTTATTGGTGTTGCTCAGCTTTTTGAAAGGAAAACGAAAAATTTCGTTGCAATTTTATCGAAAACAAATTTAATTCAACACGTAGCATAAATAAAACGCTTTCAGCTTTGAAATCGACATAAATTCAAAGTTTCAATTATTATAACTGTGCACGCAATTTTCATCGGAAAACGCGTATGATTTACAATCGTCATCAGATTAGCAATATTCCAATTGAATTTTGATTTATTTTAAAACACTTTTATTGGAATTATGCAGACGAGAGAAAACAGAAAACTTTCCACTTTGATTACGTTCCATTAATCAAATATCTATCGACCATGATGCACTGCGTGTCATCAAAAGCACAAAACGTGATTTATGAGCCACATTTTCAACTGTTGCATAATATCTTAAGCCAATAAATAAATATAAGAGTTAGCTGTATGTATCTGAGTTACAACAATTCGTTTCAACAAATTATCGTGTCATGGTGTGGCTTGGGGAGGGTATGAGTATGATTTCTTACAGCTTTCTTAGCATTTTCCATTGTGATTTGACAAGCGAGATTATTCACAATGTTTTACTGTCAATTACATAAATAATAAATAATAATCTCCCCCAAAAAAAAACAGGAAAGATTTGGAACTCATGTTGATGTTGATGTAACGAGTAACAGCAATAACCTCGATGCTTTATTTAAATTTTCTAAATTTTCATGCCTCATAATTGTGCGACTGCGTCATTAATAAAATAGCTTAAATGTTTATTTCTTTTTTTATTCAACGCTGTTTTTAATTACGCCAGAAATACCGAATGAAATGTGATGTGATGTGAGAGTGCTGATGGTTTATGAAATCAATCGGCTGCGACTCATGAAAACATAAATTTAGTTTCTTTCACATATGCCAACCTCATGTTGCTTCTCTGTTCTCATACAATGAAATGCTGACAATCGGCAAATAAATTTCCCTTTAGAAACAAACAGCGGATTGCACATCATAGCGATTAAAGTTCACATGTCCCTTTGTAATCGATTAGTGTCATACATATTTAAGAATAAAAATTAATAAAAATTTATTAATAAGTAACTTGAATCAATTTGTGATCAAATGTCAGAGAATTATTAACTTGTAATATCATCAAACTGTTATGGTGAACATTTTAAGTTCATTAATTAACATATACATATCATGATGCTTTATGTGTAACAAAGATCATTGATAAAATTGAGCTTAAGGATAAATTAATTAATGAATAAATTTCCTTTTATGTGATTCCAGAAGTTAATGGCCGACATTACGATTTTGTCACTTTGTAAATTATCTCTTCTGCAGTTCAAGAGTCGCAATAACACACGCCACTTGGCGTCCCAATTCACAAGATAATTTGTTTCATCTCAATCAATGAATCTTCTTACAGAGAGAAGAAGCAAATTGCTTAATTAAAATAAAATCTTTTTGTTGTGTCCATGTTTATCATCTGAGCGCAATTTAAACATAAAAAGTATGTGAAACATTTAAATATTTCCATTTAAGATAACCTCACGAGTTGAGAATCTCTTTTCTTTTTTCATTTAATTAACTGCACACAATAATAATATCATTAACGATTGTTCAACTGAATGTTTGTGTAACTAAACGCAGTTGGAAATCAAAATCATCTGGGAAAAACATTTCATGAATTTTTTTTCTTTTTTTGAAGCGGTTTTTGTTTGATTATCAATTAAGACTTTTAAATGTGAATCACTGTGCCAGTCGCTAGCTCGCTAAAGTTGAATATAAAAAGGAAAACAATTTTTTATAGCGAAGTAAGCACCCGAGAAAATTACGCAAAATGAGCAATGTTTTTAGCTCCAAACTAATTTGCTTGAACTTTTTCTTGAAATATTTTTTACTGCGATCGTGTTTGGATTTTTTTTCCTTTGTTTTTTGGAAATTTTCTAGGAAATTTAGATAAATTTAAAACTGAAACAGGTTTTCCCAACACTTTTTTTTCCATTTAGTATTGTGAAACATCGTTTTCGGATTGCACAATTTCTATCGGTTCTTGCAGTGCTGTGGTGGCTATAAAACTTTCAATTTTGTTTTATTGTCACCTCAGTGAATCAAATCTATTTCAATTATTTTTTATTTAATTCAAGCTTTTGAAGGTCGACTTTAGTGTTTTTCGAATTTATCTGCCTATGAAAATATTCAGTTACGCTTTATTCGTCTATTTAAATAGTTGTTGAGTTGAAAGTAAATACATATCTCGACTTTAGGCTTTTAAAGAAACCGATTAAACTTTTTCAAGATTTATTTTCTTTTTTTGTATTTTGATGGAAAGTTTCACATTTTTTTTAAATTATTCTTCTTCATTTCTTTTTCGATCATCATCAGCTGGGTCGTTTCATTTGGTCAGCGTGTAGTGTGTAAAATTTCTCAGCTGTAAATTAGCACAACATAAACAAGAAATCTCAAGTTACAAAGAGAAAATCGAATGAGTTAATGAGAAACTAATTAATTGCTTGCTCTTTTCTTTTCGTTGCGATCCCGAAAAAAAAGTAAAATATAAGAAAAGAAGAAGAAAAAAATATGAAAACAAGAAACTTCACTTTGCGATCGCTTTACTCTCTCTTTCATTCATTCAATCATTCATTCATTCATTCATACCGTTATTTGTTGTTATTTTTCTTTCCGATTCGATTATCATTCAAAAACGTTAAAAGAAATGAGAGCTTCCCAAAGTAGATGAAAGAGGTATGAATACACAAACAAACAGCAAAGAAAATAAAACTTAAAACTTTTTTTTAACACATCGTAAGTGCGTTACGGCGAACTGGAACAACTTCATTGATCTATTACCCCGGCTTTTGCAAGCAGCCGCAATTGACACAATTTTGTCTTCTCTTTGAGCTTCCATTCGCTTTCTGCCTACCACTGCATGTTGGACTGCTTTTTCGGCCTTTTCATTATTATTATTATTATTATTAGTGTTATTTATTTTTTTTGGTAGATAGATATTTGTTTCACTTTCAAAAAACCCAATTTTTTAATGTCATCAATTTGGAGCTTGGTTTAAATTGTATTTGTTTGAATGTTCGCCATTAAATATTGCGTATGCCGTTTCGATTGTTTATTTGCTTGCTAAATGATAGCTTTTATCATTGTGATAAAAAAAGAAGTGAAGAAAACAGTTTCGACGGGATTGATGTTGATGTTGACATAGAACACACGCTGCTGTTATGACTTCCTCGATTGCAACTTCACAATAATTAATAACACAATTACATAAATTCGCTTAATTACATTCAAAATGTAAATTTTTAAATTTATTGCCTTCATTCATTTCGAAGCGCTTCATTTTTTTATGGAATACGAAGGGAAACGAAAAAAAATCATTTTCTAAAAGTTCGATTGAGAGAATATAACAAATTAATATATTCAAACAACTTTATGAATTTTCGCTTTCGATTTCTCATGAAAAATGTTAGCGACTCTTTCGAGAACATAATATCAGTAGAAAAACTGGTTTAGCGAGACGCTTTCCAGATCCGCGACTTTCTTTAGCACAGGCACAGGTAAGTTTGTAGCATTGAAAGCAAACGACGTTCAAGATTAAACAGAAACGTGAAGATTGTTTCGAGAATTTTTCAAGTTATGGAGTATTACGGACAAGTTTTATTTCTTAACTTTTATTTTATTCATATGCGATCTTTGCAGGCAAGAATCTGTTGAAATGTTGTATTGAAATCTGAAACTCAACTGCTAATGAATAAGAATAATGCGAAAGAGAAGCCTTCACTTGATGTGGTGCTCGAGTTAATGTCCGGTTTCTTGCAGTTGATTTTCAAGTTTTGTGTCGCTCCAAATATATCGAACAAAAGACTCTCAAGATTGATTGCAGGTAAATTATTGTTTGAAGGATTTCAGACACACTGTCGATGTACTCATAGTAAGGCGAATGTTTTCTTCAAAAAACAAACATCGCAGATGGTTGCGTTCTTCAAGGGTATGGTAAAACGATACAAAAGATTAATGTCGAACTTCTCTGTTGAATCCGAATGCAAATTAGAGCGCACGATTTAGTTCCTGTTGCTTAGAAGGCCCATATCAGACCGGTGGAAGCGCTGTTGAAGGGCACTATTATCATATAAATTGAATGATCTTTAACACTCTTAATTCTCAAGTGTATACGGCCAGTAAAACATTCAAAAGAAATTCAATGAAATGACGAAGATGAAAAGCATTCAAAGACAGTTTTTTTAATTCATTTGAATCAATTGAGAACTGAACTTCCTCACACAACACATTTGTGGGCGAAGGTGATTTGATGAGAGGTCATGAATCTTTAACAACAAGAACTTTCATTACTAACTTTTATGTCATTAGTGCCACTGTCAATTTAAGCAAAATCACACAAGACATTGTGCAACTATTAACCTCAGTTATTTAAATAATTTCAACGTGGAAGTTTCAACTTAATAATTTAACTCTATACTTAATGACAATAACTCAAGTTTTAAACTCTTTTAAACTGAAAGCATTCATTAAAAAAATAACCTGTTGGTTTTTGTTTTGAAAGTGATCAACATAGAATTGCGCAGTTCGAAATTTTTCGATAAGAAATAGAAGTAAATATAGAGACAACACAAGCGAGAGAAGGAAAGTTAAAAAAATACTGATTACCCACCGTTTCTCCCTTTGATTACGACTCATTCCAAAAAACATATATTTATATATAATAATGTCAAATATTCAGGCCATTATCAGCGAAAGCTCACACAAAAAAATATTTTTTGTTGTGTGACATTAAAGTGACATTAACATCGCAGCTTTGTCATTGTAGACACTCTGATGAAAAAAAAAGGAAAAAAGTTATAACTTCATTGCCAGAGCCAGCTGCCCAACAACATAACTCAAGTTGTATAACTTTGAAAGCTTTCGATTCTGTCAAGTTAAACATCACAGACGTCACAATGAACCTGAACCTTTTTTGATGGACACTTTTTGCGACACGATGAATTCTTTTGTGCTTCCGATTATACATTTTTTTATCGCATGTTTGGAAATTGCTTTTCAATAATCAGCTTCAAATTGGATTCTCCCTAGGGCGCCTACATTGATTCGCTTGTATTGAACAAAGAATTAAAAGATTATTCTAAAACTTTCCCTTTTTCCCTTTGCGTGTGTATGTGTGGGATGGTTACATCATTCATGCGCTAATTAATTTCTATTTATGCCACACAAATCAATCGATTCAAAAACGTATAACAAAAAAAAAACGAAAATCAGGTTGGGAGAGAATCGCAAACTTTTTTTTATGCAAACTGAAAAAAAAAAGAAATAAAGAAATAGATCGAAACATTGATTGAAAAGATATACAACGATTTGTGTAATATTCAATATCCGGGAATAGTGATTGGAAGTTGACAGCAATTTCACAAACTCATCGGTAAAAAAAGAAATGCAGAGAGTGAGAGAGAAAGAACTATAAAACTACTAACAACGCACATTATGGCTCTTTAGCAAATCGAATTTCATTGAATCAATAATTTATATAAATAAATGAATTTAAATGATGAAGACAGAAAAAAATTGAAAGTGAGCTAAGGTGAAGCTTGAGGTTGAGAGAAAGAAAAAAAGAATTATTTCAAAAGCATCAACATTAAAAGTTTCGTCTGATAACGAATGATGATTTAAATGTTGAATAATCAAAAAATCAAAATGTCATCAGTGATCGTTTGATTTGAATGAATGCGATAGAAAAGTATTTAAAATTAAATGATGCAGGCAAAAAAAAAGTTGAAAGTGAGCTAAGGTGAAGCTTGAGGTTGAGAGAAAGAAGAAAGAAATATTTCATAAGCATCAACATTAAAATTTATGTCTGATAACGAATGATGATTTAAATGTCAAATAACGAATATAACGACCGATGAACTCAAACGGCCACTTAAACTTATCTGCTCTCGATGTTTGCTGACTCTGTGATTTGTTATTATTATGTACTATTAGAAAAAGAGAAGCTTTTCACTTGTTTCGTTGTTTCATTCGAATAAGGAAAATCCGCGTGACTGTTATTGATTATTTATCATCGGCCACTGTCATTCTTTATATTTTTTCTCATTTACAGCCGAACACACGTGTGCACTCTGAAATTTTTAATTGGATTTTGTGCTGCTGACGATTGACATTCAAATTTCACCTTTGACCTCAACGAATGCTACTGCATTGCACTGTAAACTTTTTCATTCTCAACAAAATCCTAACCAGGTAGTAGAAATGAAAATGAAATTTTCTTTCTTTCATTCTGAAATGTTTATTTAAATTATTTTATAAGCTTTTAAGATTGAAAATTAACATGACAATTGCATGTTTATTTTTCTATCAATTTCAATTCACTCTCGCTTCGAAAGTTCTATTGTCGTCGTTTTGTTACGAGCAGCAATCGACGTTACGTTCGCTGTCAATGAAAATGGAAATTTTGTTTGTTGTGTATGCCCATTGGGAACAAAAGTCACCTAGTTCAACATAATAGTATCTACTTATGTGGAATGTTCCCATAATTTAAGACTCAAATAGTTTCGGTGCTTTCTATTCTTGGAGTCATTTATCAACCTTCAACTTGGATCAGTTTAGTGAAACTTCAATGCTCAATTACTTATATCGAAACTAGGTGCCTTGGGAAGTCGCAGTCGAATTGGAAGAATTAGTGCTTGCCTGACTTGTTTACTTCTAATATTTATGTTTATTACGATTATTGTGTCAATCTCGATTACTCAGTATTTCATGCTTTTTAATTAGAGTCCAACACAAAATAAACTAGAAAAAAAATGTAAACCAGAAAAACCGCAAACAAAACTTTCCGTTCCGTAAAATGTTATAAGCTGGGAACTTTATACCGCTTTGAATATTTCTTTATTCCGTTGTACTGTTTAAGGCAGTAAGCAATTTTCACATTAGTTCACTTGGAAATTCTATTGAGTTTCCTACTCTCTTAACTGCGATCGTATTGGGTTTTCCCACATTCAAACAGTTTGAAAAATTATTGAGAATTTTCCTTGGGAAGTGCACTGTGCATTTAAAATACTTCTTCCGTGTCTCAATTTACTTCTCGTTTACATATTAAAGTTCTGGAGCATTTTCCCCCTGGTTACATTCAAACTAGGTTAGTGGTGTCTCAATGTAACATATAAACATGGGATCGAATCATTTTTATGTGTCTGAGGTTTTATCGCTATCAGCCATGACAAAAAGTTGTTTTTTTATTTGTTGTTCGAGACTAAACATTTTTGTGCGGGTAGTAAAATTAAAATTCATTATGACTTTCGATGAAAACAACATTTTACGAATTTTTGAATTTAATTTCAAATGCAAATGTTTCATTGAATTTCCTTAACGAATATTTGATAACTCACACCTCAGATTTTAATCCGCCACATATGATAAAAAAAATTGGAGAAGCAAAATAAAGTTTTATAAATAGATAATATTCGCGGTCAGTCATAATTTTATCTTTTGATTATAAAGAGTCGTTAAATATGGGAAACAGAAATGAATGAAAGAGAAAAGTAAAAGTTTTCAATCATTGAGTTTACGATCTTCAAAGCTTGTCGTTCAATGCTCTCAGCATTTCGGTGGCTTTTTGTTGTGTTATTTTTTTTCGTCGGATGATCCGCGATAATAATTTACATCGATGTGTTGAATTAGCGTCTAAATTTCTCTTGTCACAATTCAAACAGCGGATTTAGCTTGTTAGTGATGTAAACGTGTTGTCGTCTTTCGTTGCGTCGTCGCGACGTTGTTTTTCACAAAATTTTAAATAAAATCAACAGCGCCAAAAGTAAAACTGAGAATTGAAGGTAGATGTGTTCATTAAGAGTGATTGTCAAGTCAAGTCTCCTCCATTCACGATTGATTGTAACCTCTAATGACATCCGCGGGAAAGAAGAAATAAAGTGAATGCACTTGACAAACGATATCGTCCGAAACAAAATTCGAAATTCATTTTTAAAAAAATTTATGACTCTCGTCATGTGGTCGGATGAAGTCGACAAGGTGACTTACATTTTATAAATAATAAAGTCGCATTATGAGATTGCTAAGAAGTGACTTGGTGAACGATGGACAATGAAACAAGTCAAGCGTGAACTAAAAGGCGAAAGTTCACTCCGACTTGGTAATATGAGATTCTTTGATGCTTTGACTTGACTTTTATTTCATGATTAAGGAAGTTTAGTCCTTTAAAAGAATTCTTTGAACATTTTCAAATATACTAACAAGTCTGATGGTTTTTATTTTATTTTTACATTATTTTAGTCGTGTTTAAAAGCTTTATTTAAGGGATAGAAAATATAAAATATCGAATAATCTTTTTCATGACTCGTTTTTGCACGTGATAGCTTTGTTGGTTGTGTTTTATACGGCATTTCCGTCACGATTCGTTGCTGATTATAGTTTTTTGTGTCTACTCTTAACATATGGCAGAAGCTTCTTTATACAAACATTTTAATTTTCTAGGGTTTGAAATATAAATTTAATTTTTTTTAAGAATTTATCGACCTTTTAACTTTAAACGCGATAGGATCAAGCAAGATCGAAAAAGAAAACTTTCATTTTGACAATTTGCATAAACTTGAAATAAAAAAGAAAATGAATCCATTACAAAGGGTCGCACTCGTAAAACTGATCTCCTTTTTTCTTCTATTTTATCGGATATAAGAAAAAAAAAGCTTCAAGACGCATGAACAAAAGAAATGAGAAGAAATTGAGCCAAAGGCTAAATCTGAAGAAATCATGGTACGAACAATTGTGGGTCGACCAAGTGAAACGAAAAGGAAACCAACAGCATGCATGTGATTATGTCGATATGTATTTACAATCTTTGCTCCAACCATCATTCGAGATAGCGAGAAAAGGTCAACAAGAATTGAAAAAGGAAAAAAAAGCAAATCATGGTGCAAGGAATATTAAATAAAACGGGTAGCATTGTAAGAAAGTCGACAGAAAACGAAGATAATAAAAAGTCATAAAAGTTGGCAATAAAAGTAATGTCGAGTCTGAAGCTTTTACGTTCATTTGGGGGTCTATATATAAATATCAGTTTATAAGCAAAATGAGTGTTCGCTCCTAATAGTGATAGCAATATTTCAAAGAAATTTGATGAAAAAAAATGACAAAATCTAACATCGATGATAAAATATTTAGCAAGCGATGTTTGCACACACTTTGAGGAATTACATGAAAATCTGCGAACTTGATAAGTCGTGCAGAAATTGCGAATATATTTTTTTTAAGAAAGTGAAATGAAGAGAAAATTTTTCATCGTGAAAACAAAGTAATACTTTTCGAACCTTCTTTTTTAAAAAATGCATTCGAACGAAAGGAGATTGATGCGAAAAAGAAATTCCACGAACTCGTTCCAGCTCTTCCCAGTCGCCAATTATCGATTAATCCACACATTATGTCTTTGCAATAACTTTCACTCTTTCGTAACTGAAGGTTTACTTTGTTGATGCAAAGAACTAAGTTTATACGCAAAAATATCGTCATTTCAAAGTTTGAAACCAGCTTGCTATCTTCAACACTCTCTAACCTTATGAAAAATTCCAAAAGCTGTCTCTTAATCAATCGCGAAAGACTTTGAGAACATCTTGAACTCGTAGCATATGGTAAAAAACGTGTGAGAAAAAATAATCAATTCTGCAACGCATTTAGTTAGAAACAGAAGCAGTCATATTCAGCTTATATACAAAGAAGAAAATAAATTTACGATTTCTCCACATTTATTCGAGTTTGATATTTGATATTAATTTATTTATGATAGAGAAATATATATTTATTTTAGGAAAATACAAGGAAAAATAGAGAGTGTTTTTCACACTTGTTGACTCTTCACTGTTGCGAGAGGAAAATGATTTTCATGCGAAATTACATGCGATATGCATTGGTGTAAGTTTGGTCACTTTAGATTCACTTATACAGCGACAAGAAAGAGGAAAATGTAATAATGCTTAATTCTTTTAGGCGAAAAGAGCTTTTTTTAAGCTGATAAATAGAATATAGAGAGAGAAGAATGACACCTACAATCGTAACGGATGTAGAAAATTTTCAGCTACATTTTATATCATTTCATTTCAGTTAAACAAGTTGCAGATGTGTTAGTGAGGTTTTTTGTGAGGGGGAAAATTCTTTTTTTTTCCACACAACTCGTGTTAGGTTTCCATATGGTGCACAAAATCTTGTTAATTTCAATCATTTTAGGGCCCGCTAAGCGGTGCAATTCGCTGATCAAATGTTTTTAAACATTTCACGTGATGATTGAAGTGTAGAAAAAAGAAGGAAAACTGGTGCCAAAAAAACAAACTTTTCAGTTACTCGACTTATATTGACTTTTGTTCAGACTTCGTGAATTTTTTTACATTTGAACAAAATATTGAATACAACGAAAAAAATATTTTTTTGCCTACGTTGCAAGTTCTGTTGTTTTTCTTTTTCAATTCTTTTTTTCTATTTTAATTTGAATTTATTGAAAACTTTACACGACGACACTATCAACTTTCCATATTTATACATTTTTTAAATTTTCAATTGACTATTCATGAATATAAAAGTAAGCTTTGATTTGTTGTGATCAAGGAAGAGAAATATTCAAATAATTGAAAATAAATTGTACAAACCTTCTCATTATATGGGTTTATCCAAGCAGATATCATGGAAACTGCTGATAATGTTTTCCTACTGTATTTGAATCTCTCCTGGTCGACTTTTTATATTTTTAAGTTTTTTAATTTGCTTGTTGATTGAGTTTTGTTCTCAAAATCTACTTATTTTTGGCTTTTTACGGTTTTCTTTAATAACTCTTCATCAAAACCAAACGAAAATCAAATTTCCACTTGTCACTAAATTTTCTAAGAATTGTCTTTTTACTTTGAAAATTTCTCGGTTTGTCTCTTTTCTTTGAACCAATTTTGCAGTGCGTTAACTTTTCACTTTTAATTCTTCTGATCGATAAGAGAAAATTTTGCTTTCCAACTTTTCCTTTCTCGGAATTTCTGTGGCTCTACGAGAAAAGAGTTCTGTTTATAGTTTTTCGTTTCTTTGCTCTCCTTCAAATATTGCAACGAAATGCAATCGAAGACAAAATGAATAACAAAATTTAGAAAAAAAATTGTCACGATTCGAAAAATCTAGAAGGGTCCCGAAAAGCGCCGAGAGCCGTCGAATGTTTTGGCGAAGAGAAGCTGATATTGTTCACTACACCTCAAAAGTATTGAATTATCGCGAGCAATATATCAAATAAATGAAAGCGTTATTAGAATGAACAGAATTTTCCCAAAATAAACACTGATTACAACTTCCAAATAATCACGGAAAATTTATGTGTTAGTCGTTTAAAATAATTTCTTGTATCGGAAACTTATCTTATTTAGTTTTTGCGACAAAAAATTATTGTAATTAGTCGTCGTATTTTTTATTTTTACTTTTTCACAAAAAGATTCGGTAATTTTAGATTTAAATTTATTTTTCAATTTTTTTACTTTGTGTTTTTTACTCGGCACACGATCTACGCGACTAGTTCAGCGAATGGTTCGAAATGAAGTGAATGTTTCGTTTCGTGGAGAGTGAGACGCAAGCGAATGAAAAAATATTTATGACGTCATTAAAAGCACACGAGAGAGAACGCTACTTAAGAGAGAAATATGAAAAATTCGCTCATTTTATTCTCTCTCTCAACTACGACTTTAAAAAGCTTTTTTTTTCTAACAAATGAAATTTTATGTTTTCTGTTTTAACTTATTTACATTTTACATTGAATCGAATAAATTAAGGGTTAAATATGAATTTATGGTTTCACGATAAAAGAAAGAAAATTACATATGCAAAAAAAATCCATTGAAAATATAAGCATCAAAGTGATGCATGTTCATGATTAGAATAACACTTGGAATAACATAAATAAATATTTAGATAATTGAGTATCTTAACTGATAAAAAATTTCATTTTTTATAATTCTCCAAATGAACGATCGCCTTCAACGTTCTTCATATTTGAAAATAACAGAAAAAATTCTTGGAAGGAACGTGGCAATGTGAGAACTTCAATCAATGAAAACCAGAGTCCTATCGAGGTTTTCCGAACCTTTTAAGCTTTCAGGAAGTTTAGTAGATAATTTGATTGTGAATTTGAAAATGAAATTAAGCTTTCGATAACAACTGTCCACCTACGCATAACAAATATTCACCAGGCTGTTCTTAAACAGCACGTAACTTTCTTCTTGTTCAGTTTTCTTAGAAAATAAAATAAAATAAGCTCGTAGTGATAGATTTGTTGGAATTCGAGTGTATTACCATTGTCTCGGTTCCTTTTTCGTTTCATTTTTCTCATTCACAGCTCTCGAGCTTTCTTCGTTTCATTCTAAAAATAGACTCGACGAATGTACAACATAAAGAAGGGAAAAGTTTTGTATTCCACCCCATTTATGTTATAGGAGGCGGTGTGAGTTGTAAAACTACGTCGTTGTCTTCGTTCTTGAGTAGAACATAAAAAAATGGAAATTTCTCTTTTTTTTCAGAAAGCTTTTACCGGTAAATCTAAATCACAATAAATATCTCAAGCAAAGTATTTCGGATATGAAAGTCTTTTGTTTGCTCTTAATTTTCTGTGGAAAAACAAACTCCAAGAAACCCTGACATGAATGAATTTTCATGCTCATGAAATAATGCGCAATTCACTGTTCAGCTTTTCTCCATTCATGAATAAAATTCGGAAGAATATTTATTTTCTTTCATTCTTCCCCCGCTGAAACATATTATTTACAAAGTTACTCTTAAGAGCCGTCTTTGCTCTTGAAGTAATCCTTTTACCGTACAACAATCATAAAGAATCAAAACGTCTTTGTGAAAAGATAACGTAAATGTTTGGAAATTGTTTGACATTAAGTGTTGAAGTGTGTTTTCAATAAATGTCAGCAACAATTTGACTTTTAATTTTATTTCGATAAATCTTCGATAAATAAAGTCGGATCATTACCCAGCAATTTTGAAATAATCGCGTAAAGAAATTTGGCATGAAATAATTGTGTTAATAAAAAAAAGTTATTCATCATCACATCTAGCAGAAGTCCAACAAGAAATTGCTGATTGCTTCTTTTTAAAGGAAAAACAATATTTTTTGCCTCAATTTCACATGTGTAAGCAATTAACTACATTTGCGGGTAACTGAGCACTTAATCGAAGGTGTCAATGACTTCATCAAATTTAGTTCTCATTCTCATGTTAATTGCCTGAAATCCAAAGTAATTAATGGATAATGCTCAAGGCATTTCATTTATTTTCTGTGACATATGGAACGACAAGAGAATTTTCTTTTTTATCTCACTTAGATCATATTTAATCCTACTTAATACCATTCTTGCCATGACTTTCAGATGTAAGTTTATGTCACTCATAAAGCTACATATAACTATTTTTATTTTCGTCCTAAGCAACATATTTTATATCAATTCGAAAGGGAAATAGAATCTGATATATTTACCCTTTTACCCTTGAGAAGTTGTTTTCCTAAGGGGAAATAAACTTTTTCCTTGAGATGGCAAATTATTTTCTCGTGAAATTTCAGATATTTCGACAGATCTATCTGAAAATTTCCGGTCTGACCCATTCTTAGTACGTGCCACCAGAAATGAAAAATCAGATGGTAAAATGAACGAACACCCATTCACAACATGACGCAGATCAGAGCTCGTTCGGTGATTACAAAAAAAAAACAAGAAAACCTTTTTCCTTTAGAAAAACTCGAGTACATGACGTCATACTTTCAAAGCTTTTCCTTCTCTCTCTGTTTCATGCTTGTTCTCATCTTTTCACTTTTCCACATCGCAATAGAAGCCGAAAAAATCCTCTCACTTCTCGTATTCGGCAAGCAGTTTTTGCAGAGCGCTTGCTTGAGATCGCAAAATGACAAATTTAATTTTATGAATGATTTTTCCACATCTTTGACGTCATAGAAGTGCTTTTTTCCGCGAACGGAATTTTTCCGCTTTTATTTTTTTATATGTATGGAAGATTTGCGACGCTAAAGTGTTTGAGCATAAAAACGTTATTTATTCCAGCTTTTGACATCAACTGACGAATTGGAATGAAATCGCTTCTGCTTACATATACATATGTATGAATGACTTATTCCAAAAAATTAAAACCAGAGATCATGATTGAAGAAGAGTTTTCTAATATTACGATTTTCGTTTAAACGATATCAAAATTTAATTAAATTTCATATTTTTTTAAAATTCTGCTGTATAAATACTTGTCGCCTACGTGACTGATTAAACGTTAAGATGAGAAGCACCCCACGATTATTTATTTAGCTTTGTTTTCTTTCAAGTGCTCAAAATAAATTAATATCTCTAGCTTCCAATAAATAGTTGGGGTTAGATGTCGCATTTTAACATGATCATCTTGTGGATTCATCAAATATTTGACCTTTTCTTTGGTATTCACGTTTCTCGCCTACTCGAAGTCATCGCAATCCGCGAAAAAAAATTTATCCAGCAATTGCCCAATTTCAAATGAGAAATCAACCATTTATCCAAATTAACACTCACTGATGTGGAAATTTTGATGGATGGACGATTTTGTGCGCAAAATAATTTTCTCTTCTTTCCTTTGAATCAACCGTCACCCTCGTCAAGGCATTCTAAATAAAAGAAATACATAAAAAGGAAAAGTTAGCAAAAAAAATTATACCATGACCTTCGAATACCAAATTAAGAATTTAGATGATGAGAAAACCGAGAATATTTCACATTGAAAATTATGGAAAGTTTCTCCTTCCAAGCATAAGAATTTTTTCATTAATGTGAGCTTGAAGCTTGTTTTAATAAAAGTTCCGAGTTTTCGACTTTGTTTACGTTCCTTGTTTTCTTCTCATGCTCGTTTAAAAGCAAAACAAGGTGCATCAAACGCAAACCAAGGACATTCAACCGATGGAAAATGCAGTTGAGTGACTGCATTAATGATTAAACTTGAATGATTTATCTCATAGCATCCCTCAATGACCAACCATTTTTTAAGACTGTTTTTGATTCTCTATAAATATCGCCAGTAATTTTCCACGCCTAAAGTGGTTATCACCAAACAATTTTTTTATTATGCCAACGAGAAGCATTGGGGGTGTGAAAATTGAAGTTTTTCGCGTCACTTGACGTCTTCATGGCTTCTTTGTTGCTGCCTTATTGAAGCGCCACGACGGGCGCCACTCAATAACAAAAAGGCTGCTTTCATATTTCAAACTTTGAGCATTGAAAGGGTGTTTGGTTTGCTTGTATGGAGTCCACATGAAAAGGTCATACGAGTGGATATTTTCAGCTTAAATTAGCTTGGAATGAAAAAAAAATTTAATGTTTATTTCGAACCTACTAAAAAACCATTTCGTCAAGATGAGCATCATTAGAGATGATATTGTTAAGTCAATCAAAACGTGAATGAAAGCAGATAATTGATTAGACACGTACACATATAGTGGACTTTCTGTTATTACCGCGTTGAATTCTCTTTTGATGACCTAAATCCTTAAAAATCTGACGTAAATCTGACTCAAATACAAAGAACAAAATTTAGGTCATTATATATGATGCTTTGCTATCAGCTTATCATCGTCTTACATGCGGAAGTTCCTACATTGTTCTATTATCTGCGTTGGCTTTTGATTTTCCCAACACCTACACAAATGTGTAGGCCACCAAGTGTCACAGAAATTATTTAATGAAAATTGTTCAATAGTAGATCACTTTTAAATTAATTAATTTGATTGTCATTTTCAATGAATGAATTTTGTTGTTTCATAGATACTGAGATTTTATTTCTGTATTTAAAAACACCCACGCTTTCTTCAAAATCATTTTATTATCTCTTTGACATTCGACTTTGTTTCATCTTTTATGTGAAAATCTGGTATGACGACAGCATAGTCAAATGGGCAATGTTATAAATAGACGAATCTCTATGCTTCAAGCAATAATAATATAAAGTAATGAATGCACTGCTGAGTTTCTCACATAGCAGTGTTAGATTTTATGTTTCATCATCATGAGTGAAAATGTCTTAAATTATTTAATTTTGAGATGGATCTAGGAGCTTTTCGTAGAAATTACTTAAATGAAAACGAACAATCTTCTCTCGCAAAGAAATTTTCTCTCTCTCGTAAAGAATTTTCTCGAATTTTCCTCTCTCATTCAATGGTTGTGTGAATAATAAAAATATCATCAAGCTTTTTCATTGACTAGAAGTTTTTTCTTCCATTTGTTGCTTATGCGGCTTTTTCCTCGAGATGCGCTTGTGTGTAAGTTTTGCTCTCCTTTTCTTTTCCTTTTTTTTGTAAATGATAAAAGTTGTTGAGTTTATCGGTTCAACAAAAAACGGAATGAGTTTCATAAAATATCCGCTGAGCATTAAGTAGAAAAGAATAATATCGTTAATGATTCTCCTACACCCAAGTACAAATTGAAACGCCAACGCACAAAACCAATGGAAAAATATAATGTATTTACGAAAGAGCTTGATTAGGGAGTTGATTTTAAAACATAAGGAAATATAAGAAATTAAGGAAACATTTTTACATACAACCTAAGAAAAAAAATTCATTTGTCACTCTTTTCACCCTCCGCCTTTCATATTTTCATTAATAAGGATGAATGGGCAGCTTATGGAATAAAATGCGGAATTTATTGGACTTTGTGTCGCCATATATTTACAGCTATGAAAGATTAAAAAGGAAAAACGTCGAGTAATGAGTTAGAATGAAGCAAGAAAGCTCAAAAAAGCTTTTCACTTCGTAAGAGTCAATCAAACGAAAAAGAAAATTTAGTATTATGACGAAACTTTGATGAATCGTTTACTTTACTTTCTGATAAAAAAGTTTTTGTGATTACTGAGTTATTGAATTTGGGATATCTTTGTTGATACATCAGGAAAGTTAATCGTTCAATTTATTTGATGTTCAATCATTGTTGTTTTATTTCGAGCAATCTTACTTTTGATTGCTTTTAGACTGATTGGTATTTAGCTTGAAATGCTTCCGGTATTCAACAGGAAAATTTAGTGAGATAACATATGGAACGTGTTCGCTGATATTTCAGTGTCAATTTTGCTGTTCAATCAGTTTCTAAAATCAGAAATGTTGCAAATGTTATAAATGTGCGAAATGAAAATACTCAAGGTCGATTCTAGCAATGCATTTGGAAGTTTTCACGGAGAATTTCTGAAGACTGAAAAAGATTAAAAAGCTTTGTAGCACCCACATCATGGTTTTGCTGATATGAAGTCATTCAAATGTGGAATAACAAAAGAAAAACAATTTCATAGTTTGAACTTTGATATTATGAAAAAATCCCAGAAGGATTTGTGGTAAAAAATGAAAACAATTTTAAATTATGCTTGAAGAATGCGAAGAGAGGTAACTGAAACAGAGCTTAATAGGATAAATTCTTTGAAAATCTGATTAAAGTGAAGCTTTTGATTAATTATTAAAAAAAAGTTTTTCTTTCGAATATTTTTCATCTGCGTACAGCTTCAACAAAAGGAAATGTATCATGCTGATGATACAATTAATACTGATAACAAATGGTTACGTCAACTAGAAATATTGTTCAATTGAGCGTCGAAAGAAGAAAAAAAGAAGCCATGACTTCATCGGCAATATTTCTGATTTTTTATCTTTTGTCGCAAATCTGAACATCTTGTTAACTGACAAAATAAATGAAAGTTTCAAACGTTGCTTCATCTCATTGTCTTGAAAATTTAATTTCTTTGAGTTTATAGTTTTGAAATTTGGATAGCAACATGCATTGAATCGTGTCACATTTTTACTAGCTTCTCATTAATTAAAGATTAATTGACATGCGGTATTAAAACCATTTCAATATTCAATTAATTATCGACACATGAACGTGATGTTTGTGATTTCAAAAATAATTTATTAATTATTGAATATGAGCATCTTTTTTTATATTGTTGCAGTTGTCATCATTCATTGAGTTGATTAAATGTGGGTACAACTAGGTAATTAAATGTTTTACAATTATGAGTCCATTGAGATCTTTGTTCAAGCTTTCGGTGATTGATTGCATGCTTTTATTCATTTTGTTTCTTCAACTTCAAAGAGATTGAAAAATATTTTTATAAATATCTATTCGTAACACGATGAAGATAATTTTTTTTGTTTCTTGAAGTTTACGTCCATTGCAACATTTATCTGTCATTATAACTTAACATACCATCATAGTAAAGATCAAGTCGAGCAATTTTTTTCCACTTCATTATCTGGAAACAAAAACAACAATGAAGCAAACAAATGATTGAAAATTATATCACACGTTTTTTACATTTAATGAATAGCTTGAATGTTTTATTGATTTCACGTATTAAATTAAATCCTATTGAATGCTGTTTGCACAAATGCACAATGTTGTGTGAAAGGGATTTCAATTACAGATCTTAATTCAGAATTCATTTCCATATGAACACATATCTGGTAAATGTCTGGTATTAAGGGTTTCTTATGAGTTTCTGATAGATAAATACATAAATAAATGAGAGAGCATTGTTTAATTAATCGTGCTAAGTTCTGCGTTGCTATGCCATCGAAATATATATTTATTTGATTTTGAATGAACGCTGATTCAGGCTACTTAACAAAAGTAGGTCTTTCCACAGTTACAATTAACGGCAACAAAATATTGCAAAGTAAGATCGATGATCTCTTTTATTATCTTCACAAAGTGCAACAAAGCAAACGACACATCGCGATCACTTTTAAAGTTTTAAACAATTTAAGAATCGAGAATGAATGACAATCTTTGAATCGAGGTTGTTTGTACGATTAGATGTTATCAACTTCATTCATTAATTTAACATTGAGACAGTTAATCGAAAGATTTAAAATTTATTTGAAATGCTGCATTCTCAAATAGGAAAAGTTTAGAAAGTGAGACCATAACGAAGAGGGAAAATTCAAGATTGATATTAAATTAAGCGAAGTTTTAGAGCTCTCGAGAGCTTGTTAAATTCTATTCACCGTTCAAAAAACTTTACCATGGACAAAAATTGTTAACGAAGCTACTTAGTTAAGAGTTAGCTAAGATCAACTGATTGATTATTTATGTTCAATGAAAATTTTAACAGCAATGAAAAGAAGTTCTCAAAGAAAACAACTCAATCATGGTTTCATGAGAAGAAGAAGAAATAAAATTAATCAGGGTAAAGTTAAGATTTCTGTAGTCATGCTGAGATTCATCAATCTAAGCAAAGGATAAAAAGCCAAAAACCTTTCGATTTCAAAACTTAAATTTAAAAGAAAAAATTGCTACTAAAGCTTTTTCAATATTTAATCGTGCGTCCTTGAAATTCTTTAAATGTTTCCAATTCATCAAACCTAGTCGAGCGTCAAAATACCAGACTTGAGAAATTCAATCATTTCAGAATCAATTTGTGTTGCTGCTGATTTTTTTTTGCAAATTAATGAAATAAAGAAAAAGAACTTCTTGCAAAACGAGATTTAAAACGTGTACGGTAGTTAAGAGTGAAGCTGAGAAATATTAAGCGAGCTCAGACGATGATAAAAGCAACGACAATAAGCCTTTAAATGCTTTTCAAACATCTGTTTATATCGTCTCGTTCTTAAAAGCTCGTTTTTTTGGGTGTTGTATAGATATTGTGCAATGAAATCGAAGCATGAAATTGATTTGCCTTCGTTCACCAGCACACAACGTGACGACGTTCAAAAGCCTGATTTTATATCATTTCGCGAATTTACTCAATTCTGACTATGTCTTTAAATAATTCTTTGGCTTACAACAGCTCTGCGAGATTTATATCGCCACGACCTTGGTATTTTAAAAACTGAAAGTGTCTTGTTTTCCTGTTTTTTACCTTCATTCTTTCTGTTGCTTTTTAATAATAGCGCGCCTCTCATTTACTCTTGCTGTTTCTTTAACGTTTTAAATTACTGGAAATCGAATTATAAAGAAAAACGAACATAAGAGATATAAAGTAAACAATTGAAGAGAAAATATGTAGCGAACAAGCGAGGCAATGCTGGTGCTGCTTGTTATTGCTACACCATCCATCAATGTTATCGACTTAACTCATTATCGATCATTGCTTTCGCATGAGTTCACAATGTTAGCAGCAAAGCTAATGCATTTTTCTTACGTATGCTTCATATTATATGTAATTAATGGTAATTTTTCAATGACAATCTCTCGCTATCATGAGATTGCTTTTCAATATAAATATCTTGAAAAACCTATGCAGATTCCATCAGTTGCAGGCGATATAGTAAGAGATTAAGAATCTAGAACAATTAATTCGATTCACGGTCGCTGCCAAGTTTCAAATCAGGTTTGTAAGATTAAATTTAAAAAAATTTGTATAAAAAGATAATTTGCAAGAGTGAGAGTGGCGTGAAAACCAATGTTAATCAATTCATGTCCATTAGAATGATTAAACTCAGCTCATGAATACAGTGAAGTTTCCATTTAATCATTCGTTAATGAAGGAATCCATTTTATTGTATTTCCACTGTAATTATAATTTTAAGTCAAGTCTTTACAAATGGTTTAGTACTTTGAAACCACAAACGTAACATGACACTCCTGTAATGTTCTCGTTGGCTTCCGAGGAATCAAATTTTTTTTAATAACATAACAAAAACGACCTTCAGAACTTTACGAGAATCAATAACAATGGAAATATGTATTTGATATTATTTAGTCGACATTTAAACACTAATGGAAATAATCTATGTAAGCATTCCGTGATATTTATGTATGTTCAAACACAAGAAGAAGTCTTACGTTGCTTGATCTATTTGTGTTTTGTAATGCGACCTAAACAAGCTTTTATTTTCTTTTGAGAACTTTTAATATTATTTGCATAAGAATGTTTTGTTTGTTCGTTCATGAACTCAACCATCACATTCCATTGTTGTAAGTTATTGTAGGAGAAAGAAAAACTTTTTATCACAACACTCGCCTGAAGAGAAAGTAGAAGATCTGCTATCGACTACCTAGCATCGAAATGCAAAACCATTTCCAGAATATGTAAGAATTCTTTCTAATATGTCTATAATCAATAGAAGAAAGAAAGTGAAAGAAGAAGTCTTATGACTACTGTGAAAAGAGAATTTTTGTGAAAACATGAGAAAGGTTCAGCATCCCACATCAGAAAAAAATCCATCATAAAGAAACTTCTGACATTGTCAGAGGTTTGACGCTAAGAATAAATTTCAGCTATGTGTGAGACATAAGACGTGGGTGACAAAGAAAGTGAAATTTAAGGTCACAATGTTGATTCTTACAGTCTAAAATGTTTACAGAATTCAATAAGACGATACTAATTGTGGCAAGCATTAGACGTGACTTATTTGTTGGTTCGTAGAATTTTCTTAGATATGAAATAAGAGAAAAAGGATTTCGTCAGCATTAAAGTATCAAAAAACGCCTACGCAAACAATTTCATCAACGTCGATCACAACACGACATGGATGAGCTTTCAATTTTGTGATGTCGTTAATATTATTATTCAAGGATGAAAAGGAGAACCACTGACGTCACAACTTTTTACAGAATCATCGAAATGAAAACATTACGTAATATTTTATAATGATATATTTTGTAATGAAATGAATTGAATGTTGTAATGTAATCTTCAAAAGAAATGTAGATAAAATCTTTGAACGTTGCATTATTGCATTTGAACGAAAGTACTTTCTAAGTTCAATATAAATTTTTCGACAAATGTTTTGTGTTCTCACACTACATGATAAGATTATTTAATAAATTTAGGTGTCAAATAAGAATGGTAGTAACAATTGGATTGTCATAAACCTTATCTGAATTTTATAGTTCTTCATTGATAACATAAATGGAAATTCCAATGGGAATTCCCATCGATTGAACAATATGAAAGGTCATTTTGTAAAAAAATTTAACGTTTTTTAAGCCTTTTTCTGGGTCTTAAAATGTTATTGAAGATAGTAGATAAGTAAGACATAAATAAAAATCACACACATCGCCCAATGCATACTGTTATAGATATCTACAAAATGTAATAAATCTTTCAAAGCTTTTCAATCTGAACTGCAAAATGAATTTTTATTGCCATCATGTCATTTTGCTTCTTCTTCTCTTCCTTTTTTCCGCTGCTCTCATATAACCACTAAACAAACATCGCCCCCGCGACAAATGAAGAATGAAAAGCTAATGCTTTGTTTCTGATGGTAATCATAAATAATGTTTTGTTAAAATGACATCATAACAAAACTGATTTTGAGTTATGAAAGTGAGGAGAGTTACGTGAAGTTACGATGGCAATAACATATCCGCTGCAGATGTATCCTCGAGACACAGAAATACATCAAAAATAAGTCACAGGAAGCTTCATATCATTCGTTGTTGTGTAATACCAACAAATAGAAACATAAAAGGAATTGTTACTGAAAGGTAATTCAGTTTGACGAAAGCATAATAATAATACATTTGACATCATCGTTTTCAAGGATATTTCGTTTTCCATCTGCCTCCAAAAAGTAAAATGTTTATTTATTATAGGGATTCCTGTTAAGTAAATATATTGTCCTTGCAATAAATCACAATTTTTTAACCTCCATCCCAAAAACGAAACAACTTGTGTGGGATGACGAAGAAAAATGCTTAAAAAAGGTTTAATAAAATGGTTAGATAGGTAAAAGTCTAACTTTCAAAGCTTTGGGAGCGAAGAAAATGAAATTGAGCTTAAATTATATTTAGAAATTTTCATTTACTCGTCGCATGCTTGCTGGCGTAGATACTACAAAAAAGGCTCAAAAATTGACTTAAAAATGTTTCTCTTCCCGTTAAGGCAACAACAGAAAAGCGAAGCATCAACGTATGTAATACCCAAAAAAAGATTTATTTATATTTGACTGCAATCTGTTTCATTCAACAACATGACATGGCATCATTTGTGTGTTTGTTTCTTTGGCTTTCTCTGGTTAGATGTTGCGAGTCGCGACATTAGGTGATAAAAAATCGTTCATTCACCAAGCCCCCTAATTCGCCAAAATTGATTCATGTGAAATCGCGAAACGTAAATGCTTGCAGAAGCTGTGGTTTGGTAAATCCCCGCTTGTTTCACAACCGAATCACATCAAAACAATTTCCGTCATCTCCATGTTGCGGTTGTAAAATAGAGTTCAACGACTCATTAATAATTTAAAATGAATTAATTTATTGTTTTATTTTAGCGAAGAAAAACAAAAAAAAAGCTGAATGGCTAAAAAGTAGGCAGCTAAGCGCACCGAATTTTGGTGTTTTCTTTATAAGATTATGTAATGTGAAAGCTTTGTGAAAGGTCTAAAACCGTATCCCGGTACACAAGCTTTTTTCATTTTAAAGATGTTCAACTGAATTATTCTTCGAATATTTAAATCTTTCCATATTTTAAGATCATCTGAAATGATGCTTTCTAAAGATCTGTCGACAAGTTGTGCCAATCATATCGCTAAGTAAGTTCACTTACTTACTTTCGCTTAAGATTTGACATTAAAATGAAATGTTACACAATTAATGGTTAACATTCTGTCGTGTTTATGAAATATATTGGAAAGTCTATTGGGCATTCTGTTTTCATCAATTTTCGATACTAAACAGCATGAATCGCTTTCATCATTAGCTTTTATTGCTTGCTATGTGTTATTGCATTATGCTTCGGAAAGGTCAATAATAAAAAAAAACTATTTGCATAAACTCTACATCAAACGCCACTCCATCAAACATTCTTTAAGAAATCGAAAATAAATGTTTTTATGCTTCGTGATGAAGTCCGACTAATAATAAAACAAATTAAATATGATTTTAAAATTGATGTTAATATCATCATTAAATGAAACTATTAAATTGAAGTTAGTATTTAAGTATTAGTTGATCAACTGAACCATAAATCATGTTTTTGATATTTATCAACTGAATAACATATCAACTCGATCCTGGTGGTGACTAGTTGCAATAATCATATAAATTTTTATAGTTTTCTTTAAAATCTCTCATGTAAAGTTGATCTTAAAAAATAATTTATGCAAGTGCAAGAAAACATACATCCGTGATATTTTTTTTTTCAATTAAAAACCCAAGTCTATCAGTGGCAAAAAATGCTGTGAAAATATCAAAAATTAATGCTTCCTAATAGGAAACAAGTTTGTTTCAATCACAGCTCGATGTCGACATGTCTTTATTGAACATTCAATCAGTTGATTTTCAGTTCAGTGCACTTAAAAAATTCAAGTCAAATAGAAAATGCATCAATTTGAATGCTAATCGAATTAGCAAAGAACTAAATGATGTATTCAAATACACGCCAACGTAGTCTGTAGTCTGTTTTAAACGTTACTATTTCCACATGACAAAGTCACATGTGACACCTGAGAGCATGAAAGGTTAAATTCAATTTTGAAAACAAAGCGTGTTCACAGTAAACTCAATTTCGATGAATTTCTCTTCTAAGCTTACAACATTGGCAACTAAAGAATCACATTGTCGTCATTTGATGTGAAGTCTTAGTAATGTTTCCGTTGTAGTTCTACTTTACTTTCAGTGTTAAGCAAACAGCAAGTGCAAAATAATAAATGAAATAAATTTGTAAATAAATACCAAGTTGCATGAATCTATCACGAAATATGCAAGGATAGATTGCATCAAAGATTACTGGAGGATTCGTTGGATTAGTTAGGCAATCAACAAGAGTTAAGTGAAATTTGTAAACATTAACATTTAACGTAGATAAATATAAAAATTCGGTAATATCAATTACTGTTCAAGTAGTTTATCGAGCAATGCGCGTTATTACAAAATCCGCATTAAAAGCCATACAATTGTCGCATTTTGTGTTAAATAAACAAGAAAGAAATCCTCATTGATTCGCACGTTTTGACATTACGATGGACAATCAATCGTGTGTTGAATATTTCCAAATTTAGCTGTCGTCTTGCGAACGTGCTTTCATGGCAAATTTACTGCAGTTATTAACGCAAAAACGATGATTGTGATTTATTTATGTGACTTAACATGAATACAACAAAGAATAAAGTCTTAATGTGGCGCAAGTTCTGAAATTCTGATTGATTTATCTTCCAAATATTAAAGTTTAACCATCAAGAATGTGTAAAAGTTCAGAGTTGATGAAACAAGTATCAATTCATATTGAAAGATCCTAGAAAAAAATTATTGTCTTGCTTAATTAAATTGAGATATCTCTCGTTTGTTGATATGTAACATTAAATAAGATATGATTCGTTCAACTTAGTGTGGGTGGACGGTTCGTTTAGATAAACGATGAATTAAGCTTTTTCTTCTCGATGCTGGTGTCAGTTTTGCTTCTTCGAAGGGAAAAGAAAACCTTTGATTAGAAGATTGATTCAACAGCCTTTAAACCTTCAATAACGAATGAATAACACTAATTATGATGTTTGTCGTTTCGCAAATTTCCTTCATTTTTTGTTATAATTTCATGCAAAAAGCGTCCTTTTTCCATCATTTAATGAGAATGTTCTTTTTTACGCCTTCAGAAGTTTTCCGTTTGCGTAGGCGACCGAGAGCCTGACCAAAATAACATTTTCACTCCATGACATGGATGAAAGAGAAGAAACTGTTGATACATCGTTGGCGCCAAATTGGTTCTCTTCTTTGATAGAGTGTCGGCATAAAAGTTTTCTGTTTTACTTTTCTGTTACTGGGCATGTAAATTGGGTATGAAATGTTTTATGATAATCGACTTTTTATTCAACATGCACAAGAAAGAAATAATTTCGTTGTGACGCAAAATACAAAGCACACGAGTCAGATGTTTTTATTGAAACTAAGTAAATTTTGTTTCATTTTTTTCTTTATGCCATGCCCAGGTAGATAATTTAGATGTAAAGCTTCACTTTTTATTACAACATTGAATCATCTTTGTTATATATATGAAAGTTACAATGAAACAATTTCTAGTTGATTGGGGAACTTAATAACAACAACATCTGAAGTCATGAATTAAATTCGTAAGCAGTGCAAGTCAACAACAAAACCAGTGTGAGTACGTGCAGTCTTGCAGTTGGCACATTCAACATGTATGGTTAATGCATTACATATTTTTATATATTTTTCTCCTTCTCAAAACATCACAAAAAAAGGAAAGAAATAAAAAATTGAATATAAATTCATAAGCAGCTCAGCTGCGAGAGTTAAACTAAAGTCGAGAGCGTTTATTCGCCTATAATAACAAAAAGGCAACAGCGGGCAGAAATGAGGTTACGAAATGCCTTGAGCAAGGCTATACCATTAAAATACTTCAACGAGAGCTAGAGCATATAGGCTAGAGAGCTGGTTGAAATATAATTGCGATTTGCTTTCAACTTAACACTCGATTTTCATTTAAATAAGAAGAATTCTTTTTAATATGGAAACGCTGAAATATGAGTGACTGCAAGAGCAAGTAAGTAAAAGAAATACGTAAACAAATAAGCGAAAGAAACTTCTGCAATCTGAATGTGACTGCATGGAGCGATCAGCGACTAGTGACATGACGAGGAACGTGCGAATAGTCAGGAAAAAACAATTAAGAATTGTGTAAACATTTTAAAGCTTTTATTTTATTTTTCCTTTAAATGTTAAAATAAAAGTTAATATTAAAATCTGAATAATCACAGGAGATGATCAAATGAAGATTTTTTTTAGTGAAATGTGATATTCGAGCTATAATTATAAATTTTTTTGCATATTCATTTCGATTAACTAAACACGACCAAACCAATTATGAGGAGAAAAAATGGCAACGACTTACATCCTAAAGCCAAGTTATTACTAATTAACCTTTTTTCCCTCTTCACGATGAGTTTTAATTTAATTTCTTTTTAAAATCCAATTTTTTGTTTTTGTTTTTAAAACCTTCATTTCAACAACTGAGATCGAAACTCTACTTATCGAAAGCACCGAATGCAACTGGTTTTAAAAAATATTTAATTGCCAATCATTTTGCTACTATCTTGATTGGCCAGAAAGCAGACAAAGACAAGAAAAACAACTAAAAATTTATTGCTTGCATTATTCAACAACAATGTTTATCACTGACTCTTGTTTATCCTTTCACTACAGTCAGTTTCTCAAGGATGACTCTCATTGTGCAACTCTACGACTTCGATATAGTTCATGAAGGTCGATTCTTGATTCTCTTCTGTTCATTTAAATAAAATGTGGAGTGACTCAAACATTCTCGTAAAAGTTGTTTGATTAAACCAAAGCGACTTGACCTTGCGATAACGTGAGAGCTTTGCAGCATTTAACGAACGAAAGGCTGCTGACTGACTTTAAAACAAGTCTGCGTTGTTGCTGTGCGCTGATCATTATTGATTACAATTATTAACATATCAATCAAAGTATCGTGTTGCTTTGGTTTCTTTAAAATTCACTGTCATTTCTCATTCGGTTGAACTATTGACCACACAAATAATCATAAATATCTTTGGTAGTTTCCGAATGCAATCAATTCCATTCCAAGCTTTTGTGAATTCTTCTGATAAATTCACTCGTTTGTTGCTCACTCAAAGTCTTTAATTATTGCAATAATTCTTCATTCTTCATTATGCAAATAGGAAAAAGAAAAAATGAAAAAAGTCCACCAACATAGTATATCGGAATAGATTTTTGTGGTGTGGAATAAAATGGATAGAAATAAAAGAAAAAGTTAACAACAAATGTTTAATCAATTTTAAAGAACCACAAACATGTGTTTTGTTATTTAACATTTTATTCAGTGAACTGTATAACTGCCCGATAATGGGCCAACAATTATTTCTCAATTATCAACGGCAGAGCTTGCTTAGCATTTTTATATTGGAATGAAATTGGAATTTAAATTAAGTGAGTTCGACCTTTCGAGGTGTTTTGTTTCATTTTTTTTTGAAACATCGCGAGACAATACAAAGGGAAATGAATTGATCGTAAGTTGTAAATAGTGAGACAATGTTACGACATCAATGATAGGCTGAAAAGGAGTAAAATCTCAACATAATCTCCATCTTTAATCTCTGACATTTGCTGAAGTGTTTTTTCATGTCTATTAGGTGAGAAAATAACATCAACATAATAAATTTCTAAAAGAGGCGATGCTAATTAATTTATTACGACTACAGTAACATAATTTTCCGTTCAATGGACCTAACGAGCTTTTTCATTAACCTTTCTCTCTCAGTCCTATTGCTTTTTTGACCGAACGCAATGTTCACGATGAACTGCTTATTTACTTACAAACGAAAAGTCTTGCAGAAGATTTTTTTGCTAAACTTCGCAATTTTTTTCTCTTGATTTTTATGACTTCACTTGGCTCATTATGAATGCTAGCAAAGCGAAATAAGAAACGAATAATTTGCAGTTTAACTAACGTGATCATTTCAATGACCATGAAATCCGTGTGCAGAGATTTGATTTTGGCTGTTTGGTACAACACATGACTGACTGAATTATACTAAAATTTGTTCATAAATAAATTGTAACAACTTGATTAATAAAAATATGCAACAGTAACAGCAACCGCATTATAAATTTACGACTAAGACAGAATAAAACAGTAACTGCTAAAAGAGTCGAGGAAAACCGCTAAACAGCTGATAAAATATCTTAAAGCACTCGTTCAGTATCGAACTTATTTGCTTGAATACTTTTCTCAACTTGCTGCTTTCATCGTCACTTCCAAACAAACCCTGAGCGTTCTTTTCCAATATCAGTGAACCAACAAACGAATAAAAAAATGGATATCAAATTATTGAGGCCCATAAAATTGAATTGCTCCAATATCGCCCACGCTCAACTTTGAAATCTGAAGCAATTTTTTAAAGTGCTAATTTGTATTATATTTCTTTGCTGTTGTGTTAGCTTGAATATTAAAAGAATAATAATAATAATAAGTTTATGTATGTAATTACCACTTCAATCTGCGCTCTGAAAAGAACACAGAACTGTGGAATTCAATTAGCTTCAGCTAATTAATGTTTTAGTCTGGGGGAATAAAAATGAAATTGCTGTCATTCTCATGCGAGAAATCCGTTCAAGCTCGAATTCAATCAAAGCATGTACACCTCGTTACTTCGTCGCCTTCTTTCTTCTTTGATAAAAACATTTAATTTGATTTGAGCTCTTTCGATTCTTGGAAATGTCATGAGATGATTTAATGCATGTTTGATCCGGTTGATTAAAGTCGCTTGTTAAGTAATAAGATATTCTATGGTATTGGGGGCCAGATTTGATTCTCTTTTTTCTGTTTCACTTTGTGATTTAATATTTATACTAAGAAGCATTCAAAGACTTATTTCAACATTCAAGGAACATCTATTGAATACAGCATTAAATTGATTCTTTAAGCAACTGAATCAATTGATTATTGTCATGTTCACATAATAATCCTAACATTATTTAATCTGAAATCTTACGTAAAAACCTTCAGCAGTGTTTCTTTATTTTTAAATCGTTCTTATTTCAACAACACGATGAAATAAAGAAATTGAAAGTTTTTGTAGTTGAAAGCTGAAAAGCATTTTTTTTTATTTTATATTCAAGGGGAAAAAATCAGCAAGCACGTAGAATAAAATTATGCAATCCTTTAAACATTTAATTGAATATTTCAACTGGTTAAGTAAACGTCTTCAAAACAACTTTCATAAAGCATTCCTGATTTGTGAACATCTTTTTTTTACTTTATATTTCTGTTTTATATGACGATTATCTTAAGATTAATTGCGTGCTTTTAAATGTACATACTTTAGAAATGTTGGAAGAAAATCTCATTCAAGCTATAAATATACATAATTCATTCATTAAGAAACAGCAAATTGAATGCAAAAGAAGCATAATTACAAAATTTATTTCGTTAAGACGAAGTAGATAATTCAAATAAAAACATATTTAAGCGGCTTCTGGAAGATTGTCAATATTTAAAGACTTCAAATAAAAAAAAACATGATTCGTAACACGCAACGACCCTCTTATACTTTCTCAAGATAAGAAATAATTTATATAATTATATTTTTGCTCCATAATGTTGAATGTGAGCTTAAAAAAATATATTTAAATAAAAATGTTGATAGCAAAATCATCGCACGATTTTAAGCAATAAAAAAATTAACTTTGGAACGTTTTCATTGCCTTGCAATGTCTAACAGAACGAATCAAACGAATTAAGCAATTTTAAGTTGATATTAGCAAATGAAAAAAAATTAATCTTACATTAAACACCAGCAGCACAAGAGAATAAATGAATGCTGCTCTAAATATCGGAATTGTAGCGATGTAAAAAATATACTTCATTTAAACCGAATTCATGAAGGTCGTTAAGTTTCTCTCCTACCTTAAAAATATTTTATTTTGTTTAAAACTCACTCTGGGCATTCACTTGCCGCGTTAGCAGCTAACACGATATACATAAATAAGTATGCTTGCTATCGTAGTGGTTTTGGGTCTCTTTTTTTAAACCTCACGATTCTTATGTCTTTCACTAGGTAAACTGAACCTTTTTCTATGACGTGATCTTGAACAATTAGCCTGTTGATGTGAAGTTAATGTCGACAACTTGTAGCACCCGAGAAAAGTTCATGAAATTAAAAAAGAAAATGTTGTTTATGTTGTGCTTAAAAAACATGAAAAATTTACATCTTGCTTTTTGTTTTTCTTCGAAAAGATGTCCATCAATTAATGAGATGAAATAATGCTTAAAAATATGTAACAAATCAGTCTACGATGATCATAAACTTTGGAGTTACGAAAGCATACCGAAGCATATAATTTAAAAGAGATGAGAATAAAAAATAAAATTGTGCTGCTTTATTGCTAGCTTGACTTTTACCACGATTTTCTCTTTGTCGTATATGCGAGAAGGTGTACATATAATTAAATTTATATTCATACTACAAATCGTTATGCGATTGTTAAGTTTCGTAGGATGAGAAAAGTAAAGTGCAGCAGTTGAGCGAAGATGAAGAAGAATGATCACAAACGAGTTTATAATTAATGGTTACATGATGCTTTTAATGATTCTGCGAGATACAAAATGACAGATAAGATTTGTTTCTTGTTTTGATGTGGCCTTGGAAGTATTGTGCCTACCTAGCAAAAAGGTTTTAAAAAACACAAAAAAAGTCTTCATTTTTAAATCAAATCTTATTTCAAATCAAGTTTTATCGCTTTGGTGTCAATGACAAGGTTGCCAAAAAAAAACGCTAAACATAATGCAAGTTTTAATAATTAAAGTGAACGGATTAAGGTGCAGTGTTGATAGGAGTAGATATGCAAATAACATGTTCAACAAAAAGGCCAACGTTTAATTTCATAAAAAATTTGTTTTGAAAATAAAATTAAGAAAAAAACGTCTGAATTTAGGCGGAACAACTTTCACCAAATTGTTCGTCGTTATAAGTTGTGCAATAAGTTTTTACAAATTTTAATTTATTTCTCCCACGACGTCTTTATGGTGCTTTTAAAAGCTTATCCGTGCAAAAAAAGATTGAAGCAAATGTAAAATTTAATTTAAACGATAGTAATAGCCTGTAATTATGAATCTACTTAAACTGCAAGTTGTTAATCGGTTAAGAATAAATATTTAAATAGAAATTTCAATCAAAACAAAATATCTATACCTTAAGTCTTGCTTACATAAACATGTCATTGGCGTTAAAAGCAAATATTTAGCTAAAGCAATTAATAGCAGTTTAATTAAAATTAGCCGCATTGTTGAGATTTGAGACAACTTAGCGGATTTGTTAATAATTTAAGTAGCTTGATATTCAAATCAACATATTAAGCATACAAACTGCACCTATAACAAGTCATACGCGTAAGATTGAAAGAAATATTTCAAGTCATTTGTGCTTTTTTCTACTTAAATCTTGATCATGGCCTGTAGTCGTGACTTTTGTTTGATCCTGGTTTAAAAATATAAACAAATAAAAAGAAAACATAAACTGACATAATAGTTATAAAGTTTAAATTTGATTTAATCACATGCAAACTCTCTATAACGAAACTTATCTTAATTATCTTAATGTCATATTTATTTAGGAGATAAGAATTAAGCTTTAGCCGAAAATATCTCTTTCTTTATAATTTCGTCATTAAAATAGTCGACCATCATAATTATCATGATAAATGGGATTAAAATACAACGAAATGCCTACAACAAATTAAAAGAAATGTTTTTAGATATGTAAATGTTTTAAATTTCATTTGCATTTTCGTTTCAGATTTTCCCCTTATAAATATCTTAATTTAAAGTTAACTTTTTTCCTATCCTTTCAATGAATATTAGCAAGCTTGTGTGAAATCAAAAAAGTGTTGAAATCAGTCACTTACCGACTCATGTTCATGATTTATTAATTCCCTTAAGTGTTCGTGTTGCACATAGCACCAGACGCTGTTGATTGTGTTTCATATTTTTTTAATGATGCGACTTGAGTTCAATTTAATTTCTTATTTTTCTTTTTTCGTCGACATAAATTTTGCGTCGCCTTATCTGAAGAGATATTGTGCAAGATGTTCTTCTGCTACTTGTACATATATCTTGATAAATGGATCTCGCTCGTTTGTTATTAAATTAAATTAAAGCATTTCTCAGTAATCTTAAGTCACCCACAGGGTGTGTCAATATTTGCTTCGAGTCATTAGATTGAAACCGATAAATTGCCTTGACAACTCGATTGCAATTAAAAGAATGAAGAAATTCTCTGATCGGAATCTTAAAGCTCTCGATTATTCATCCGTGCAAAAAATATAAATTTATGAAAGTTCAAAGATTTTAAATGTTTGCAAATTGCAATCTAAAAGTCATTAAGATTCACTTGATGAATTCTCATAGAAAATTTGCCAGAAGACAATAATCAAGCATTATGAACGGTTTAGATTGAGATTTTATGCTGAATCTTTTCTTAATTAACCCTTTACCGGAGCATAATGTTTATTATTGCTGAGACGATTTATTTAATTTAAAGCGCATGATCTCTCAGAAATGTTTCTTATTTTTTTGTTGTTATTTAGTGGTGAAACCTTGATCTACTTCTCGGACATTCAACGAATGTTTCCTTTCGTTCCACCATCCTTTCGAGTTTTTCACACCGTTTCTAGATATTACAAGAAAGTTTGCAACAGCATAATGAGTTTTTGTGAATGCTTTAATCAATTTTATGCATCGCTTTAAAGGTTCCGATAATTGAAGCTAAATTTAAATTATTCTATATAAATGTAGATAGTTAAGTTTAGTAAACTGAAACCTTAATCTAGAAACGACGTTATCTGCTTCGTTTGATCTCATCGATCAGAATCCACAGACCATAAGTTGCGTTGAATAAATAACTGACATTATAATCGGTTTCATATTTCATGTAATCTGTTCCAAGAGCAACGCGTTGCCTTTTTTTCTCGTGAACTTTTTTAATTAAATAAGAATACATAAATTAATAAAATGGCAGCCATGAGTTGAAGTTTTATTCACATGCTGATATGTATGAAATTAATAAATCAAAAATTTGGTCAGTGACAAAATGTGACCGATTTGTTGGTAAATAATCAAAAGCATGTTGAGTTCACTCCACCTCATGTGATCAGAAATTACCATCATAACTTCACTAAATGTGTAAGCAAGCAAAAGTAAAAGAAAAATAAATCAAAAATCAAAAATCATCTCTTGTTCATTAACGAACGAAGGTTTTTCTCCAGGCGGTCTTTATTAAGTGTACCCATTTCAATTCAACCATAATAACTCTTTTTTGTTGTCTAATTTTTGCGATAGTTCAATGATACTTACTTACAACACTATTCTTCATTCACTTTCACTTGAAAAACGAGCGGAGATCAAGAAGCACGAGTCATCATCATCATCAACATTATGCAAAAAAAAAAAGAGACGATGGTAAGAAGACAACGAACAAACCATGCTACTTCAAATGTCGCTTTTTATTGAGCACATCTTTCCAGAGATTCGCAACAAGTAAAAAACGAAGATAAAATAAAAATTTCCGCCTTGACATTTGCAACTCCCCAGAGTTAATTTTTTTTGGAAAAAAACTTTTTTTGTTCGTCGTTGATTCTCATTCAGTAAAGTTTCTTTTTCTTACATTTGGGTAGCAGGCAAAATAAACAAAATTTCGGTAAATAGTGTGATTATTCATTAATAAGTAGTTATAACTCTTACCATAATGTTAACGAGTCAACCGAGGACTTAAATTTCATTATGAATATTAAAATGGAGAGATTGAAAAAGAAAAATGATTCTTTATGGTAATTATTGTTGCGGTTTGACTACTAAGGTACATAGTAACGAGTCAGCCTCGAGAACGAAAGTGAAAGCACATAAAAAGCAGGTTCGAGAACGCGTCTCATGAAATAAAATCGCATCACAATGGAGACTTGAGATCCCTTCAAAGATAAGCCTTCGTAATGTGTTCTTTTATGATTGTTGCACGAAAAGGAAGGAAAAAAAGAAAAAGAACAACAAGCACTTCGAAAAGCGATTATTGTCTATTGGGTGTCATTAATATTGATATTAAACACGGCATACCTTCGCGATTGAAAGAAGAAAAAAAAATTTCCCATAATGAAATTGATAAGAAATCTCTCAACATTTAATAAAAAAAAATAAATGAAAGGCTTAAATTCTGGTTTCTTTATCTTTTCTTATTGGGACAAGCGAATTTAATGCTTTCAACTCTCTCATTTCGTGCTGTCAGATTTAATTTCAAGTTATTTTCGTCAATCGTTCATTATCAAACAAGTGTCACGGTAGGTAACAAAATATAAATAAAAACAGCAAGTCAATGTTAAGTAAAAAGAAGTAAGTTGTAAGACGATTAAAAGAGAGCTTAAGAAAGGGTCGAATAGTCGTCGATAGCACTTAAGGTTTTGTTATTAGCTTACTGATTACTTAAAAGAAAAAGATAAAAGTTCAATTTCTTTTTGTAGATAACTCATTCAGTTTGACAAAAAAAAAGTAAATTAAATTAGCAACATTACGAGACGCTCAAAGAAAAAAAAGCTTTCAAATTAAACTCTCGTGTACACACATAGTTCGCTCAGAAAGTTACACAAAACGTTTTAAAAAATTGAAAGGTCAGCACTTAGCGACAAAAATCACTTTAACTAATGCAAAATTTGCACAATTGAAATTTTTTCTATTATATTGTAACGTTCGACTTTAATTACAACATTTAAATATACAACTTAAAGTTATCGCCTTTTTATGGGCTTAAAATGTACACAAGTGAGAAAAGTTTTCAATGAAGTAATAAGTAGTTCATTAGCCGATGTGAAAAGTTTACAATGTAACTAATTATTATAAAATCATATTTGTTAAGTGTGGGTGGTGTTATAGAAAAATTTTAAACAACACAAAATGAAAATAATTAAACGTAGAATGAGTTTCTACTTCAGTGCGCTTTCAACGTAAATCTAATAAAGAGTTTTGTATATTTCGCGATGTTTTAATTCAGCATATGACCTCGAAAAACATTAAGGCCAACATTGGAAAGATTACAGCAACAGATGATAATTCTTATGATTCTCTCTCAACACGGTCAAGATGATAACACGATAGAAACAAAATAAAAAGAAAGAATGAAATGAAGCACATTTATTTATATATACAATGTTAGGTAACTTCTCTTCTCCCCTCTTTATCGATGATAACCGGATTCAAGATTATTCAAGAAATTGAAAGCTAAAGCTGTGTCTACTTATCAAAGTACATATTGCTTTACGAAGGGAAATGTTTACGTTCAACGACCTGTTTGAGGGACATTAGTGAATATGTAGAAGAAAAATGTGCAAATATGTGCATATTTAATGTGATGTTCTGAAGTTTTTCAATCTAGTAAGTATCAAACTGGCAAAAATCGAAAAGCTCATGACAATGCTTTTTTTATTTTAATTCTGTCACAGCGCTGTCAGTTCATTGAGAAGTAAACAACTTAACAACAGTTATCATCAGCAAAATTCCATAAAAGAAATCTCAATAAATTTTTTTTAATTGAAAATTTTGCGAAATGAAGATTTATTGAACGAGCGTTGAAGTATCGACGGATTAATCAACATAAAATGATTTTTTTTCGCAAGGCTTTGTAAAAATTAATGTATGGTTCGTTGTTGGTTGTTATTACTTTATTGGAGTATATAAAATAAACAGAATGTGGGAGCATCGTTGATAATTAAGGTTTTTGACACGTTCCATAATTGTGATTACATTAACAAGCTTCAGCTATGCCAGACTAAACATGATTTTTCTTTATTTTGTTTTTGTTTTATTATGTGAATGAAGATGTTTAAGAAAAAAAAAGGTTTCAGAAATTTTCCATTTATGACGACAATGACGAGTTCAATGATGACAAAGATGATGATGTAAAAGATGAAGATAAGCAAATTGAATTATTTTGTAGCAAGGCAGCTAAAGGGACAACAAAGTTTTCATGCGTATGTAAATAGGTATAAGTTCACCAACTTTTATAACTTCATCTCAGTCTCTCCACACATTTCTTTCTCTCCATATTGAACATCAGATGTTTTTACACATAAAACAAATATTTAAATACATCTATATATGTGCACAGCAGCCAGTCTTAATCGATAACAATTTTAGGCAACTGATGAAAGGTTGAAAGCTTCTGAGGTGAACTCGAAACAATTCACAAAATCAGTGGGCTAAAGCGAAATTTGCTTGCGATGAAAATTTCCATAAATTAATTTAAAAAAATGCCAAAAATAAACAAAGTTAAATTAAGCTACTGGTGTTTTCTAGCATAATAAAAACATTTGAGTTATCAACTGAAAATTCTTCTCGCTAAAGCTGTTAAAGGTCATTTTTCTATTTAGTAAACAACTGAATCAACAGATATTTTTCTTGCAAATGAAATTTAAGCTCTTTTTCATACTCGTTTAACTAATTAAATTGAAATTTGAGGAACGTAAAATACAAGGGTTCCGATTTTGTGAATTTATAGTAAAGGATTCAGTTTTATGTCTTTCGAATTTTCTGACAATCTACACTTACAGGATTAAAATTTCAAAGGATATTCAATCACCCACACAGCATGAAAATGGTTGTGATAAAGCAAATTCTCAGATGTTTGTCGTTTTTCCTTTTTTTATTTCTTTCGTTACTTCAAAATTACTGACATAGAAAAAACATGGAAAACTTTAAGAAGATCTTCTAGAAGAATGATTAAACATCAATTTCTAGTGAAAAAGAAACTTCAAAAGCTTAGTTGATTTAATATTCCTTCTTTAAGTTGTCATCGTGAACCTCTCTCGATTCATTTCCAATTTTGATTTTTCAACATGACACGAATGAATGGAAGAAAAAGAATCACGAACGAAGGAAAAAAATCAGCATTCACTCGAATTCTCTTTGAACTTGACTTTGCGAAGTTTTTGATAAAGTTTGATGAACTTCAAAGACACTTCAAACGTTCAAATATGAGTTTCAAAGTACATGCAATCAACATTTGGTAATATTACGTTTTTGTTCATGTGATTGCTGTGTCCATAGCTGCCAAAATAAGGAAATTCTAAAACATATAATTTATTCCTTCAAGATTAGATTACTTTAGTGAGTTTGTCATTTGGTAGGATTAACAATTATCTCGTTTCTTGTTTAAAGCTTCAAACAAATTTCTAGAAATCTTAAAACAAAAATAATTCCACTTATTTAGATGATAAAATAAAAAATTAATAGGAAAGATTAATAAGCTTTTTTTTATATAAAATTCATGCAAAATATGATAAGAAATGTAAATATTTAAATCTTTTATCTTGGATACGTTTAATTTGTTGTTGTTTGTCATATGAAGCAGCGGATATCTTGAAAGGAAAAACTCAATACCAACAGCATCATTAAAATTTTCTAAGAAAGTGTTTCTTCAAGAATTGAATTTCATTTTTTGGATGGACATTTACTCGAGCTTTCTTTAAGCCAATCAGAAAGCTTCCATTTATGGAATTTCAACGAGTTAAATCCACAAGGACATGCTTTTGTAATCTTCCAAAGTCCTTGACGACCAGCAGTGGGAATTCTCGCGTTCTCTCTTAATCTTGACTTAATGAATTTTTTGCATTCCCATCCGGTTACTTCCTTAAAATTATCTTCAATTCCCCATGAACAAATGAAGCTTCGGCTAGGGTTGTCTTCACTATCTTGATCATGAAACCATGGAACAGGATTTACGAGGTGATTTTTTCTTACAACATGAGATTCTTCATTTGTAAAGTAATCAACCAAACGTTCTGCATAAAAATCGCAATCTTTTTCTGGTCGATAACGAGGCATTTTTAATCACTGAAAATATTAATTTAAAAAAATAGAAACCAATTTTTTTCGTTCTTATTTTCAAAGCTATCTGAAAATTCTTTATTTAACAATTCATGGCTTAACTAAAAAAGTTCATCTGAAAACAGAAAGGAATTTTAAGTAATTTAAAATTTATTAAGATTGATAATTTGTCACCCTCCACCAACAACACAGATTATTATTAAATAAAAAATGAGAGAATGAGAAGAGAAATAAAGAAAACAGCTGAGCGTGTTGTGCATGTGTGAGTGAATGCGAGAGACTTATTTAAGTTAAATAACCTTAATTTTAAAAATGTCAGCATAATAAATAAAACATAACATAAGAGAGATGCAAAGTTTTAAGAGATTATTTCCTAAGACGACTTCAATCATTGGAATGATTCATGTCGATCCATTACCAGGAACACCGCAATATGAGTCGAGTTCATTGAAAAGATTAGTTGAGAAGGCGAGACATGAAGCAAACATTTATAAGCAAAACGAGATTGTGAGTAAGAAAAGTTTAATAAATGAATGAATAACTTATGAGTTTGGTTAACAGCATGCAGTTCTGGTTGAGAACATGAACGACATTCCTTACATAAAAAGTTCAAAGTTTGGACCGGAGATAACTGCAATTATGACAGCTGTGACATTAGAAGTTCAGAGAATTTTACAAAGTTCAACGAAGAAAATTCCGGTCGGTGTTCAAGTGCTTGCATGTGGTGGAAAAGAAGCTCTTGCTGTTGCAAAAGCAACCAGCAGTGACTTTATAAGAAATGAAGGATTTATCTTCAGTCATATTGGCGATGAAGGTTTTATAGATTCAAATGCTGGAGAACTTTTACGTTACAGAAAGATGATTGATGCTGACAATATAATGATTTTCAATGACATCAAGAAGAAACATAGTTCGCATGCAATTACTTCGGACATTTCACTTCTCGACACTGCCAATGCCGCAATGTTTTTTAATGCCGATGGAATTATTCTAACCGGGAAATCAACAGGCGACTCAACAGACGTGAACGAATTGAAATTGATTCATAAGCAACAGCAAGAAGGAAAATTGAAGCTTCCGATTCTCGTTGGTTCCGGAGTAACGAAAAAAAATTTACATAATTATGTAGGATTTGCTGACGCTCTGATTATTGGATCATACTTTAAGCATAATGGGCATTGGAATGGCGAAGTTTCAAATGAAAGGATTCGCGATTTCATGCAACATTTAAATAGCATTACCAATTCTATTAAAACAAATTCGCCGTAAAGTCAATAAATTTTGAGAAAAATGACTTCTTGTTATTATAAAAGTGCTTCATGCGTAGATTATCGTCTTCACTTTGTTTTCGTTGCTGTCGTTGATAAGTGATGCTTGAAATGATTAAATTTTTCTCATCAAACTTTACGCGTTTCCTTGGTGGTTGTTGAAGTTCATGCTCATCAACATCACAACATTCCACATTATTAGTCACAATGTCGAATGAGTTGAAGTCGTCATGCTGATAAGAGAAATTATTCTCACCTTTCTTATTTCTAACATTTGATGTTAAAATCGATCTTTGTGGTTGATTTGCTGCTTCTTCTTCTATTTTAAAGCCAAATTTTTCTTTTATTGTCTCAATAAAAGATTTCTTCTCAACTTCTGAGTGTTTTCGTTTAAGAATTCGTCGTGATGCAGCTTCAAAACATCCGCCATTGTTGTCGCTTTTTCGTCTTCCTATTTGCTCAATGTTTGTCATGCTCGTGTTTTGACCGTAGAAAATTTTATCGAAATTCTAAGACGAAAACTCAACAATGTTAATAAATAATGGATTAAAGAAAGGAAAACTTAGCTTTACTTACATTCTTCTTCTCACTTGGACTCATTAACTCCGCTTCAAACTTTTCAAACTTCTTTACATTCTTCTTCCTCATCGGTTGTCGTTTACTTGAATCCTTTCGAATTGTCTTTCTTGTCTCGATGTGCATGTCAATGGCTTCTTTAATTGCTTTCATCCAATTTCTTCCCGTTTGTACATCTTCAGAGCATAAAATAATTGTCTCATTGAGACAAGTCAGTTTAAACTTTCCAGCAAAGATTTCATTGACTTTACATTTCTTTAATGGAAAAATGCAACAACAATCAAGCGAATTCTCGACAACACTTTCAGCTTTTCTCTCCTTTTTGTTTTGTCATTATCATCATCGTTTAAATAATTGAATAATAAAAATTAATAACTAAAGTCAGAGATTGTAAAATGTTTCAAGTCTTACCTTTAATATTTTACAATACATAAAAATATCAGAACAGAGAATACAAAATCGTCTCATCATTGTACCATTTGTTGAATATTTAAAGAGGAATCCTTCTTTAATGAACTTCCTGCTGACGTTCCTCATGATGTTTGGAATTCTTCCACTTAAAGAATTTTGAATGTTGAGCATTCGTTGAATGTTTTCCTGATCTTCGACAACTGAATTTATGTGATTAATTGAAGATTCGATTTGTCGGATTGATTCTTGAATCATTTTGTAGTCACTATCAGCGGGACTTGTGTAGAGGAGAACTTGTTGCAGAAGAAGACGATAACGAGGAACTCTTTGAATAGGTGTGATGAGAAGTGAATTTAACTTTTGTTGAACTTCAGGTCTTGATTCAGCCTTCTCAAGAAATGATCGAAATGCGACATTCTTTGTTGTTAGTGTTTGGAGGAGTAAAAGTGAATTTCGGTAATCGAAAGCGTAAACGGAGTAAATTTTGAAGAATGGCGCTAACTTTAAAAATGCACCAGCGACGTCGTCAGAATCGTTTTCAAGTCGTGTTAATAATTCATTGTTGATGTTGTGGATCAATTCCAGTTGTCCAAATAGTGTTGTGTGACTGTTTATATCAATTAGATTTAAATTCTTCAAAGGATTGACGAAGAAATTCACAAGTTTATCTAATTGTGCAATGTAGCTTCTTTCTGATGTCAATACTTCCTCAATAGCCTTTCTTCGAAGTATAATTCTTTTATCAAAATCATTTGGTTCATTTTTTTCTTCATCTTCAAAAGAATTTTCCAAAAATTTAATGCATTTTAATTTTGATCTGCTCGTCAAATTGTTTCGTCGCTGAATTGCTGATTGTAGTTCTTTACGAAGATCCAATTTCATTTGAGGTGTGACAAAGTCATCTTGTTTGTTACTTCTCTTTGGAGTACGAATCATAATTCACAAGCTAAAATTGTTAAATTAACTTTTATAAAATTGTTTATTTAACAGGAATGATCGTTAAATTTTACAGTTTTTAAATAAAGTCGAATAACCCGTACATTAAATTCGGATAACAAACTATGCGAAAATGGTCGGATAAACGCTTTTGTTTACAAAAATTCAATTTCATCAACAACTTTCAAAACAACAGAAAAAAATAAAATATAGTAAAATATGGCAAGTTCAGAGAGTGATATTCTTATGAATCATACTGAACGTTGTCGAATGTGTTTGAATTTGATTAGTGACAATGAAATATTTTACAAAATAGATGAAACAATGAAAACAAAATTTGAAAATTTAACTTTTGTGGAGCTCATCATCAGTTCACAGTTTTCATCTCTAATTTGTTTAAATTGTAACAAAAATCTTGAGAAACTGTGTTCTTTTAGAGAAGAACTTATTGAAAATCAAACAAAGTTATATGAACTTCTTTGTGTTAATTTTGAAGGAGATTCAGATCCTCCTGATGATGAACATAACAATCTCGAACCTGAATATTTAGATGAAGAAATGAAATATGAGAAAGTGGCTGACGAAAGTGAGACATTTATTTTACAAGACGCAGAAAACTTAGGTGCTTCAAGACATATAGAATTCTTTATTTCTGACACAGACGACTCGACACACTTCACACCATCACATTCAGGTTTGTGTTTTGTTTCTAATAAATTGTTTCTTATTAATCGTGTACGATTTAGTTACAGCTTCGAAAAAGATCTTGCGACCACAGAAATGGAATTGGACAGACGAAATGGAACTCGATTTAGTTCGATACCGTCACAAATACAAATCGTTGAAAGATTCTGATAACTTGGCTTACAGGAAAATTTCTCAAAAATTTCAAATAAAAGGATATCCAAACATTTCAGCAAAGTCAATCAAATATAAATATGAGAAGCTTCAGAGTCAACCAGAAAAATTGACAAAACTAAAGGAACAAGTTGAGTTTGACATTTCCAATAGTGACGATGAAGAGTTAATTGTAAGGACTGACGAAAAGCGACGTTTTGGCTTCAAGAAAACTTATTGGGGATGGAAGGAAGATATGGAAATATTTTTACTTCATTTAGCATCAAAAATCAAACAACAAAATCCTGTGATTCCCGATAAAGCTTTATTCAGAAACATTGCGAAAGAGTTCGAGTTGGAAGGATATCGCAACATTACTGAACATATTGTCCATTACCATTACAAAAAAGTTAAACAAGACGAAGCAAAGTTTCAACGTCTTTCAGAGAAAGCCAACGAATTTGAAACTGATGAAGATTATAATGAAGATTTTCAAACTTGGACCGATTCTGCTGATTCTGCATTGGTTTCATTTAAGAATCAATTACAAAATCTGTTACCCGAAAGTATTCCAAGAACTCCCCGAGATATTTGGGAAAATGTGAAACATAAATTAGAGAAAAATGGGCACGGATCTTTCACTATAAAAAGTATCAAAAATCGTTACTTTCAGTTGATGCATGGCAATGATGACAATCAATCGACTGAAATGGAATGCAACAAAGAAATCTCTTACGGAAAGACCTCAAGTAAAAGAAGTTATCTTTATTGGACAGAAGAAATGAAAGAAGCGTTAATTAGACATCGTAATGATCTCGACAAACGTCCATCGAGTGGTGACGTTTGGGAGACGGTGGCAAAACGAATGAATGGCGATGGATATGGAAATTTTACAGCTCAGAATGTTATGTACAAATATTTTAATTTAAAACGTCGAAAACTTGAAAAATAAAAAGAAAAATTGCCAACATTTCATTAATTTTTAAGAAATTTCTTTCTTTTTTTTCTTTTATTCGATTTCCATGTCAATAGTCTTAAATAATTTGATATTTGTTTCTCATCATATTCATAAAGTTGATCAGAGCTGTCACAACATCTCATTAGATATCAAATATTCACGACAGCTCTGATTTTTTTTTTTTGATAATTACATTTTTAGATAATTTTAATAAATGTTTAAATTGTCTCACTCCTTACGAAGGAAAAAAAAGAAGAAAAATTCTCACAACAACAACATTCCAATCATCATTTAAAAAGAAAAACAGAAATCTAAGTTATTAAGTTTAGAATCAGTATAAATATGGCAATGTCAGTTTCACTTTTAAGCAGTTTCTTATATGTGATTGTGATGTGTCGATTTAATTTCGTTTCAGTGTTTTATGGTGGATTTAAAAGGGTCCACACAGCACATTTGGTGAATCTTAATCGCGGATAGTGATAGATGATGAATTTAAGATTAGGGACGAATTCATGCAGCTCTGGAAGTTTCGTTTATGTCTAAAAGAGGGAATTGTCGGGGTTTTCTAATGCTATTTCTTTCTAATTAAAGGGTGAGAGACAGAGATAGCAAGCAATGTCCATCTCTAATTTAAATATGTCTAAAAAAGTTACTTTTTCTTACTTTGCAAGACCTTACCAGTCAATCAATGAATAAATGTTTGTTCTTCAAATGGTTCTTGTAAAAATGGACGTTATGGAAAATGTTTTGTTCTGATTCTTTCTTATGTTCAGGATGGCTTACAATAAATTCTCTACGTTATTTTTCTTCATCACGACGTTCATAAACAAGTTAAAACTAATTTATTATTCACTACCAGCTGCCGATGTTGCTCGTGGCGATGTTTTCGTTTCATCTTCTTCCAACATTTTGTTATAAGCTGCAATAATGCACTCACAGACAAATTTGTATTGACTCTGAGATAAAAGTTGATGAAGAAAATTAATTCAATTGTTAATAGAAAAATTATTTTTAAAATAGATACTCACAACATTCTGAACCATAGAAGCACGTTGATCACGCATTGTTTGTACAATGTCAAGTGGATAAACTGGTTCTTTTGCTTCCATTAAAGCTAAGGCAGTGTCCATTAAAATTAAAACTCCTGCAAGAATTTTGTTGCCATTAAATGCTAAAATAGTTAAAAATTCATTTTCAACAAACCTGTTCGTCCGATTCCAGCTGAACAATGAATGATAATTGGTGGATTAGCTGCACTTATGCATTGATGAACTGAAGTTGACGGTGGCAAATCACATGGCGATTCACCGTTTTCATAATTCTTACGTTCACCATCAAGTCCACCATTTTCATCAGCATCTTTCAGTTTCACTTGCTTCAACGTTGCTTCGATCTCTTGCAATAAAGTCGTGTTACGAGCAAGACGAACTTTTTCAGTAAATGAAAGGAAAAGCTTTGGATCTGATGGAACGCCATGATCTGCAAAGATATGGAAGATTAGAAATATTTAATTAAAATTCAAAACATTTTAATCTTACCTGGCCATGCCAAATATTGCATATGTTGTATCGTTCGTTTCTCACCTGTGTTACCATCACTCATCAACATATCACGAAATACAAAACTTCCCGTCTCATCAGCATGTTCATTGAAACATTTTATAGTGAAGTTTTGTCCCATGTCCAATATCTCATCATTTGCTGGCCAATATTGATGACATTTCACTCTTCCACGTTCCATAACTGTCGTTAACATCACAATCAAGTGACTACTCTCCTGTTGAACCATTCGCCAGAAATCTTTCACTGTGTTTCCAAGTGGACCTTGTGTCGCAATATAACGATTGATTGTTCCATTTGGTATTTCCATGTTGACGTAATTGGCGTTGATGTAATCTCCATCTGGTTGATTCATTAAAACCACACGTGTGCAATCATCTGAAGAGAATTGAAGATTATTAAAACAATATCATGTTTGTTATGAACAAGTACTAGAATGAACTTGTTCACATAAAAGAGGTACTAGAGATGTTTTTAATGGAGCAATTCCCAGAACATTTTCAAGCCCTGGCTTTTCATTTTTCACATACTCACATGGAGAAATATCGCGATAACGGTTTTTGCTCGCATTCTCTGGTTTTCTCGCTTCAGTTATAGATAAATCACAATTCTTTCGATACATTTGTTCGTATTGTGACAAGAGTGTTCCACTTGCAATACCGTCACTTAACAGTAAAAGCGATTGCTGGAAGACATTTGCTTCGCTACTTCCCGTCATGAAACTATGTTGACTGTTACGAAATTGACTTTGATCCTCTGGAACATATTGATATAAAGGCTCTTCAACAAGTGAACCATCCTCCAAGGCATTTGGTTTGATAATTAAATTCAATTGACCGCCATTATTGTCACGAGAGTTTCTTATGAGTGACACAACTTGTTCGTGTGTCATTGTGCTGACATCGCGTCCATTGATCATCACAACTTGATCATTCTCGCAAATTTTACTGTTGTAGGCAGGCGTATGTGGTGCGACTCGTGAGACGAAAATCGGCATTTTTAAGTCGATTCCACCTTTCACATTGAAACCGAATCGACCATGCTCATCAGACTTTAATCTCAACGACACTAAACCTTCTTCACTTAATTTATTTGTGTTCTCGTTACTGTCGTATGCTGGTGGTGAATCGAAAAGTGGTGGAGCTGATGAATCAAAACGAGCTGATCGATCAATAAATTCATTTTCACTGCTTCCACTTTCCTGTTTCTCCCAAGCTTTTCGCGGTGATTTTGATTCCGTTACAGTGATTTTATCATGCGGTCGAAACGATAATTTACCGTTGCTGGTCCCATTGCTGTCTGCAGACATGCCATTGATGGGCGACGATGCGAGAGCTCGTCGGCTTGGTGACCGAATAAATGATTTTGACATCTTCACTCGAACTTTACTGTCTTGAACAGCTTGAAGTTCTGTTCTTCCACTATAACGGAAGCGAGAACCAAGCGACAAAGCAAATCTCGAGCTTCGATGTGGTTTCTGTAAACGAAAGAATGAGTGATGTTCAACACAAGACTGCCAAAGGATTTTTGCACGTTTGTGTGATGCCATATTGAAGCCGAGAAGTGTATCGTAACTTTCCGACGGTTCTCGACGAAGCTGAATGAAGAATTCCTTCCTTTTGAATGAAACTTTTGTCATTTTCGACCAAGAAAATGTGTTGATTCGTAGGCTGTTCTGATACACCAACAATCCAATAGCACTCACTCCAAGTTGAATTTCTGTCCCACTTGAATCAGTCGCTTTATGAAAATCGATTCCGTATTGATCCAAACGTTTTGCGTGTTCAAGGAAATTGCATTCAGCATCAGCTGGCAATTGACCACGATGAAGTTTATGTAATTCTGCGATTTGTCGTTCAGTTTCTTCGTTTTGATCAACTAAAAGTTGAAGATCGTTGAGATATCCCTCCGTATGTTCCACAGCATTGAAATCGCCAAGCTCAGCTAGAAATAAAATTCGGTAAACTTAATTCCAATTAATTATTTTAATGACTATTCATCGCTTACATTGGACTTGAAAGCTCGCTAAAAGACAAGCTGTGTGAAGTGAAACTGGTAATCGACCAGACCAAATGTCTCGTTTGATTTGCAAATAAAATTGATATCTCGTGTATTCTTCAAGAAGACGACTTGGATCACTCACATAAAATTTAACGCGAAATTCTAGTATAGGCATAGAGGGTGAGCAATTTTTTTGTTCCTTCTGCCATTGTTTTCGTACATTTTTATTAGAATCCAACCATCGCTAAAAAAGAGAGAAAAAAGGTGTTAATTATTAAATGTAAAAATTATGACGTCATGGCTTCATTCATAAACTTTGTGACTCACTTCAGCGTTTTCGCTTTGACAGAATTTTAGTCCGAAATAGTCGCGCTCAGTTAGTTCTAGATGATCGAAGACTGTAGCTAAGAGATCACTTCCCTTTGCCTTCTTCTGTGAATAAACAAACGCAACCAAGGATTTTTTTCTTCTTCTAAGAATAATCTAATTTGTTTTTTTTTCAACTCACATCTAGATTAAATTTCACATTTGTGTTGTCGAGAAATTTCACGAGAACGAGATTCGGACTGGATTTAGATTTTCTGTTGTGCGTCGCCAGCTCGGTGTCTTCTATACGATATGATCCGAATTTAAATCTTTCAAACATTGCTTTCCATGTTAAATAAGCACGAAAACGCTTTAAATGAGCTCTATGTTCAAAAAAAATGCGCTACGACGAAAATAATTTTTCCGTGGAAACTCTACCATTGTAACTTATCCTACCCCTCGATTGTCGCACTCAAGAATTATTAAAATTCATAATAAAGGAATCCACCCTAAATTTACACCCCCGCGCGGGGTCCGGCACCAGTTTCCATACAAAGTGCTTTTTGTAAAAAAATTTCTCCACGTCCGTGATAATTCTCCACGTCCGTGATAATTACACTCTCCACCTGAATTTGGGAGAGCTCTCTGCAGACTTTGTTTACATTTGAAAAGTGAAATTTATTCGTTTTTAAGTCGAAATTTCCGATGTAAAATGGACGAGTAATAAATGGATTTTGATGATAATAATGTATCATTAATAACAGCTGATTTCTCAACACAGGTAAAAATTACTGAAATTTATTTAATATAAAAAAAAAGATTAAATTTGTTTTCGAAAGGTTTCAGAAAAAACCAACAATATTGCAAAAAAAGAAGAATTCAAATATGAATCCAACAATTCAGTACAACACGAAGCCACTGAAGTACAGAAACCTTTTGAATGTCGTATTTGCGGTTTTATGAGTTTCTTTCAATCTTCATTTGATTCACATAATTGCATTCAAAATGAAACCAAAGTTTTGTGTCCAAACAGCCAATGCTCAAATATTTTCACTAACAATGAAAGCCTCAAGTCACATTTGTTAGTAGATCATAAAGTACTTCAAGATGAAATTGATTTGTTCATTGAAAAACACCAGCAGCCGAATGTGGAAAAGCCACGACAAAAGATCCACATTGTTGATTATCAGCTACTTAAGAAGCCTGACACAAATGAACCAGCTAAAAGCAAAATCTTCATCAAAGATGTGACGTTATTGAGAAAGCCTGATTTACCACACACAAACATTGCAATCCCAAATATCTTCGATTCTCTTGATCTGACAGCTGAAGATGAAATACTTGACGACTTTTTAGGAAATGACGATCAAATCTTCAACGATGATTTCGATTTCGACGATTCAGCAAATTTCAATTCATTTCCGTCACCTGAACCAGTTTCAGAAGCTCCAGAAGTTGAAATCATTCTTCCCGAAGTTCCAACTGAAACTGCGTCTGATCAGCAATCAGGAAAAATATTTGTGAGAAAGAATTTGTGCAATGATTCCGAATTACTCTCAGAAGCAACAACTTCAAGTGAAATTCCAACAAGTAAAATTTATGTTCGCAGTCATGAAAGTCTGACGAGTCAAGTCGTCACTACCGACGTAACAAAACAACCATCAGAAGCATCAACGCCTGATTGCGTCATCGTGTCATCGGAAATCATTTCTGAAGTACCAAAAAGTAAAATTTTCATAAGAAACATTGAAGCATTGACAAATCCACAACAAGAAGCGACATCGAATCAATTTTTCACTGACGAAGTAGAAGAAGAAACAAACGCACCAGGAAACTTTATGAACGTCACGAACAATTTTCCGCCATCCATTTTTGTACGTCGTTATGATAGTTTGGTGAATGAAAATGTTCCTGAGCAGACACTTCTGCAGTCTCTTCAACCATCACCACAACATTGCAACATTTCAATTAAAAATATGAACACATTAATCGAACCAATTCTTATGCAACCGCCACTCATTAATCCTCCACCTACTTCAATGATTTTCGGACAAGCACAGAACTTAGTCATTCATATGCGACCACAACAAGCTGATGAGAACTTGATTAATTATCGTGACACTAGTATGACTCCTGATACACTCCCTGGAAGTTCAAATGTGTCAACTTGTGGTGGAAATGACGAAGTGATTATGTTAGACGATGCTGAAGTTTCCGATGCTATTTTTTCAAACTTCCACGACACTTCGGCAATTCAAAATGAGATTGTTAAACTTATGGAAACATCTCATGTTGTTGAGCCATCAAGAGAGTTGATAAATCATTCAGAAATTGTACAAAATCCTGAACGAAATGAAACAGAAACACCAAATGAGAAAACAGTTCTTCAGAAACTTGAAGAAGCTGCTACAAATCAAGGAGAAGAACAGCCAATGGTTAGCATTCCCATTGACTTCACATCAGAAACTGCTATTGAAGGAGACACAGAAAGAAAGAAAATGAAACTTGTTAAAATCATTCGAATAAGGAAAAAGAAAAAAAATGAAAGCGAAACAAATCAACAATCAACAACAAACATTCAAGTTGTGTTCAAATGTTCGCTACAAAGTTGCACACTTCATTTCTCATCTGAAAATCTTTTAAAGTATCATCGGAGATGTCACACAGATGACGGAACAATTATTTGTCCCGAATGCAAATCGGAAGAGTTTAAAACATTCAACACATTGCATACTCATCTGTGGCGTTCACATAAAGTTGACATGGATTTATATGCATGCAAATTATGTGATTTTAAAACGCCAATTCTTTCACGATTGAAGAATTTTCACGAGAAGATTCATTCAAATGTAAGGAGCTATAAATGTGATGTCTCGAATTGCAATAAAAGTTTTAAGAATTCTAAACAGTTGAAAAATCATCTTCAAACACACAAAAATAAGAAGAAAGAAAAGTTTATGAGAAAAGTGAAAACTTCAAATTCAATTGATAGTTCGAAGAAGATTCAGTGTGGTGAGTGTAACAGAGGGTTCAGTAGTGAATCGGGACTTTACATTCATTCTATGGAGCATAAGAAAAGTGATGAGAAAAAGTTCAATTGTGAAGCGTGCGATTATTCAACTAACGATCACAACTCATTTCGTCGTCACAAGTCTCAGCATTCGATGGTTCATCATTACAAATGTCCTGGATGTGATTACACTTCTATACAAAGCAACACATATCGCAAGCATCTTGAGAAACAACATCCTGAATTAGCTGAAAGTTTACTTTATAAATGCACATCATGTAAGTTCACAACAATCAGTAAAGCAAAGTTTGAAGGACATTTGATGAAACACGCTGACAATTCAACAAACATTGAAACGAAGAAAACTTGTAACAAGATCAAAGTTAAAAGTAATTTAATGTTGACTGATCCCATGATTCAATTGATGAAAGATTTATTGCCGAATCAAGCTAATAATCTGTGATACTTAATTGATACTTAAATAAATTTAATTTTACTTTTAAAGATGAATCTTTTATTTATTTTTGATCTTTCAATTTTGAAGGCTACATATAATATTCAGTTTGATTAATTACAATTGATTGAATTCATATTTTTGTGAATAATTAAGAAACTGTTAAACTCATTCTTCACCTCCTCCTCCTACTCCTCGTTTTCCTAATTTTAAATAAGCTGTGTGTTAAATTTGCTGGCTGTGGTGAGTCTTTTGCTTTCGTCATTAAGCAAATAAAAGAATTAATTTTTTTTTCTTCATTTTCTTGTCAGTCTTGTTAAAATAATCAGAAAACAAATAAAATCAGAAAAGTCAAAGATGAAGGGGAAAGAACGACGCGTAGCATCCGAAGGGTTAATAAAAGCTTTAAGGGGAGCTTTTTAAGGGAATGAAGCTTTTTGTATGTCGTCGACCAGAACTTTTTGTTGCACTTATTGAAGCAAAGTAAATTAATTCAATTAACAAATATAAAAATTGCTTGTTATTAAGAATTCCAAAAATTAACTTAATTAAAATTAAACCATTTTAATTCGTCGAACACCACACTCAATGCAAAACTTTGCAGTTGGAACGACGAACTTGTAGCCACATTCGTGACAGAACTTTGAATAAGGTGCATCAGATTTACTGCTCTCAGTGCTGGTAGATCTGTTGAGTAGAACATTTCCGTTCCTGGGTATCATAATTGTCTCCTGAAAGTATGGCGGTTTAACTGGATTCAAAACTATCTCAGTTGTCTTCAATTCCAAATGCTGACGAATTGGTGGTGGTGGTGGAGTCGGCCTGAAGGTACTGAAGTTATTGTTGGTCATCTTACGATGATCAAATGGTGATTGAGATTGCCTAGACTGACTAGAGAGACTATAATAATTAGTAATAAACTTGAAGTTCTTGTTAAATTTTTTCTGAACATTTCTTACCTTCCATAAGCTGAATCAGCACTTGATTTTGATCGAATAGCTTGTGAATCTGTCTCAAGACTATTACTCTCATCTGAATCAGAGTTTCCACTCAACATTTTACATAAATTGTCTAACTTCTCAAGGCCACTTAATTCAGCTTCAGACCTTTGTGGTTGTTGAATCGGAATTGGTTTTGTGTCGACAAGATTTTTAGTTAATCCAAAAGGATTTTCTTCTGGCTGACTCTTATTAGTATCGTTTAAAGGCTTGTTACTGTTATCGTCATTTACTGTCTTGTTCAACAAAGCTTTATAATCTTTAAATATTGGAAATTGATCGTCATCGTTGAATGAAGCAATAAATTGGTCAAAATCAAAATCTTCAAAAATTGATTCAGTGTTTGATGTTCGCGATGTTGGACGTATCAGACTGTTGTTGTTACTGTTATCACTGCCACTGCTTGGTGTTGTCGATTTCACTTCTTGTTCATTATCAATGCCAAACAAAATGTTGTCAATGTTATATTTCTTTTGACGACGTAAAGCACTTCGACGTCCCGATTGCGGAGATTCTTCTTCACCAGTTTTGCGATCCATAGATGGCGAACGACTCTTGTCACTGACATTATTCCCGTTATTCAACTCGGGCAAGTTATCACAAGCATTCATTGTTTTAACTGGAGCTGAATGACTTTTCTTCTCTTCATTGATATTTTCCTGGGGATTTTTATGAAAATTATCGATCGATATCAAAGCATTTCTTTCATCAAAACTTTTTCCATTTGTAATTCGTGGTGTCGGTTGTGGAGTTGTTGTTGATATTCCATGATTAATATCTGGAAGTTTATGATCTAAACTCAATCCAACAGATGTGAGATTATTCGTTGCTTGTGATCTTTTACTTAAACTGTTACTTTTATCTTTCATTTCTTTTTCTGATAATTTTGCTGTCAATTCATTTTCATATTTTAAGAAGAGTGCAAGTGAATCCGTTTTTGACAGTGGATAATCCTGATGCAAAGGTTTGTTTGGATTTCTTATATCAAGTTTGAGATTCTTTCTTGTCAATGCGGCATTTTTGTCTCTTAATATTGGTTGATTAATTGATGGCATTGTTGGTGATGGCGAAGCTCTCGCTGGTGACACTCGCAAGGGCATCACTTGATTTTGCTTCAAATTTTTCTCGCACATTTTAATGGCACTGTAAGGTGACTTAATTGGAAGTTCATCGTAGTCTGTCGCTTTAACAAAGTTTGGTGAAATTGGGCCATCATCAGTGATTCCGCAATGAATGTTTGACTTTACCGGTGGCGTGTAAATAGTCGGCTTGGGCTTGCGATTTGAAATTCGCAAAGAAGAGGTGCGCTTGAAGTTGCTTTGCATTTTTGGGATCGGCTGTGGTGTCTTTGGGGAATTGACAGCTTGACTGGTGAGAGTGAGAGACTTTGACATAATGTCGTTGTTGATATTATTAACTTTATTAACTTCCGATGACGGTGTGGTTGGTACCATCATTGAATTAATCATTTGCGTTGTAGGCGTTGATGAAGTGGGCGTGAAAAGTTCTTCCAGTTGCTTCTTGGCCGATAAAAATGGATCATAAAGGCCACTAAAACAAATAATTATATATCTATAAAAATATTCATCAATTAATTGACTTAAACTTACTGTTCACTTGTCATTGATGAGCTCATGGAATTTAAATGTGAATCGAAATCAGCTAAACTGTTGGTCGAACCATTGCAACTATTTGAGTATTTTTCTCTTGTTGTGGTTCGTTTTGTTCTGAAAGAAACTTCCATAAATTGTTGGTTACAAACAGTAAGTTAAATAAAATTACTTTAAACATGGAGCCTTGTAGGTGATTCGAGTTTTCATTCTTTCCTTTGCAGCTGACACAGTTGCGGTGTCGGGACTAGGCTTGATCAGAGATTTCTCTTTGCACCATTCAACATGTCGATCGTAGGCTGTAAAAAAAATAATTTGCATTCTTTCTTAGTGAAAAATATGCCAGCTATTGAAGTGCAAAAAGTTTACCTTTGAATCCAAAATTCCTTTCGCAATATGGACACTTTTCATTCTGTTGCACAAGGCTACGTTTCACTGACAGTCTGGGTGTTCCACCACCCAAACTGACACTTGAATTCTTTCGACTCATGTTGTAATGAGATGAAGTTGATGTGGCTGGTTGAGATTTCAGACTCGTCTCACTTAATTTTCGTTGAAGCTGAAATGAAGAATGAATCATTAATCTCATTAATTCTTTCTCTCTTTCGATTGTATTTTAATGACATTAAGAATTCTACGAGTTTTCAATCGAATGATCATTTATAACTTGAAACAAAATCGAAGAATGTTTCAAAGATTTAAATGAATAATTAGATAGTCTCATAAAATGTAAAAACCACTCGAGAAAGTTATTGTGCAACAATAAATCTTATTTCGGTAGCAAGAAATGATGTTTCGTTTATAATGTTTGACTGCCGACTATTCTTATGCTTTATGCTTTATTTCATTCAACCTCGAGAGCACATTCGCAGCATAATTTAAAACTGTTTTGGGCATTCTCTGAAACTAGTTCCACTCACTAGACAACAAAGCTTTTTGTGTTGCATGATGAAAAGGTTTCTCGTGATCTCTTTCGATATGGTGAATAAAAGATTAAACTTGCGCAATGGTTTCAATGCGGCTTAACTCTATTGATGCTTTCATGTAATTATAATCGCAACAAATGTTTTCCCTTTAGCTTTGTATTTTCAAAAGACTTTAAAAGTTCAAAATGTTGATAAAGTTAATCGAAAGCCTGCGAGTTCATTCACACTTTTAAAGGCTGGTCAAATATTATTCTTTACCACCCAAAATTGACACAAAATAAATCTTTGAAATTCAATTGAAAAATATTCTTTTAAACATGATTCATGAAGTGCTTAAATCACCAAACTGAAATTTATTGTAAGTCAAACAACAAAGTCAAGTCAACTCACCGTTTTTGGTGGTGAAACGCGACTTTCAAACCGCGATGGTGTCAAACGATTTGTTGCAACTGGTGAAGACGTCGCTGAAACCGAAGCAAATTCTGTTCCATTGAGTCGTTGCTTTGACGAGTCAAAAGGTTTCCGTTTCTTTGTGTTAATTTTCTCGCAAATTATTACATGTTTCAAGAGAGTTTCCGGTGCAAATTTACGCGAACAGACGGGACACAAGTCAAGTCGAATGTTTGGTTGTGGAATTTCAATGAAAATTTCATTAAGTTGTTGATTTTCATCGGGATGACGATGTTGTACAGGTTGATAAAGTTGAGAATATTCATGTCTTCGATTGTAATCTGTTGAGGAGAAATAAAAATGAGATCAATAAATGTAAATTAAGCAACTTAACTTAATCAGTTTTTATCGAATGACTTGTCCACTTGCAAAAAAAAATTTTACGATTATTATTTCCTCCTCCAAGTTTGCGACCGCAAAATGATTTTATTTATGACACGATGTCGACTAAATAAATTGGTAATTTTGAATATTGAAGCGATCAAAAATCAATTTATGATATAATGATTTAATATTTAACGTCTGTTTAATAAGTAATATATTGAAGAACTTTTTACGTGGATTTATCAGACAATTTATGATAATTAAGAATTTAACACGCTTTCAATATAAATAAGAGAAAATTTGTCACTGAATGAACGAAAGCCTTTGGCAGTCATTTATGTGGGTGGGATTATTGCAAGTTTTTAAAATTCAATCATCAGGAAATTTCTTTTCTTCCTTGATTCATCCAATCCAAAGCCAAACAAACAAATTTTAAGACTTTCTCGTGTGGGATTAACTTTTGTTTGTTGTACTAAGTAAGAAGACATGTTTTGCTTCTTCTTCTTCTTCTTCTTGCTTTAGATATTTCTTAATTTAATTTTTTCTTAAAAACACGTCAATAAAATAAACAAAAATCCTGTCCTGGCACTCGTCATTAATTTCTTCTTCTTCTGCTGAAGAGATTATCGTTAAGAGTGGACAAATTTTTTGTTTAAAACATTTCAAGGTGAACGAGATATTTTGCATACTTAACATTCGGTAATTAATCGCTGTTTGAGATCTCAAGAAGAACTCGATTTAAAGCAATGAAATCGAGAAGAAGTTTAACATCCTTTTGTGTAAAGTAAGAGTTTAACGTCTCTTAACCTTTCATTAATTTTCCTCGAAATGTCAGTGAAAAGATTTTTGTTTTCGTTTTTTAGAAAGAAAGAAGGAAAATAAAACAAGCCACTGGTTTGAATGTTTTTTTTATGTGATGGAAATCACGAGTTTTTCATATTTCATGAGAACATTTATTGACATTACAACCGCGAGGTAACACGAATAGAGAATTCATTTTTATGCTGAATGAAAGTGCACCCTCAAGCCTTGAAGAACATCACGCAAGAAATTCTTTTAATAAAATGTCACCGCATAAATTATGAAACAGCATTTGTCAACACACAAGTCAATATTCAATATTGTTGAAGTCATTTGATTGATTTATTTAGGTTGAAGCCTTCTGCCATTAACCCTAGAAGCACCTCACCTGGTTTCCTATAAATTTCCGATTCATGCTGAAAATATTGAAAGTTTTCGTTCATTTTATTATAATGATCGTTGTTAGGTTTCTTTGCACCACGAAAAGAGAAACAAAATGTTGTTGTTGAGGCGGGTGGCGTCGTTTGCTTCGTCGGCGCATCATTCTGTGATTTATTTGCTGATTTCGATTGTTTCTTCTTAAACAGTTTGTTCCACATTCTCTTCGCTTCTCAATTCTATTTTTGTCCGTTTTAATGTTCACCACTTAAACATGGAAAACTAAACGTCTAACTAACTAACTAACTCACTGACTATTCGTTGACGATAATTAATTTTTCTTGTTCAAATGAAGCGTGCGTTTGAGTTGGAATTGAAATATTTATTAGATTTTTCCTTTTACGAAAACATCGACAATTAGCTTTTCTTTCTTCTTTTTCATCTCTCATTGAATGTTGAATGTTTGCATTGAGTTTCAGAATTCTTTGGTGATTCCAACTCTTTTATAACTACAATAAATGTTATTGCAAAATTATATGTAACGTAAACGATATTTGATACATGTAATGAGAGTTTCAATTTAATTAATATCCAACGTTGCGTTTCAACTTGTTGCAATTCAATCCGCTTGATATTTAAGATAAATTGTAATGAATGTTAAAAGAACTGAGATGGAATTGCACTTATAAAGCTATAAGCAGAATTTATCGTTCATTTCTTTTATTCCTTTTGGGGTTTGGTCATCCCACTAATCCAATTAATGAGTCAACGATTTAACTGTAAACTTTTTTTGTGTTGTTGCACAAATCACAAATTTGCGATCTTTTCACGATCTGTTCTCGTTAATTTATGAAAGTTTTCTTTTTGGTGATCGCGCCTCCATGACATGAAAATCAATGGCACGAAAACACAATAAGTCGAGGCTTAAACTGTGAGTAATTCAATTAACGACATCGATAAACGATGAGATGTTAATTAAGAAACAGAAGTGAAAAAGAATTCACACAGATCATCGAATATCGAGAGTTGAGTAAATGATTCGCGATCCGCTTTGTATGTCGTCTGATTATGAACTGAGAAAAATGCTCCGAAATGTGGAAAACACTAACAAATGATCGACTCGTGTTTGAATTCGTTGTTGTTTCATTTATGATTCTTTTCCTTTTGCCTTCACGAAGACGTAGAAGATTTTAAAATAAACATTTATGCCGAACGAAAACGCAAGTGGAAATACAACGATATGGGGAGTGAGTGCCGATGAAAACTTGTTTGTTATTTCGTCGCTGCTCAAGTTCTAAAAAGCGACATAACAAACACTTTGGCACTCTTTTCGTGTAAGAATTCACGAAGTCTCTTGTGAGTATTTTCATTAATTTACTATCAATGAGATTTGTAGACACGATTGCGACATCGCTATCGCTGATTGATTTAATTCGTAAATGGCAATTTATGTTCACAAACATTTAATTTTGTTTCTCGTTCCGAATGTATTTTGATCACTTTTATCACGTTTGTAAGTTAAAGTAAAATCACGTCAAAAGATTTCATAAATCAAATCATCAAAACAAGATTTTCAAAGTCGCTGAAAAGGGGAAAATGAAACTTTTTCATGTTCTTCCGAAATATTTATAGCAAAGTTGAGTTGTTATCTCGACTAAATGTTTCCGGTTTAACATATGAGCGAAGAATTTATTGATATAGCGTTGGGTAAGAGTGAGTAATGATCATAAATATTTCAAAGCATTGACCTACATATCGTGAAGTTTCATGCGAAAGAAGAAAGAAATGAAGACATAAATAAAGAGTTGTAATGAGATTGCATTGAGCGTTGTAAATGCAAATTAAGATGTTAATAAGATTAAATGACAGACGGATTGGAAACGAACATATTGAACAAAGAAAAATATTGTCTTGAAGTGGAAGAAGCCAAAGCAAATGTCATATCAGCTACAACTCATTAAAAAATTAAAATAAATGAGTAAATAGTGCCTTCGTATGTCTTCTTCGTCAACCGAATCGAATGATGCGACTCATTAATAAAATGTATGTGGAGTAAGAACTTTGACAGACGCGACAAGGAAAAATCAAAGAAAAGTGAAAATGAAATCAAAGAAAAGCGGAAAGAAATATGAACACAACGACATTGCACTCATCAACTTGACTTGAGTTTTTTCTAATTTTATTTATTCGAGAATATCAAGCAAGCAGATTGTTGAAATTTATGCGATGAAAATTTTCTGTTACGGTTTTGTTGAAATTAAACACCAAAGCAGCTTTTCGCGGATTATTTACTTAATTAAGTCAAAGCATCAACTTAAAATGTTAAGCGGTCATAAACCTTTCTAAAACTTGACGATTCTCCATAGAAAGAGCAGTTTTGCAATAAAAGAAACTTTTAACTTTCAGTATAATGAAGAAATGATGTTTCCAAAGGAAACTCCCCCGCACGAATCTTTTATTTATGTATCTGAGATGAAAGTTGACTCTTTCACGGTTATTTTTATTTACAATCGAATCTCTCTAAATCCAACTCACTCAACAAGATTGTTTCAACTTAAAAGAAATGTCAACCGTTAAACTTTCCATCTGGTCACTTCCTTTTTCTCTTACAAATTACTCATCCCCACCATCCTTCTAATCATTTCCAATAAATCAACAACAACCTCACTTCATTCTTCCAACAATTTTTTCTCTCGTCATTAAAAATAAATAAAAACAATCAGTAAAGGAAAATTTTTTATTTAAATATTGTTTGACAAACATCAAAGGAAGCTTTTATATTAATGGCGATGGCACTAAATGACTCCATCAATACAGAAAACACCGAGAGTCACATTTATATTTATTATGTTAGTTTGTTACTTGGATAAATAGTTTTTTCATTATGAAGCTTCACTCGCGGATATTTTTGAAGCGTCACCTAATTTACTTGCTTAACGAGATTGATTCTAATTTAGAATTTCTTCTTCATCGTCTCTCTTTAGGGAGTCAGACGAGAAGATTCCCATTCAGCATGATGCATCGCTCTCGTTGTTTATTTTTAGAGAAACTTATGTTTGCTTTCACATCAGATTGTTGAAGAAGGGATTGAAGTGTTTCTTTGTAAGCAAAAGCAAGCAGTGTTTGTGTGTAGTTTGTGAATAAAAAAATTAAGAAAAAGTAGATAAATGGCAACATCAATGATTCTTTTGTTTGATTCTAGATACAGAAAGCTTAGAAGGAATTCACGGTCATAATGAGGCAGGCGATGATTCAAAGTTGACTGCACTAACCCTTCTATAAATACATACAAAAAAAAATTGTCAGTGGGCCGATGAGCGATTGATTGAGCGGCGTCTAAATCATTTGGAAACATCATCGCATTGACAATGCCATGAAGTAAACAAGAAAACACGAAACAAGACATCAAAAGGGAAGCAACGAACACAAATAATTTAACGAAAGCGAAATTGATGATTTGATGGGATGATGGGATGGATTACAACATTTTATGGGATTGATTGTGTTGTAGACAAATCACGTAAAGTGGTAGTAAAACATTTCGAGAAGCATTGGAATGTGCACGGTTTTAACTGCGTGTTTATGATCTCGTGGGCATCAAACGATTCTATTTTTTTAAGGCGACTTCCGATGAAATGTTACGCGACATTTAATGTAATTAAAAAATTAAGTGTGACCCAGCTTTGAGTGACAACTAATGGCAGTCATATTTCATTGTAAGAGCCAACAGCCAACTTTCGTAATCGTGTTTTCAGCTTTCGTCATAAAGTTCTCAAGTCGATGAACGAGACGCTGCAAGTCAACTTATGCAACTAATTATGAGCCAAGAATTTATAAGTGAGATCAAATTTCCAGGAGATTATGTTGCACTTTTGCTTCACGTGCTGTTTGTCGGTTAAAATCAACAACCGACGACGACAACCAGGCGCAACATATTTCTTTTTAATGATTTTATTTCAATTTTTCCCGGAAAGAAACAGAATGAGGGAACTTCATTTCATATTCAATCATCGTTGAAATAATTCAATCTCCACTTCGTTTCCTTGAGACCTGACTAAAACTCATAATAATCAATCATTGAAGAAACTGAAGTGACTTTGAACTCTCTCGTCAAAAGTAAGAAATAAATTTGCGTGATTTAGTTACATTTCTTCAATGCTTTAATACAATCGTCGGTTTGAATTTGAGGCGCAATTTGCGAAAATGAAAATACTGCCGCCAAAAACCTGGTAGACGTCAAGGGTTGTTATTGCATAACTGATTTGGTTTGACAGTTTATTCGACAGCAATGCTTTCAATGTTGTAAATATAAGCAAGCAAACGTTAACGTTGTGTTGTACATGAATTTTCTAGTATTGATTTCTTCACTGTTGACTTTATGTTAATTACATTTTACGCAAATCTCATTGTTCGTTCGCCCGCCCCTGCTAATGTGAAGGAAAAAAGCTGATTTCATTCACTAATATAAAATGCTTTTAGTGTTGCAGTACTTGCTTGTTATGGAATATTCAATGTCACATAATGAAAAGCAAGCTTGAATTCTTCACAATAAACGGTTTCAGTTTCTCACATCTCAGCTGTGAAGTTCTACGAAAGCATTAATCGAATTGCTTTTTGTTGTTGATCAACAAATGTTCATTGATTGATTATCTTGATGAGAATTTTTCATGTTGCAACGTGACATCGGCACTTTCAACATTAATTACAGTTAAAATTTCATGTAACAAGCAATTGAATGAATAAATTGTTGTTAACAATTCGAAATGGAAAGCTTTTGAGTAGATCAATAGAGAAATAACTGCGTGAGTCTTTAAGAGAATAAAAGAAACTTTGTTAACTTGATCTTCGACACCAAAAGCACTTGCAATTCATTGGCATTACCGCAATCGAATGTATCAAGTTTCCACTGTATAGAAAAAATTTTGTATCAAATATCAAATGGTAGAAAATGTTGTTTTGACCATTTATGAAAAGAAGTATCCGACAAAAGTGGCTTTACAAACTTTGTTAAACCAGAGGTTAGTTTTAGGTAAGTAGTTAAAAGATTTAATGTTTAAGATGAGATGTTTAATATATTTAATGACTTTGCATTTTTTCTACCCTACTGAACTTGACTTTTTCCATTTTATTTCTTAATATTTCATGTTAAACTTTTGTTAACAATGTTACGATAAATGACGAAGAAACTGGTCAGACTTTTCTTAGAAAACTGGCACAGTTTCCATTTGAAGTACAAAAATATTCACGGAAATTATTCAAGAAAACGTTCATTCAACGTTGATGACTCCCCAACACCTCAGACAATCGAAAAAAAAACGATCGTATCATAATGCGTGGGTGGAGATTTTTTTATTGATGCCTACAAACAAAGATCAATCGCAAAATCGAAAAATTTACTAAAAATGCGCACCTTCAACACTGATCACGATCGATTTTTAATTAGTGTTGTGTATTGAACAAGTGTTTGAACTCATTGGTGTTAAATGTCAAGATTGCTGACAAGAGATTGTCCAAAATGACTGCAAAACAAATAGTTCCGTTGAAGATTGAAATTCTATGAAGTCGGGGGCGAAGTGATTTGTAGTCTGACCTTGATTGAATTTCAATCTTAATTCACGTTTGTTACAACTGTACAAGACAAGTGCTTTTCAATACTTTTCTATTTAAACACAATGACAATGGAACAACTGTTTTAGTATTGATATTTAAATGATCAATTATCGTTGCGAGGGAGCATCAATTTATTACACATGAATATATGTGATCGATGATCACCGTAATTAAATTCCAATCTCACTTAGCTTTATTGAAATGAATTGAGTTTATTTTATTGCTGCTATAAAAGCAAGGAACTTGATATGCAGTTAAATCTAAAATGTATTCAAAAGTAGCTGAATAATTTTTATTTTCTTATTGGAAACATTCAATCGCATTTTAGAGTGGGAAATGGAAGCATTAAAATAATTTCTCAATAAATATTTAAAATTTGTCTCCTCAGATGTTCGGGAATCGCATGGCTGGATATCGATTTCAGCCGCATTCACATGAGCTTGTTTGAGTTTAGCGTATGGAATTTTATGAATATTACTCAATAGAAATATTTCACATTTCTCATGTTCCATTACACCATTGAAGCCAAACCGAAACAGAGTTTTATTAATTTCACTAAGCCTTACTGATGTCAAGCGTGGAAAATAATGATTTCCATAAAAGAAACATATTTTCCAGTATTTCACATATATTTACGTCATTCACGTACCAGCATAAGAGTTTGCGCGGCCCACACGGTCGCTGATAAATGTGTGAATAACTTCTACAGGTTTTTACATTTTTTCGTCGTATCTTTCAAGGTCATTGCGATGTTTGATGGAACGGAAAAAATATTTTAGTCAACTTTCCTAAGCTGTATTCATTAACGACTCGACCATTCAGTCGTGTTTGAAGAATGTTTTGCTTGTTTAGTGTTGAAATTAACACTTGAAGAATCGCTGATTACACATGAGATTGATCTCATGAGAAAATATTTTAAAACAAAGATATTTTCACAACGTTTATCAAAACATCTTGAAGACGTACATGTCATTGTTCTTGCAAAAAACATGCATTTGAAATAAACATTTATCGTTCATTCAGATGGGAAATCATTTGCGTTCTCTATAAAACAATCTTTCTGATGAAATGTGAAAATTTGCATGATTATCATAAATTCAGAAGAAAATGAAGACATGAGAAAGAAACTTTTGGTTTGGTGTTGAATATTTAAATATCATTTCATATCATTCCATTTATGTTTCTTTCTTCAACAAGCTGATCGTTCACGTATTCCCATATTTACCAACCACTAACGATCCAAGTGACAGCAGTAAATTTCTTTTTATGAGCATTCATGAGAAATTGTCGCATATGTACAATTGCTATTCATCTGAATTGAAAGTGCAGCTCATGTCGTATTCAAACTTGTTCTCAGTCTCTTCTCTTGTTTTGCATAAACAATTAGCGATTACTGATTTGCCCCACATTCATTTTAGTTCGTGGGCAAACGTTCGCAGAAGCCGAGAGAAATTTAATATCACACAAATTATGCGAAGAACACTGACGTTGTTGTTGATGTTTATTAATTAAACGAGCAAAATGTTTCGTTGTATTCTTTTTTTTTCATCATCGTTCATTGAGACACAAATATTTGTTGCACGCCTATATTGAATTTAATGGATATTTGCTTATTTCAAGAATGTAGATTCTTGTTGGTGGAGGTGTTAGAAACAAAAATGAATTGTGTGTGATAAGTTAATGTGAATCGAGACTCGACCAAATGCGGATATTTAACTTCACTTCTCCGTCAGGGATAATTTTCTAAGAATTCTTTCAATTCATAAATATTAGTTAAGTATTTATAATCCCATTTGAATCATTTTTCAACTTCTTTATATCGGAAGAATTAATTTTAATGGCCAAGGTAAAGCGAGAACAGTCATAAAGGCTTGGTTCTTTATGTTCTAAATTAGAATGTTAATGTGTGCCAATTTTTCCGGTAGATCACACAATCACGAAGCATAACTAGTTAAAATTATTAAGCTTGTCTATGTTATTAAGGTAATTGAAAACTTAATGTGTATAGTTCTTTGACTTTACTCGTTTCCTTTCTTTCCACAGACAAAGAGATTTTACGACCTTAATTACGCTCGTATGATAAAAATACTTGTGAGATAACGTAAAACTTTGTTTACAGATATCAGCTGAACAAAATCTCCTTGAAAATTTCAACATCATTTTCAGGTAAACAGGTAAGGGGACTGAAGAAATAGTTTGTCACATGATTACACGCTAATTAAATATATAAATAGTTTTAGTTATCTCATGTAATTAATTAATTAATTTGATTGCAACATCACGAACAGGTCTTTGATAATTTCACTATCTACGCTTTCGGCAATCTCAAATATCAGCAAATAGTTTTTGTCATAGTTTATAAACTCACAAGCTGATATCTTTCAATGACAGTGATTTCTCATTCATTACAAATCTCTTAACAATGTCACACGGAGTAAGAAATTCTACTTTAATTATTATTCCGAGAAAAAAAGAGATTCATTCGTCAATATTTGATGTTGTTTGCTTGCACATTAGATCTCATAAAGAAATCAATACAAGCAAAGCTTTATCTGACTTAGACTGATGATGTCATCCCCCACAACAACTTTTTTATAAACACTGGACGAAGCGGCAAAGTCGCAATGTTTTCGCCTGTTAATATGGAAATATTTAATATTTTAAACTTCGAGTGTGCTGTTTTTTCATATATTTTGCTTTGTGCAATTTCATGGTCATTGTTGTGTTAGAATTGAAAGCTGTTTGACTTTTTGCTTTCAATAGCGTCTTCAGGAAGATGTCTAAAATTTCAAGTTTCAACGTTTAACCCCAAGCTAAACTTCACACAATTGAATAATCGGCTTAAATAAGAAAATCATTTGTGGAGATTCTTTTGTTATCACTCGCCCACTTTTAGCGCTTCTTCAGACACTAATTTGATCGATAAAACGACTAATCTATAAAAAATTATCAACGATTTGTTGTTGAACTGGGCGTGAAGAATTTACATGAAGATTTGCAAATCTATTTAATAAAAAAAAGTTTTTAGACATTTCGTGAGTTTTTATTTTCATCTCTTCAACAACGACGAATTTTTTTTGCGAAATATTTTAATTTGAATATTTTTTATGTGTTTAAGAATCTGGAATTTCAAGTTTTTTTTTCTCCTCAAATTCGATAATTAATGCGATACTGTTTAACTTAAAAACGTATTCAAAACTCATTCGGTTTTGTGTAAGAATTTTTATAAGAATTCCCGATGATGTTATTCGAAAGAAAACGGTTAATGAAAGATGAGAAAGAATATGTTAATGGACTTTGGGTCGTTTGACCGTCAAAAAAATTTCATCCATTGAGAAGTATGATTGAATTGTAATCGCAACAATTAATCGTTGAGAGTTGCTTAATGGACATTAAACAACAAAGTAAAAACTTCTTTTTTTATGCCAGGTATCGCCGAAAATGGAATAAATATACAAAATTATGCTCATACGTAATTGATGCATGAACTAAATTCCCAAAATCACTAATCCAATTTCACATGACTTTTAATGAAACTCACCGTCATCGTCTTCCACATCGCTGATGTAAGTCTCGAATGCTTTCTCATAGTCGCTATTATCCATTGCAAAAGTATTTGCTTCATGATTCCATTGACTATCCATAGCTATCCCACTCATGATTACTGAAATTTTTCTAACGAATTGATCCCTTGCAGCGTTAAAATAAATTAAATATAAAAAATTGTTTTGTTTTCCAATTTAATCTTTCTATTTATTTTGATGAATTTCTTGAGTTGCTTTGCATGTTGCGATTCATGTAGGATACCGTTGTTGAATATCTTCTATAATTTCTTTCACAAAACTATGTTTTCTTTCATTTCTATTAAATCGATAAATTAAATCGCTGAGTGTTCGTTCACCACATCTAACTATCAATATTATGGCGATACAAAATATTTTGTTGTTGTTTTCTGCTTCACTCCCTTTAATTCATTTATTTTATTTTTTTGTTTTAGAAAAACTGTGCACAGTAGTGAAAAATTGATAAAACTTAAAGGTTGGAGAATTGTATCTGGCACGCACCTTAAACAGTCTTTGATTCAAAGTCGACTTTGCAATTTTATTTCACAGTTTAAGGTATTCACTAACTTGTTATTGCGACTTGCTTTGACTTCTGGGGACTTTTTCCAAAACACCAAAACTTTATTTATTTAACTATTAATAAAAAAATTTTCATCTATTCATATGCGCAATCTTTGTCAACTCACATCTGATCATAAAATGTAGATTTAAGTGCTAATACATGCGATATGGCTAATTAATAAAATCACATTCAAGTTAAAATCACTTAAAGACACTCAATGAAAACTTTAGAAAAGTCAGCAGTCACTGGAGATGATTGCATGAAGCACGAGAAATTATTGCATAAGATTGACTTTCGGTATCTCACATCTGACACACTACATGATCTGATCTTGCGATTGTGTTGTAAAACTTCAACTTAAACTTAGAATTCTTATAAGCTGACTAAACGTAAATTTCTCGAATATTTTTGCTCGTTTATTTATTTATTATTTTTTTCTTTTCGCTCGCTCCGTCGTTTCGCGTACTCGACGTTTTAATTCATGTTACCTGACTGAAACGATATTCACTTTACTTCATACAATTTTCTGTTGTTTTTCAATGTGAGCGTTGAAACCTCGCTTGATCGTCACCGCAAAACTACACGCGACAACCTTACGAATGAAGCGAGCGAAAGAAAATCAATAAAAATTACTTAATTTATATTCGATGTCGCTTGGTAACCGGACTATGAATATTGTTGTGTTATTGTTTGAATCGAACGATGAAGTCAAATAAACGAGACGCAAGAGGCATGCGATAGTGCCATTGATGTTTGTTTAGTCGTTGTTATAGCAAACAACATTTTATTCTCGCTTTGGAACAATCGTTGTTTTGTGTCTTTTATACTTCGATTTCTGACACGGGGTGAAATTGTTGATTCATCCGTGCATATTAAATTAGTTAAATTTCTCTGTTTATTAGTTTTCGCAAAACAAAGAAAACTAACGACTGATTGTTTTTTTATTAATAATTAGAAAAATTCTTTTAGATCAAATAGATAAGAGGTCACAGCTCTTTCATATTTATTAATTTCACGAGACAAAATATTATTATCAACATTAATATGCATAAATTAAAATAAATGTTAAATTTTCACCCGACTCATGGTGAATTTTGCTCGTAGATCTCTACAAATGTTTTGGAAACCATGCAACAGTTTCAAAAAATATTCTGGACGTTCACATTTAACTTCACCTTTTCACCTCAATTTGCAATGTTACATGTTGAATACCGTTCGATCGCAACATTTTAGTAGCATTTTGAAGAGTTTCGTGATAAAAATCAAGGTTTCTTACGACGATATGAGCGCTTGTCAAATGAATATCATTCGATAAACTCCAAACTCTCAAATCATGGACGAAACTAAAAAGAAAATGATTTTATTATTCATCAATAGTAATAACAAATTCTAAAACTTACTCGACTCCATCAAGTCTTTGCAGATCATTTAATAAATTTTCATAAGAAACATGGTCAGGAACTGCTTCAAGTAAAATCTTTGACGTATTTTTGAAAATCTTTAAAGTCGTGAGGATCACGATGATAGAGAACAAAAGCGTGATTAACGGATCAGCAATTTTAGCTTCAGGCTAAAATAGAATTTCAGAAATTTATAAAACAACATAATTCTTCCATTTCACTGCTACTATGCTCACATAAATCTTTATGATTACTGCAACAATAACTACGCCAATACTTTGAATGAAATCACCGAGAACATGAAGAGAAGCCGCTTGCACATTAATATTTTCTGATTTGTAATCATCTTGTGACTTGCTTTCGATTCCATGTTGAAGTTGTTTCATTTCATCATCGCCGCTTGATCTTAATTTCCGATGATGAATCAATAAATCTGTGTCATGTGAGTGGCTATGCTTGAAGATGTTACATAGGCTTAATCCTCCGTGAAGAATGCTTGCCATTCTTTAATAGTAAAGTTTGAAATATTAAAGATTAAGTTGATTGATAAATGTTCATCTTACATAATATTAACAACGATTCCAAGAAGAGAGACTATTAGCATTGTGTTGGTATTAATCTCAAAGCTATCAAGGGTCACCAACCTTTGAAAAGCAGAATAAAGGATGAAAAGTGTAAGAATCCAAATTCCGAAAATAGAAATCACTGCGCAATAAGTTTCCACCCTTTTATATCCATAACTCATCTTGAAATCTTCTCCTTTTCTCGCCCACTTAATTGCCACAGCTCCTACTACAAACGTCAGACTATCAGTGATTAAGTGAGCCGCATCACTCATAATTGCTAAACTATTAGCCATGTAACCTCCGATTATCTCAACCACCTTTTGAAGAAAATCTCATTTATTTAAATTTTAAATCATTTGTCAACGAATTAATCATACCATGAAAGTTACACTGAGAATCGCAGCATAAATAAGCTTTTGCCGAGCATTATTTCTTTGTCTATCATGTTGTAAACATTCATCAAGACTGAATTCACAATTCTAAATAACAAAAAGAATAAAAAAGATATTTTCTTATCAAATACTCGTTTATGATTCAACAGATAATGAAAATTTATGGTACAAAGATAGATATTTATTGAAACATGAAGTAATTACTTTCTCTACTATATCATTTTCAATTAGAAGCAAATCATGTTCCAAAAGCAATTCACTCTCATCATCCTCATCGATCATAGAAAGTTTCCTGTATGGCATGTTTTCCTTCACACTTTGAAATATTTGCTAAACTACCGACTAACAGTAATCATTCTTATAAACTAACAATAAGTCAATTTTAAAGCTTGAAGCAAGCAATACTTGTCACTTTAAAGATAAAAAATAAGAACGAACCAAGATTAGATAACATGAAATCAAGGAAAGAAAAAAATATTATCACATTTACCGATAGTCACGTTTAGTGTTAATTGCCCTTGAAAGTATTCTCATAAAAACAAATTATTTACAAACAAAACAGTCAGGTGGTTGCATATAATGAATGGAAATGTGTTTTCCTTTTAAAGGTTTATTAAAAAAGGACAAAATTCCTTCTCCATAGATATCTGAATTTGAAACAATGTGATTAAGAAATAATGACGAACATTTGATATTGTTTGCTTCGTTCAATAAATTTATGGATGTGTTGAGAAAAGCTTGAACACTCACACTCATGCAAAGGAGTTACTCACCCAACCAAAAGTGTGTTTAAATGTGTGCGATTATATGTTTCACACACACTATGATAATTTAGGCGTTTTGAACATAGCTCCTCCTACTTGTTGTGTATATAATGTTTCCATAGCAACACTCCACAAGAGTCGCTTATGACAATATTTATTTTTTCTTATATTTTAGTATTTGATTCGCTCTCGTACGGTAAGCAAACAAGTTGCTGTATACATACATTTTTATTTTCTTCTCTTGTGAATGAAGAAATATTTCCATCGTCATCGCGCGGTTTGAAAAATATTAAAAAAGATTTTTTTTGTGTCGATATTCTTTAAGGAATACAATATTGATAATTTCAGTGAAATAGGTATTAAGTAATTGAATTGAGGTTGTTATTTATCAAAAGATCAAGAATAAACCATTCTGTTCTATTAAGACCACGACCTGCGTCAAAAGTTTAAAGTCATCAAAATTTCTTTCATTAAAAATTTAAAACAAAGTGATTTGTAAGGTTTAGTGTTGAGTGATAATTATGAGAACAAATATAATCCAAACACGTAACGTTAACAACAAAAAAAAGTTCATTTGATTTTTTAATGAACCCTTTAAACTACTCATTAGTGTTCAAAGTCACTTCTCGGATCATAATTTTAAACAAAAAATTATGAGTAGAGTAAAAACAAGCCTAATGAATAATTAAAGTAAGCAAATTGTACAAAACGTCCAAGAGATATAATCAAGAGTGAGACTTGTAAAATGATAATTTTATGATAACAGAAAATTTATTCGGAAAGTAAATCGCCATTTTGTAACTTGCTTTTAATCCAACTTACAAAAGAAATAAAAGAAAAACGAGGAAACTTTAGAAGTGAATAGAAGTTTTATGCTCTGAATTATGATAATTTTATTGCATATACCTACATAGAGAGCAGTGAAAATTTAACGCGGCGAAGGTTTAACTGCAGAATTTATTAAAGTGATAATAGTTTAATCTTTTCACTGTGATCTTTCAAAAAATAAATAAATAAAAAGAATCGCCAAGTTTACGGTTAATTATATTTAAAATAAAAACAAACCTCCATTGAAGAAGTGAATAAATTGAAGTCTCGACAAAGTGAATCGCGTCAAAATTGAAAATTCTCTGATGGGAGTTTGCATCGAAGAGCGCCCTGTAATGCATTGGGTAAGAAATTGAATTGAATTATAAAGATTATATGGATGAGTTAACTGGCTTGACAGTTCTGCATTTGTTTCAAAAGCGACGGAATGTTTAAAAATTTAAATTATTAAATTCAATATTTTAGAATGAATTTTATAATCAACAAAAAGCTGTTAATTGAATTCTGGTGTCAGTCTAAGAACTCTTAAACTTTATCGTTTATTTAAATAATAGAAAGTGAATGATTACCAAAACATATGTGACTTGAAAATACTATTTTAAGATTTTCATTTCATTATCAAACTCATTTGGACGACCTTCGACTCATTAGAGAGACAAAGTGAATATAAAAATTATTTCAATCGTTGTTATCTCAATCGTTGGTCTCTCGAGGGTCAAATTGTTCCACTCCATCGAAGAGCTTCGAAATAAATCATCTGAATTTTCATGATCGTTTCTCATGTCGTTTTGTCGAGTAGACATTACATGATGATTTATTCTGTGCAGTGGTAAAATAAAAATTAAAAAATTGCAATCTACAACAGAAGAAAATCTTGTTTATCTCCCGTTTGAATTCATTCAGGCAAAAGTCTCAAATTTCGACACAAAATGATAAATTTCCATAGTTATCCTTGCAAGTTTAATTTGTATCTTTCTGCAAAATGAAAAATTGCATGGAAAGATTTGAAAGTCGTGTATTTTTGAAGATAAAAGAAGAAGTCGTCGAATGTCATGCCTTGCTTGTGTATCCTTCCTACCCACTTTGTCACCATCAAGAAGCATAAATTACGAGCTCCAATGTTTATTTTTTCTGCACGGTTTTATGTTTAACGCAACATATTTTCATACAGCCACATAAAGATCAGCCAAGATTTATGAGATTTTATGTCACTAATTATTCTCTCTTACACGATTGAGCATTAGTCGAGATAATGCTGTTGTGTCTTGTTTCTAAAACCTGTTTGCAAACGTATTTATCACAACAAACTCGAACATTGATATTCGATGTCTCTTGTCAACTGTGCAACGAAGTGATCGACGTTTATTGTCATAAAGAGAAAAAAAGCAGAGAAAGACAACGAACAGAAATGATCGAACGTTTAACCAAAGCTAGTCGTTCACGACGATAATTAGAAGTCATAATAGAAGAAATGAATCGTTCTGAGTAACGACAAATTTCCTCCTTCGATGGAAAAAGAAGAGAAAAGAATTTTTCGTCAACTAAACTTTCAGATGAAAGTCTTTACAAGAAACATCTGCAGTAAATATTTACTACGCTTTCATCTTTTAATAAAGAAAAAATGAAGAGGGAAAATACTCACATCAGTGATTAAAATCGAAAGAAAAAAGTAAAAAATAAATACAAGAAACTCCCAGCGGGCATTATGAATTGAAACTTCAAATCTTAAGAGAGTTTTCCTTCCCTTTCCATCTTTCAAAGATGTTTGCTTCTCATCGGGATAATTTTTGGAGACGACAACAATTTTTTTAATGTTTCTTTCTACGTTAAATTAAAATTTTACGTCAATTTTTTAGTCGTCTACGAAGCCGGCAAAAGATTTTTTCCGGTATTTTTAGAAATCAAATACTTTAGATGTGTTTTAAAGAGATTTATAGTGCAATTGCACTTTTCACAAGACAACTAACGTTTGATGCTGACGTACTTGCATACAAACGAGATTTGCCTACATTTTTGATTCTTTTGACCCCAAAAGAAATTTCTTTAAACATAATTAAAGTTTCAGGAATTAAGTCCCGTCTGATATCAATTCGCGAGATCCAACAAAACATTAATCAACACATTAGATCAGAAACGACAACATTTAGCAATAAATATTTCGTGAAATTTCACTGATTCTCGGGGGAAGTTCGCATTTAATCATGAAGCGAGAAGAAAAAGAGGTGAAGAATGTTTAAGTGTCAAATGTTGCTTTATTGTAATTTCCCTAATGGCTTTGTTTTAAAGTGAAAGCAACCGCACTGTTATTATTCACATCACAACCACTTCAAAGTATGTGACATTACTTTGAAATGAAAAATAAATCTTCTTAATGCTAAATGTCGCAAGCATCAACATTTGGCATTTTTCACTAGAATCTCAAGAATAAAACTCATTAAAATTTTCCGGATTAAAAAAGTTGAGCAACAAACAAATGAAGACAAAAAATAGAAAGAAAAAGAAACTTTTTTGATACAAAGTTCAAAAGAAATGCTTGAAAGAATGCAAAATTGTTGCAATTAATTAACCCGAAAATTTTTCTGATACACAATTTGCTTTCGTCGTCTTCTTTTTTCATCTCTAATGTGTTTGTTATCCTTCCATTTTTTAAGCATTTGATCAGTGGCATGTAATTATCATTAATAAATTTCTCTCTTCTCCATTAGCAACAGAGCGCGCGATATTTTAGTCCACATGAGAGAAATAACGTGAGTCCTACGACTGGTAATCTGACAGTTTTGAATTCAACGCAATGTTATCCGCCACCCAATGAGAATCTTCTCCACCGTCCATCATGTCTAACGTGTCCGACAATCGGCGATCATTGCGATCATCCAACAGCATCGACAATCCCACCTCATCCATCACACTTCCATCCATTTCATCACAATGCACACGGATCGATAAATCATCCAATGGCTGATGGTGGAAACAAGAACCTGATGACAAATCAACATCCAACTTACGATTCCTGCCACAAGTAAGTCACGAAAAGTTTTCTCTCGAGTCGATCTTTATTTTTAATTCATTTCCCACAGCTTCGATCGAACCAGTATAGGTCGGAGGCGTAATGATAGCTTAGAAGAAAGTGCAAACAATCTTCCCGATTATTTCAATGAGTGTGTGAAGAAAGAATCAATCACACCACCAAATATCATAAAATCAAACAACATAAACAACAACAACAACAATAATGTTATTCACAAAAATAATAACAACAATAACAATAATGAAGTTGAACGAAGTCCATCAATTCTTCAACTTAAAACAGAACCAATTGGAAATCCAGATAGCCCTGAATCATCATCAATCGATCCCCAACAGCCAACAACAACGCCAGATGATTGCGCAGGTTGTGGTCGACTAATTCAGGTAAGAAAAGATCTTAATTTCACCTTCGACACGCTATTTGCTAATATAAAACATTAAGTTGATACTTGGCTTACATTCAATGTGCGCACTATCATCGACCATTTAGTTTCTAATTAATTAAATCAACGAGTGAAGGAAATTAATTTCATCTGATTGGCCTGGTCGCACATTTACATTCTTCTTAAGCTCTTTTTTATTTCTTTAATTTAAAACTTTTCTGTTTTTGCGTGTGCAGGATCGTTTCTATTTATCAGCAATCGATAAGAAATGGCATTCAGGTTGTTTGCAATGTTGCATTTGTGAGAATGCACTTGATGGTCAAACGTCGCTTTTCTGTCGCGAAGGAAACATTTACTGCAAAAGTGATTACTATAGGTGAGTTTAATTTAATTTATGTTTCCTCAGAACTTTTATTATTATTTAATAAGCCTTGCCAGAAGCCAGAAGTTCCTTTTAATATATTATCTTTATTATCTCGTGTTATGATGACGAGATTATGAATCGTCATTATCCACACGATGTCTCTCTTTCCTCAATCAAAATCATTACAAAGATACTTCAATATGCAATTTTCTCACAACATTTATTTCCAATTTCAACCGTGATTAACTGTTGCACATTTTGAAACTGGTTAAAGGCATTCTTTGCTGGCAATTAATGCATCAGACAACGTATTATAAGTCTCATGAATATTCATGAAGGAACTATGGACTAGGCATCAATAGGAATATTTAAAAGCTTTAAACAGTTTTCTTTTTCATGAAAATGAAGAGTTAAAATATCTTTCCCTCTCACTCTCTTCCATTCTTGATTTTTGCAACAATTTTTATTACTTTTGTTGTTGTTGGGCACTTAAAAGTCTTTTACATTCTTAAACACGCAAAGATATTTCATTTTAATTCAGTGAAACTATTCAGACTACATCCAGATATTCGAGTTCGAGTTTTGAGTTTAAAGAAATCTCTTGGACTTGACGATGGATGGATTCACCTTCAAATGTGAATTACATAAAAATTATTGTATCTTCTGTTTCCTGACATGAAACATTTCAAAGATAATGATTAAGACACAAACACCATCTTCATTCTTATTTCATGTTTTCAACGTACAAAAAAAGTTATCGCAGCGTTAAATTAATTCGAATCGAGCAGGTTGCAAATGCTTTCGTCACACTATGCTTAAGCATTTGATGAGTGAATTTAATCCACAATGCAGTGGATGGAAATTAAATTGTCAAACAGAAACGTGTATGAAAACAATTGAATTGCATGCTAAGTATGAAATACAAAGAAGTTGATGATGTCAGCAAAAGAAATAATTAAAAATATTTCAATTCCATGAAACTTCTTCCACTCATTTGCACTTTGGTTTTTTTAAAAGGCGTTAAAAGTGATTCAGATAAGACATGAAATGTCACAAGTAATCGATCTCAGTTATAAACTTTTTTTCTCTTAAAGACAATTGACGTAAAAAGTTATTGTCAAAGTCTAGCATCGTGTCTGATGAACTTCATTTAACAATGGAAATTTTTTCTTAAATTCACTTTTATTGTTATTAGTTGAAGGCTTAAAAGATTTCTTTCGTTTCCAGTGAAAATTAATCGCTGTGCAAGGTATCGCTTCTTGTATTCCTTCGCCAGCCAACTTCTGACCACCCGTGTAAGTGAAACGTGACTTTTCAATATTATTGATATTACAGACATTCATTCGTTGGCTGTTTTGCTTTACACGAGGGCGAAAAACTCTTCTCGAAAGCGATTTAATTTCTCATACTGGGAATTGAGAAATTTTCATTTTCATTCTTTCAAGATATTGGGATTCTGAGTAATTGAATGTAATGACTTTCGAGCTTTTCTGCTTCGTTTTCTTGTACATACATATTTTGTTTTGATTCAATCCAACATTTCAACGAAGTAAGCTAACAAGTAAGCACAGTAGCAATTCATTCTTCATGCTTGATTCGGTTGATATAAAAGAGAATTGGAAAGAAGCTTAAAAGATTTCTCGAAAGTTTATTTCTTTTCTTTTTTTAAAGCATTTTGTTATTACGAACAATCAAAATGAAACATGAAAAAAAAACTGAATGTCATTGAACAAGAAGTCAACAATTGTCAGGTTCAGTGAAGCGAAATGTCTGCGAAACTTTTTCTTTCTTTCTCTCATGGATTGTTAATTTAATTTTGAAACATTTATGAAATCATCTTTCAGAGATTTCTTCTCGAACACTTGAGACGAAAATTTTATTTACGCTGTCATGGATTTTGTCTTTGAACGCAGACACAAATCACGTTCGTTCTTTTCTTTCAACTGCATCAAAGTCAAGAATTAAGATAGACGACAAATATCAAAGATAAGACGCTTTTCTTTTCTTATTTTAAATATCTTCAATGTTGTTCAGACGTAAGAAAGTTTCACTTCTCGTATTTTGTTTCATTTCATCGAAAAATGAACTCTCATCAGATAAGAAGTAAAAGGGAGAAATTTTTGAATGCTTGTTTGGAGATAGCGACAAGGGTCGAAGTTTCGTTTTACTTTATTGAATATTCTTGGGCCATTCATTTATTAAATGATTTCTCGTAGCACGATATATTGAGGCACCTGTTAAAACGAAACTATTTGGGTAGTTGAGAGCCAAGGAAAAAGTCAAGGAGAAACTTATGCCACCTACGAGTTGATTTTAAATTATGATAAATTATTTCTAGTCTCCTAATGAACTCGCCTTTGGATTTTAATTTTTAGAAAATGAAAAATGCATTCTATTGAAAATTAACATAAATATTTATTTATTTATTTGCGAGCTTCTTCAGAGACTGAAAATATTTATTTGAATTTCTGGCTACTTGGAATTGGAAGCCAATCAAATTGCAATTTAGCAGATAAAGTCAAACATTCTTTTGACATTTTTATCAGAAGATTAATTCGTGTCGAGAATATTTAACGTGAAATCGAAGACTGAACAAATTAATTTTGGTTGTAGCTTTTTGGTGAAGAACGTGAATGGTGATTTCATTTCGAAATATTTTTTTCTTTTATGTTAATGATATTTGGATCACAAGAACATTAGGATTAAATGCTTTCGCGATAAGCTGAGAATAATCTGTTTGAGAAAACAAATTTCTTAATTCTCTTTCTTATCTTAATTCTGTTGGGACTGTGACGTAGGTCTTTAAATATCCCCAGCCATGGATTATGGATTTTTACACGGTAATCCAATAAATTTTAAATGATACAAAAACAGGGTGGAGAACCACTCAACATTAAAGAAAAAAAATAAGTCAATAAAATAAAAAACAAAGAACAGAAAAAGGATGCATGTTGAGATGAAGTTGTTTTCTGTCATCGATCGCTTTTAATTTTGAGACATTTTTGGGTCTTTCTGTCGCATTGCTCGACTTCGTATAGACACTTCATTGCAATGAAGACATTCACATCCTTTTTATCGTCCTTTTGATTCAACTTTTGCGATAACAGTGGGAAAGAAAGAAGGAAAATAGAAAAAAGGGACACAAAACGTTGCTTGTTGATCAATTTTTTTTTTATTTCGTTTAAGCTCAATGACCCAGGTCTGAATAAAGAACAAAGTTCTTCTGTTTATATCTCTTTTTTTATTTCTCTTCTGGTGTTTTAAAACAAGAAACAAAAAAAAAAGAATAAAAATTCTTCCACGGAGCCTTGTTTTCATCTTGCCAGGTTCATCTTTTATCATCCTTCAGCTGTTTGATCGTACAAATGATATTATAATTTATTTTTATTGAATCACATTAACTATATCTAATTTTCCGAAATCATTTTTTTTTGGGAAGACCGAATGAAAGAACGAGTAACAGAAAAAAAACTTTATAAATATTCAAATTTGATATCTTTTCTAGATCTCGATCAAGCGTTTAAATTACAAACTGAGACTTCAAAAAGCAATCTCATTCACTGTCGTTTCTAGACGAGGTGATTGTTTCGATAGATCGATCGTTATTTAGTATATAAATAAGAAATTGGCGAAAAACTATCGCCATCAACACAGCATCTGATAACAACTCTTTATTCTCATTATCTTCCGCACTCTAATAAATAAACATAAATTCCACTTATGGTTTTCAATTTCAAATAAACAGTGAAATTTATTTTACTGTTCTTACGAAGTTACACTCTTTGAAACCTGATGTATGTTGTTATTGTTAAGAAAAATCTTCTGAAGCAATTAACAACAAGAAGAACAGCAGCTTTGAGAACGTGCAAGAAGAAGAAGAGAAACGATGGAAGCGCCTACTGCGGTGACAGACAAATTTCCATGAGAATTTATGGTGACAACTTACTAAAAACACTAAAAAGTATCGTTTTGAGAATCTACGAGACTCTTTTCCTTTAGCTTCTCCTTGATCTTAACTGGATATTTTTTGAAAGAATGCAAAGTTGAAGCTCGGAGAATTTTTATTATTAAAATGCTTTTATTAATTAATAAATTATGGAAGTTAATTCTCGTCGTATTTGTTTTCAAGAAGTCACCTCTTTCTCTGCGTCTTCATTCGCTGTGTAATTTTTCTTTCTTATTTTATTTATTTTCTGTATTTCTTTTATCAGATTAAAGTGATCGTAGAGCAAGAACGAAGCAACTTTTTTATTCTTCCTTCTCAGATCTAGAGAATGAAGATAGTTTTGTAGATGAATGATTATCGAAAATAAACGCCGCTTCAGGCAGGGAAATGCGGCAAATGAAATTGAAATGTAGCAAAACAAACTTTTGCGAAATGAAAAAAAAATTTCTTTGATAACAATCAGGAATTGTCACAATAACGAACAAACATGAAGATTTGAGTAAATGTTAATAAATTATCGGACAAGGTTGTGATTCTGTTTTTTGTGAAATTATATTACATAAATTTACGTTGAATAATTGCCAGTTGATCTTTGATAGAAAATTCAAATATCAGTGATCATTGCGAAATTGTCGATTCTCGTAGTCGGGAAAATTTTTGTTGTCATGATAGAAATGAAATTCTTATCTTTGATGTCTTTGACATAATATTTCTGAGAGATTCATTTGATTTACTTTATGCAGATGCAACTCATTCCCATCATTTACTCTGCGAAGTGCAACTTCAGTGAAGGTTAAAGCTCACTTATTATACTTCATGAAGTGATGTTGAGTCATAATGCTTGATTTCTGGTGCATCTCAGATATATTTTTTCTTTCTTTCTTCATCTTTTGGAACGAACCATAATAATAATAATAATAGAAATTTCCCATTTGATACTTCTCTAAATTAATTATTGTACTTTTCGAAGTTTAACGAGAAGAAATTCACATATATCTACTAAATGACTGACAAGCGATTCGAAATAAACTAGCGAATAAAATGTTATCGCTCAATAAAAGTTAGAAGTAACACAGGAATGAAATTGATTGAAATCAAGTTGTTGAAATATTCTCTTGATAGTTAAGATGTTAAATCTTCTTCTAAGCTCATAACACTGTTTATGTTGCGAAATAAATAAATACTTTGATATCATAAAATGAAAAAGAAGAACATGAGAAATTGAGAACAACACACGTAATAAATGTTAGATGACTTAAGACGAAAAAAAGCATAAAAACATTAAAAGCAAGCATGTTGAATGTTAAAATGTTATTACAAGCATCTGATAAGAAGAACTTTTTCTTATCTCGTCACTCACTTGTAACTTGTTTGTGCTTTCCTTCTGATGATGTTAAAAATATTCGCCATAGCCACGATGATATTCTTGTTTGGTCTTCATGATGTAGAACATGAACGTATCAGATTTCATGAATACTTCGAACGAGTGTGTATAAATATGTAAATTCTTCGGTCGAAAAGAATAAAATTATGAAACTCTTAATTTATGTGTCTTAAATTATAATTTTATTGTCTCAAATGTCTTTGTCGAGCGTGGAATGAACATGAGAAGCGGAAAAACAGAACTAAGAGACAACAACATATTACAAGATGTCGTGCGATGCCGTTAGATCTGCAGATCGGAATGAGAAATGATCCTTAAGTTGAATTTCTCCTATTTTGTTCTTCAATTTGAGTCATAACGTTTTACAATCTTCACCCCATAATTAAAAATGAAAGTTAAGCAAACTTGCTAAATGTCGCACAATGATAATCAACACGCATGCGAATTTTGTCATTGAATTTATGTAACGTGCAATGTGCATTGTGCTATGAAGTCGTTAGATTCATATCTGCATACACATTCTAGGGGGAACTCACTGATCATGTTGATTGTAGTTGACACCAAAATAATTTGAAGCTAAAGCTCGAATTGTTATTAACCCCTTGGATACATCCATACATAAATATTATTATCTACATCATAACTAGAGCTTGTTACACAAAAAATATCTCAAAAATATTATTACGTGGCTTTATGAGAGTTAATTGTTTTAATTTGTGATTTATTGCAGTTCTCGCTTCGAACAGTTGCCACGATTTCTCCTTTATGTCACTACCATAAAGCTTATAAGTTTCATCGTCAATTTAAATACTCAACCATCATTGTTTTCAAACGATCGTGTGATTGATGATGAAAACAAAAATAAAGGGAGAAATGAATAAAGTGTAATAACAATTAAACTATGTAATTTCTTAATAAACAAAACAAACTTTAAAAACGGAAAATCATTGGAGCGATGAAAATTTGAGTACACATGAAACTTTAAATTGTCTAATTGATGATATGGAAAAAATAATTTAAAAAATGAAGAAGAGAAGGAAAAGGTCAAGCAATAATAATTTATTGTCTTTAACTCTATCAGAGTGTGCTCATTACAGCTCTTGGATCCCTCCTGTTGATCGCGCCACTGTTGTTTAAATATTATTTGGCGTCTCACCGCTCGCAGGTCGCTGAATATATAAACATGAATTCTTAATGTAATCACTTTAAAAGATTCTCATATTTTGTTGTGAATCTGTTATCGTCAATGACCGATAGTTTGGTATGGTTAAGCAATTTCAAGGCGACTTTGAAAAATCATGTTGCTGATGAATTAAGGGAAACACTTCCATCACGCCACGGGTTCACCAACTAGACTCTGAAATGTTTGCATGTTTTACGCAAGATTAACATCTTTATTCGAGCCACAGCACTAGTTGTAAAATATATTTCGTCTGAATTGCATTCTTCACCACTCGACACATGAAGAAGAGTAGCAAACAATAGAAGTCTTCTTCATCATTGAATGAATGAATGAATGAATGTAAAGTTATGAAAGATTACTTATTGAGAACGGTGAATTGAAGTGAAGTAAAGTAGCTTTAATTTCCCTCACGGAAGACGAAGAAAACAAAAAGTTAAATAAATAAAGAAGCAAAGAGGGAAAATTTATGAATTATTAAAAAGTTAATGTCTTGTGGGGTTTTAAAGCGATAATTTTAATAACTTGGACACATGAAATGCTCAACAGAAAACAGATGATGATGAATGCTTTAACAGAATTGTGTTGTCCGATGCGTTAAACTATTTTCTTTCTTTCATTTCAATTACTTCTACAATCCCTGGTAATCCACCTGTCGTTCTCACAACATAAATATTATTATGAGTGAAAATTATCTGCACAAACTTTTGTTAAGAAATTAACATTTTCATCGATGTGGAAAAAAATCAGCAAACAAGACTTTGAAAACTTGTTAATATCTACAAACAATAAAGAGAAGAAAAAAGCTTTTAAATCAATAATTAATGCAGTAATTTTCCTAGTTCACCTTAACAACATAAAAGTCTAAAACAACATAGAAAATAGTTTTGTGACATGAGAAGTGAACGCTTCAATATTTACAATCATAAATTTAAAGTTAAAGAAAAAAGTCGTAAAAATGTTACGTAAATAAATAAAAATTAATGTTTAATTTATGAAAATGTGTCGCGAGAGTAGTTTAAATTCCATAAATTTTGTCAGAATTAATTTCTGTAAAGCCTTATCGGATTCTATTTATTTAACTTCGTTTTCTTTCAAGATAACTTTTATGCTCTCATGACTTTGGATATTCTTTTTTATTCAACAAATTTCTTGAAGATAGTTGAAAGTTGATAAAGTCATTTTGTTGCACCAAACGTTTCTCTTTATGAGTTATAGCTTATTGAAAGGGTTAAGTAAGAAAGAAGACGCCACTGCTAATGATATTTATTGAGACTTTAAAAGGATGATGTTGAATAAAATTATTAATGAGACTTTTATGATTATTAAACTATGAAAATTATCTTTCAACTCCTTCGATTTATTATTTTAACATTTACATAAATGACCGTTAAAATATGAGAAGGCTTTAGATAAGTTAAGTTGAATTAAATTTAAATTATTGAACTATCAAATCTTATTACTCTCGATGAAGCTTAAAAACATTTTAAGTCAATTTTTATACTTTCGTGCGTATTAAAAAATTGAAACGGGAAAGACACTCAAACAAGCATTAAGATTTATGACATAGAATTGTAAACATTTTTATAATGTTATTTATGTAATTCTTGAAATTAAAGTCGGGGGAAGAAGCATAAATTACTTTAAGTATTTAATTTTTGAAGTCGGATAATTTATGAAATTCATGTTTGGACTAATTTCAACAAAGTACGTAAATAAATATTCAATTGACATGAGGAAGAATTCATTCCCACAAAATAACACGAGATCAGTTCACATCAGTATGGTGCAATGGGGAGGATCGAAGAAAAACAAATTTCCAACTGATTTTCGAATCTCTCACATCAACCAACCAAACACTCTGCTGCTTGAACAACACAACACGCACAAAAATTATTTCGAGTCTATTCAATCTTCTTCGTCTTAGCATGAGAGCGATCTGCAAGGCATTAAAAGGGGCGAGAATTGAATAAACTTTAATTTAATTGGCATATTGAGTAAATGAAGCACTAAACGCATATAAACACGACGAAAGATGTTAAACTAACAATTTTTATTGTACTCACATTGTATAAAGGAGGAAATTGCTTTTAAACCGCATATTATCGCAACAGGATATCTTTCAAAGCCAAAAAGGAAAGAAAAAAATACTTTCACAAAAGGGAGACATGAATAACAAAGTTTTTAAATATTTTTCACCCTTGTAAAGTATTTTCATTCTATTCTTGTGATGCATTCATGTTGTTTGTTAGTTTAGCGCGCAATGTCACATTTTGATACACTCGAATTCAATAAAATTAGACGACATTACTTATTTAGTGTGAACAGTGAATGATTCAAAGATAAACTCAAGTCATCATTATAGATTGATGGTTGAAGTTGTCGTTGTATAATTTATGTACGAACGTTTTGAATGTCTACCGGTTTAAATGCGAAGAATTGTAGAACTGAAACATAATGAGTAAGTGACATGAAAATAGACGGAAAAGTCATGAACTTCAATAGATTTTCCCTCGTTTAACATGACGAGTGATTTGAGAAAATAAAACTTTCATAGTCGTGCCTTTGAAGCCGCAGTCTTTGATGGAATATAAGCCGTGAATTTCCAGATTACTCGCGAGTATTTAACTCATGTGCTGCTCGCTAAAGTAATAAAAATAGATAATTGCTGAACACTTAAATTTGACAAATTTACAGCGAGTGTGAAAAGTTTGCAATTGAAATTTAATTTGTTGTCGTAAAAATGACAAATTATTCTTCGGTTTAGGTTAATGATTCAGATATTGAATACAAAAGTTAAACATCCTCCACCCATCATCATCTCCATTATAAAATATTTTCAACTCAAGCAAGTTAAAAGGTAAAGAAAAGTTTTGCTGACTGCACAGGTTTACTCAATCAATTATGATCATAAAACCCGTAGAAAATCAAAAAGCAAACTCTTGACTTTGATAATCAAGCAGCAAATATTTGAGGGATAAATTTGAGTTCGACAAATGTCGGAATGCTTCAAACAAGAAAAAACAATTCCAAAGGATTAATGAATAATTTTTTATTTTAACTTGTGGATCTTCCACCATTGCTGTTTGTTTTCGTTTCTTTCTACTTTCGTTTTGTATTTTGTGGTTTATGGTCCAACCAAAAGTAATGAAAAAAATAAATTAACAGACAAGTGAACTCAAGACAATACCGAAATAATTTCTATTTCTTTTTTGCAGACTTCAACTCCAAGTCTATAATTTGCTTTTCTCGTTTGAGTGAAAAATAAAATAGAAAATAATGTTAAATAAATGGATGGAAACGAAATACAGTAGCACTTGATGTTAAATGAATTTTTCCTCTTTCATCTCAACAACTGATTGGTCACACCTCCTTCTTTCTAGATCTTCTCGAGGAGATAATCATTCATCGACGTTACATTATGAGAAAGATTTACATCATTGCATTTGATTGCTAGTTGCGCTTGTTGTTCAATACTTTTCTTCTCTTATGAGATATCAATCAGAAGTTTAGCATCAATTCATTGATGATTTCTTCTTAAAAAGCTGTGCTGTCATTAATTATTAACAATAAACATTTTCCTTACTTCTAACTTTTTGTAATGATTTTGTGCAGTGGCAGTGAGAAAAAAGAAGTTGCTGGGGAAAAAGAAATGTTTAATTTTAATGATAGTCTTGAGAACGAACGAACGAACCACATTCGGTTGCTACCTTTTGCAGGTTGATTTTATTTTATTTCATTTAGGGGGCGGACGTTCTGGTTGATAATCAATGGTCTGAAGGGAAACTTTATTCATAAAAATTTCCTCTCAGGGCACTCATTCAGCTTGTTCTTAAATTTATGTAATAGGAAAATGAAGATTTCTCTGTCGTCTTCGTTCTTTCCCTTTTTTGAAACTTAAACATCATTCATTTATTGTTTAATTTACAACAATCAATGCGCAGCTCTTTGAACATCATCTTCTTCAGATGGTAATAAAAATGTTGTGTTGTTTTTTATTTTTCTCGGAAAAACTTAAACTCTGTAAGGGCACTTTTATTGCTTTCAAACTAACAACTAAACTGAAAGTAAAGTCAGTCAGTCAGTCATCTTTTATGATGTTTGTGCAGGAGATTTTCGGACAGTCTTGAATATCGCGTCATAAATCCATGAGAAGGCATTTTTTTTCTTTTTTTTATGTACTTGTACCAGGTTTGTATCGTTCGATGTGAAGATGGAGAGAGATGGAAAGATGTCTATTGTGTTTGTTTCGTTGTGCGCCCCGGAAAAGGTTTTTACGATCATTCGCAGAGCATTCAAGACTCTTCTTGTTCATTGTCTTGATCTTAAAGCGATAATGAAAATAAAAACATCTTTTGGTGAAGTCATAAATTCAGCTTTTTTTCTGTGTTGTGTTCTTCTCTCAATTACAATAACTGAAAGTGAACACAAGCAGATAAGAAATGAACGAAAGTGTTTTCCATCTCATTGCATTCTTTAAGGCAGATTTTATTGTTCCACTTTTTTTACGACCTTGCGAGGCAGAAAATAAATCAATTTCCATAGCGCTATTTGACGTTTAAAATCGTTCTAAGAGTAAATATGTATGCAAATGATAAAGATGTTCACGAAATGATAATTTTATTATGCAAAGCTGAAAAGCAAAAGGCAAAAAGCGAAAAGCGCAGTTTAATCACCATACCAAATGCATTATGAGTCGAGTGAGACAATTTCATTCGACACAGGCAATAAGTTAGTCTTTTGACGAGATCGTTAAGACGTTGCTTATTGAGACATCAAAAACGAGAATAAAATGAACGCCTCAAGTCCTAATATGGATCTTCGATAATTGCGCCGCACAATGATGCAACTTTGAGAAATGATTTATTATATTGAATCGTATTTCCCTTTCCAACTTCGTTATTTTCATTCATTCGATCTAATTCAATCATCTTTGTCAACTTTCATTCAAATGAATTTAGAGGAAAAATTTCTGCTTTTGTTTTATTACAAACGGAAACTCGTTGGATGTGCAAGCATAAAAAAGCAGTTAAAGACGAAACTTAGATCGTCGTTTCATGTCATGCAAAAGGTTCTCTCATGCTCGACCTTTGTGTGCTTCAAGACATTTATCATTCTGATTTTGATTTCTCCATCTCATCGCGTTAAGATTTCCGCGATTTTAAACACTTTACGAGTGAATCTAAAGTCAAAGTTTTTATGATGAAGTTCTTCAGAAAAACTCACTCATAAAAGCAACACCAAAGTCTACCTCGTTTAATAAAACGTTTATTTCTTTTTTGCAGAATTTATGGTGCAAGACGATGCTCGAAATGTTTAGCTTCAATAAGTTCTTCCGAGCTTGTGATGCGTGCACGACACTTGGTGTTCCACATTCAATGCTTTTCGTGTGCTATTTGTAATCAGCTGCTGAACAAAGGAGATCAATTTGGTATTCGAAGTTCGGCTGTTTACTGCAGGTGAGTTTTGTCTCTTTGCGTGCATTTAAAAGCCTTAAAATTGAAAATAATTTTACGTCTCTAATTGAAACGAAATTTTTAATCTTTGAAGGTCACATTTTGACGTTTCGATTGACCCATCTACGCCAAGCCCCTTTCCTTGTTCATACACTCCATCAAATCCTTACTGTGATTCACCTAATGCGCCATCAAGTCCAAGTGAGCTGTCAAATCTTGAAGGCGCTTTCTATGGCACTCATGCTCAACACTTGAGTTCGTCGGGTTCAAATACTGGATCGATTACGGGACTACCACAGCAACCTAGACAAAAAGGTCGTCCGAGAAAGCGAAAGCCAAAAGACATCGAAGCTATGCCAGCCAATCTAGGTGAGTTTTGTAAGTCTCTGCAATTCTTGTGTAGCTAATCTTATCGCTGAACTTATTCCAATTCAAAACATGTGACACATTTCATTTTTCCTTCTCATCTGTTGTCATTAAACTTTGTTCTCAACTCATCTCATGTCAACAGCGTGAAACAATCGATTGAAATTCAATTCGTTTGATGTTTCACATCACATTGAAAAGCTGTCGTTTGTTGACTTTGAAATTTGAAATTTAAAAGAAAGAAACCAGAAATGTTTTAGCAAAAAGCACTTCGTGAATTAATTTTTTTTGTGTTAGTTGCCGTCGGTAAAGATTTTAAGTTAAATATTTAGAATATTTGTGAGTGACAGAAATTCAAAATGACTTTTTAATTAATGACAGTAATAAATATCTGATGAGCATTTAGCAACATCATGTTGTCAGCTTCCGTTTCGAGAATAACGTAAAAAAGTTGATACATACGCAAGATATCTTTAATTGTTAGTTTACATAACATTAAAGGTCACAATTAATTGCGATTGTGAAAACCGATGAACTTGAACATGCTTTTACTACTTGCATATTTACCGCCATGCATCTACATCAATGTTGCTTCTCCATCCGACAATTCTCAATCTAACTGAAGCAAAACAATTAAAGTTGGCTGAGAAGTGAGTAAATGAGTGAGGAAGACTCTCGAAAAGGCGAGCAAATGAACAAACTTGCCTGCTATGAATGCCTGAATGAATGAGTTTAATGTATGATAATAAAAAACATAAAATCACCATTAATCAGATTAAGAAACGAAAATTTCTTGAGAAGTTTATTTCTTTTTATGAAAAATGAGTTCTTTACGTTGAGCGTCAGTCATGCGGCATGTGAGGAAGCAACTACAAACAGCAAGTAAATTTAAAACAATTTTCTGCTGACTTTTACTTCAACGACTCTTTTTTTAATATTTTTTCTGAAGTTTGTGGGAACATTCATTAATCACGTCGAATAGTTTGATGGATGAGCGTCAGTTGAAATGATTTGTTAGACATTTTTAAGTCACTAAATTTATGTCTTATGTAACATTGAAGATTTCTTAAACTGTGACGCTTTCAATGAATTACCCACGCGAGTAATAAAAAAAACTTAAAATTGAAATGAATGCCCGATAAATAATGGAATTTGTGTGTGCATAAGACAGCCGAGAGAGCAAATGAAAACAGTTAAATCGGATTAAGTTGCTAATCTGCCATATCGCGATTTAACAACAAATTGCGTAGCTGTAAACAAATTTCTTAAATACATCCATGGAAAGTGACAAACATGAAGACATGGAGAAGAGACACACATCAAGACTGATTAAGTTTGTAATTTATTCAATTAAGAAATGAAGTGGAAAATGTTTTTACAGCTCTTCTAACTCTCTTTCTCTTCATCTCTTTCATTTTGATTGATTTTGTTAAGAATATTTGTTGTGCTTGCTGAAAGAGCAACAAGCTTCAAGTATCTTTCAGCAAAGAATGAGGAGAAGAAGATGAATATCTTCTAAGTTTGACAAGAATTCGAACTGATAGATATCAATGTTGCTTTTGACATCATCATTCGTCACAAGAGTCTGAGAAAAGATAAAAAGACGAATGATATTCAAAACTCGTCTTGATACTTGAATGAGTGAGGGAGGGAGTGATGTTGTTTATAAATATTCATTGATGATGCTCGTACAAATGATCTATTTTCCTTATGATGGTTTTAAAAATACTTTTTCCTCCATCAAGTTTCTACCAACGGTCGCACTCTCTCTTGATATTTGGTGTCAGTCGTGTAGTCGCCAGATGTCTGATAATACAATTGTTTGATTGGTGTGAATGACTGGTTCTTTTGTATATCATCGCTCATCGCCTCGTTGCTTTTTTCCTTCTTCTTCTACCTCAAATTTTTACATATTTCGCGTGACTTGTCAGTCGTCTGACATTTCAAAGTCGATATTTTTTAAGACATCTTTGACTTTCGTAATTTTCCTTCATTTAAAGGAAAAATAAATATTTTTATGTCTCTCTACAACAAGTTGAGTGAAATCATTTGTTGCGTTGAAATGTGACAGACGGAAGTCCATTTTTTAAGTATTTATTCATATTATGTTTATGATAAAAAGGTTAAATTGATTTTCGTGTTCGGAAGCTCCACTAAAGCATGATAAGACCATATACAGAAGCTTGAATAAATTTTCAATCAGTCAAAATGTCTTCATTCTCTATAACAAGCTCTTCATTATTATTGAAGCAATGAAGCAACAAATTCAGTGGCACTTTAAGCATATAAATTAATCTAATAGATTTTAAATTAGTTCAAAACTTTCCCACGCATGCATAATCTGAAGTTAATTTAATTCAGCAAAATTCCTGAGCTATCAAGATTTACAACCGCTCATCAATAAATCTGTTTCCTTCAGATTGGACTCGAGATAAATTGCATGCAAGCAGAGATTCGATAAAAATTTGACGAAAGCGACAATCAAGCAAGAAGTTGAAACTTCCATGCTGTAAATTTATTGCTCCTTCTCACCGTTGGGTTTCTACTGAAAAATTCTTGTCCAATCATAAATTGTTTATTTAAACAAATTCATTAGATCATCCAACAACGAAAACTAAGTATCGGTGAGAACATCAACATCAAAATGAACTCCTGTAAAAGATATGTTTCGGTTACATGAAAAGGAAGTTTCAATCTCATATTTTCATGATAAATATTTAGATAGAAGATGATGATGATGTGCTGGTGCATAGAAATTGTTGTACAACATAAATAAACTGTTTAACACCAGCATGATAATAATCCCAGAACTTTATAACTTACGGACATTCTGAAGTTGAAATAAAACTGAAAATTATCCTTCTTCAGGCGGTGAAGGGATGTTTCGTTGCAAACAAACAACAACCCAACATTATAAATCAATCAACAATCTTTTTCCTTTTCACTCGATGTCTGTTGATAAAATGTAACATTTTGTATCCACTTTGGATTAAATATTTATGTTTATTGTCGCTAATAATAAAAGTTTGAGAAAGAAAAGTTTTAACGACGTGACCTCAATTTTGAATTGCCCCTTACGCGATATTTTATTTCTCCACTGTTTTATTATTGATAGTTGCTGAGAGAGAAACACAAATCTCACATCTCCTTTTATTAGATTGATACATGAAACGAATCATAAAAAAAGTCTTTGGATGACTTTCGAATGAAACAAAACAAAAAAAAAGTAAGAGAGCGATCGTAAACCAGCTACAATCGATTGAGGGTATTCTTGAAAATGTAGAGTAATAAAACATTCGTGGAAGTTGAATCGTTTTATGATGAACAATAATTCTTCAGACAATTCACGTTTGTTCATCAAAACTCTTTTCTTTTTTTTTGTTTCCTTCTCGTCCTCCTTAAAAAGACTGCAAGACAAGCAAGCAGAAGAGAAGATAGAAAAAAAAAAGTTGCCATGAAGATCTTTTGTTGTTCCAATCTCTTCAATTGAAGACACTGAGTCAGTAACCACAACAAGATTCCAAAAGGCGCCATGATACGGTAACATTCTTCTTTGCTTTTGAAATGCATGCGCAGAAGAATGCAATCGACATGATGGTGAACAAAAGAGAGATGGAAGAAACAATAGAGAAGAAGAAAGATGACGAACGTCTTCTTCACATAATTTTATTGTAAAGAATTGAACGAAGGATGAAAGAAAACGATCGAACTTAATTATATGACTTCATAATCGAATAAACTTACTTAGTTGGTTTGACGTAAGAGAAATATTTAATCAATCGCAATCGGTGAGAATTGAAACTCAAACCACTTGGAAGGAGCAACAAAATTTTACTTCTTCATAAACATCGAGGTTTACGATTTTAAACATGCTATACTAACAACATCATATCACGATAACCTCGTATCCATTTCACTAATAATTCCATCATTATAATTTCAAATTTAACTCTTCGTCGGGTAACTTGAGAATAATTTTCACTACCGTTTAAGTGCTGAAGCTTCCGAACGATTCTTGTTTCGTGCTTGCTTCTTTCGCGTGGCTTTATGGTTCAAGAATACTTAAATAAATATTTTTCAATTCATGTGTAGAATCATCAGTGATGTAAGAATGATTTTTTGAAAAGAAGGCAAACCGAAATGAGTTGAGAATAATCACAAAATAATGCTGGCTCATGGTAGCCAAAATAAACGGATTTAAATAGCTGTGTAGTCATCATCGTTGAATTCCATCGCAACTAGAATCGACCTGCATTCATTTTTTGTATTTGCCATCTCATCATTTAATGTTCTTCTCTCTCTGATATTTGTGTGTCTCTAAGAAAAATAATTAAATAATAATCAAATGTAAATAAATCATATTTATGATAAAGCGAGTCAGCAATCTTTAATCTTATTTCATTTTTCTTTCATTTCTCTCCATTCAGATTTAAATTCTGATTACATGGATTTGGGTTTTGGTCGTGGCAGTATGGGCAATGCATCATCACGTACAAAACGTATGCGAACATCGTTTAAACATCATCAGTTGCGTACAATGAAATCGTATTTTGCAATTAATCACAATCCGGATGCCAAGGACCTTAAACAATTATCACAGAAAACTGGATTACCGAAGCGTGTTTTGCAAGTGAGTAATGTTTGAAAATTTAAGAAATTGAAAGATTGAAGCAACTCCTGGAAGTTCATTTTTCATTTTCTTTTGCCACATGCATAAATTTCACAATAACAACGTGCTTATCTTTGATTTATGCTTTATAAACTTTTTTTTGCAACTTTTTATGAGCATTCAATGAGCATTTTGTTTCATGTTCTTCTCCTTCTTCTCATTTCGTGATTACGTTTAGGTTTGGTTTCAAAATGCTCGTGCAAAATGGCGCCGAATGATGATGAAACAGGAGGGAAAAGCGATAGATGGTGAGAAAGGCGAAGGTTCGATAGATTTAGATACGTATAATCCACACAGCCCATCGTACATGCTTGGACCACCATCGCCCACATCAATGGAGTAAATCTCAGTCTTAGTTTGTCTCACACATCATCAGATAATCACAACACATGAGAAACGTTCAAGTCTGAGTCATTTGTCTCACGATAAATATTTTTGTCCCCGTCTCCGGAGATATCAGCCACCATCTCTTCTGTGCTTACTCAATCGAAGCATTCAACTAGCTGCTGCATGAATATTTATAATGAAGAACTGCAACACGAGGCACAAGACCCGTGAAGTTAAATAAATTAAAAAATAAAAATCTTCACTTCAAAGTGTTTTTTAATCAAATAATTTTTTTCTCACTTCTTTTCCTTCTTTCTCATATTTTATTATTTTTGACAAATAAAAAAATATTTTAATTATGAAGTGAGACGCTATAAAATTAGTTTGCAATTAAAATAATTATAATGCAACAATATTTCATTGCAACTTCACTGTAATCGCAGTTGTGGAAAATCCTGCACTGCAAGAAGCTGTCAAAGAAATGAAATAAAATAAAAAATTATTCATTTTAGTTTAATTTGTAACTTCTAACTGTACCAGTAATTTCAAATTTATGGTGTTAATTTAATTAATCAATTAATTGCTGTAATCTCTTTCACATCAATAAAACAAAAGTTAGACGTGTGTAAAAATTTATGAAAATTATTGCGTTAGACAATTAAAAGATATTTAGTGAACACAATTAAGTTCTATTTATGAATTCTTTTCTGTTCTCCTTAAAATATTAAACATAAATAATTATGTAGTGTGATAAGATGAATAAATTTATGAATGAAAATAAAAAATTTTATTCAATAGAAATTTTATTTCTTTTTCTTTGTGTCTTAAAAATCTAATGAAAGAAAAGGCCTTGAAATTTTACTTTCAGCTTGTCTTGTCCGGATTCCCAGACACATCTACATAATATAATAATCATGACCTGTTGTTAACGTCAACCAAACAGCAGCTATGTATTAACTATCGACAACTATTCATCATTTCTTATTAAGTTGAAGTTGGAAGTTCTCGACGTGTCTACGAAGAAATTTTTGTCTTACGATCTCTCGAACATAACATTCTTTAGACAACTCATTCAAATGACTATTGTGAATTATAAAATACTATCATTAATAATCTCCTTTTATTGCTTGATCACGATCTAGAATTTCGACAGAGTTTTTTTTTTCATTTTCATCGTCTATCGTCTTGGGAAATAAACATAAATACTGCGAGATTGAGAAACTCGATTGAGATATTCTCGCGTATTTATTCGAATTCTATTCTAGACAATCAACTTCTGAAGCTGCTGATTTTTAAGGTCAATATGACTCGACAAAGAAAGAACTAAGCATAAGGTAGAAAGGAGAGAATTATGTTAAACAAAGATGAGATGTCTTACCTCCGTTCAATAATCAACCATAATTAAATATTCTTTCATTTCTCATTCTCCGAAAATTAGACAAAAAAATATTTGATTGTTGGAATTTATCGCTACTGGAAATTATGACGTGTGCTGCATCTTTGATAATTGAAAAGCAGGTAGGGAAGAGGCTTCCAATCATTATATATATCTCTCAATTAATGATCATAATGAGAGATATTTTCTACGAGATTATTACAAATTTCGATAATTATTATAATCTGATACTTTTTTATGCAAGATCTGCTGCTGTTGCATAAAATGTTTGTTGTTTAAATTGAAAAACTTCGGGGCGAAAACAGAAGAAAAAAAAATTATGCTGACTCAACATCACCAATGACTTGCAGCGGCATCAAAAGACGAGCATCATCCCAATTAGTCTTATTTCACTTTCGTTCATCTTCAACAAAACAAGGATAAATATTTCACTTTAACTGACTTCAAAGGAAAGAAAGTAAGAAGATCGCTTGTTATCCTTAGATCGTACAATGAGGCGCGAAGGTTCACACGTAACGTCAAGTGGAATGTTTTATTGTCTTCGTTATACTTTCCCCAAACCTTCTCGGCGAAAATTATAGAACAGATTCGTTTGTCTGAAGAAGGAATGACACCAACCTGTTATTAAAGTTCTTCATTCATGTCTTATGACTGTATTTTCCTTTAGGCTTGTTCCAGACTTGGAACTCACCAATTCGCTGTCTCATTTTGTAATGATATGCAATTAAATGAACCTTATAATTACAGATTCCACTCCTTGCTACCGTATTTGAGTCTTCTTTCTTCTTCTCATAAACCTTATCGATTTTTAAACAATCAAAATCGGAATGTCTTTACAGGCTTTATTTGTTCAGATGATTCATCAGCTTTTCTTTCATTCTTTCTTTTATCAAAGACGAAAATCATCTTTTCAAGTTGGTGCAATTGAGAAATTTTGTTGCAACTTCAAAGTAGAAATTGGCGAGAAAGTTAATCATAATTCGCACCTTCATATTGGCCACTCATTGATATAAATGATAGTCAATCGGTGTAAGGATTTGATTTGATTTTAAATCCAACTTGATTACAACTTGCTTGTTGTCTTGTCCCGGTCTTCTGGTTTGCCTTTGGCAATTCAAAAGTTCTTCTTGTGCTTCAATTTCGAAGCCCGAAATTATTTTTCTGTGTTTTCTTCCAGGCTGAGTTTGTCGGCAATAAATATTCATGGCCGAAAGGTAAAAAAAGAGAAATTAAAATTAATCAAAAGCAATTTCGTTTCAATCATTTTAACTGCAACTTCAGAAAGATATTATTTGTTATTCGATTTCTTGCAGTCAGTCGCCTTTTTTTCTTGCCTTCTTTTATGTTTTTCATCTTCTACAGTTTTTATCAGGTCATTTGATGATTTCTGTGGAAACTTTATTGACACATATATCATTAAACTCTTATAACGGCTCAAATCATTTTCTCTCGTGTTTCTTTCGACTCGATTTTGCTTCTGCAGGCGACATTCGTCGTTTATTCAACATTCTGTTGTCACTTTGAAGTGAATAAAAAAGTATCAAAAATAATGAGGATGATTCAATATAAGGATGAGCAGAAATGTTGTCAAAAAGAAACTTTCTTTGTTAAAGTTTTTCCTTTAAAAGGATTTTCATTTTTGCTTGAGCAACTCGAAACGGAAGAAAATAAAATTATTCCAACTCAAATGCATCAAATAGATATTCATAAAAGAAGTTTTCTCCTTTCGTGGAAAATCTTTGGGAAAACCTAAAATGGTGGAATAAAAAAAAGGAAACTGAATGAAGGGCGTTGAAACGCGCAGCTACCGTAGAAAGAAAGCGGCTTTTAATGAGGTCAAAATTTATTTTGCTCTTGTTCTTGCATCAACAAAAATAATTCAAGTGAATTCCAAAAACCTCTCATTTATAACAAAGGTCACGTGCACTGAACAAATTCGTGTATTTTTTATGGATTTCAAGTCTTTTTAATAAACCTACTTTAATGTTCTTAGAGAAGATCGTCTGCATTGTATTTCTGTCAACAGCTATCGCACGTGCACAAAACAACTTCCGAGTATTCGCAACTGCACCGCAGCGGGTGGAAATTTCCAACAATGATGCAACCTTTACAAGCGAAGCTAAGGGATAAACCTTAGGTAGATGTAAAAGAGGAAGGAAAATTAATTTCCCTCGCTTCTCGTATATCAATTTTCATGTTTTCGGTGGAAATCATTTGAATTCTTTTCTTATGTCAAGAAATTTCGGATTTAACTTCTGTCAAGATATGAAACGTCATTAAATATTTGTCTGAAAGGATAAAAAAATGAAATGAAATGAAGAAGGTACACGTGATAAATCAAAAGTACGCTCAATGCGTTTATCTACTTACTTAAAAAACATATTTGATGACTTAGATATGTAGATTTGATTTTGCTTTATGCTTCACAAAGTTACAGCAAATAAAAGAGGGTTCAAAGATTTTTTTTTACAATTTACAAGTCCGCAGTGCACACAAAGGAAACACAAGAGTCATTATGTATGCCTTGCAATTAGTTAGCATTTGATGCGTGTCAGATTATGGATATTTAGTGCCTTTTTATTGCGAGCATATTTTTATTTTCAAGTAAATATGTTTTATGTGAGGGTCGTAGAAAACTATCAACAATTTAGCTAAAGCGTCTAGTCTCATGTGCAATCAATTGATCATTTCTGTTGTCACTCGGCAAATAATTTGTAAGTTTTCAACAGATTTAAATTATTTGACCATAAATTTCATGCTGACATTATTTCGAATGTGATTTAAATTATTTGTCAGTAGTGGATGAATATCTTAAAAAATTTAAATGCAATAAAATCTGAAAAGCCTTTATGAGTGCAATTAACTTCTAATGTGGAATGGAAGTGGAGCTCACACTAAATTGCTAGGTATATCGTGTTCGTTTTATTTAAGAGCTCCACTGCTGTTTTCCTAGGTAGATAGAGCAGATTTTACAGCATGCACTTAAAAATCAGTTTTATTATTCAAATGTTGCTTTTTAATTGAGAATGGAAATGTGTGTTTGGTTTGGAGTTTGCTGTATCATTAACATCAAATAATTCGAAAATATTTTTCATCTTAAGCATTTCCTTCCCAGGCGCTTGCTTAAATGAACGTGTAAGAGAGGTAGTGACTAAAGGCATGTACCGTTTAAAAGATTGGTAGCACTAAGTCAGAGTAATTTCTCATTGAAGAAAAGAAAAACAAATTAAAGAAAAATATATACTCGAACTCGTAAATTATACAGCACCGAAATAGAGTTTTAACCAACTTCGGAAGCCATTAAAACGTGAATTTAATTATTTTCACTTTTTTCTTATTTTCCGTCTCTTTATGAAGTCATTGAAAAAGGTGAAGAATCAGCTTTGTGAATGAAACTGATTTAAGTGAAGAAAGGCGCCAGAACTACTCGTTGTATGTGAAAAGTCCAATCGAATATCGCCAGATGATTTGAATTTGAATATTTATGTGTGGCTGATTTTAAGAATGCTTCAATAATTACATGTTCCACTTCCTGCCGGCCTCACATTCGTTCATTCTATCATTGTCTATCATTCGAAAAATCGTTTTTCTTCATAAACTGAGATTCGAATCACAAACTTCTTTTAAGGTCTATTAAACACATGCATGACCCTTTAAGGAGACTCAAAATTTAAAGACACGATGGCAAAAATAAATGTGTTTGAGTCTCTCAGACGCGAAAGGAAAATATTTAAAATTTTTGGAATTAATGTTGCGTAACAATGATCTTGTTGTGGTTAGAAGCAAAGATATTGATATTTATTACTTCCCAGTGAGGAATGTTCTCAAGAAGAAACTCTCAGACAAGATCGCAGTAGAAGTTGTGGGAACGTGAATCAAAATATTTAAATTTAATTATTAAGATTAAGTAAAGTCGATAGAGCACAAAACACTTGAAATTTCTCTTCGTAATATGTTTCCATTCTCTCATCCTTTATTTAGTCTCGCTGGGCGTGTTGAAGGCGTTTCTTTTCAATCTTTTTTCCGGGAATGAAGATGAACATTTCTTTAATTTCCAGATAAATCATATCAATATTTCATGAGTTGTAGCATCACCAGACGCGAGTGTTTTGAGAAAAGTTATTAATGGCCTTTCCCAAACAGAAACAGCAAAAACACAGAATAAAAACGCAAAACATGTGTAATGCTCTAGTTACATAGTTTATGAATTTTATGATGATTTATGAGTGAAAACGACATTGGAGACGCATAAAAGTTTTTTAAAAAAACAACCAAAATTTCTTAAAAAACTTTGACGAGTTTTTCTGGACGAAACTTTAATACAAATCACTTGTCAATCGCTAATCAAGCGAAGCTTCTCGAGAAGTGATTTCTAAAATTGGAAGCAATCATGTCAGCAGTAGAGAAGGGAGATCACTAAATCGATAATAAAGAAATAAAGATGTCACCTCATCGTGAAAATTGGAACGTTAAGATAGAAACACTGTCAATGATTGCTGGTGTTTATCGATTTAATCTAAATTTTCAGCTACCCACGCCCTTCGTTTGATATTCTAAAGAAATTTAAAACAAGAAACTTAATCAAACCGCCAAAGCTTTCTTCCATCATTTGTATTCTAATGAAGTGAATCTTCAGATGCTGCAAACGTACAACACGACATAAGCCTAGAAAGCGTTCTTGTGAGTTATTGATGATAATCAAGTCATTCGTTAGAAGTTGAGCGCAATAAAATTTAATTTTCTTTAGAATATTTACATCGTCTTCTAGTTTCTCACTCAACTTCAGTTACATCACATCACGTTGACTGTTGCCACTTATAAATGCAGAAGACTTAAATATAAATAAATTCATAAGCAACATGAACTCGAAAATTTTAAAACATTTATTGAAGTCTACTTTCATTGATATTTATGTCCTCGAATCCCATAAAAATCAAGATAACAAGCGGATACCTCTAAAAAGACACGATAAAGTCTTCAAGCAGTGAGCGCGCCGATAAAAACACCGTCGACTATAAATGTTTTCATTTGGAAGAATAAACCGTCGAAGTTTATTGATTAAGTTTCTTTTTTAAAAGAAAATGAAGAAAAGAGCGTTGAAAATTCTATTTTTGAGTTGAAAGTTAATCTGTTTTGTTGACATGGAATTTTTAGGATATTAGAAGAGCAAACAGTGGCGTGGGAGGAAGGAGAATAAGTGGCGCTTAAATGAACTTTTCTCTTAATCAGACAACGAATTTCTTTTCTTCCACCTTTGAATTTATCACGATTCATATCTAAAGATCAACAGAACAAACAGAAGAAAGAACACGAATGAAGAAGAAAGATATCATCCACCTTACATTAAATCGCTTCTCTCATTTGCATAATCTTGATCGCGATAAAAATTCCCATGCTCGAAAATGATAGAAAATAAATTAATATAAAAAACATCTCAATCATCGACTGTTTGTGAAAATTATAGCCTGTTCGATGTTGTTATGTAAAAGAAATGATAATTTTTGTGAGATGTTTAAAAATGAATATTTTTCTTTACTTTAAATTCGTCAAAAACCGCCTGACAGTGATGAGAATGTTTGAAGCGATTGAGTGAAAAGATAAAAAGGAATTGCACAATTAGACTTCCGTATAAGTTTAGTTCACACTCTTGTAAGATAATCTGACATTTTAATTCATGTTGAGTGTGATATTGATTGTTATGTTTCACTTCACATAAATATTTGCTTATGTCCGAAGGAGAAAGAGAGTCGTGCGTCCTAAAGCATCATTGTCGTAAGTCAGAAACGAAAATGAATATCAAGTTAACATCATAAACCATTGGAGTGCCATTGAGATAATCTCTCGCTTCACTTTGGTTTCAAAACAAAGATTTACGATGTTTGACACTGATCACTTGAAACTGTGAATCTCTAGAGTTGCCAGAAGTCAGATTAACAGTCTTAATTGCTTTCTAGTTGAAGATTGAGTTTCTTTGTCAATCTTCTTTCGCTTCATATTTCAAGCAACCCCATTTTATTGTGTTAAAGACGATAGATTGAAATCTGATCTCTAAAAATACAAGAGCTAAGCCTATTTGCGGTTAAAATTCAATGTCTCAAGATCTCTAAATGTTTGCTGCAATAATAAACATATTTCATCAAATCTTATTCCTCTCGTGTCGTGTTCTTTTTGAAAAGTGAAATATATGCAAGAAGAAAACACCCGGTGCCGCATCAATTCTTTTGAGCATCAAGTTACAGAGTTGCTGTTTCGGGGCCAAATGAAAGAAAAAAACTTTTTTATGTCGTTTTCTTTTTTGTTCAGTGAAATATGTAACATTGATATACTGAGATTGAACATTTTTCGTTATTTCTTTCAGTCCATGCTTCCTGACAGCAGCCTTTAGTGCATTGAAAATCAGGAAGAAGGCATGAAAGAAACATTAAGGAACTACATTTTAACCGAATTGATCTTTGAATGGTTGACATTTAGATACAAAGTCAAATGATGTTCAAATGATGGCGCCGAAACTTTATGGGAATGAAAACGACGATAATCGTAAAAAAATTTGATATTATCACTGCTACTTATGTTCGCAATAAGCATAACTGGAATATCGTCGTCCTTTACATAATATTCGTGAGAAATGTTTATCGTCAAAATTTGATGTTTAGTCATTCACTCAACCACAAAATTCACAATTTAGTGCTCAGGTAGATAATAAATCAACGCACGCTTCCAAAATTAAATAAACAATCAAAAAGCCTTTTCTTCTCATTTAATCGCAATTGTTATTTATATCGACACACTGCTTCATAAATCATCTAAAAACATCTTGTTTTGTTGGTCGATATTATTTTATTCTTTGAGATCTTTATCAGATGTACATTCATCCAATCGTGATTAAGTCTTCAACCACAGAGTTCGAAATGAAAATAAAATTTATGAATCATTATCGGGTATGCTTTAAATGTCTTCTCATAAGTTGTTCTCTTCTTCACTAAGTATTTAACAGCAAGACTACTTATGAAAGAAAGAAAACAAACAAGCTGTTAATGTGCTTTGCGCGACAACAAAATTGTCTTATAAATGATAAAAATTTAATTGGAAAGCTTGCCGCGGTTACACCAACAGAAAAACAAAATAACTTTAAAGTTTCATTCACCTTCATTTTTAAACTCTTTTTTATGAAGTAAGTTAATAAATAAATATTTCAATAAAATGTTTCAATTAAACTTGTTGATGATCCTTAAAAGATAAACAGCAACAACAGTAGCATGATAAATATTGAAGACTTCTATTATTTGTGATATTAAATGGAAACATGTGTCACAGCAATTCTCTGAATGACAACATTCATCTCATATTGATAACAATCGATAAAAGATTGCCAGTCAAAATGTTACCAACCATTCCACCCTTAAAACTTTCATTTGAAACACTTGCAAAAGCAACAATCGTCTAATTAAATCAATTAGAAATAATTTGGTAGAAAATATGGTAACCCTCAACATCTGAAATTCTATCGCAACATCAGTAGATCGAATATCGTTGATAATAATTATGAAAAATGTTAACGGGGAGAGAAATATTTCCTGTTTGTATTTCAAAGTTACACATCAATGACGAGGCTTGCATGCTTGTAAAGAAGGAAAAAATTCCTACAACGGGTTGTCAATTGATAACAGCAGGGGTTGGTTCGTTGGTTGTATGGAGGGAGCATCTAAAATGTTGTTAGAAACATTTTCCAATGTGTTGATTTCACTCATAGCATATTCGTTGATGTTTATCATATTTAATGAAAATATTCACTGATTTCAATTATACCGTCAGTTGGGGTTTTTAATGTTGTGATTACACGGGTCTTTGATCGTTATCGTCAACACACTGTTGGATTGTTACCGGAACAATTTTATGAGCTGGAAACTCTGAAAGTTTAGTAATAACTTTATTTTAATTCAACCATGAATATTAATTAATTCGCAAATTTAAAAACGATAAATTTGTCGTAAATATTTCAACAAATTTAATCTCTTTTTGAGGGCAACTTTGAAAGTTTTGTAATGCTAAACAGTGACTTTGTTTCATTATTGAATTGCTACAAGTTAAAAGATAATAATAATTTTGATGGACAAGCGACTATTTAACTAGAGACGACGTAGGAAATTTTTCCCATCCATTTGTTATTTATTGATAATCAGCTGTCAATATAAAAAATCAAACAAGTCACTGAAACAGGAATCTGTCGAATAACTATTTTTTCTATCCAGTTTTTTGTTTGAATGAATGAATGAATGTTTTCTTTAATGTTCTTTTGATTATGATTGGCATTTTCAAAGTTTTATTTGTAGTGGACAAAACAAACAACGCGAGTGATTTTTTTAATATTTTTTTTAGTTCTATAGCTGGTAGAAAAGTTTTGTTAGATTTGTGTTGATAACAATGGTTAGTTCTTTGATTTGATTCAACTGAAGGTTGTTCTTGTAATAACTTCCAGACATTTTCGAGTCTGACTCGACGACAAATATTTCAATAAAAAATATAAATATTCATAAGACTACACATTAAACATTTCACGATTCTTTTCGATGATAATTTCTTGTTCGTTTGGTGTTTCAAATGTTAGTAAGTCAGTGAATAAATATTAAATAAAGGATAATATCGTATACAAGCTGTTTTCATTAAGGACCTCACTGGAAGTCAATAGTTTCAAGCCACTTGGCCTTTGAAGTGCTTCGTTATTGTTAAAAATATTCTTTGAAATGAATAATGTTCAGTGAAGAGGTTCTTATAGAAACGTCTGCTTGATGATCACGATGAGTGCTTTGAATTCAACAGCATTTGAAATTGAGACCGTACGTAATTGTGATATCAAAGCAAAAAATGTATGAGTAAACTATCCATGTCATTACATTGCGACAAACAAAAAGAAGGGAAGAAAAATAAAACATTTTTATTGCCTGTCAAAGCATAAATCGCTTAATTGTATATAATCAGCATAAACTATTAATATAAAAGTTGTTATAAAAAATATATGATCGTAGGTATAAGTGACATAAAAGTTTGATAAAGTGGTTATTACAGCAATAACAAACGCAACAACAACGAATAACGCATCGATGACATTAATTTGAGGTGCACACTTTTTATTTATTGCAGTTTTTTGGTAATTTCTTTCCCTTGAACGCAAAAAAAATGTTTTATGACATTTTCCCTTCTTATGAAATCCTCCATCGGAAAAGGGATGGTTTAATGTTACGTTTCGGGTGACTTACATTCACTTAAAAAAGCAGTGGAAACAACTCTCAATTAAGGCATTAATAACTTACAAAGGTGCAAACATTTACTATTTTTTTCACACGCATTTTATGGCTTTATGCAAATTAAATTGTTGCATTGCGCACAGTATAATTATTGCTTTGTTAAGATGACTTGATGATGTAGAATGTTGTCACATTCAACCGCAAGAATTCATAAATTATCATGTGTCGGAGAAAAAATCTCGTTCGCTTTTAAAAGCGACAAAACTTCCTTTCATTAAGCTTCAAATGGAAGGAAGATCATGAAATTTAATAGCAAACATTTTATATTTTTACTTTAAGCAATTTCATGAAGAACTGTTGAGGAAATTCAACTCAACACTCAATTCATGATTGAGAAAACTTTTGCATCACAAATTGTTTTCATTTTGCACAATAGGTCAACGTCATGTGAAGCTTTTGAGAACAAGCCGGTTTCATTTGATGCCATAAAGTGACAAATCTGTATTATATTGCACTGCTGTCACATACATCTATCTCCATCTCACTCCTTATTCTCTCATCGTATAATATTATAAAATCAGCGTTTCATTTGGAAAATCATTCCATATTCGATGAGAGAGTGAGAGAATGATTGCTACATAAATTGTCGAGTGGAAGCCAAAAATGGAAATTTGATGTTTTTGTCACTATGGGGCAAGTTTTTCATTTCGTGTCATTTACTGTTTACTACAGCACTTTTCATACAGCTTTTGAGCTCTAAAGATATTGATGCCGATGTGATGTGAAACAAATTCTACAAAAACACTTTTTCCTTGTTACGAAATCGCAAACATTTTTTATGTGCATTTTAGATGGTGACATATTTGGCGACTTATAGTTTGAAGAGATGTTTCAATAACGAGGAAAACTCAAAGCTTCTCATTCGCTCCTTTTGGTAAAGGTGAAATAATGACAGATCGATGATGGATTAAAAACTGATTTCAAGTAACAACATACAGTAAATATTTGTGGATAAATTAATTATCTACATCAACATGAAAAACTTTTTTTAAAGTTTGTTAAAAGTCTTCGACTTTATAAAATACTTTCAGTAAATATTGAATTGAAACAATTTTGACTTTCAAACAAACAACCAGCAATTTTAATGCCAACGAACGATTCAAACTGTTCTTTGTTATCGTTCAATTCATCAACCCCAGGAAAGGCAAAGTAAATTCTGACAGAAAATAAAAATTAAGATGAAAAGGTAGAGATTTAAAAAAACAGATTTTGCCTCCTCGATGAGCGCATTAATTGGGATAATCTGATCCGAGACAACGTCAAAGTATCAATGAGGGTTCTCTTCTGTATGTTTGCAATGTAGTTAGGAACTTTTGTTTTGGTTCATATCGCACCCTTCGAGATGTGACAGAGAAAAGATTTCGTAAGTTCGCATGGGAGAAAACAAATACAGAAAATCATCCATGAACATAATAGGATATTAGCGTGTTCGTAACGCATGTTTTTATGGTCAAAAGCGCATTGTAAAGTTCTCTCTACACATTTTTCAAGTACCAGAGAAAAAATCTTTTAAAGAATTTCATAGCGAAGGGTGAAATTTGTTTATTATAATATCATCATTATGTTTCAAATCTGAGAGAAGTGAAAGGAAATTCCTTGTGTAATTTGAGGGGTGTCGAGTATACGCTCGAATGAAAAACAGAGAAAAATTTGTTTTAAAACTTCGAGGGGTGGAAAAACTTTTTCAACGATTTAATCGGGGAAATGAAGAAGATGAAGAAGAAAGGGTTTTCAGTATGATATTTAAATTGGGAGAAGCCATGGCGATAATCTTCTTTTCTTGTGATTCGTTTACCATTGAATTTGGTATTCCATCGATTTTGTTGACAAAGTTAGGGTAGAAAATCGTCAGGTGCTTTCATGCCCTTAAAAAATTATTGCAAATCATTTGAATAAACTTCAAACATATGTTGGTGATTTTAACGGGTATAAATTTTATTCCTTCTTCAACTTCCTTATCAAGATTTAGAATTTTAATTTTCGACATTTTTCTGCTTGATTTCAATGAAAGATTTTGCTGATTTGGTCGCAGTCCGTTTTGTACCTCCTGAAAATATGTGATACCGTTTTCAACTTTACCTCATTAACCATAAATGGACTCAACCTTAGCATCTTCTTCAGCCTGATTCTCCTTTGCGACACAGTTCGTATTTTTTGGCAAGTTCTTTGGAAAAGTGAAATCGCATCAACATTTTTGTGAATGAAATGTAGCAACACACTTTCTGCCATAGGGAAACTGCCATTAAAAATAAAATGATCAAAAAAATAATGCTTTGTAATATAAGAAGAGAGAAAAAAGCAGCGGAAAAACATGCAAAATTCTCAGAATCTTGCGCTGATTTGCGAATGTCACAACTGAAAAAAAAATAACAACAACGATACACCGACAGACTTCTGTTGTTTCCAACATTTTTTTCTCATTTGCTTCTTACTTTTTTGCATGAAGAATGCACGCAATGAAGACAATCTTCAACTCGCGCGTCTGCTTCCGAAGAATTAAAAAAACGTTAATCGAGCGAAGAGAAGTGCAATGTGTGAAATAAAGATGGAAACTTTGTTTTATTGAAATGATGATGATAAAAACAAAAACAAAATCTGAATAACGATCCATCATTAAAGCAGATATTTCAAACAAATTGCAAAAATATCTGAAATTGGATGAAGATTTAATGTTGGTCGGCGATTTTTTTTCTCTCTTATTGTTTTAATGATCCACATTGAGTCAGTTTTGTCTTTAAATTATTAAGTAGACATTGATAATGAGTTTCTTAAATAGATAAATACATCTTAACGATCAGCAACAACTAAAGCAAATGTGAATCATTAAAAATGGAGAAAAATTAAAGCTCTAAGCGTAAATTGTGCATCACGCACATCAAAAAGATTGAATGTTGGATGTAACCATTGCGAGACTAAACACAATTGAAACATTTTCCAAAGTTATTAAACATTTTCTTTTCTTCCAAGAAACATAATCTTAAATCTTTATGAAGCAATTTTGAAGGTATTAATAACTTCAACAAATTGAAGCAAAATTTTTACCGTCAATGCTAATCATCTTTAAACCATAAGAGATTTCAAATGTTTTATGTTATTGAATTAAATTGATGATATGATGAGTGAGATGGAAATTGTAGAAACGCACATCATGACACTCCCATTTAAATGTAGGAAAAATAAATAAACATACATAAAGCTATGTAAGTAAGAAGACGACGAACACAATTTCCGTCTTATTCATTTCCTCTTTATGCTCTTCCTCCGCTATATACAAAACGAATCTTTAGTGTTTGTGAGCTCTTCAATGATGTTACAACGTGGTTGAGTGCAGACGAGTATTTACAAATTATTACACTACTGGCATTTCTTAATTGTTCTCATAGATAATGAAAGAAAAATTCATCATCACTTCGTCAATGACAAAGTCAACATAAACAACTTCCATGTTGGAAACATGTAAACATTTTAAGTGTCACTTTAAGAGTTTCATTTATAAAGTTGAAATTATTGCAATAATGCCCTGAAATGAAACTGAAAAAATTTAATTTATCTCGTATTTGAACTAAATAGTTAAAGCTTTTGAAAAAGTTCCTCGATTTGCTGAACAATCGATGTCAAGTAACACTATCAATTTGCTGGACTTTAACAAGATTTGCTGATTTTTGTAACGAATGGAGTTGCTAATGCAAAATAATTGAGGTCCTTGGATTTGCTTTAACAATGCAAAATAAGAAATAATCAGAAGAAATAATTTATTTCACATTATTTTCGTGAAATATCTACATAAGAAAACATTGCTTTTGAAAGCTCATAAAGAACCTCATGAAACGAAAGTTTTTCATACTGAAAAATCTCAAGATTTGAATTTCAAATCGGATTCAATTATTGAATGATGTTGAGAGACGTTCAAAGAAGAAATATCTTTCAATAAGCATTTATTAAATCAATGTTTTAAATTCAGTAAACATGAGATGTCAGCTTCAACTAAATTTATGTTTTGTTCAGTCTTTACTTGAAGCTTCTTATTCCAGAAGCATGTGAGACATCAAACATTCCTCCAATACATATCTTTCTCGTTTCAACGAGAATCGTGAAATAAATTTTTAAGACATAAACTTTCAATTCGATTCGTAAAACATTTTTTCTCCTTACTTCTTTCCTTCGTTTTTTTCCTACAAGTTCACAATGAATTTTATGAAAAAAAATGTCTTGCAACTCGGTGAACATCTTAAGATGCATCAGAACAGCAAAACTTTTACTGATATCAAATGAGGGAAAACTTGAGATATTTATGGAAGCATCAGGATGAAGAATCGATTCATTTTTTTCATCGTCGAAGTCTTACACACGAAACTTGAGTCTTTAATAAGAAATAAAAAGAAAGTAATGATTCATCATGCCATTAAATTGAATTATTTGTATCATCATAAACATCTCTACGTCGATTCATTTCACCGAATCAGTAGCAAAAATTAACAAATTTTGAGAGAATAAATGAAGCAGTGATGAAAGTCATTCGACTCTTTAAAAGAATTAAGGGAACTTAAAGTTCATGAATGACTAAAAAGGGAGAAAAAATGAAACATTTATGGAAGCATAGAACGCTTTGCGAAAAATATGTACAACATCAATCTCGTATTTACACGATATATAAACTTTACTCTCGTACAACATAAAAACACCAACACTTCCAAACATTCAACTTTACACCTCAATATCGTATTTCAATACCTACACAACGCACACCATCAAACATTTTCATTATGCATCGAATGATAATTTTTTTCCTACTGTTCGTCGTTTTCTTATATACTCCATCTGACTTTATCGAATGCTATTGTATAGCAGCTCAAAGAAGTTTATTTTAACTTTTTTTTTTTCGGTTTTCCTCACATAAAATATAGGTGTTGAAAAATAATAATAAAAAAACTGAGAAGATTTTTTTCGCTCTTGAATTCGTCTCCTGATTGTTGTGTTTTCAAAGCGCGGCAAACATCGTAGTGATATACATAACTTAGAATGTGCTCGCTTTTTTCCACTGTTTTCGCTCTTGCCTGACACACCGAAATATATCTATATACAAAAAAAAGAAGAAAGATTGTGTCATGAAAAAATAAGTTTTCTTTTGCTGGCGAAAAAATAGTTGAAATTTTGCTGTCGACTCGATTTGATTTTCCTCCGTAAATCTTTTAATCCAAAAAGTGTCGGTGTTAAGAAATATCAATCGGAATCGATTGTTTAATAAACAATTAAAATATTTATTAAATAAAGGAAAAAGATAAAAGAAGAAGGAATTTCTTCGAGAGAGATTAAGTGAAGTTTGAGTAATTAAAAATATTTTTGGATATACACTTAAACGTAGGAGACATCAGCTGTGAATAAATGAATTAAATTGCCAAGCAGTATTTGTAACATTGTCATCGCTACTGAAATAAGTAATTGTTTATCCTTTTAATATTTTTTATGCTATGAATTAAATTTGTGTTTTGCTGCCTTTAATGTCCTATATAAAGCAACATAAGGATATGAAAATTATGTAGTGAAATAAGAGAAAGAAGCGATGGAGAGAGAAATAATAACAACTGAATGTTTTTGCCAGAAAGAACTTTCTGTGCATGAAAAAAAAGTTTTTAATGATGAACTCCAAAGAAATCTGAAAGTGAAGCATAATCTGAATCAGGAACTTTCATGTTCTGGCCACGAACTGGTTTTACTGTTAATTTTTGTGATTTTTTATGTCTCTTGTTTATGTTTTGAAGCATGTCGAACATTGAAAATGGAAGATTCGACATGATGTTGTCATTTTGCTTTTCAATGTTTATGATGTTATTTATTTTATAGAATCCAAGACGAGACAGAAAATATTTTTGTTCAATAATAGTTAAAAACAATTAAAAATCAATTAACAGTTAAAGATTTAATGTGTCAAAAATATTTGATGTGAATCACGATTATTTTGAGCTTTAGAGACCTTGAGATCTTATCAATTAACCGTTTCGTCCCAATATTAACACTTTCATTATCGATCACAGTGACTTCCATCACATGTCAATATCTTGAAATATTCCGTCGGGATATTTAGTCAACATAAAACCATCTGAACAATTTTTTTGTCATAAAATTTCAAAAGTATTTTTCCAAATCGTCAACCTGACATTACTTAGTGTTATGAAATGTAATACATCGTGAAATTTATGAATTATTGCGAAAATAATTTATTTTGATACTTCCAATTAGCGGTGTGAAATGAGATTTCCGATTCAAGCGCAATATCACAGTGAAATGATAATTTGGGATAATTCAGAATTCATATTCATAATGGAGTCACGCTAAGAACACAGCACAAAAACAAGCTAAAATGTTTAAGTCGAAATCGAAAATGATTAATTGTCTCTTGAAAGGTTGAATTACTGTAGAAGCAACGAAAGATCGTTTGTTGTACTCAATTTCATTTCTTTTCTTTCAACTTGAGAGAAAAATCGTTTAAAATAAATAAATTTCTAACTTAAATCATGTTTTGCGTCACGTGAACATTAATTAATTATGTTGGAGCTCGAGTAAGACGAGAAAATGTCTCAATTTATTTATCAATATTTCATTTGAATTTTTCGAGACTTAAATAGGAAATCTAATTGTTAACATAGATCGAATAGATTGATTTTAATCTCTCTCTACACTTAATTGAGTCATTTCTCATAATTAATTAAATATTAAATGTTAATCGACCAGCATAATTTTTCAATTAACCTGTTGCTTTCTCGCTTCCAAGTTCACAAGTTGTAAATTGTGATTGCTGTCGTGTCGCTTTTTTTGTCTTCTTCTTAGAAAACTTTAATCGATTAACATTACATGGCAAATTAAGCAGCGAAACAATCTAAACAGTCAGCAGCGTAACAAACAATCGTGTTGAAAGTCAATAAAATGCTAGAAGTAATCAGCAAGATTTGTATCTTATTTAAATAATTAAAATCCAATAAATGTTAAATTGTATGTTGAATTAATTAGAGTTTCATGTTTCTTAAATGTTTTTTTTTCTTCCTTCTTTTATAGTCACTTGAATTTGACTAACAATGTACATAAATAGTCATTTATCTGATCAAATTTATAAAATCTTTATTAGATATTATTATTATTGTTTTGGAAACTTCTATTAAGTTCATCTTCTTTGACCTCATGACAGCTCACAGTAGTTTTGATACTCCCATCGACGAATTAATAAAGAAATTGTTGAATCATTTGATGCACATGAAAGCTTACTTCACAACATAATTGTACACGAAAGTGAAATAATTGAAATCGTGTGGAAAAATTTAAATGATTGTCGAATTTGTAGAATAGAAAATTACGTGAATATTTATTTAAGTGAACGATAGAAAATTGTGTTGATGGAAACGCACTTACAATGTTTGTCACTTAACAATGTTAAGATCGTATGGAGAACATAACTTATAAACCCGCCCCAACATCAACTGCATTAATAATAATCATATATAGACAGAAAAACTAAAATGTCGACTCAAATAGCGGATTTGATACACACTAGACAGTTGGGAATGTCTATCAGATATCAGAATGCGACAAGACAAGGCACAAGAAGAGAAAAAAAATTATAAACAAACAACAACATGTATGAGTTATTATTAAGCTACCGTTTAATCGACGTTTGTGTAATTTATTTAGTTTGTGCGTTTTTTTTCTTCTCTTTTTCATGTCCATTTGATGTTTGCCTCTCGCAACTCTAATTTGTCGGTCGGTTAAGTCCATAATTGGCCTTTCGCATAATCAGACTATTTTCGGAATGAGTTTGTACCTCCAGCATCGAATGAATTGGAGTTCATGACAAATTCCTATCATCCTATTATTTCTATTGCTGCTGTCTGGCATAATCTTAAGAATATTTTTGACCGTTAATAATAATTTAGTTATAATTCAATACCGCATAAGACAACATAATAGTCATTTATTAATTCTACATTAAATGAACAGTAATTGTATGTTATAATTCAATTTCTGTATTTATTTACTTATTTAAGAAATTGAAAGCAAAATCTTTCATCCAAGACTTGCGTTTTTCTTTCCCTTCTTTCCTTTTTTTATTTCACTCGCATCAAGAATGAACTTGGACGCGTCTTCGAGATAATTTCGTGTTAATGTGATAATAATTAATTATTAATTAATCAACAGCAACAAAGTTGATATCGCTGCTAAAGGTGGCAACAAGTTAAGCGTTTAGCACGTAAATTAACTTGTTTGCGTTTTTTTTCTTCTCTTTTCTTCTACATGACAACAGGATTTTTGAAATGAATGAAATACTGAATACAGTTTATGTTTATGATGTAATTTGTTCTGTAAAGTAAAAAGGAAACATAAACAGATTTGGAGAGACGAGAGAAGTTATAGATTGAAAGATGTTAAAGGATTTAATGAATCAAGATCAACAATCACCCGAAAAATGTTCTGGCTGTGGCACGACGATACGAGATCGGTAAAAGTTTCTTAATTTCATTTCATAAAAATTTTAATTTTAATGTGTTTTAAATTAATTTCACAGTTACTATTTATTAACTGGTGATCAAGCATTTCACATCAGCTGTTTAAGATGCTGTCGATGTTCGCAGAATTTAGACACTGAACTAAGTTGCTATTCACGAGATGGCTTGATTTACTGCAAAGAAGACTACTATAGGTAAGTTTTACGTATTTTCAACTATAAATTGAAAACTAAAATGAACTTTAAACTTTAACAAACATAAACTGCCATCCTTCAACACCCAAATTCATATTAAAAGCAATAACAACGAGTTAATAAAATAGTTTTCAGAAGCTAAAGCAATTTGTTCGTGAAAGTGCAGTGATTTGGTTGAACACGAAAAGCTATTAAAATGAAGCCTTCTTTAGGCTCGAAAAAGCAAATAAAACACGCTTTTGCTGTTGCAGTTGCTGTTGCTGCCTCTTATCATGAAACCTCCTGTGAGCTTTTCACTAATTGCTATTTTGCTGCATTTATAATATAGTGCGGTAGACTTTCGGTTCATGTACATACCTAGATTCCTTTTCCTAGAGTAGAGAGAGAGAGAGAGAGCTGATGATGATTTTAATGAAAATAATTTGTTTGGCATCGTTTTTTGAACTTATGTTGTTCACATATCCACAACATAATTCTATGGAATTATATTATGCTCTAGAGATTTTCTAACTTCAACTTCATCGACGTTCAACCAGTTCTTCATGCTGGTGTTGTTGTGTTTCTTGTTCATTGTCGTGTGAGGAAGGCGATCAAACGTAACAAATATATAAATAATAAATAAGTGAATAAGTGTTTTTCCCTTCTTTTCACCTGAACGTTCGCATAATAAATATCTAAAGTTAATCGCAAGTGATGATGAGAATTGCATTTACATGAGATGTGCTTCAATGCTTTTTCGTTTTCGGTTTTTTTCTTTATGCTTTCGTAAATAGTAAAATTGATTTATGGTGGAAAATGTATGTATGGATAGTTAGCTACGTTAAAGTGCACATAAAGATTTACTTTTAAACATTATTAGAGGTGAAGAATATCTTTATCTTGCGAGTTCTTCCAACAGGCTTATTATTAGTTGAGACACCTGCTTGAGAGTTCGAAGCAGACAAGAATTATAAAATTCTCTACTAAATATTTACTTCTTTGTAATGATAGCCACAACTGATCATTAATAAACAATTTCTTTGATTTAATGCTGCATTACCTAGAAATAAAAGAATGTTTTACATCATACGTATCATAACATTTAATTGAATACTTACAATGCATAGCAGAAAAGCAAACAAATGGCAACAAGAATACTGAAAGGAAAGGCGGATCGAAACTACTTCTTTCGTTTAAAAATAAATTAAAATACTTAAGATTCTTACTCACCAATTACGTACTCGATGCCCATAAGACATAAATAGCGTTGCATTTGCAAGTAAAATTGATAAAAACCTGATTACGAGATGCGCTTTTAAAGAAATGAATTTTTTATGGCATGCATTCAAAGTTCGAACAACCAAAATAATATTTTAAACTTAAATCGATCTACGCATGATTTCCGGGACTTTCAGTCATAAATTATTAAACTTTTTTTGCTTCATTCTTTATTTTCAATAATTGAGAATGCGTTGCTTCCATTTTGAAATGCGAAAGTTGACTTGCAAATCGTTTTCTTTGTTACAACAGAAAAAACTTCTTTTTTCTTTCCTTCCATTCCTTTTATTATTCCGTTGTCTCGTTATTTAACTGTTAACCATTTTGGTGGACGATTCTTTGCAAGCAGACTGCGTTGAAAAGCAGTGAAGAAAAAAAGATTTAAAAAAGGAACTGAACTGAATGAAAACAAAAAAAGATATCTTGAGACATCTCGAGACAATGCGAATCTCTTTCTTACATGTTTACCCTCGAAAGCAAAAATCGAAGTAAAAGTCGAATGGAGAACAGAAACAGAAGCAAAATAAGATAAGAAGTTTTGTTTGTTTAACTTAAACTTTAAAGAAGTTTCTTATTGCGCTTTCTTTAAAGGAATAAAAAGTAAAATGAATTAAATAAATTTCAATGGAAAAGTTGAAAATGATTTATTTGGAGTCTAACAAATAATTTAAAAGGAAATTCTCACAAACTTCTAAACTTTTGAATAATTAAAATGAAAAGAAAATGTTAAGAAGCTTCCTCTTATAAATCTTCATAATATTGATTAAAATATGAAAGAATCACATCAAAGAAATTTCTTTTTATGTATTTATGAAATCAACTGAAACATTGACAGAATAAAATTGATGTTGAAGATATTTTTGTCTTCTGTTTTCGAATATTTCTTCTGTCCTGAATTTATTATGAATCTTTAAATTATGAGAAATAATAGAAAGAGAAGAGTGATTGAAAAACTTAATTGAAGATATACGGCAGGGGACATTTTATCGTTGCGCTTTTCGTTTTTGATTGCAAGTTTCAAGGACACTTAACTTAACGGTTGATTTGCTTTTTTTTATTCTCAGAATATTCTCCATTCGTCGATGTGCAAGATGTGGAGCTGGAATAGGATCGTCTGATCTTGTGATGAGAGCACGCGATCTTATTTTTCATGTCAACTGCTTTTCATGTGCGCTTTGTGGTTTACCTCTGTCAGCTGGTGATACTGCAGGGATAAGAGGTGGACGAGTGTTCTGTTGTGAACATTATGAAACCGAACTTCAATTGTAAGCTCTGACGATGACTTTTTGGCTTTGAATTTTCATTTCTTAAAGTGATTTTTCTTATCATTCTCATAGAGAAACATCTAACATTCCTTTACAACAAATACCTTATTACCCTCCGACAACAACCCAACAAAAAGGTCGTCCAAGAAAAAGAAAAACCGCCCTTCAAACCGACGAAACTGTTATAACAAATTCTGATGGGAATCCTGAACATCATTTGAGTCAGGACGGTGCACTTCGTCTTGGTAAGTCAGATGTGGGAATATTTCTATCGATTTTTATCTAATTAACAGAATATAAAAAACGTTAAGAGAACAAAAGAACGTTGATGACTGTCAACAGCAACCCTTCAATGAACATGTTGTTTTCTAGAATAATTTTCACTCGCTGTTATGTTTGTTAAAGACACAAAAGACTCTTCAAAAACAACTGCAGAATATTTTTTAGAAATAATTTTCAACGTCGTGTAAACATTTACGTGACTTTTTGGTGCTTATCACCTTTTTACGCTTTCAACGGGATCGCATTGATAGATCGCAGATAAACAAGACAAAATAAAAGGAAGCAAAGAAACACTTAATGATACAAAAGAGATTTTGTTTGATATTTTCGATATTTTTTCATGCTTCACCTCATATTGGTTAATAATTCAACGAAATAAAAAATCTCACTTGATCACATTTTAAAGATTTTATCTTAATTTTTGTCATTGCCAGTGTAACACAATTTTGTTATTTTCAATTCTCATGAGGGAAAGAAAATGCGAGAAAAAAAATTATCCTTGAATGAACATCGATTGGGTATGTTGAAAAGTTTAAAAATTTTATAAAGTTTTCATTGTAAAATTTTTCATGACAACTTTTCACAACCCGTGAAATTCTCTCGATATTTAATGTGTCAGAAAAAGAATGAAACACCGCGAGCCATTTTCGGTTGCATTGTGCGATAAACGAGAATCGAATTGTGTTTGTGCGCACCGAAGTCATGCTTGGCAAAGATTTCCAATGAAAAATAAAATTGTCGCTGATTCAGGGACTCAGCTGCCGATTAATGATCAAATAAATGGAAAACTTTGCAATCCCTGTTTAAGTGTCTTCTGAAAAAGAGAAAATATTGCCATTTGCATTGTCCAATTTCAATTGATGTCATTGTTATTTATTTTATTTTATTTCTTCGAAACAATAAACAAATATTATTAAAAAGCGTGTAATAAAACAAAAGAAAATTTTTGAAACTTTTCATATTCGTTTATTTGCATTTCTCGACGCGCTCTGATCTTTATTTCCATTTTGTTAAATAAATATTAAAATTGTTAACATTTTCCTTCTGTAGAATCGAGGGAATGGCTGTTGTCGACACATTTATATTCCTGAAAAGCATCGTTTGTTGATGCAATAATCACGAGCAAATATTTGATTGCAAAAGTTCAAATCAGAATGTTTAATTGAAGTGAAATTTTCTTTCCTTTTGTTTAGAATTGATGAATGCTTCGGAGTTGAATCCAAATAGCATGGAAATGTCGTCGTATGACGGAAGTCAATCACCTCGATCGAGCGGTGCTATGACACCAAACAGTCGAAATAAAAGAATGAGAACATCGTTTAAACATCACCAATTGAGAACGATGAAATCTTATTTTGCCATAAATCAAAATCCCGATGCAAAAGACCTCAAACAACTTGCACAAAAAACTGGACTTTCTAAAAGAGTTCTGCAGGTAAATATTCAACAATTGAAGTCAAAATGAATTAATTGACAACATATTCTTTAAAACCAAGGTCTGGTTTCAAAATGCTCGTGCAAAATGGCGACGTAACGTCATGCGCCAAGACGGCGGAATCCAAAATCCTAATTGCCCACCAAATATTACCTCTTACACTTCTACCGAAATCCACACACCAAACAGCAGTGAATCTGATGCAATGACTCCTTCACATTCACACGCTCTCGAAGAGATGCACAACATGAGTTGCATGGAACTTTATTAAGGTTTATTCTTAATGGCTTTGATGGGACGAATTTGAGTTGCTTCTATTTATATGTCGTAAACATCATCAAGGTCATTAAGAGATAAATTTGTTGTCATGTTTGAAGTATTAGTGGATATCTAAAACATTTTCTATCTTAGAATAAAAACAAATGAGTGGCAATGTAACAGTCAAAGAACTAAAAAATATTTTAGTAGATTAACGCTTTCCATTTAGATAATATTGTCTGAAGATTCTTTTCTGATTATGTAAATATTTAAATTTCTTGCTAATTGCTTGCTAATTGTTCCAATTGATCTTAGAAATATTTACAAACATCGAAAGCAAATCAAAGTATTAAAGTGAATTGAGAAACAAATGTATTTTGCAAGAAGTTTTATTTGTAGCAAATGAAAGAAGTGTAAAAATAAATAAAAGTAAGAAAGCAATCGCATCAGAGCAATGTGTAAGATTTTAAAAGAAAAACGAAATGATTTTTGGTGCATGAGATTTGAAGAAAGAAAAAGATAAAAGAGACTAAAATGGGTTCGAAATTTGAAGCAAAATGAATTTTTCACGTTCAACAGTAGCCCTCGAATGGAAGTGAATGTTGAGCTACCTGAAATCTCTCTCACGCCATAATCAACAAGCATTGTCTGAATGAAACGAAACAATCCTTTAGTGATCAATAGATCACTTCTTAATTATCCCAAAATGCCTTCTAATTAGAGACACCGACTTGAATGACGATGAAAAATGCTGACCCAAAAATTTGCGCAACCACAACGGAATATCAACAAGAGAACTTGATTTATGATTTCATCTCGCTTAAACTGGTGAATGAAAATTCACACGAAAGTGAATCAAAAGCGATCAGGTAGGTTTATGCTGCGCCAAATATCTCGATGTTTGTTTTATTGAGAAGAAAACTTAAACGAAGATTTGCTTTCAGCTTTCTGGCTACTGAAATTGACATTGTTTCTTGTCTGAGGGAAAATTCTTGCTAAATCTCATTAAAATATTTTTGATGCGAGATTTCTCCCACGAAGTTTCTTCTTCAATTTTAAAAATCATCCTAGAAGAAATGTTTCGGAAGCTGGTGAATAAAAAAAAGTAAAATTTCTGCGAATTAATTAATTTTCGTTCTCTTTCTCAATGCTTAGATATTCATTTCTCTTTCACTCTTTTCGTCTTTTCTAAATTCTTCACAACAAATCTCATGAAAGTGGCCAATTAAGAATTATCAGGATTTTTATATTCTTTTGTTTCTTCTCCTTAAACTGAACTTCCATTGAAAATAAGAAATTCAATTTCGATTTTATCCTTCAACAGACGACAGAACAAAACTAACATTTGCATTCACATTTAGTTTCAGGGAATAAAATTTATGAAAAGTTTCTCGAAGCAAAAATCATGCAAATAAAATTCGACTAAAATTTGGCTGATCTAACTTATCGAATTTAAAAATTCTTTCTCGAGAAATTCGAGCAAACTTTTCATTGTTGTAAGAATAAAGATTAAGATAGATTTGCAAGCAACAGCAAAAGCTGTTGCTGCTGTTTTCTGGTCTACCAATGGTGGAATGTAAAAACGCAGCCGATTCGATTCTTTACTCAGGATATTTAATGGAATTTTTATCCAATTAACAAAACATTTCTAGCTTACAAACGGACCTAAATCAGCCTTTTTGACCACTTTACTCATCGATGTATTGCATCCGCGATCCACCCAAAAAACACACTAAAACAAAAAGCGAAGAATGTCGCAATTTTGCAGCAGAAAAGCAATGTTTCTGATAAAGAAAATGGAATCGTGGAAGCGGAAAACAATGAGAAGCAATCCCCAATCTTTGCAGCAAAACTAATTCCAAGAAATCGTCTACTTAACAATCTGAAAACAAATATTTACTAAAACATTTGTTAGAAGCAATGAAAGAGAAGTTCTGAGGGCTCCACTTAAATAAATGACAAAATTTTATGTTCCTTTTTATAAAAAATTCTCTCATATTGCACATCAATAAACTCTTCCACCCACACTCCATACAAATAGCAGTTAAATATCGCACGGAATTGAATATTTCACCACGCACTTAATCATTTATTCACTTGAAGCCAGATTCTCTTTGCGCGCGATACATAATTTATGCATCGGTAATATTTCGCAAACAACGCGCTTTACTCTCATATCGACGGAAAGAAGAAGAAAAAAAGAAATAAAAATTGTAATCGAAAAAGAAAATTGAAAAAAAAGTTGTTGTGAAATACGACGAGAAACATCGAAGGGATAAAAATGTAAAAACAAATAATTACATGAGAATAATAATCGAAATGAAATGAAATTTGAAGTGGAGGCTTTCGACTCGAACAAATATGAGAAAATCATTGATTTGCAAAAACATGAATAGAAATGAATAAACATGAAACATGATTCATACTTATGTGTGAACTATGCTGATGAATATGTGTGGAATTTTTATTATTCGATTGAGTTGTTCATGCATTCAGTCGTAGGAAGAAGAAAAGTTTTGAACTTTCATGTCTTCAATTCCAATTAAAAAAGCACTGGAAGTAGATCTCGGGGAAAGTTAAGAGGGAAGATCTACTGGAAGTAGAATTCAAACAAAAATAATTTAAATTCAAATTATTTGCATTTTACAGGAAGAAGCATCAGCGTGTCGATTAAAAATATGTTATTTATAACTAAAAGTAAGCTGCATCGATGATAAATTTATCAAAACAAACTCGATTTCTTTTACGAATGAGAAACAGATTAAGGCGATGTGCAATAAGATTGAAATTTCTTACATTTGTTTGCACTAAGCGAGAATTTTCAATTTCCGATTATGATTTATTAATCAAAAGAAGATTCCGTTGACTCAATGGTTTGTACTTTATGATCTTTAGGCTACATGCATTTTATTGAGCTCGCAAAAAATTACTAACTCTTCTCTTTCATTTGTTTTCTTCATTTTATTTATCAAAGAAAGTGTTGGTTTGAAATGTTTCATCAAAATTTGGACATTTTAAAATTATTGCCCCGGTCACCTTACAGGCTGTAGGGCAGAGAGTTAATTAAGCTACATAAGTATGAGCTTTGTGTTTGTTTCATTTGTTATAATTATATCTATAAATTAAGCTGAAAGAAGATGTTTTAACATTAACAATGAATGAGTTAATTTATGTAAATCTGCGATGCTTTTTCTCACTTAAAAACTAATCTTTGTTAATTATTTTACTTTTTTCTTCTCCCTTCTACTTTTCTTAATAAATTTGTAAAATTTAAATGCAATCAAAGCTTTTTTCTCTCTTTAAATGTTAAAGTTCATGTAGAATTAAAGATAATTAAAATAGTCTAATTGGAAATGTTTTTGTTTCAGAAAAATTTTGGTGGAAAATCCTTTAAAATTAAATAATTAAACATTGTTATGTACTCTAAAGAGTTGGTTGCTGTTTTTTTAATATCGAAGACATGGAAATGTTAAAGAGTTTAACTCAAGTATTAAGTTTATGAGTTTAGAAAAATATTAAATGAAGATCGCATTTTTCTTTTGATGGAGAACTATGAGAATTTTCTTTTACCTTTGGTTCTTATAAATCTACAAGATTAACATTTCTTCTTCTTTTCTTTTAATATATCAAAGTTTACTCTTGATCATCGGCAATCGTCAACATGATTTAAAATGTTTCTGTGTGTCAATTGAACTGTTTTTGAGTCCTTTCTTTCTACAGAAACGCTAACTATCTATTAAGACAATAAATTTTCTTTCATTTTCTTTTAAAAATCTTTCAATATTCCTTTTTTGTACATTTTAAACGTTTTTCCATTTCTTCTTTCGTTCTTTTGTTCTTAAAATAAAATTTCATAAGATTTCTGTTGTTATTATCCACTAAATAAATGTTTGGTGAATTTATCTGCTGACAAAAATAAGAATTTCTTTCTTAAATTAATTAACTACTTACTAACATTTAGTAAACTTTCTATTTGCTGTTCTTCTGTTGCTGATTTTTTGGAATTGTTGGTACTGTAGCTCTTTGATCTTCCATTCGACCACCTTGTACACGCATTATAAGTGAAAAGAAATCTTCATCTGGTAACGTGCTTCTTGGATTCACTTGATTTCTAACTGGTACATTGTTTGCTTCATTTGTTTCTGCATCAAGAACAACGTTGTTCTTTGGCAACTCCGAGCGCTATAAAGAGAAAGTGAAATGTCAATAATTAAATTGTGAATGCCAATTGAAGAAAGATTTAAATTACCTGCTCATCATAACGTGACCCTTGACATCTTTCAATCAATTGTAACATATCAGAAAACGGTTCATCTTGTTCCGATTTAATGTTGTTGTCATTTGAAGCTTCTGTGATTGGTGGTGCTGGATTCTTTTCCGATCTCTTCCATCCAGGAAGTAAAGCACAACGTTGTTCATCCATTCGTTCTGATTGAAAGTCGGCAATCATTTCGAGTAAATTTTTGTTGTCTTTTGTGGTCATGTTGTTGTTCTGTTGCACTAAAGGTTTGCGATCCTTTTCACTACTTCCAATCGCTTTCAATGTGCATCTTTGATCGTCCATTCGTTTGCTTTGTGTTCTTGATAACATCTCAAAGAAATCTTCCTCCTTTGATACTTTTGTGGGGAAATTCTCATTATTCCGACTTGGAAGATGATCGAGATCAACTGACTGCTGTTTCTTACTGTCAGGTGTTAGCTTAATCAAGTCCAATTGTTCCATTGATTGCCGTCGCATTCGATGCAATCTACTTCCACTCGAATTATTTGAACTTGTTGGAGCATTTTGGTTTTTCTGCATCAATTTCTGATGAAGTTCATTGAGCGATTCAGCATCCGAAGAATCTGGAACATTCAAAACTTTCTTGAGATCAGCAATGTTGATTCGAGCAGTTGTTTCACCAACAGGATCACCCAATTCTTTAGCCAAAAACAAATGAAGTTGAGCATAATGAAGAGCTTTCTCGTGATTTCCAATCGCCGCATGAGCATTTCCAAGCGACCAACAAGCTCTCGCTTCACCAATCTTGTCCCCAAGTTCTTGTGCAATGCCCAAATGACGTTGATGATAATCAATAGCAGTTGGGAAATCTCGCAACAATATGTAAGTGTTGCCTAAACTGTAACACGCTTGAGCTTCGACAGCTCGTTCACCAAGCTCCATAGCAAGTGATAAAGTTTTCTTGTAATGATCAGCTGCAAGTTCGAACTGTCCTAGGAAAATATGAGAATTTCCCAAATTACTGTTTGCTCGTCTTTCAGCTGCTTTATCTCCAAATTCCCTTGCGATTCTCAACCGCTCTTGATGATGTTCGATAGCAGCATTAAAATCGCCAAGCAAATAGAAAGTGTTGCCAAGATTTCCACAGGATCTACCTTGAGCCGAGCGGTCACCAATCTCACGCATTAATGAAAGATTTTGTTGATAAAAATCAACAGCTTTCATGAGTGAATCTTTAACTTCTTCAGAGTTGTCACCAGGACCTTCCTTTTGTCCAATTTGTTTGCCTTTAGCATGATAAACATTGCCGAGATTATATAAGGCTCTGCCTTCACTCAAACGATCTCCAAGCTGTCGTGCAATTGTTAAATGACGTTCACAGCAAAGAGCCGCTTCATCAAAACGTCCCATAACTTTAAGAGTGTTTCCAAGATTACCCGATGACTTTGCTACAGTAATAAATCGATTTAATGTGTAAATATTTGATTCATTTTATTTTTATTACCTTCGCCGAGTCTGTCATTCATAGAACGTGCCAATGTTAAATCGAGCTTATGATATTGCATTGCTTTTTGATAATCTCCAAGATAGAAATAAGCATTGCCAAGTTGGCTGTAAATAGCTGAGAGCGTCCTTAAATCATCAGTTCCAGCTTGAATTGCAGCCTTAAAATTAAACCGGAAGTCAATAAGATTATTTTTTTATATTCCTTGTTGAATTTTGATCCTTACTTGGAAGAATGCAACACCAGCACGGCAATCGCCTGATTTGCACAATCTTTCGCCCTCCAACGCAAGCTCCAAACACATTGTAGAACTTGCATCGTTTGTCTGGAAACGAGTTCATTTCGTATTAGTCATCAACAGTTAAACAGAAGTACTTAAAGTCGAGTCAATTAGATTAACACAATTCATGGGAAAAATGAACAAATTTCTTTTTCACAGCTCAACAATAGTGAAATTTATTAAAAAGTCTTGTTAGATATTGCATTAAACACATTCAATAACAAATATATGAATCGGGAAAAGCCATAAAACACTAAAATCGGGCGTGATTTCATCTTAAAATTGAATTTATGTCAACAAAATTTAAAACACATGAAATTTTCTTATAAACTCATTATTTACCGGATCATTTGATAAATTTTCAGCACTGACACTTAGTGATGAAGTCATGATTACTTTGGCACTTCAATTATGTGAATAAAACTTAAGAAAACTTAAAATATAATTTTTGTTGATTATGAGTATGTAAGCGGAGACACATTAATCCAAAATAGTTGAGACACTAACGAAAACAGTAAGTGTCTCCATCTCTTGTAATATTTGAAAAGCATAATATGAATAATTGTTAACGGATTTCGTAGATTAATGCTGCTCTTTATGCTCCGTATGTACCGAGAATAGAGAAATGACTAATAGGTTTAAATTGAATATAAAAAATAATCAATATAAATAATCTTTCAAGTTATCAGAGGAATAATTAATATAATCTATTGCTATTCAAATGCCACCGAATAAAGTTTACACACCAACTAGCCAATAGAATGCTTCTGACATTTTCATTGATTTATTATTGATAATCTTTTATCTGTAATTCGTAATCAATCTATTTCATTCTATTTCAAGGTAAAATTTACACTGTTTATTTTATTACAAGACTTTATGTTACTTAGGAACTGAAGAAAAATCTGAAAATGATGAAGAGTGCTATAAGGATTGGAAGACGAAAAGTTTAAAACTCTTACAAAACGTTTTCTTAACATGAAAACATAACGTGTGTTTAACACTTTTTTAGTCATTATTGTTATGTTTTTTGAAGGAAACTTAAATTATAAATTTTCCAAACCCTTAGTATGAATCAGGAGCGGAAAGCTTCGAAGTAGCTTGTACTCAATCAAAACTAGTTATACTAGTTTCTTATCAAAGCTCTAATTAATGATATTTTGGTATTGGACAATACCCTAGGAAATCACGTGGGAATGATAAGACTCTGAAAAGCTTGCAATCAAATCACATGAAAAGTTTCAATAGATAAGAAATTCGCTATATAAGTTGAAGCGCATTATACAAAATCATTCATTAATTGGTGAAACACCAAAACGAAAAGAAGTTAAATAAAAATGAAAAAGTTATTCTTATTCTTCATTATCAGTGTCGCTTGTTCAAAAGCTGAAGCTTTTGATGTTTTCAAACAACCAAAGCTTCCAACAATTGTAACGCCGAGAGCTGAGAGACGAAATCTTACAGTTCCATTAGATCATTTTGATCGTCAAAATGCTGCTGAATGGGAAATGGTGAGCTTTAGGAAGCTTTTAAAAAATAATTTAATAATTTTTTAATTCTACAGCCTTATTATATCATCGATGAGTTTCATCAACCTAATGGTCCAATATTCATACGTGTAAGTGAGGGAACATCAGGAAATTTAGATATGGGATTAATGTATGATTTGGCAAGAGAATTCAACGCTCTTATTATTGGAACAACGGTGAGGTTTTATGGTGAAACAAGACCAACAGCGTGAGTATTTATGAATCATATTGCATTTGTTGTCACACTAATTCATCGTTTTCCGCACTTAGTAACCTTGAATTAGAAAATTTAAGATTTCTGAACTCAGAGCAAGCCATCGCTGATATCGCACATTTAGTGACATGGATTAAAGAATCAAATAGTTCACTTACTGATTCAAAAGTTATTGCTTATGGTCAATTATATGGAGGATCTGTTGCAGTGTGGGCTCGCTCAAAATATCCTCACTTGATTGATGGTGTTTGGGCTTCAAGTGCACGGCTAAATGCAGTTTTTGACTTCACACAAATGCTTGAAGCTATTGCTAATACACTCGTTCAAGTTGGAGGATTGCAATGTTATCGACAAATAGAGCGAGCTTATGAACAACTTGAGGGATTTTTACAGAATCAGGAATATGAATTGATTGAGAATAGTTTGAATGTTTGTAACAATATCACAAACACAACTATTGGTATTGGAACGTTAATGAATGGCTTAGCTGTCTCATATGCAACAAGATTCACAGAAGGCCCTCCATCAGAGACTGAAGAATTTTGTGAATTAATGACGAGTGACTTGAATGATGATGATGCCTTTACCAGATATGCTCGCTACTCAAGATTAGTATTTTCTGATTGCATCTTCATTGACTATGTAGCACTTCGTGGTTTATTTAGTGCAAATGAATGGACTATGCCGGGTGCTCAGATTGGTTTCCGTCAAATATTTTATCAAACATGTTCAGAGTTTGCACGGTTTTCAACATCAAGTTCACAATTTCATCCTTTTGGAAGTCGATTCCCTGCTGAAGTATTTATTGATGGATGCACTGATGTTTTTGGACCAACGTAAGTTTTTCTTTACAAAGTTTTTAAATGTAAAAGTTACCAAAAATATGTTCAACAAATAGTTTTGACGAAGATTTTATAAGAAGACAAGTCGACCTTACAAACATCATGCTCGGTGGTGTATTAAATAAAATAAAATTGGTATTAAGTTTACATTAGGGAAAACATATTTTCATCCTGAACAGAGCCTTGATTAGAACCGCAAAAACGTTGAGACACTAACGAAAACAGTAAGTGTCTCCATCTCTTGTAATATTTGAAAAGCATAATATGAATAATTGTTAACGGATTTCGTAGATTAATGCTGCTCATTATGCTCCGTTTATACCGAGAATAGAGAAATGACTAATAGGTTGAAATTGAATATAAGATAATCAATAATCTTTCAAGTGATTAGAGAAATAATGAATATAATCTAAATTGACTTCGAATAAAGTTTACACACCAATTACCCAATTGAATGCTTCTGACATTTTCATTGATTTATTGATCATCTTTTATCCGTTATTCGTGCAGAGTGGAAACCCAATTTCTTTTGAGTGATATTGTATAAGAAATATGTGTAAATATTTAAGATGCCTTTTCAAGATTATTTTCATGGAAATGAGACATTTACTGAATATATTAGAAAGATTTTTTTCCATGAATAGAATTTCAATGATGATTACTATCTAGAATGCATATTGCTAAAGAAATAAATATCTCATTTTGAAAAGAAGTTCTATAAGAAAAAGTTATCTATGTCATCTGTGACGAGAATTTCTTGGATAAACAGTAAATTGAATTGTTGTAAAGAAATTTTTATTCAAATCTTTAAAATTGAGTCAGTTCCGATAGAATCACCAAGTGTTAAAGTGTGGTCTCGTAAAGAGAAAAAAATGAAAACAGCGTTGAGATTTTCCATAATTTTTCTTTTCTCATCTTTCAATAATCTCATTTTCGCTGCACGTACAAATTCTTTTGGTTTACAAAGTCACGAACGAAAACTGAGCAGAGAAAAACGATTTTTAATTTTTAACAACGGTGGTGTCGCTAAATTTATTGGTGAGAACGGATGAAGATTTTATCTGAATATTTAAAAATTTTATAATTATGCATGAATCTTCCCAGGTGGATATCTTGGACCTATTGATACCCCACTTTTCATAAACTGTAATGCGATTAGAAACTTTCAATATCAATTTAATGTTCCACCTAACGTCACAACAATTTTTACCAAAGTTCCGGCTCGCCAAAGAAGCTTAAATGGGGAATTTATTTTTAAATCAGATTCGTCGAGAAAAATAGCTTACGATATCGTTGAACAAGTTTTAACAAAAGAAGGAAGAAATGGTCGTGAATGTATATTACGAGCAATTTGTGAAGTCGCCGAAACGCCAGTCAACCACAATGGACTGATCGGGGAACTCGTTCAACTTTTCTTCACACCGGGAAAGCACGAGAAAATACATCAAGATTATTTAGATGCCCGAAAAGCTGGCATAAGCCACGTTAACTGCGAAAAGATTTACGCCAACTGTCCTCTCGGTCATGGTATTTTAGATTCCTTCTCTTTAATTCATGATTTTGGCCTTGGGGGTTTCGCAAGATTCTAAACACGACGTTTATGGATAAACAAAAATTTCATGAATAAAATATTACTCGTACCTTGGGAAAATCAAATCAGAAATTTGTTTTTGTCATAAGAAATTAACTTTTAACAGGTTTATATAAAATAAGTAATTAAACTTAAAAATTGTGTGCGATTGTGTAAATATTTAATGAGCGTATTGCGTTTGAGTGTAACAAAAGGAAATAAATGTTTTATGCAAATGACAAATATTAATTAAGTTGTATTGAAGTTGAAGTAAAATTATGTGTTAAGTAGTAAGAAGAAATATTCAAAGCTTTTAAGTCTCGAATTAATTATTTGTAAGTAATGCTTGTTGAAAGTTTCTTTAACATGTAAACTTTAAGCAAATGTTTCATTCTCGTCGTGAACGTTTCTTGATAATAAATCAAGTCGGATGTATGACAATGGTTTGGCGTATTTTTCCTTCTATTATTCATTTTCTTTGTTGTTTGAAAGTTTTTCAAGACTTTCCTTTGATTTTATATCAATTAAGGAATGAAAAAGGTTGTCACGATTACAATACTTAAAGGGCAATTATTTTTTATTTTCTCGTCAACTTTTTTTATTACTTTTTTCATGACTTGGGAAACTTTTTTCAGATACTTAAGATTATAGAAAATGGAAGGAGCATTACAAATTTAATATGACATTGAAAGCTCCTTTTAACCAAAAACATCAATACTCACAATACGATTAATGTTTTTCTTTTTTAAATACATAATTTATGTTGAGTATGTCAAACATGTTCATTCATCATGTTTACATTTTTTTTTTCAATTGAAGGGAGAGCAAATAAATTGTCTGAATTCATTCACTAACAGCTGAGATATTCAATCATAGAGTTGACTGGTTGTCAAAGACACTTGAAGAAAATTGTGAATTATGCATCGATTTGGGTTGAGTTAGTAACTTGATAGAAGTGAAAAACGTTTCTTTGCCAATGGTGAAAAAGAAATTCGATACATTTTGATCATCAGACAATTTTCTAAGATTTCATTAATGTTGAGCGCTTCAAGGCATCAAAATTACATCAAAATAGCTTTAAAGATATCGAAAGATTTTCCAATCGTATCTAATTTATATGCTTTTGATTTGGCGATATTCCCTTAGGATATTTAGATTTAATTAAAAAATATTTTTCATTTGATTAATATTGATTTAAGGCTTTTCTTTGATTTATTTTGTCTACTGAATTCAGAGCCATAATATTGAACACAGTTCATAAACAGGAATGCTGTTAGATAAAATATAATTAAAGTCAAAAAATGTATCAAATTATAACAAAAATATCAACAAACTCGTAGGCACGTTCTGTGATAGATTGTTGTTATCACAAGTATTTACAATTTTAAAATAGATTGATAACATTCATCTTGAAATAAAGCGAAATTTGTCAACTCATTCTCAGTACTCAACGAAGCTTCAATAATGGCACATCGTGAAATATTAAAAGTGATTGAGAAGTTTGAACTAGACAAGTTAATCCATGAACACATTAAGAAAACTGGCACCGATGAGTCTTTTTTCATTGTAAATGTTGGTGATATAGTTGAGAAATTCATTCTGTGGTATGATTTGATGCCAAGAGTCGACCCGGATTATGCTTTTAAGTGAGTCAATATTTAGATGAAAAAGATTACATGAACTTGAAAAGATTTCTTTATTCAAAACTTTAAAGATGTAACAATCATCCGTTTGTTGTTGGAACTTTGGCAGCTTTGGGTAAATATTTAATATTTATTCTTTCTTATCCTCATAATTTTAATATTTCATTCACAGGGGCTGGGTATGATTGTGCCAGCCGTGGTGAGATTGAGAAGGTATGACGTTGACATTCTCACTATCAAAATTTGTTATTATTTGGTTTTATTTTCTTCTAACACGAACAAATAATTACGAAGGTACTTGAAATGGGAGTTGGCCCAGAAAAAATTGTTTTTGCTCAAACCGTTAAACCAGTCAGTCATATAAATTACGCAAAAGACAGAAATGTTCGCCTGATGACGTTCGACAACGAAGATGAACTTTACAAGGTCAAGAAACATTTTTCTGATGCTGAGTAAGAACTTCGGACGTTTATGTGTGCTGCTCATGAATATTAATGAAAAGGTTTTTTATAGACTTTTAATTCGTCTTCGTTTCGATCCTAAAAGTACAAACAAGATTTCCTTCGGTGAAAAATTTGGTTGCATGCCAGGCGAAGCAAGTGAATTCCTGTTAAGAAAGGCTACAGAACTCAAGTTGAATGTCAAGGGCGTAGCTTTTCACATCGGCGTGGGTTGTTTAGAATACGAGATTTTCATTAAAGCAATTAAAGATTCAGCAGCTGCTTTTAAATATGGAAATTCACTGGGCTTAAAAATGGATCTTTTGGACATTGGAGGCGGATATCCGGGAAAAGAAACCGAAACGATTGTAATTAAAGATTTGAGATTTTCTGAGATGAATTTTAAATTATTTTATTTCCATTCTCATTAACTTCTTCAGACAGGAGTTTCTAAAGCTGTTAACGAGAGTTTCAGGAAATATTTTGATGGTGCTCCACTTAAAATAATTTCTGAGCCTGGAACTTATTTTACGGAGAAATCTTTCACACTCGTGGCAAATGTTCATTCAAGGAATGTGAAAATCGATGAGAATGGTGATGAGATTTTTCATTATTACATCACTGATGGTATTTACCAGAGTTTCAACATGAATTCATTACATGGAGTTGACATTGATGTAAGAACATTGAAGGAAACTCCCAAGGAGACGCCATTGAAGAAAAGCATCATTTGGGGACGTGCTTGTGACCCGCACGATATCGTCTTGAAAGATATTCTTTTACCCGAACTGCAATGTGGTGAATGGTTGATTTTTGAAAATTCTGGATCCTACAGAATCAGCACAAGTACATTTTTCAACGGTTTTCCAAACCATCCAGTTTATGGTTTCATAGAGAAGAAAATTTGGTAAATATTCTCACAATTTATTTCATAAAAGTGTTATCGTAATCTGAATTTTTATCAACTCTCAAGGGAGACATTCAATAAGATGAGAGTTCCACATATCAAGCTAATGTACGATGTCCACGAATGAAGGCTGGGTTGAGAATCAAGAACTCCAACAAATAATTTAATTACATAATCTTGCGTAATAAAATTTACTTTGAGCTTCAATAAACATAACTTTGAAGATTTTACAGATAAAGTTCTTATCACTTATTTCTTTTTAAGGGTGAAGCGTGAAATTTTAATTTATTCATAAATTCATCAAAAATGTTGAAAGAAAAGAAAACATTTATAGGAGTTTATGAGAATAATCTTTGGGATTTTGGCCTATTAATCAATTTCAATTATTTATGTAATCAGCTAATTAGAATTTCACAACATTTCACTTTTTGGAAGATTGAATTTTAATTGAGAATGAACGTTTTCTCAGTGTTAGAATAATTTTCTGTCATAAATATTCCAACGCTATGAAATTGTGGAAAACCAAAGTCATTTCTTTAAAGAAATATTTATGTGATGAATAACACTTTGTCGTGCATGTTTAATTTATAGCAAAGATATTATGAAGAATGATCTCATTACGTTTTCAAACGAGGTAACTTAAAACGAGACAGCGGGTGATGGAAACTACCTTAACAACGTCGTCAACCAAGCAAATATTTTTCGCACCTGAAACTCGCCTGTGGATGAAAAGTTTACGGTCATTTGAAAAGTTTGTCAACGAAGAAGGGTTGGTGTAAACTTTGCCAATTTGGTTTCACTCTCAACCGGTAATGAGAATTTGTTTTTGACTGAAATTTGTTTTTCTTGAAAACTTTCCTTGTGGTCATAAAATCATTGGAAGTGGTCTAATGAAATTAAATTTAATTGGAATCAGTTTTCATAATAAGTAGAAAGTTAAAGTGATTTTAAAATATTGCATAGCATGGTTTGAGATTGACGTTGAAGAAAGTTTTTGTGGCGCTGCTCCTAGTGTGACAATTTGAATGTGTTTTTCCTTACATTGTCGTTTAGATAACATTCTCACAAACATGTCTTATTCAATATAATTTCGACCACAAAATGTGGAATTCTCTTTATGCAATCATCTGTTCAATATGAAGCCTCGACCGAGATTCTCATCCAGCACATCTGATTTCATTGACCGCTTCGTTATTATTTCTATTCTTAAGGGAAATTTTTGAATCAACCAACAAAATGATTCAATTCAATTTTCCTGAAGTGTTCGCTGATGACTGGATCATATTAACGACAATGTTAGTGCTTGTGAACAAAGATGGATAAGAGAATTCAATGAATTTTCAGTATCAGAAACGGTCCCCGTCGTAAGGAAATAATCAATGAAGTGTGCAATAATTTGTTACAGTGAAAAATCATTCAAGAATAAAATTTATGATTGTTTAAAATTCACGCACAAGTAGGTTGATTGTGCTTAGCCAAATGAGTAGAGTCAAACCTTCTCTTTAACCTTTCACTTGTCATGACAATAGACTTGTTAGGAAGTAAAATAAAGTTGAAGTTTGTTTCAAACTTGACTAACATAAAAAGGAGTTAATAGAACAATAAAAGCTCTTGATGTCTGAATTAATTGTTTTCAAAGTGAGGTGTCATCAAGTTATTCTTTGAATAATTTTCATTGTAATCTTCTTTTCAGATTAAATATAAAAACTTCTTACAAACAATGATGCAAAACAAGACTTAATTAAAATGAGCTGGAGAAGAATTTTTCAAGTTAATTCGAAATTAGTTAAATAGTTGATTTCCAAACCCATCTCATTACATGTATAAGTGACTACTTTAATATCAAATATCACAAGTGACAGAATAAATAACAGAATGTTTAAACAGACAACAAAGTTTTATTCACAATCCACATGTTTGCAGTGATTATTTGATGTAAAGCTGAAAGAGTTTGCGGTGAAATGTAATGTCAAACTTTTCTTTTCCCTGTTGAAAACAACTCACTAATTATAAATCCCATTTCAACTAAATACATATATGTAATGCTTCATCTGCTTTAGCAGAAGGAATTCCACACTAGCTCTTTGGCTTTCAAATTTGTCTGAACTTTAATCATCACTTGAAGTTCAGTGGTTATTAAATTGATAGTGATATGAGCAAACAAGGAATTTACATTCATTAAATATTTTCATGGTTCTATTCTTTTCAAAATAATTAAAGATGCATAATTTAAATAAATATTTTGTATTTATGCTTTCATAATATTTACCTATTTACTTTGCTTTATAAAAGTCAAGGAAAACATAACATTGATGAACGAAATATCAAAAATAACTTTTCACTTCAATCCAACTTATGTACAACTCAGTAGAACGTTCAACGTTGGTTTCCTCTGAAAAGAAACATAAAAATCTTTTTTATTTGAAAATGTAAATCTTTGCATTTTCTTTCCTGTGTGTCAAGCACTTTTTTTTATCTTTCTCAGATAGAAACATACATGAAGTTCGTAATTACTTTTCATTAAAAGAGAAAAAATAATAATCAGAATATTCATAATAAGCTTTTAAAATTAATAACAAAAGAATGAGTATAAATTTCAAATGTCCAATCTTTTAAACAATTCTTTATAAGTGAAAGCATTTAATTGTGTTTAGTGAAAATTCTGATTCTTTAAGCGATAAGCTGAGATGAAAAAAAAGGTTGAGTAAACATAAAAATCAAACAAAATTGTAGAAAAGCATGATTTTGTACAGCCAGTGCCATCTATTGGTAAGAATTTATTGGAATTATTAGAAAGAGATGAGAATATTTCTCTTGGAAAATTAAGAAAAAAAGAGTGATACAGCATGATGTTGATGTCAACGTTTTCCGCTTTTCGAGAAAACATCTTTGTCAGTTTCATTCAAATCTTCAACGACGATAAAACGATAAAGTTGAACTGCATTTTATGAAATATAAAATATAAATAAAAATAAAATAAGAAAATACTTTCGTAATTACGCTTAGTAATAACAACAAAAACTTAATGGAATTAACATTTGTGGATGTAAATGTAATGTAATTATTTTTTTCCGCCAAAGCTAATTGCGGATGAAAATGTTTGGCTGTGGAAAAGTAATAAACACTGTTCAGTTTAATAAAAAATAAGAAAATTATTAAGTTTTTTTGTTCAAAAAATTATCAAGTTAATGTATGGATTAATAATTATTTCGAAAGTGATACAGGCAAAACAGTTTTGGTTTAATTATAAACTTTTTATAAATATTTGAATAAACAAAACTCAGTAAACAAATTACATGATCTGTGCAGGCTGTTTAGAAGAGGTATAGTGTGTCACAAACCTAAATTATAGTCTATGAATATATGTATAATGATGAAAATACAAACAAATGTTTGATTGAAAATTTTAACTGCAGTTCTCAAAAATTTCCACTTAATCACGAAAGTAAATTTCATTCACTCTTGGAATACGAGCTAAGAAAGTGTTAGATTAGCAATTTGAGAGGATTATTATGTAAATTAAATTGATATGAAAAAATATGGGTAGGTAGATGAGATTTAAGGACTAAACAGGGGAAATTTCACATCACTTGTAACGATATTCTCAGTTCTTATCCCATAAAGTTGTGCTCGATACACAATCATTTTCTTTTCAACTCTTTAAAAGACTTTTCTGTTTAGATATTTATTCTTTATATTTTCTTCTCAGTTGTCGTTCAATTCAATTTTCTTTTTCACAAACATTCTATTTTTCACACTTTATTTTCGCGAAAATTTACAATAAATTTGACTCGATGTGCTTCAAAGAAAATCAACCTCTTTTTAATCGGAGCACAACAAGATACTTCAAAAAATGAATTTTCACAGCTCACGGAGGAAAATCATGCAAATTAGATTTATTAAAAATAATTTCAATAAAATGCGCCTACATCCTTATTTTCTACATAATCTTGAGTGCTTATAACAGACAAACTCAAAATTATTCTAATTGCATTAACCCGTATCAAAATCATGACAATCAACTTCTTCTTCTGTTGATGCTGAAATTCAGTTTCACAAAAGAATTTTTGTCTTTGTTTAAGTGAAGTGGAATGGAGTTGAATTATATATGAGAAAGATAAGACAAAAAAAAGTTATTTAAGAATTCGTCTTTACTTTCATTTGATAATCGTAAGCCCACAGCTGGAGAAGAGAAACTTGTGTCACGCATGAGGGATGACAATGTTATATGAAATCGAATGATGAATTGAATTCCTCTGATACCTGAGATCCGAATACGAAACAATGTCAGTCACCCAATTCGAAGTTTCACCGTCAAGCTTCCTCACGCATCAACAGTTTGATCACAGGAAGAACTTAAGGAAGTCAATATTTGTGCATATTTACTTGGATTGACATTTGATTCGTTCACATATTGAGAATCGAACAATTTTCCATTAGTATGAATGTTTAATTTATATCGTCATAAATTCTAAAACCTTGTATGATACAGAAAAAGCAGAATATTTTGATACGCAACATGAAATTTTAATTTTTCATCATAAAAAAACTTAATGTGAATGTCTCGTATACTTACTTACGTTTTAGCTTCTAGATACTTATCTTTCCAAACGTCACTTCTTAATACACTTCAGAAGTTAATTATTAATGTTAATTTTCTTCCGAATGGAACCATAAATTTGAATCAAATTCAAACCATAATCGGCGGAATGAAATGCTGCTAATATTACATATAAACAAACATACATACATACATACATTTGTTATCTCATCAATTATTGAGATTCAGATTGTGATCTGGTTATGTCTCCAAATACACGTGTGGATTTGTAATAACAGCCGCTATTTCGGATTATCTTAGTTGCCGGTCGTAACATCAACATTGATATTGAAAACGATTCCGATTTCCATCAACCCACAACTCTTTTGTGCAAGTCACATGCTTGAACCACATATCATATTTCGCTTCCGCTGATTAATGTCAGTTTCCTTTTCACTGCTATTCACATATTTCTTATGTATGTAGATAAATATATGGAAGCAACTCCCTTGTTATATGAAAAATTGATTTCGATTTGCATAAAGTTGAGATGTGAAAAGCTTAGAATGGCGGATTTTCTGAATAATTTATTAAAATAAGGATGAAATCTTCTGTAAAATTTATTTTAAAGTCAAAGTTTACTCAACGAATTGTCATCGTTTTCCATAAAGTATTCAAAGAGAGGAAAAAATTCAGCAATAAGAAGTTTAACGTTCATTTCTTCCACTGTCAACTAAATAAAGAAAAATTTTGCACCTGCATTTTCACAATATGAAATTTTTTTTTTTAATAATAAAAAATATGTTAATGAAGTAATCCCACAGACACAGCTAACTGGAACATACAAATATGTAATGAAATTGAAGTGGAAGAGTTTCGCATCTAACTCGAAGAATTTTTTAAATCATAAAAGCTCCCTTTATTCCTAATCTTTAGCACCTCGTTATATTAATTTTAAGTCAACACCATTCACTCATTCGAAAGTTCAAATACTCTCTAAATGTCTCTACAACAATATCTATCTAGTGAAATGGAAAAAAGTTTTGCGCACAACGGCCTGGAAAATTTGCATGATGAACGCTTGCCCCTCACTTTCTTATATTTGTCTTTCTGAGTATTTCTATTTGCGTTTTATAATAAAATTCCGGGTTTCTTTTTTACACAATAATGTCCGCCCTTTTACGCTTTTATAAAAATTCTCTATATGAAAATGTGAGGTGAGGTCACATTCAACTCTTGATTTTATTAGCATTTTTATTTTCAAATGTAGGTAAATATTTCCGCATAGAAATTTCAGTTTTGTGATTTTTAATACTTTTCTATTCGTTCAAATGTCAGACGACAGAACAGAGAAGCTTTGTTAAAGCTGATAGTAAGAAGATTCGTCAACTCAATAAAATGTTATAGAAATATTTTCCATAATGAACAACTTAATATCTTGAGAGACAATTTTAAAGAAAGTATTTGTTTAATGAATAAGCTCAATGATAAATTACTCTGTAAATAATTTTTAATTCATTTTTGTTCTTGACGTTGTTTTTTTAAAGCTCTTCTCAATTTCAATGGGTAGATGATTTTTTTCCTTCATAATATTTAGTCATAGTTACATAGTTAAATTATTCTTTTTATTCTTCTGTTCCCTTCAGTAATTACGAATTAGTCACTAGCGTGAACAAATAGAAGACAGAAAATTTCAACCCTAATCGACATCACAATGACTTCGTTCAGCGAAAATCTTGAAATAAGAAGAAAATCATCTGGCATCGCGGCTTTGATGACCTTGAATTGCAGCATACCCAACAGCATTCCAATTATAAACGAACCACCGGGAGTCACGACTATTCCAGTGGATATGAAGAAGAAGGCGCTTCGTTTTGATATCAACACAGTCACCAGTGAATATGAATCTGAAGAAGTGAGGGAAAATAAGCGGAGAATTACAGACGAAATAAAAAAGTGAGTAACTGAATTTATGATAATGATTAAATTGGTCGATGCATGCTCAGCACGTGCTGCATGCTCATGGAAATGTTGTGGAAGTTGACTGGAAGTGAAGTTCAAAATATTTTCTTATTACTTATCAGTTGTTTCTTTTAAATTAATTTTTAAAACTAAATTTGTAATTTCATTGAAAATTTATTCGTTTCACTATTTCGCATAATCATCCAAGGTATTAAAAGTTTTAAATATTTTTTTTCTACGAATCCTTTGGATATGGAAAAGTTCATTGATAATGCTTCTCGTTCCATCGTGGAATTCTTTCACACACAATCAATCTTATGGTGTAGATGTGTGCGTGATACTAAGAGAGAGAAATTTCTCACAAAAATAATATTTGAGTTCAAGCGGCTGAGTTTAAATTTGAACGTCTCTGTGAAATGTTGTAAATTATTTTTTGTGGCGCTTAAATTAAATTCTCAAGAGGTTAGATATTGTAATTAAAATCATAAGCAAAAAAACTTGCATAAAATATAATTTTATCTCGTTTGGATTTTTATTTTCTTTACAACGCGATGTGTTCAAGAGTGAAACTCGTTTAAATGTCGAGACGATGTTAAAAGAGAAATAATAATCAACAACGATCAACTTATTTTGTCACCTAAATATTTTACATAAGAAAGGCCTTCCTTTAAATTCGTTGTGTCTCAAATTGCAATATTTCTTCAGCTGTTTAGCAACAAAATATTTATAGTGATAATAGAATAAAAAGAAGTCGATTGTGAAAGCTTTTCAAACGAAGACAAATATTTGCAAAGATCGGTGATGAATTTCGACCAATAATTATTCTTCAAAGAATGCTCAGAAGAATTTGTAAATAAACAGCATGTTAAATATGTTTATGGAGTGATTAGTCATAACACAGATACCGGAGAAGTTTGAAAAAAAAATTATTCACAAAATGTTGATAAATGTGAACTCGTGCATTTCAGCTGTTGATGTTTCCGATTAAAACAAAAGTTCAAAAGGAAATAATTTATTTGACCTTCACATTCTCTGTTATCAGCAAGTTTGTTTTGGTGTCCAATTGCATTGTAATTTCAATATTTCTCTTTCTTTCGATTTTGTTTTTTTTTTCGACACAGAGAGAAACTCAAAGAAATTTCAAGAAATATTTTGTCATACTCTTAAGTGGCATGATAACAATGTCATTCATGCAGCTATAACTTTCTACTAGAAATATCTATCTAAAGCGGAAAAAAACATATTGCGGCAATTAAAAACTTTTTCGAAGGCAAATATTGATCAAAGACAAAGAAAATTTTCTCTGCTTGAATGAAAAAGCATTAAAAAATAGATCGGTTTTGTTTCACTGATCTTTTCTAAAGAATTTTGTGAGAGAAAAATGAAAACAAAAATTCTTTTGTTTCAGATTATTGTGAGTGAGATACTTGACGAGAAAATCAACTAAAGAACAAATAAAAATCTTTTGAAGACTCTCAATTGAAAAGCGTTTGAATGTACAATCAATAGATTTATTCTCTCCCTAACTCTTCTAATGTCAGTCAAATATTCGAGCAATAAATCAATTGTTTTGTCGTTTATTTCTCTTACACAGCTCATAAATTCACAAATACTTGTCTTTCACATAGAAATCTTTTTATTCGAGTTTAATCTTAGTTATATGCCATCATAAAAAAGTAAATCCTTTGTCTTCAATTTTGTGTTTTTTTCATCATTTTTTGATTCAATTATCAACATCAAAGAAGAAATGGATTTTGAAAATTTCACTCAAGATTTTTTATCTTTCAATTCCGACATGATGTATTATTGTTTAATTCTAAATAATTTTGTTACGAGCGAGATATTGGCGATAATCTTGTAAAGAGATAATCCATTACATAAGCTTGAAGAAGAAAAAAAGAGTTGAAAAGATATTCACAAATTTTATCAGCAGAACTTAATGAACTCGTTTAAAGTGTGCATGAGAGAATTAACTACTGAAATTACAAAAGTACTGATAAAACAATTTGAAACATTTATTGAACATAAATTTGTGACGATAAGAAGTAGAAGTTTAAAAATGAGAGTTCTTCAGTGGTGGAAGAAATGTCGAAAGATGATAATTAAATGAGATTGAGGTTCAATGACGGCGATAATTACTTATTAACACAAATAAAATGATTCATATTCATCTGGTATGATGGAATAACACAACATTCAATTAGCGTTTCTCTTCTTTTGACTCAAGTTTCACGCTTGAAGTATTCTTTAAAAAAAGCTGCTTATTACCTCGATAGGACTTCTAAGATTAAATATCTTCTTTAAAAAAACATTCAACTCATAATTGTAATTGAAGATGCTTAGTAATGAAACCAATCTTTATTTGCCAAAATTTTCCACTGTATCTCCACATTTAATAATAAAAATTACTACTCACAATTATTGAATAAAATAACAAAATAATTCCTGATTGAAGTTGCTTACATAGATTCACAAAGTCATTTGTCAAAACTTCTTATTACCAAGGCAATCTGTGAAGTTTGAAAGTTAATCTAAGATTTTACGATCGATATTTGAAGTTTAGTGAACAATAATAATAAATTTAATTGATCAATATTGCAAATAAATATTTATCGCATTCAATGATGCCGCCATAAAACAAGTTCATTAAAATAGATTTTCTTTCTGTTTTTCGAGTAAGTAGATAATCCTAACATAAACAAATCAATCTCAATACGAATTGACTTGTGACACATGCAAAACTCACTCGTTCCACCTGCTGTCCAATTCGTCAAAGTGCTTATCAGAATGACAATTAATTTAATCAAAAAAAAATTACATCAATCACCGTTATTTTTTCAGAGTTTTTTAACCCAAATACCTAAATAATCAAATATCATTGATTCAGATAAAGTCTCAAATGTACTTTGAATGATTCTCACGTTTCGCGATCCAAACAGAAATAATAAAATTAAATTTAGCGCAATGATGATGGGAAAAACACAACGAGTGCAATGAATTTGAAAAAAAAAACGCGACTGTTCTTACCTACTAAAAGTAAAAGTGATTATTTATTCTTGCCACTTGTAAGAATTCCCAACGCATCATGAAAGTTTCACTTTGATTTTTGCATTCGAATCGGATTTATTCTGACGTCATTCATTGGGTTGAACAGTTTTGTGTTCATGAGATATTCACAAAAAGAGTGAAGTGAATAAATATTTTATTCATTTCAAAAGACATGTCTTGAATGTCTCCTTGTTTTTTCCTTGAAAGAATTATTCGAACAACGACAATATAAAAGTGTCGTCCACACAATCAATGACAGTCGGTTTAAGGATGGCATCAAATCACATTTCAAAGCGAAAACCAATTCACGCAAGGTTTATTTGTCATACCTTGTTATTGAGTTGAATTTTTATTTCGTCTTTCAATTGAGAAAGATAGAGTTTCGTCATTTCAAGCCTTGCAAATTTAAAGTATTTTTAAATAAAATGAAGTTTTACTTGCTTTTCGAGACCTTTACAAACAAGCTTTACGCTTCATTTGATTGTTTATGTAGAAACAGTTTGTGAACATTAATTAATTGTGTAAGGCCTCCTTAATGTCTTATTTGCTTTATAGCAACGTTAGCAAATTCTTTCATAGTTATACCGTCACAACGATAAATTTATTCATGTCCTAATTTCAGAAATAGAGTGAAAAGATTTTTTCTATTCAAAGCCTCATTGAAAAATTTATTATTTCAATTGCTTTATTCTTAATGAAAGAAGAAATAAAAAGGACGAGAAGTGGAAGCTTAAAAAGTCGAATTTAGGTGAATTTCTTTTATTTTTTCTTAAGATGCTTCTTCTTGGTCTTTGAAAGCAATGAAATTTCATTTTTGTTTCAGTATTCTGTAACACAAAAGCCATAACCACCCACGACAGAATAAATAAGAAGATTCCAATGATTTGAAAAGGGTCCTTAAGAATTACCGATGAAAACAAATATTTCAGAGAAATCTATTCGCTGTCGGTGTGGGGCTGTGTAATGACATCCATTATAATGCCCATTGATTTTTTGTCATTTCCATGACATCCCATTCGTTCGTTCGTTCGTTCGTTCATCAGCCTTCAGCCAACAAATTGCGACTGTCGAACAAGATACATATCTTTGAATTGCGAGTAGAAAGTTCACTTTTCCAGGAAAATCGTTTAAAGTTAAAGCTCGGCTCGGAATGACAAGAGTCACGACAACTCACACATAAATTATGAATGTTGTTAGAGTTCTTTTCGGAATTCACTGAACATTTATTTCATTCTTAGGGGGTGAAGTTGAAATGAATTTCTTATTAAGCATCGGATGCACTAATCGTTTGTTGCTTTTGGGGGAAAGCTTTTATTATTTAACGAAAGTACTCAAGTAAGAATATTTGTTGTATTGGGCAAAAGACGGTGGGTGGGTTGCTTGAAAGAAGAGAAAAATATGTGTATAAAAAAAATAAAATAAACAACAATAAATCGTTGCAAAAATTTATTTCTATTCCACAATATACGAAGGAGAAAAAATTGCCTTTTCAAGTGACGACACTTTTATTTGAAAAACCTTCGAATTTAAATGTTAAACAATTTTATGGAGCTTAGTAAAAAAATGAATAAAAAGGCTAACATAAATTTAATGTCACTGAGTGAGTGCTTCTCTGTCATTGCTGCACCTTATTGAATAGCTTAAAGTTACAAACGTGGTCATTTAACTTCCATTTTATTATGAATTTACTCCCAATTGTTGAATGAAAATTTATCATGAAGCAGTTAAGTGTTTAAGAAAAAGTTTTAAAGAATTTATTATTAAATGAAAGGTTAGAAAGGAGGAATTCTGATAAATATTCTTCTCCTTCGAGTGAAAATTTCACAAGTTAATGAAATAATTTACGATTTTTTAACCCGTTGGAGAAGGAATTTGGATTAGAGAATGAGACTCAATTTGAACGTTGCCTACGCTAATCTTTTAGAAAATCATTATTCAAGCGAACTCTAATTTCCCAAATGAGTCGGAAAAGTATCGATGACGCTTTTTGTAATGATTCCTACTTAATCGACATTTTTCGCTCGAATATTTTGTGAAATTATATTCAGTAGGGGTATCCGTTTCACAATAACTTCATTTCTCATTTTGATTCGACTCGTAATCAAATCAGGATATTAAAACGTCTGTGATTGTGTTAATAAATTTACAGTTGAGCTTGAGAACATGCAAGATAGGAATGGTCATCGTTAATATTGTGGAAATAAACAAATTAACACATTAAAACGGAACCTGATAAGTGCGGAAGTGATTTTGTAAATTTTCCTCTGGTTCTCATTAAAAAAAATTAAAGAGAAAAAAGAAAAAAAAAGGAAAGAAAATCTGAACAAATGACCCATCTAAAAATGGACAATTTCCTGAGCTTGGGATAATGAGAATACATTTAACCGTGGATATTTTCCATAAAATTGTGAGTATGAAAGTTATAAAAGAGTTTTTCCTCTGTGTGTGTTGTCTTCATTAAAAATAATACCATTAGGTGGTTTTAGAAGCTTTAGTATCGTTGTTGTCGTTTTTCACTACTCAAGAAGGGTCATTTTGAATGAAAATGCTCATAACTACATAAATGTTTATTCATATCATTTCCACCATCTAAAAATTCAACGAAACAAGCGAAGCGACTTTATTATTAAACGGATATTATGGATAATGTTCCGCAAACATATTTAACATGTACATATGCTTGCTTTCATGTACACATTTGAGCAAACAGATATTTAAATTGAAGCAAAGCCTTGCGAATTTATTCACATTTTGAATTTTGAATTTTCTGTTTCAATAAGCTTGAAGGCATAAAATCTGAAAGAATTTTTTTATTTCTTCTACAAGAAATGTACTTGTAAATCTTCAACAGAAGCTTGTAGATATTTGAATATGAGAAATGAATAAAAAAAAGAAAACTACCTAGAAACAAGAGTCAAAGACGTTCAAACGATGATCCATTAAAAATATTAATATTTCATATTCGGTTTATATATTTTTCCAAAGAAAACGAGTAAAAAAATCTCGACATTTTCATTTCATACATTTTCGTTTGTGTTTTCAATTTAAATTGTACATATTCTGGGGTTAAGTCATATCATTATCATCCTTAATATATCTAACATTAATAATTCTTTTACGATACCAAAGTTCGTGATAATATTTTTCTGAAGATCATTGAACTTGAGCAGAACAGTTACAACGATTTAAAACAATCCCCATAAAGACAACGTAAGCGAAACAAGACAAAAATCTTTATTTATTATTTTTAAAATATGATTAGCCGAAAAAAATATAAAAAGTTTGTAGACGAGAGCAATAAGAAGAAGATTTGTTGTGACACAAAACAAGAAATTTTGCGAGAGACTTGATGACATTAAAATCGCTCTCCACGTACGAAGTTTAAATAAGTTGAGTGAAAATGACGTCACTGTGGTTTCTCGTGAAATATTTTTAAAGAATTTATTTGAATCTGTAAACCATAAAGAGCTTTAAAACTTTTTTCCCTTTAAAGCTATAAAACTTAGTAACCGCGCATTTAAAAGCGCTCAAAATGTCGTTCAGCTAAATAATAAAATTGCGACACAAAACAAAAATTAATATGCGAAGTTGTGAATTTTTTTTGGTTTGTCATAAAAGTTTTTAGCTTATTTTTAATCGTTTAGCGAGATATTTATTTTATCAATATTCTCACAATTTTAATTATCTTTGAACTCAGCTTTTGTTACGTAAAAACAATTAAGAACGTAGATTAAATTTAATTAAAGACAAAAAGTAGAACAATTACGATAAGGATTACGATTATCTTGTAAGTGTATCGTCTACAAACAAAATTTCTCCTGCTTTACATTTGGAACTTTAAATAGATAATATGTAATTCAGTATCGTTTAAATATATGCAACAATGTTTTCTTCTTCAACTGCTTATAAAATTAAAATATAGAAAGTTCAAGGAAGTCCATCGATCTTCGAATCTTAAAGTTCATGCGGAATATTTGTGTGCGCATTCAGGATGGGATTTCGTAAGACTGTTAATTTTCCTGGCCAACCTCAGAAACAACACCATTCAGCTATCCAATTAATATAACATTATAAAACATGCAACAACCAACGTACGCTAATGAAAAATTCAATGCTAATTTCTATGCTGAACATTTAATCGATTACGTACAAAAACTGATCATAAGAAGCAGTTTGAAAATATAGAAAAAAGTAAATAACTTATAAGCTGAGTCCACTCGTTTAATTCTATTGACTTTAGTGAATAATTAATGACGTATAAAGTATGTAATTAAGTTTTCTGATTTTATCATTATGCATTGATACGCAGAACTAATATATCTGACACTTTCAACATGATTAACACGAATTTTATGGAACAAAGTGGAGGTTGACATTATCGAAAGGAGAGAAATGAGTACGGATGACATAATTTATCGTATCTAGTGACACTTTGCGTGCTAAATGAATAATTAATGGCTCTCTTGTAAATCTCGTAACTCAGTGGAAGTTTGAGGAAGTTAAAGGAGTCGATTTGGGAGTAACGAAATTCCGTTGACTGCTTAATGATCTAGAAAATATTCTGAACGAAATCAAGCGAAAAGAGACTTCATAGATCAAAAAACAATTTTGATTAGAAAGAAGAATTAGATGAAAACTTATCGACTTTCAAGATATTTTCAATATTTTAATTTTATGGTGAAATAAAATTTCATCGACGGAGGCAGAAAAGTTTAATTTTACTTTTCTGTAAAAGAATCTGAAACGGTAACAGAAGAAAAGTTTATTCAATTTACAAAGCACTTTATATGAATTACCATGCTTCGTCGCAAAAAGTTATTTGTGTAGCGTTGAGAAACTTTTCACAATAAATCTTTGAAGTTAAACATTCAGAGTTTTTACCATTTGAAGAGTCAATTATTTTTTACGATATTGTTTTGAGGGAAAAAGTTTCGTCAGAAGTAGGTACTTTGAGTAGCAGAGAAAAAGATTTCAGATTTAACAGACACGGCTGTCATTTCATGCACTTTCCATTTGATCGCGGAAAAACCTTGAAAAATGGCTGAGACTCTCTTTTAATTAATTACATTTTCATTTCTCTTTTTATATTACATTTCGTGTTGAACATCCGTTAAACCTATACAAGCCCTTTCAGCGAACAATGCTGAGAGTGATGGTGATAGTGAAAAAGTGGTCGGCTTAATGAATGTGAATCAAATTTGTCTTGTTGATTTTTTCTGCGAAAGATTAAAAAAAAGAAAATAAAAAGAAAGAAAAGTTTTATGCCTTGGGGTAGGCTTCGCGAAGGCCAAAAGAAATTAAAATTAATTCTACTTGAGCGTTATATTTGAAGAAGGAAAGCAGCATTTTCAATAAATTCAACATCTCAAGAAGGAGAAAAAACTTTATGCCTGGTGTCGAAAGATTCATTCTCGAGCGTTTTCCGGTGACAGTTAAAAGAAGAAAAATTATTCGTGTACATATATTTCTTAATTAAGTTTCTTTGAAGCGTGTAAGAAATCTCTTTACATTTTGTCAATGTAGATGCTTCAAGTTTTCCACAATAACATGGAAAACACTTACTTCCGTGTACTGATACTCGAGATGAAAATTTTCCGGAACAAAGATTTTTACATTCTTTTCTTCATTCATGTTTGTCTTAGAAAATTTTCCTCGAATCTCATGTGAAAGCTTTGCTCTCGACAAACAGAAAACATATGTGCGATACTTGTTATGCAAAAAAATAAATATCTACTTTGAAACCATTTGAATTCTTTATTTATAGAAAAACATGAAAAAATTCTTTTGCATTTACAAAAACTTTTTAAAATTGTGAGCAAATGAAAGAACAAAACACTCATCTAAATAATGCTTGAAGTTGATGGAAGAATTTCCCTAAAGAGGAAATGGTAAAATTAATTAATAAAAAAGTTTTCCTGAAATATGAACATCAAACAGATCTTTCCAGAAACTTACTTAATGGGAATATTTCCACAGTTACGAGTGTTTAATCTTTTAAGAGAGTGTTCGTTAAGTCATAAATAAATGAAATATTTTCAATGATTTTTGTTTTTTCAAAATATTTCTTTAAAACATTTTAGATTGATTTGTTATAATTTTTCTCAAACAAACTTTTTGTTTCTCACGTAATTTGTTTACAACCCAAAGAAATAAATAAGAGCATAAAAATTGTTAGCTTGTTACTCGTAGATAGCTTGCGATATTTTTTATAGCCACAAAAATAATCTGTAAATTTCCTTTAAAAAAATATGAAGAAAGAAAATTGGATATGAAAACTCAGCCCATGACGACTTTCTCGATGATGATATAAATTGAAAAAATATTGTTTCGAGCGAGTATTACGAGTGTTTCAACACGAAGACTCTTCAAATGTGGAAGAGAAAATTTATTTTCCGGGGACACACAAACAAAAACTGCGCAAAAATAGGAATTGTGTGTTTGCACTCATACTTTTCTTGGACTCATAAAAAAATAATTAGATTATTGTGATATTTTTAAGACGTCCTCAAAATAAAATGAAAATTTTGTTCAAGTACGGTTTGGGACTTTAAAAAATATAAATTTATTTCTCTTTTAAGTGTAAAAGAACTTTGGGAATTGCAGTGATTTATTAGCCGACAAATTAGTTATTTAAGCTTAAAACCTTTCCTTTTTTCGTATCATAATAAACAGTTACTTGTATATTATTTATTTAATTATAATTAAGTTGAGCAAAGCTTCATTGCAGACACCATCTGGTTGAAAATAGGATTTGAATAATCGTAAAGTTGCTTCTTCAACAACACTTCCAATCATCAAAATGTTATTTGTCAAATTATATTCGTGCCAATCAAAATATCCAATTTTCTTGTTTTCTTAATCCTCATAACTTCAATAATATGTATAGCAAAACAGTAGAACTAGATACATATGTACGTACTTGATGAGTTGTTTATATCGTCGGATAAATCTCGTCTGCTTTCATTGAATTACAGTAACAAGGCTGATGTGAAATATTTCAACATTGACTTTTCATTGAATGTTTATCCATTCATTCAAATGCAGTTAGAAATCACGTCAAGTTTCTGGATGAGAGTAAACAACAAGAAAAAGCTCGTTCAATTTGAATTATTAACAACACACAAAAACTTTCAGTCAGTGTCGTGAAAGGGGAAATAACATACATTCATACATTTATAAAACTTCGATAAGCCTGAAAGGCGAGAGAAGGCAGAAAAGTTTTGTTCCTTCTCGGGAAAGCGAAAATTAAAAATTAAAAAATTCATGATCAAGTTGAAGCAAGAATGCGAACAAAAATATTTTCAGCCACACATGCTTTCGGTAATTTTATGTTTCATGTTAACAAATCTTTTCCATCTTTTCATCGAATCAGGAAAAAGAAATCTTTTTGATTTATGTTTTGACTTTTGAGCCTTTAAAATGTAAAAAGAAACTGTGAAAACCAATTTCCCATGAAAATTTAAAAGTCTGTTATTAAATTTTTTCAATTAAACGTTCATCCTTTAAACATTTTCCCATACTTTACACTAAAAGCTTCCAATTTTTTTATTCTTCGAAGCAAGAGAAATTCATTTTAGACATTTGTATTGTTTACACTCCGAGGCATTTCCATTTTTTAATTTTAACACTACAAACAAGCGAAAGTCAGTTTATTGATTCATTTTTAATTTAAATTTCTCCACAATTAATCAAAAACGTTTAAGGATGTTCATGGTAGATATGAGAAAAAGATTAAAAATTCACATTTGCGTTAGTTACGTATCACATATTTATGCTTAGGGGTAAGTGGGGGTTGAGTTAAATGGAAACTCTTTCAACAATAATCTCTTTCGTTTGTCATCAAATTCATTCTCATATAAGTGAAATCAAAAAATCTTTTGAAGTTTCTTACACGAGTGATGAATAAAGATAAAAGAAGGAAAAGAAATGAAAATTCTTAAAACGACAGAAGAATGCAGAGAATTTTAAAGTAGGGAAATTTGTTTATGTGAAGGCAAAGTGACTTTTCCGACCAAAGGAATTTAAATGAGAAACAAAACAAGCGAGCGTACGATTCGACGATGATTCAATTGAATGTCGTAAAGACGTAAACTATGTCACGTTATCAAAGTAATATAATCTTTGTCCATAATCAGAATCGAGCGATTTTTTATGGCCTTCCACTCCAGAAAAGTGAAAACGGTCAAAAGCATTCCATAAATGCCACTCTTGTGTGTTCCCATCATACAATTATCAAGGGACAAGGGAAATTCTTTTGGCGACGAAATATATGTGAATGCTTTCAAGCGTAAATGCAACTCATGCGTAGCCTTCAGTTGTTGCCGAAAGGCGACAATTTATGAGGTTATATCACAAAAGTTTAGCGTACGGTAACCTCCCATGACCTGATTCTATCGCGTATCCAACTAAACTGCAAAACAACGAATCGACTTGACTTGAATAATTCATTGACTGTTTAACTAATAAACCTAAAATAATTTGTTAATACCGAATGATATTAACTTGATATCAACCTTAATGTATCATAACAATACTTGTTACGGGAGAAGCTTAAAATAATAAAAACAAATAGAGGGAAATTGTAAATTTGCTATTGAAATAACAAACACATTGTTAAGTTAACGTAAACTATTTTCCATCAGTTCATGAATTTACCTCACGCTTTCTCTCCTTCGGGAGAAATTATCATCGATCGCGAAAATAACATTCGGCTTTTTCCCATTTTCACGAAATTTTTCGTTTTCCCTTTGAAACTGAAAACGTTTTAACGTGTAAAACTTGTGTTCGAGTATTAATGACGTCAGAACACGCATAGTATCGGTCTATAAGTTGTTGTATAATCGCGTCATATGTAAATGAGAAATTCTTTAAAGAAACAAAAAAGAAAATTTTCTATAAATAAAAAGCCTTTTATTGTGTGATGTTTGGCACATATGTATATATAATATATACACATAGTTGATGTATTTTAAGTTCTGGGGCAATCTCTCTGCTTTTTCTGCGTATTTACATGAAACAGTACAGATTAATTACGAAAGGAAATAAAGAGATGTGTGAATGATATTCTATTTACTTGATATTTAATCGTCATCAATATGTACTTTATATAGTTACTTGTTACTGTACACGTATCGTAAAGGAAGAAGCTGCCTTGAAAAGAGATTTTTATTTTATTTTTTTCTTCTATCGGAAATGATGAGAGAAAGACAAAGTTGATGAAAGATGTTGGGAAGATTTGCTTGCTCTCAAATGACTTTAAATACATATCTACGAAATGTGAAACAAAATATTTTGAATTACTTCTGCTTACTTATGTACATGTTTGCAAAACAAATGTGTAAAATGATTTATTGGTAAGAAATTTTAAGTACTTCATTTTCGGGAAAGTGATTAAGGCTAAGTTTAAAGAATATGATCCATG